ACTGTGAAGTAAACACTCACGCTGTGTTTGAAAAAGAAACGCACAAACTCCTTCTCCGGACAAACACAAACTCTTGACTGGACTGAAGCTTCAGCCGTTCAAAGGCGGGAGGTGAAGCCCTCTGCTCCTCCACTACAAGCTCTCCGGCCCCGCTGCACACCCCTCCTCTGTGCCGTGAACCTACCGCACTGGCCGGTGACTATCAGTGCAGCCTGAGACACACGTGTGAAGTTCGTGGTAGTTTAAAAATCCACTTCCGGTTACGGATTTCAAAATATAACGGTCAACTAGAATTAGAAATTTTTTATCATACTATACTATGACATTTTTTTCACACTAAAATGTCAAATTTTTATCGTACTATACTATGACCCGATTATCATACTTTACTATAACATTTTTTCATACTTCAATTTGAACGTTTTATCATATCATACTATGACATTTTTTAATACCAAAGTTTCACACTTTTTCATATTAAAATAAGAAATTTTTATGATACTATACAATATTTTTCATCATACTTTACTATGATGTTTTTTGTCACCCTATACTATGTCTTTTTTTAAACTCAAATTTGATATCTTTATCATTGAATACTAGACATTTTTATCATAGTATAATATGTTATATTTGACATACTATACTATGACATTATTTTCACACTAAAATGTCAAATTTTTAACATACTATACAATGATATTTTTTCGTCATACTATACTATGATGTTTTTTGTCACCCTATACCAGGGGTGGGCAATCATGTGCCATGGAGGGCCAAGAGGCTGCAGGTTTTCTTTCCGACCCAAAACTCCACCAGGTGATTTCACTGATTAGTCCCTGCTCTCTGCTTGGAGGTAAGGTAATCAGTGAAATCACCTGGTGGAGTTTTGGGTCGGAAAGAAAACCTGCAGCCTCTTGGCTCTACATGGCACATAGTTGCCCACCCCTGCCCTAAACTATGTTTTTTTTAAACTCATATTTTGATATCTTTATCATCGTATACTAGACATTTTTATAATAGTATAATATGTTATTCTTGACATACTATACTATGACATTATTTTCATACTCTACAACAATGTATTTTGTCATACTATACTATGACTTTTTTTAAACAAAAAAAATGATATTTTATCTTAGTACACCATGACATTTTTATCATACTATACTATGAAATTTTTATTATAATATACTATGACTTTTTTTTATCATGGTTACGTTTTCTTCAAACAAGTCATACACAGGCTTTTGTTAGGTCCCTGTTTTCTGGTTATGGGTTATTTTTTATTTTTTTTCTAGTAACTTTTCAACAGCCTTTTAACTTTCACTTCTAACCGAGTGCAGCGGAGTTCCACAGCTCCAGGAAGAAAACTTATGATTATTACTTCATGGAAATGCAATCAGAGTTCTTGTGTATCTTGTATGTTCACTGCACACGCAGTAGTTCTCCTGCCTTAGCGCCTCAGATTGCATGTCCATGGAGTAATAATCATAAATTTTACCACTGCACTCGGTGATCGACTCGTCAGGGCTTCCCCACAAACAAGCGGCTGCTGAAGGAGAGTGGGTGAGTTTCATTTGGTCTCTCTCTCGAGGGGGTGTCTAACTCGATGTTACAGTGGGTTTGACCATAACTTAAATTTACAGTGCAATATCCCTTTAAGTGTTATTTTCTGATAGCATGATGGAATTTCTGATGATTGTAACTCAACTATACAAACATGGATAACTGCACTAAACATTGAGGGATGTTTTACCTCAAGAACCAAAAGTTGTAGCATTTAAAACTGTAATTGGTGGCTGAAATTGTACTCTATTTGCATTTATCACCAAAAACAATTTAAAAAAAATACTCCTAAAGCGAAATAATGATAATAATAATAATAATAATAATAATAATAATAATAATAATAATAATAATGATAATAACTTTATAAATCTAGCTTACTCCAACTTCTTTATGGGGTTGATTTTGTCTTTTCACCTATAAATTCTCATGAAATGTTTGTGTTGATGTTTATTCTGAATGAATTTAACCCTTTATTTTGAAGAACTAGCCCCCTATTTCCTGCTGTTTATATGTCTGACTTTACGTACAGACTAACTGTACAGTCTGGGTGTGGATGACGATGCTACTACACTAACAGGAGTCGATGCCTTTGTTTGTGTCTTAAAAAAAAAACCTCGCATTTGAACCCACCGGCAGCACCCCTTGTTGCCAAATTCTCAGCGTTAACTAGTAGTATAGAGCTCGCACATGCGCAGTTCCCTTCACACACCTTTCTGCAGCTGAATGAAATCTGTGAAACACTAAAACAGCCTCCCTTTTGAACAGAGCGGGACTTTTATGAATGGGGAACGGCGGAAGTGGACGAACAATCAAAATTTTTCGATCTTACTGACAGCCTGGGAAACAGACAAATCACCTCCCATATACCCTGCCCCTGGTGCATGCTGGGACCTGCCTAATGGCTTCACTCTGCTGTCTAATTGGAATTTAGAGGGATGCTGCCTTCACGTACCCCACCTAAAACTGACTTCTGAGCTCGTAAAAAAGAGCTGTAGCTGATTCTGGTGAATTCCTGCTGAAGAGTTGCAGGGAAATTTTTACTACAACAAATCATTTGATGTATTTCTACACTGGCAGTTGCAAGAAATGGCTTTCCTTCAATGTAAGTCTATAAGTCTATAACCCAATTTCTGCTCTTTTTTTGGTGTTAAAGCCCTCATGAAGAGGAGGAAAAGCTTCATCTGGAATTGAACCCTGGGTTATTTATCAGCAAGGTGATAGTTCTAGCTAGTACACCACTGGTCTGTGACAGTTGATGAAATTTCCAGTTCATTATGGTAATTAAAAGTACAGTCCAGACTCTTCCAAATTATCCAAGAGTAGGCAGTTTAAGGTAACAGGTCCAGGTGGAATCTTTGGGGCACAACTATATGTGTATTTTTACAAGAATGTAATAAAATTCTCATGGTAAAATGTCATTCCAGAGAGCAAAGAAAGGTACCAACTGCTATATTTCAGTGTTCAAGGTAATTTATATCGATGTTCTGAATGTAATTTCTCAAATTTCAAGTTACATTAATGTGCAGGGCTCTTTATCAGCATCACCTGTGTGCTTCCCATTCAGACAAGTCTGAATATCTGCTGTTAAAATCCTTATTTTGGAATCTCAAGCTGCTAAATGGTATTCAGCCATCATTAAGTTTTATTAGAGCGGTATTACAGTCTCACTATATTTGCAGCGAGGCTCCAGCAGAGAAATAAAACAGGCAGTTTAAGACCTGCTGGGTGTTGGACACTGTTTCTGGGCTCTCTGTTCAGCCAGAACACAAACTGATGCCTCCCTCTGTCTACATACAGCCCAGCTGTAGATTTCCCTGCTATCCTGAACATAAACATGCGGTATAACGTGTACCTGCTATGCTCATATAAACACATCTGCACTGTGATTTAGCCGCCATTACAGAGATGATAATCTACAGAATATAAACAGCTTTCAATGTCTACAGCAGCACAAACTTTGTCCCCCTCTCTCTCTCTCACACTCACTCACACTCACTCACACTTAATGCCCTTCTATGACTCACTGCACTCTCCATAAAATGTCATGACCATGTATGTGCACACAGTCTCTCCTGCAGAGGTTCACTGAAGCTCATTTAGAGCTGCACTCACTTGAGAAAGTTTCTTGTCTCTATTTAAAGCACATCATCATCATGTTTTCTTCAGTTATTTATTCATCTCAGTACTTAGAAATGCAACCTAACAAATTTTATATTAAGTTTAACTGTACAACTGACCTGCAAACACAAACTGACTGTATGTTGTACTACAGGGGCTGGTCCAGAGACTGACCCGTGGTGGCCGTGCCCCCTTCCCCCCCCAAAACCAACTCCAAATGTAGGGGTGTGGCTAGATGGGCGTGGCAACTGGCAGATGGGCCAGGTAGAGTTTGACTGTTTACTAGGAGGGCCAACTCAACTCCGCCTTTTTATGTGTGGTTAGATAGATGGAAAATCAGATTGAGTCTTGATTCCTATTACACCATTTTTTTTTTATGATTTAATGTGCTGTTCTTTTTTGATTGCCCTCTCCACCTCATGTACACTGTAAAAACAAACCTACTTTTAACAGTAAAAACTGACAGCTTCTGGATTAAACACAACCCTTTTCTCTGTAATGGTAGAGGGATAAAAGTCCTGTTAATTTAATGGTTAAGTTTAATTATATAACATTCTGCACAAGTTTGAACTAGACAGAAAAGCTACTAATTTAACCCTAGTGACAGAATTACAGCATTTGGTAGTAGTACTTTTACAGTATTTTTCTTTCATTAATAAAGTGTTAAAGGGTTTTTGGATAATTTGTCTTATTTACAGTCAAAATTTACAGTCTTTTACTGTTGTTGTTTAACAGTTTTTTTAACTACTTAATTTACTGACACTTTTTACCGAGTACATGCACAAAGAGCCAAAGCAGGGAGAGCAGCAGCAAAAACAAAGCAGGTGTAAGTCACAGTATGATATAAATAAGATTAGACAGGATAGAGAGAAGGAGCTGAGGAGGAGCTGAGGTGGAGGTGGGTTAGAAAGCAGTTTGTGAAGGAAGCAATTTGAGATGTCAGAGTAATGCAGTCTAAATTGAACACGCTTTTGAACATTTGACAATAGGATGCATAAAAGTTAATTTGCTGTCAGCTGATCTATGTTGTCATTTAGATGGGCTGATGAACTGTAGGCTGAGCTTGGCTTCGTAGCTTGCCTGAACTAACACTGCGATCAATATCAAGTGTTATAATCAACTCCAACACTTTATCCAACATGTTTCACATAATATACTTGGTCAAACCGTTACATATATAATTTCCTTGTACATGTACAATAACTTTTAAGATATTCTATTCGTAACAGTAATGACATTTATCATTTTTACTATGCAGTGGCTGTTTAAATATGCAAGACCGACTGGAAATCATAAAGTTTGACTGAAAAAATACATCGATGACACTTTGTAAATTTGATACCCTTTTATTTTTTATCAGTAATTCAGCAGCTTTGACAGACAAACTACAACTTATTACTTTCCGTCTTTTTCTTCCTCCACAGGGTTTGAGAGGGGGGAGGTTTCCCAGAGAGCGCAGGAGGAGGGCTGTGATGTTTGATGGAAAAAACAAAGATTAAAAATTAAAAATCCTGTACACCAACAACTCGCTCATCCAACTGCATTAAACCTCACGTCTGACATGTCACGTCTTACTGCTGCATTTGGGATCCGTGTCTTTTGCAGAAACTTTTATTTTTCAAAACTAGGAGCTAAAATGAAGTGGGCCGAGTTGACTCGCAGGTTGCATATGATGGAGGAAATCATCGGTTTTCTCGTCGAGTGTGAAAGCAAACTTTTCAGACCTCAAACTGTCTTGTTTTAGTCTTTTGTGCAGCTCCAAAGCAGTCCTTTTCAAACATTTTCTCCCCTGAAGTCCTCCTGCAGGCGTGAAGGATGGAACAGCAGCAGATATGTTCAATGAAAGTCCATGAAAAATTTACACATTGCAGATAAGAAATTTACAGAAACACACGTTTGAACACGTTAATGTAGCCAGGCATTTCCAACGTGCCTTTATTATCTTACCCATCCTCTCTCACAGTCCCTGGATGTATTTACAGTGCCTCAGTCTTAAAAGTGCTGCGCATTTTAAGTCAATTTCTACACATAGAAAAATAGGCGGAGGGATACAGACGTCGTTGTTGGGCATTTTGCAAACAAAGCTGTGAAACGGACATAGAAATTTGTCTTCTATACTCAATGAAATGCTTGTTCTGGCTGCGACAAACACACACATTCAACGGAAACACTGCAGAACCATTCAAAGTTTCTGAAGAAAATAGTCATGTGTTCACATTCTCGAACAATATACACTGTACACACTCTGAGGGAGACGGAGAGCGTGATTTTTCTCCTCCCCTCTGAATATGAAAGCACTGAAATTACAATTATTTCAGTGCAGTGCAAAATATGTCGTTTTTTTTAAGACATTCTTCCGAAGATACGACATTCAGTATTTCTTCATATCTACAGGATTGAATGAACAACTAAGCTGTCTCTCTGGTTCTACTCATACGACAGGAATAGTGTGGGAGGGGTTTTTCTGTAGGCACAACCATGGATGTAGATCCTGTCTCTTTCTCAAGCGTACACACAAACACACACACACACACACACACACATAGGCCCACTAAATGTCATCTCTCCCTTTTTTATGTTGAGCCCCCGCAGTCCAAAGTGGAGCATGTCAAACAGACAAGAAGCTGTAAAAATGTGTTTCGGAGTCTTCACGTAGACTCCTGATTGCTTAATGAAGAAATTATTTTGAACTCTGAGGTCTCAGAGTGGCTCAGTCGACAAATAAACGCACAAAAGGAGCCATTTAAGACAAAGAAGCCCCCCCTTTTTTTTATCTTTGCTTGTTAATGTTGCCTTGATTAATACGCTGACCCCCGACCCCGCAGACGGTAGAGGGCTGATGAATGGACTTGCTGGCTCACGTGAAGAGACAGAGAGAAGGAAAATCCGCGTCTAGCTGGTGTTGACTTTGAGGTTCTTCATGCGGTGCAGCAGAGAGTCTTTCTCCATCTGAGCCTCAGCCAGCGCCATCTTGGCTCGGGACAGCTCCAGTTTTAAACATTCGTTTTCCTCCATCAGCATCTGTACACAAACGACAAAGAACAAGGCTGAGGCAAAAAGCACACTTCATCTGTCAACTCAGAACTGGAAAAACTCTCAACAGTTTGGGACATGGATGTGGTGACGGTGATGCCAACAGTTGGTTTCCGGAGAAGTGTTAGGAAGCCCAAAGTAATAAAAATGCTGACTCAAGTTCCTATTTGTGTTCTTATTTTTTCAAAATGCAATCCAAACAAGTCAATACTAATAAAAGCTCACCCATCCGAAGATTTCTTATGATTAAAAAACGAGCTAAGACAACTGGAACTGTCTTTTCTACCAGACAGGACATTTCTTTGACTCTGCTGTAAGAATAAGTGGTTCAGTTTTTGCTCCTTGGGGAATTTAAAGATTTTAGATGGACAATCCCGGAACTGCATTTTCTACTTTTCCCTAAATTAGACGAACCTTAAAAAATGATGTAACTTCCATATTTCTGGCATGAGACGATAGCTGCTGATAGACAAGCGCTAACAAATAAAAATGAAGGCGTTCTTAATTAGAGGTTTATTTTTTTCCCACTAGTAGGTTGTCATATCCAGAGTTTGACTAAAATCTGTTTTTTAATGGCCAATAGTGAAAGAAACACTAATATACAGCATATTGCAAAAATCTCACTTTTTTTTTGTTTTGTTTTTGCCATCAACAAAATACATCAGTTTAATAGTACTTACCAATGCCAATTAGTTGATACATTTCTAGCAGAGACAGTTAAAAGTTCATGTTTATGAGTCGATGACTGAGTCTTTTTGAAATTTAACAAGATGCAGAACTACCAGATAACTAATCTACTCTGTGCTTCACTCATCAACATTAGTGTCTTTTCACCTTAACAAAGTCCTTTTTTTAAGATGATACAAAACATCTTCTCAGTGGTTAATATCAGAGGGTAAACACAGCTCTATGTCTACTACCACTAAATCTCTCATTAGAGCCTGAGGACTTTCCTCTTTATTCGCCGCTGGCCTCTGTAAGTTTCTTGTTTCCTACATGTCACTTGTCCATCCCTGTTCTTGTTTTCTACTCTGTCCTCTCCAAACAAAGGCAAAAAAAACCAAAATTCATTTCTAATAAAATCTAAAATTTAATCATAGATTTGGTGGCTTTAAGATGCCATAGAATTCATGCTGTTGCACTTTTATCAGGCTTAAAGATGAATGTGATATCTTATTCTATCTGAATCACATTGCACATTAAAGGTTATTTACAAACTGAGCTGTCGTCTAAGGGTGTTAGCATTTTTTTTTTCCTATTGCCATGTTCATGGGTCTGTCTTGTATTACCTCGTCCCAGGGTGTTCATGTGATGCAATTCAAATTTGGTTTCAGTGAGAAAATACTAGAGTGATGAGAAGTCCGTAAGTTCGTGTGCAAAACTCAAACTGAAACAGGAAGTTACTTTATTTTGAAAATACAGAATCCAAACTGCCTCAGACTTCATATTGGATGTGAGCCTCTTCTTTGAACAAACCTACACACCAATATTATCTCCAGGGTGCGAGAGCCCGCTCAGCACTGCTTGTGGCTTAAATGTGACTCTTTCATTTCATATAAAATTATAACCACTACTCCCACTGCAAACAAAATGGAAGCCAAACACAGAACTGGATTAGCTTGGAAAAATCTATCTGGCACCACTTCAAAAAAGATCTGCAAAAAAAAAAAAAGAAACAAATGTCTCCCTTGTTCAGCATTTACTGTTTGTAGGAGGACAACACCAGTGAAGACACGAGGGAAATATGCGTGGCTGCTTGTAATTCTTCACCTCTCGGTGTGTCAGCAGCTGTTGTAGGCAGCATTTTCTGCTCCTGCTCCCATACTTCTCACACGAGATGCTTTCACAGTGTCTCACCTTCTCTTTGCTGGATGGAGGGGGGCTGTTGGGCGGAGCTTGAGTCTGTGTAGCCTTTGGTACGGCGCAGATGCTGACCACAGCCTCAGGGACAGGACTCAGAGTGCTGTCAACCACGTCTTTCCTGGGTTTGTTGTCCACCGCTGTGTCCACTGTGAGGACGAAAAAGAGACAGCGCAGGTCTATTTGGAGGTGTAGGTGTGCCGAGTGTAAGCATTTAAAAGGACGTGTTATATAACAGCAGTGAATCAGTGCTCAAGTGGGGGCAGAGAGATCTGGCAGATGAGAACGTGTGTTTGTTTTTCACCTCCTATGGAGAAAGAGCCGTCGTCTTTTCTGTGGATGATGAGACTGTCCACATGCAGCGTGATCGGAGAAGGCTCAGAGTCGGACGGGTTATCGCGGGGGCCGTCGTCCTGCAGATGTTGACAGAGAAAGTTTTAAATGTTTGTTATAGAGAGAGAGAGAGAAATTATTCACATCCAGGTTTCCACATCAGTTGCACAGCAAATCTACTCAGAGGGAAGGACCCAAGAGACGGCAGGAGAGCCTTTCTGTGCCATTAAATATTCAGTTCAAATCCAAATTCCAATTAGGCCATGGTTCAAAATATTCCACTTGGTCGTAGGAGCTGCTGCACTGTTTGGCATTGACTTATGTGCTCTATTACTGCAACACAATTGGAAAAATCTAGGACAAATATCCTGCTGGAATCATGCAAGTAAACAGATCAGCTTCAATAACCCTGGGCTAAAACCCAAACTCTGAATACACACAGATAAATTCACACCCAAACATCCCGGATTCTCACCTTTAAGTTGATGTGTGTGTCTCTGACGCTGATCTCCATGGGCAGCACCTGCGGTGCGGAGTCATCCTCCAGGAAGTGGGCCAGGTTACGCATCGTGGACATCAAGAAGCTCGCCTGGTATCCGTGGAGACGCAGTTGCAGGAAGCCGTTGCGCTCAGCCAGCGGGGAGTGAGCAGCGGCGCAGGGCCCGCTCTCCAGGCGAGCCCGTACCTCTGGACTGTGGAGGCTCCTGGAGGACGCAGAGTTGAGCTCACCTCCAACTGTGGGGGTGGAGAAGACAGCAACAGTTAGCATTAGCTTTAGCTTTAGATATCATGACTCTTGACTGCATGTGGACATGATTTAGCTAAAACCACACTTAGACCTGACCTTAAAATACACCCAGTGTGAGGTAGAGTTTATGCACTTTGAGGTCCAATCATCATGCGTCCTCTGTGTACTCTTTATTTTAATACTCTGTGTCGCCTTATTCTCACTGAGGTTCTACGGCAGGGCCACAACAAAGCTTTGCCATCACTACATCTCTGTACTTCTATGTTGTTCCCTGGAACAGTGTAATACTACAGTTCTTGTGTGTAACTACAGAAAGTTGAAGAAGCACAAAAACACAGACAGACACATACCAGCTCCAACATTTCCAATAAACTTTTTCTTAATCCCAAATGATTTTTTTTTGTATTACAGCTGATGCCTGATTCACAAAAAATACTCATTTTATGACAAAAGGGTGCTTATTTCAGGGCATGTGTTGAGTATTTTAAGGCTTGACATGTCATGGTAAACACCTTCTCACCGAATATATCATATTCTAATACCCACATACAGCAAATTTTCTATTTGTAAGCCTGTGCTCATTGATCATCCTGCATCCATCCTTACTGTACTTATCTTCTATTTTGGGTTCAGACTAGGGCTGGGCGATATGGCCTCAAATCAATATCATGATATATTGAGCAGTTCACCTCGATAACGATAAATGGACGATAACTACTCCACTAGCTGCTCACCCCCTTCCACATTTACTTCGTCTACTTCAGCTGCCGCTCCAGCAGCTACAACTTTTGAACCGTCCTCCATCTCCTCGCTTGTCTTTACCTCTTTGTTACTGACTGGATGGGGTGGAGTCACATCCCTGAGTTAGGACAGCGTCTTAAAGGGACATGAGACCATGCCTACATACATCCAAAACCAACTTTGATTTATTTATGTTTTTGACACAGAATGTATTGATATGGGAAAAATTGTCGGTATCGGTAGAAGTTCGGTTTATCGCCCAGCCCTAGTTCAGACGCACTTTTAAAACAACAGGTTATTGTGTAACACCTCTTGAAATAGAACCGTACAATGAAGCGACTTGCTGCCAAATCCTCTACAGAAATCCAGAGGCTTTTGGATTTTACAAAAAAAAAGATCTGTTTAGATTTAGAGACTGCCCTGAAGAAATCCCTTAAAAACAGAAGTAACCTGTGATGATTCATGTTTAAATTTGATTTTAACTGACTCTGCTCGACAAAGGCTGCGACGGCGGCTTGAAAAACCCATGAAATTGTTATAATGTGACTGAAAATCGAATCCCCTCCTCTCTTTTTTATTTCCTTAACCTTAATAATTTGATGACTAATCTGCTCTTCAGAGCGTTTACATAAATGTGCTGCCTTAAATGTGATTTATGATGTCCCAACCTGCCTGTCTAATTCATTTAATCTACCTCCTCCAGCTTCTCACGATCTCATGGTGACCATCATGATCTCACAGCTGGGGAGGAGTGGGTGGAGGCCAGCAGCCCCCTACAGCTCCATATTGAATCATGTTTGATAGGAGTGGCGCACCTTGAGAGGTGGATTATATACTTTCTTTTGTATCTATAGAGGCTTTACATGTGTTGACTTCTGTTACACTGCAACATGTTTTCTTTGTTTTTGACACAGATGCATGATTTTCCTGAAATTTTGCTCACTGTTCAAACAAAAGGGTGCATGTTAAAGCCAGGAGAAAGAAATGGGATGACGTCAAAGTCAGAGAAAGCACAATACTAGAAAGAGGAGAAGAAGTTAGACGCAAAAGGAAAAAAAAAAAGCGGAGTGAGCTTGAAAAGAAAAGAGGAACAGGAAGGATTTAAGAAAGAGGTGGGCTGAGGGAGCGTCAGGATTTTGTACGATCCCACGGGCTCCTCGCTGCAGCGATGTTTAATTATTTCAAGGACCGGGGATTAGAGGGTTCGGAGGAAACTCCCACCTAAGCATTGAGAATTCAAAGCGAAGTTTTAACCACTGAACCTTTTTTTTTTTCCTTGTTCTTTTAAGAATGAGATAAAAAGAAGCTTTGAGATGCTGAAAACGGGAGATCCTGAAGTGTCCTAGAATTCAGTTTTTCATTCCTGAACGACCTGAATTTGACTCCCGACGTTAGAAAATGTCAGGCCTTTTTTTTTGTCAGGAAAAATATAAGAAAGGTAAAAAAAAGTGGAGGAGAAAAAGGGAGAAGACACAAATGGAGAGGTTAAGAGGTCACACACAAATTGAACAGGCACACAACAACATTGAAAAGGCAAATATGAGTTGCAAGGCATGAAAATGAGCACTTAAAGGTAACAAATATTTCCATTATGGCAGTCAGAAATGCAACATATCCCTTTAAATATGGGGAGAGGGGTCAAGAAGGGTTAATGCCAGAGAGAAATTACAGGAGCAGCAAAAAGATCCCAACACACATTCGCCTGAACGCAAATCTGACGGCTTTCTTTATAGATGAAACGACAAGTTCTCTCTGAATCCTGGGCAGCTGGGGTCGAGGTGAAAAAGACAGAAAGAGAGGAGGAAGAGGAGCGGGACGAGAAGAAGGAGGAGGAGGAGGAGGAGGAGGGAGGCAGCCAGCAGCTGAGGACTGAGTGGCTGTGATAAGACAGGGAGGGAAGATGGCCTACAGAGGGAGGGAGGGAGATGAAGGGAGGAGAAGGTGGAGGAGGAGGAGGAAGGTTAAATGACAGAGGATTAGTAGGAAGATGGAGTGGGAGCTGGAGGGAAGAGTGAGGAGGAAAGGTGGAAGAAGAAAAGAGAGGAGGAGGAGGAGGAGGGATTGCTCTTGTGAGATAGGAGAGGTAGCGAGGGGTAAAGCTGGCGTTTCTCTCATTGCCTGAATCAGTGGAGTGAGACTGCAAAGTGTGCTGCAGTGGAGAGATGGGGAGGTGGGGGAGAAAAGACAGAGGAGGGAGAGAGAAAGGGAGAGGGAGGGTAAATTAGGCAGAGCAGAGCAAGAGGAGATCAGGGGTTAACACCAGTCTGCACAAATAGCTAGAGTTAATTTGAATCTCGCTCACACACACACACACACACACACACACACACACACACACACACACACACACACTTAAAGTTGTGGGCCTAATGTTGCAAATAATGGGAGCACTCACTCCATTACTGTCAAATTTAACCTCTCTCTCTTTCTCTTTTACACACACTGGAGGAAAAGACACAACCCCTCTTCTGTTGAAAAATGAGCAGTCAGATACACACACACACACTTCATGCTTTCACTTGCTGGATATCATCTACGAGTGTCTGTAGAGCATGCCAGCGAGCAAAAAACATCCTGAAAATAAGATTTGACGGGAGATAAACTGGAGGAGAGGAACCCACGTACAGACACTTGCAATCTGTGTAAATACTCACACACACGTACATACACAGAGTTGGAAAGAGACACTCTGAGGCAAGCATGCATGTTAGGTTACAGATGGCGAGTGAACACACAGCAGTTACCTTGGCTGCTTTGAGCAGGTATTGGTACTGAACACACCATACCTGTGGGGGAGTTACGCAGGGTAAATAAAAGGCGGGGGGGTTGTGTGTTTGCGTGTTTGTGTGTAAAAGTGAGTGTTTGAAATGGAAGTGTGGGGTTAGATCTGAAACTAGCTTCTGTCTTCATGATGGACTGATCTGAAGGTTTTTGTCAGATCATTCACTCAGTGCAAAAACCTACAGCCTCTTGTGATACCTTAAAGGGATATTCCAACGTAAAATTGAGTTAGGGTCAAACACACAGTAACACCGAATTAGACGCCGTGTCGAGAGAAAAATGTTGCCAACCCCTTCGTTCTCTAGTTATACCAACTTTAGTAACGACCGCACGATAGCAATACACAGCAGTCTGAGGAGCCATAAACAAACCTCAACCAAAACGCCACTCTATAGCCACAAATAATGCTCAGAACAGCACCTAACTTCATCAACAGTACATATAGGGTCCTAGCCACAGCACTAGCCACCAAACATCTTTATAACTTTATCTAATTTCTTCAGCAAAGGGACTAAACACAACTCACCCACTCTCTTCCAGCAGCTGCTTGTCTGTAGCGAGACCTTGGGCCAGTCCATTACGGACTGCAGCGGGGTGCCGCAGCTCAAGGAAGAACATTTATGATCATTTCTTCATGGAAATGCAATCAGACCGAGACGCTAAGGCAGAAGAACTACCGTGTCTGCAGTGCAAAATGAGTAATATGGTGATTATTACTTCAAGGAAATGATGAAGAAATGATCATAAATGTTGTTCCTTGAGCTGCTTCACCCCGCAGCATTAGATGGATCGGCCTGGAGGTCTCCTTGCAAACAAGCAGCTGCTGGAAGAGAGACAGTGAGTTGTGTTTAGTCTCTTTGCTGAAGAAATTAGGCAAAGTTAAAAAGATGTTTGGTGGCTAATGCTGTGGCTGGGACCCTATATGTACTGTTGATGAAGTTAGTTAATACTCTGTCTTAAATCCAGAATATAAATTGCACCGGTATATTAGACACAGTTTTTATACGTTCTCTAAAGGAAAAAGGTCTAGTGACTTCAAAAGCTTTCAGAAAAGTCAACAATGTGCAGTTTCTGTGCCACCGTGTAACTCTCCATTCCAACCAGCAACCACCGACCGTACATGGAAATGACAAGCCGCCTGTTTTAGCCCTCAAGCTTCCTGCGCCTCTCAGTGTTAAAATATCCTGTTTTGTGTTAAAATACAAGCACAGCAGGAGTCGCTTTTGGGGCATCCTGATGGTCCAAATCTGCTCTGAGACCTTTTACCACATGTCCTTCCTCTTTAACCATCCTGTGCTTCCCTCTCACTCTCCTCTGTCAAAACAGGCTCAATATTAAAAGGTAGAAATCATCAAAACTGACTCACAAAAGGAGGAAAGCTTTTCATGTGTCCAGATTTTGGCTAAATCTACAAACACACTCAGACATTTATTCCCTAGCTGTCCTTTTTTTTGCTGCCCTACTTGTGTGCTTTAAATAATAAGAGATACCCCTTCACTTCATCCTCCAGCATTAGTTGGAACAAAAGAAAAAGACTGCTGCCTACTTAAGTCTATTTTGGTGGATCTGTTTTATGTAATCAACCAACTCACAGTTTTAAATAGGAGCAGCCTGTTCTGTAATCTCATGTTTGGCCAATTTACAGTTTGCTAAATACTGAGAAATCATGCAGTAGAATAATGTTGACAATAATAAGGAACTTTTCCATTTTGACCAAACTGGTTTGACTTTTCCTTTGATGTGACTCATTTTACACCTTTCGATCTTGTTTGTTAGTTTTTGATCAGTGTGTGAATGTGAATGTTGTTAAACACTCTGCACAGCACTTGCACCATACATGAGATTATATCAAGAAGTCATGCAGTAAAATAAAAAAAGGTAAAATAAATTTAGGAGTGTTCTCAGACTGGTTCTTACCAAGGCTGCGGTTGCTGAGGTACTGCCTCAGGCTGACGTTGCCCAGCTGGCTCGGTGTGACCTTTCCCACCTCCAGAGCCACAGCCGTGCTCTCACCCTCCGCCTCCATGGCCACGCACACCGACTGAACCTTCAGCACCAACACTGACACCTGGAGGAGAGGAATCGAGAAAATCAGGACAGGCAACATCAACTTTAAAACTTGCTGACTTTTAACCGTATATCTTTACTCCTTTTCATGTTTTATTCCCAAACTTTTCACTTTCTGTCTTACTATGTCTTTGGTGGGATCATCGATGCTCTGGGACGTGGCGCTAACAGTGTCAGGGGACACGCCTCCCTCCTGCTCAGGCCCAATCACGACCTCGGTTGTGTTCTCAGTGACGCTTTGCTCGCTGATGGCGTCCTTGAAGCCTGAGATGGACACGTCATCTGCATCACACATAAAATATAATTATGTTTTTTTATGATCAATATGGGCGTTTAACTCTGCAAATCATTTACAGAGCGGGGTAAAGACACCTTCTGAGTGCCTCTGTACATTCAAGACAAATCAATGCAATACTGCCACCTTCTGGTCAATATGTTTAAAAGACTTAGATATGGCTTTGTATACAGTACTGCAGAAAGCAAAAGAGCTTCTCCTTTAACCCTATAAGTGTCTCATCAGTCCTTTTCAATGTTATATAACATATTTTTAGGGTCACCTTTATTTAAAAAACAGACATCTTCAGATTGAGCTTGTAAATCTCAAATAATATAGTTGTAAATTTTGTGAGAATAAAGATCAGAAGAGCAGCGAGACGCCTAAACTAAAAGTGGGGAGATCTTGTAAAGTCATATTTTCATAAATGTAAGGCGCATTAATAACTAAATACCAGAACTTTTAGCACATCAGTCCCACATCAACACAAGTATCAGAATTCTGAATCAATTGTGTGAGAAGCTGAGGCCTTATTTGCCAATGTATGTCTCTGCGACAGCTGTTAAAAATCACTGGAGGACACACATTTATTCCTCTTTGTAGTGCTGTCATTATACAATTGAGACATTATTCTTGTTCGGTTAAAATCAGATTTCTGAGGGGAAAAATGAATTCCCAGCTGAAAGTCATAACTTTGACTTTGAGTCTGAGTTTAAGTCTGAAGAATGACAACTGCTGATTTTGGTTTCAGAATTTTCTTCATTAAAAAAAAAGTCAAATTTCTGACTTTTTTCCCTCAGAAATCTGAAATAAATCTCATCATTCTGAGAAGATAATCAGAGTTTAAAATATTTCTTCAGTAGTTCTTATCCTTGTCAGAATCTGTTGTATTTTTGAGATGTGACTTTCACCTTCGCCTCTCTCCAGCAGGCTGTACGTGTCTCCGTCCTCCATCAGGTAGCTGTCTATAGAGATGTTATCCAGAGACTGCAGGGATGGGCTCTTCTTCATGTTCTTGTAGGACACGGAGAAGCTGGACTGGGAGCGGTCTCGCATCAGGCGACCACTACAACAAACATAAAGATGGTGTGACATAAAAAAACAACAGTCTGATCAGATCATTTTCAGATTATACAGTTTAAAATCAGCCTAGACGACACTTTTCATGCATGCCCTTTATTTATTACACTGACTTAGGAGAGGAGGAAATGCCTTTAATTTGTATTGTCTGATCTAATATGAGTTTTGTTCTTACGTCGAGGTTGCTGCACTCCCAGAGAGCTGACAGCGCTAACTCAACATCTCATGAATTAAATATAGCTTTGTTTCTTTGTGTGATGTTGTCTAAGGTCACGTAAGATCCAAGTGTGCTAACCCTCCAAAGCGCCAGAAACGATCTCACGAAAAATCACAACAGACAAAATCAAAGCGGCTCCAAAAACAGACGGAGAACACAAGGCTGATAAAGGAAGAACTATCACAAATAAAGAGCTTCTCATCTTTAGATCAACCGTGAGACAACAGGTGGACGCCAAACACGGGACACACTCACACAGATATAAGACAGACAGGGACAAGAGAGGCATGCACACATGCGGAATCATGCCAACAGGGGGTTCTCACATACACACTGAGAATAAAGGACCCACACACTCAGTAATACAGCGAGACACAGATCCAGTGCCTTACATGTTGGACATGGAATAAAGGGAGGTGGATCTGCTGGAGTTTGAGCAGCTGAGGAGATCAGAAACCACAGACAAACTTCCTTTCCTTGGTAGAGAGAAAACACACACACACACACACACATTCCCCTCACATCAACGGGTCAAAGCTGAGGTCAGGAGGCAGAAAAGGAAAAGTTAAGAGGTGACGAGGAAATGTGGCGCCCACAGGGAAAAAGATGAGGACGCAGGAAACAAAGAAGTGGCAGCTGAGGGCTGAGATGTCAGAGACACACACGTGTTAAAACAGGTGATGACTGAACATGAACACAGACAAACACATGAAGGATGTGGACACACAGCTCTTGTGTTCAGGAGACAAATTCAATCAGAGAAAGAGAGACTCATTCATTAGCTTCATGGAGGCAAGAAAAAACGGAGGTATGCATTCTTGATATGTGGCATTTAAAGGGCCACAACTTCTCAATCTAATTAGATGATTAGGGTTGAAATCAAACTATTATTTCATTAGTGCACAGAAGGGATGGGCGCAGTGTTGTTTTCGTTGATGATTACGTTGACGAAATATTTCATTGTCCACGAACACAACACTGGATGGGCGATAAATTATCGTTCACGATATATTGTTAGAAAAATCCTCCATCATAAATATTTGCCATCTCATGATAAATACAATAAATGCAAGTTGATGACGTAAGTCGACTTGCAGCTGTCGCCCACAGAGCAGAATATCAAACAAACATGGCCGAAGGTAATGATGAAGATGTTTCTGAGCAGCTCGTCATTAGTTTTCTCCATAACCTACCACTTAAACTTTTGGTGAAGTATCTTATTTGACTACTACAACTGGTGTTCTCAAGACAAAATGAGTCAAAAATATAGATTGGTATTACAGTCTACTTTTATTGTTGTCACCAGAATGGCAAATCTTAACGTGATAAATTTTTTAGCCAATATCGCCCATCCCTAGTGCAATTACTGAATGAGTATAAAAAAAAAAAAAACATTCAAAATAAATGTTTTGTTTTAGAAAGCAGCTTCATAGGGGAGAGGATTTAATATTTGACTTCGGCGCCCTCTGCAGGCACTACTAGACATTCGATCCCTGCAGAGCTAGTAAGTACAATGCTCAGCATAAATGAGTTGTCAGAAAACCTTTAGTTTCCTTTCAAAATCCACATTTTCTATGTCAGACTATACAAAAAAATACTCCCCCAAGTGTAGGCAATTGATTGCAAACAAGATTTTTTAAGTTGAATACAAAAAAGTATTTTTTTGAATTTAAAATCAAGATGCAAAAACGAGTTACACCCTAATCAAAGTTCTGGGAGCAAAGCTCAATTTTAGTTACCACATCACCCTTATTTTCATCTTATAGTAAATAAAATGTTATATTAAACTCAGCTTTGTCACAACTTTGAATATTCACTTTTGCTCATCTACATATGGAGTAATACATTACTTTTAATAGGGGGTGTGTACTGACTTATGCTGGGTACTGTATATGAATGAACTATGTTTATGATTCTTCCTGTTTTGTGTGTAAAGCTGTTTTGGCACGTCTCTGTTACCTGCCCTTGCTTGCTTGGTGCTGGGTAAAAAACTAATCTTAAACAATCAGTCTTTATTTGATGGTTTTGTTTAGGTCAAATAATGGCATCTGGATAAAGTTTTTAGTCCACTTCTTTGGGACTCAAACAATAATAATATAATGATTCTGTCCAGTCATTTGGCACCTTAGTAGTAATGACACTGTAGTAATAACCAATAGAATACCTGGATATTGACTGAGGCATCTTGGCAGATGCAGCTGCGTCTTTGTCGGCCCAGTCTTTGCTGCTGAGCGGGTCCAGCAGAGGGTCATTCGTCTGGGTTTTAGAGTCTAATCCAGCCCCTACTTCCTCACCCCCTGTCAACCCGTCAACGACCGTATCCCCCCCTTCCTCTGAACTCCACCTCCCAGAGTTCTTAGCAGTAGTCCTATCGTCCAGTGAACCTCTGTGATTTAACTCAAGACGTGTAGCTGTTGTGGATGTGGGCATGAGTGGAGCGGGACCCTCTGAGCCTTCACCACATAGCAGCTGGTCCACGGTGTTGCACACACCTTTGGCTGCTCCGCCTTCACACCCCGATCCAGCTCCTTCACTCCCTTTCTCTGTCTTCTCTGCCGCCTCACTTACTTCGCCCCCTGCCTCTAGAGTGCCCCGACTCTCTGAAGGGGACAGCTCAGAGCCGAGAGGAGACCCCGAACCCTCGGGCTGAGATACAGGCTTCAAGAGTAGAGACACCTCAGCACTTTTCAGCAGGAGGCCCAGACAGACAGTGAAGGGCTGGTGGTCTGCAGGACGCTGAGAGGGATCTTTACGGTCCTTCTTGGAGCCCATCTCCTCTAGATCCTGCTGTAGGGTCTGCTGCAGGGCTTTGATGCTGCGCTGGAGCTGCATCAGGAACACATATTGCCGGTGGCTCACCTGGACACAAACAAACACATACACAAAAACATGAAAGTGCTGTATTGCTCCTGTAAATGAGCAAACTGTTACCAATCTTTTAATCATTAGGTTTTTACTTTTGTCTACAGTTAGCTAAAATGTATTCGAAGATTTAAAGGGATATTCCGGCGTAAAATTAATTAAGGGTCAAACACTTCGTAACACCGACACCCCTTCAAGAGATGAATGTTGCTGACCGCTTGCTTCTCTAGTTATACCAACTTCAGTAACGACCACACGATAGCAATACACAGCAGTCTGAGGAGCCATAAACAAACCTCAACCGAAGCGCCACTCTATAGCCACAAATAATGCTCAGAACAGCACCTAACTTTATCAACAGTACATATAGGGTCGTAGCCAAAGCACTAGCCACCAAACATCTTTTTAACTTTGCATAATTTCTTTAGCAAAGAGACTCAACACAACTCACCTACTCTCTTCCAGCGGCCACTTGTTGGAGCGGGACTTGGGCGAGTCCATTACGGACTGCTGTGGGGTGACACAGCTCAAGGAAGAACATTTATGATCATTACTTTATCATTTCCTATAAGTAATAATCACCATATTAATCATTTTGCACTGCAGACACGTCAGCCTTAACGTCTCGGTCTGATTGCATTTTCATGAAGAAATGATCATAAATTTTCTTCCTTGAGCTGCGTCACCCCGCTGCAGTCTGTAATGGACTGACCCGAAGTCTCCGTACAAACAAGCAGCTGCTGGAGGAGAGTGGGTGAGTTGTGTTTAGTCTCTTTACTAAAGAAATTAGGCAAAGTTAAAAAGATGTTTGGTGGCTAGTACTATGACTGGGACCCTATATATACTGTTTATGAAGTTAGGTGCTGTTCTGAGCATTATTTGTGGCTATAGAGTGGCGTTTTGGTTGAGGTTTGTTTATGGCTCCTCAGACCACTGTGTATTGGTATCCTGAGGTCGTTACTAAAGTTGGTATAACTAGAGAAGCAAGCGGTCGGCAACATTCATCTCTCGAGGGAGTGTCTAACTCGGTGTTACGGTGTATTTGACCCTAAATTAATTTTACACTGGAATATCCCTTTAAGAGTTATTCAACTGTACCTGAGCACTTAAATGCTTCTGCACGTGCACCAAAATTTGCACATCTGCACTTTTACTCGATGATGATAAAGAGGAGGAGGAGGAAGGCAGACTGTCCAATGAGTGCGGTTTATGGAGTCCATTGCTAGCGGGCTGTGTCGTGTTGTTGCTGTGAGTTGACGTCGTCGCACCATCAGTGCTGTAATACTCCTTCAGTAAACGTTTTCTCTGCAGACGTGACACAGCTTCTCCAGAGGTGCTTCTGGCCAGACCAGATCCGGCTGCACCTCTGAGCCTCTCTTGGAGCTGGACTATCTTTTTGGGCTGACAAGCCCACACGGTAAGAGGGAAGGAGTCCACAAAGGGCTGTGGCCGCCCCTTGCCTCCACGGGTGCCTTCATAGTCCACCCAGAACTGGGCGAAGTGCATCGCCCAAAAGTCCGTAGCGGCCGGCATCTTAAGGGCGTCTGTGCCCATCGTCGGCACTATCAAGCCGCGGTAGATGTCATGGAGCTTGGTGTCTTGTTCGTGTGCGTGGCGCTGGAAGACGGGATGCAGGAGGGGTAAGGAGGAGGAGGAGCGAGGGAACGAAGTATAAGACGGTGAGAAGAAGGGTTCCTCCTCGAAGGCCTGTAGCAGGGCTTCCAGGTGGGAGCGGGTGCAGTTAGCTGGATGTCGGGTGTTTGTGGCGACCATTTCTGAGGTCTGCACTGAGATGGAGCGAGGGAGGTCAGCAGGGGATGAGGCGTCTCGATCGGTAGGAATCACAAGCTAGAAGTAGAAACAAAAATACTTAAAACACATTCTTCTTTTCAACAGCGCCTGAACCCCCATCTGGAGAGACACAGTTCCCGGATTACTAATGTGGTTTACAGAGTTATGAACATGTTATGACTGACTTGACCTTGCCTGCTAGTGCAAGAATGAAAAGACTGTACCGCACTTTTATAACAGTCCCAAAATGTGCCCGTGGCGACAGACTTTCAGCTGCTTGCTCTCTTAACGGCATCATCATTTTTGATGATTTGGAGCTGATCCAATCTGTGAAACATCCTCATAAATTTTGCCCTCCAACATATCATCAAACGAGGACATACTGCAGTTTGATTCGGAGCTGTCAAAGTTAACAGCAATAAAAAAAAGGAACAGCAAATGTCAAGAATGAAAGCTGTGTTGCTGAAGCAGAGAGAATTTGAGCCTGAGGTGTTCAAGTTGCGAATACCAGTGAGGGGAAAAATTCATAAAACACCTCTAAACCAGTTTGGCCAGTTTCAAAGTTTCAATGTTATATGTTGGTAAAAACCCCTAAAAAACATATATTTCAATGACAAACTCTCAACTAGTCCGTTTTATAATTATTTAGAGCAGTTAGGTTCCTATAAAAACTACACTACTGAACAAATTCAGACCGTTGCTCATGAGTCAACTTTCCTCCACCCTCTTTACCTTAAGCATGAGGCCATCAACCTTAATATCAACATGCTCGTCTGGTTTCTGCGAGTCGCTGAGCTTGTAAATTTCCATGAACTGCTCCAGACTCTGCCTGAGGTCAAGGGCAAAAAGGTTGAGCCACACCAGGCTGCGAGGGTCCAGGACCAGCTGCAGGGCGTTCAGCTGGGCGTAAAGGTTAGGACAAGGGACTGGAGAGAGGGAAAGAGCAGATGAAGTTAGACATCAAGGATATTTCGCATAAATATATGAAAGAAGCATTTTTTTTCTTCTTGCTCAGAAGACTTCTGTATGAAAAATGTGTCCTAGTGGTGAGAGACCGATAGCAGGAATTAATTAGGTGATTCCTCATTCTGAGCACAGAGCATAATCCAGAAAATCAATGACCTCTCAGCCGCACAACAGTAAATGAGTCCCTCACAGCTGAATTAATCAGCCGCATGGATCCAAAAGCGAGGAGAGGTATAATAAGTTTCTGAAACACAGTGTCTGGTGCGCAGACACAGCTGCTTACACAGCTTATGACCTACTAATGAGGATCAGTGTTTCCAAAATGAGATACTAGTCCTACTCAAATTTCAGTGGAGGTGACAGAAGTCTTACTGGGGTAGTCTTTTCCATCAGGGAAGTAGTACTCTGTGAACTCCACGTGGATGGCAGGCATCTCTGGGGGAAGGTACAAAGACTTCTTATTGCAAGAGATCATGGTTTTAGGGCTGGAGCGACGCTGGTCTGCTGTGGAGACCTGCGAAACACAGAAATAATGAGGAAGCAGTGAGTAAATGTTAAAATGAATCAATTCTACAGCTAATTCAAGTCTAAATGTGCAGACATGAGGTTTGTTTTACTGGCTTTTTGGTACAGAATCAGCAATACAATACACAACAGTGTCATCTGACAATCATTCGAAATGGAAATTATGTCAATAATGTAAATAGCAAAAGTGAAGGGGCCCAGAATTAAACCTTGTGGAACACCTCTTTAAATAAACAAAATGCATAACAGTGTCAGTCTGATGGTGTTTATGGCAAAGTGTGTCTGGAGTGACCTGGTAAATGCTGAAGTCGGCCATCCTCAGAACCACCGAGCTGGACATGAGCTGGGTCTTTGGGCTTTGAGTGGGGGGAGGGCTGAAGGAGACACTGGAGGAGGTGCTAATCTTACCTGAAGAGAAAGATAGAAAGGAAAAGAGGGATATAGAAAAAAAGGAGATAAAATGAAACAGATTGAAAAAAAAGAAGAGGGATAAACAGAGGGACTGTTCAGTTCTGTGAGTTAAAACCTCTCTGCCTTGCATAAAAGGTGTGTATCACCGCACCCAGCTGTGCGCACACACACCATGGTACCTGGCTCTAGGCACCAGCAGCACTGGGCTGGAGGCTGCGTGTGTGAGCTCCACTCTAGAGGTCCTCCCTCTGCCTCCCTAAGCCCTACTCCTTCTCCTCCTGACCTCTCCTGACTTCCTAGAGGCCCATACACATCGTCCCTAAGGGACACTGAAGGACAGAAAACCCACAGGGATGATGTGCTGTGTGTGGAGGGGGGCCAGGAGGTTGAACAACAACTAAAATGAATTCAGTCACACCTCACTCTAACCTTGCATTAAACACCTGTGTGGGATTGCTTACTGTGTTGTGGGGAACTGTTTGCAGGGGCCGGGCCTTGCTGGTCTCGAACTGCAGTCTTTAACATTTCCACGTTGGACTTGAACTCATCGAGAAGATTTCGTGCCCAGCCTTCTCTGGTCTTTGTGGCCTCGCTGTAGTGCATCCAGTGGGCACAACTGTCACCTAAAAAAACAGGAAAACCTTTAAGACATGTTTGGTGTATAACTTCTTCACCCTCTTCCTGTGTTAGGGTCTGCACCGACCCGTTTTGTTTTTAAATGCTTAAAAGAACCACTTAAATAAATTTTTTTGCATCATGACTTTTTGACTTTGTCAGGAACCTCTATTTCAACAAAATAAAAACAAAAAAATTTAATTGACTAAATTATAAAATGCTCCATAAAATTATGGCACATGTCATGTTAGGGTCGCTGTTGACCCGGTTTAATCAATATCTAATAATTAGAGCTAAAAACTGAAATCATAAATGCACTGTCAGGCACCACACTGACAGTCAGATCCTCTTCCAATCATGTAAAATTTAGGAAATTCTAATTTTTCCATGTTTTTCCCTGCACAAAAAAGGATGTCGGGCATGTCCAGACAACAAAAAATATTATAAGCAATATTTTTCATGAATAATGAAGCCTAACAAGTTAACCTAGAGATGAGAACTAAATTTGATGATAGAGAACTGTTTTTAATGTAATTTACAGCTGATTCAAGACACAGGTCAAAACCAACCCTTAACATGGTGGGTGCATAGTAACAGCTAACACAGGAGGAAGGTTAATGTTGCAGCCACCACAGGGTCCCTTTCAATTTTAAATCATGCACTTTAACTCTTTGTTTTTGCATTTTTATCATCTTTTCCATCTCTTTATTCCATCAACTTGTTACAGTTTTATGATACAACCTCTGTTATAATACTCTTTGCAATAACTTCAATGTTTACAACTATAGAAAAGGGCAAAAACACCTGAACATGCCTAAAAAGGAGCACACTTCTTGTCAGCATATCGAGCCACCTGCAGAATTATCTATTTTCTGGAAGTCTGCATGGAAGAAAATTCTAGACGCCAAGGGGGAGCCCTGAGATCACAGCGAGAATACGCACCTGCTCTGTGGAAGGGATAGTAGTCCAGAGTGATGGAGCTGAAGGAGAGCTGCATGGCTCCACCTGTTATCCTTTTATTGATCACTGCAGAGGAAGAGAAGAAAGACAGGAAAACAGTCAACTTGAGGATCTCTCTTTAAAAAATGAAGTGTTTTCATCCAACTGAGGTTTTGAAAGAGCGAAAGAGGAAAGAGAGAGGCCAGCTTTTACCATGTCTGAGAAAAACTCGTGATTTACATGCATGAGAGGACATGTTCAGTTCATATAAATGTGCGCATGTTCCACCTTTGTCCTTGGCGTGGATGTCGTCGCAGATGTGCAGGTCGAGGTGTGTGATCTGGAGGTGGTGGGATGTCTCACACACATCGTAGGCGCTGAACAGCTTGGCCATTGTTGCACTCTGGTCCGCTGCCGTCGACGCCTGCTGGGTGCGCACCTGCTGGGCTGTGGGGGGCGCTGACGACACCTGGTCGACAGAAATACACGCACAGGAGAAAGAGGGAAGGTGAATTGTTGTTAAAGTTGTAGACGATTGTGTGTATTTGATGCTTGATCCTGCAATTCTAAAGCCTTCCAGCAGATGGCGCATGAGCTCAAACAGTAGCATAAACATTGACCATCGTAGATTTAAGGGGAATTGATGTTAACTTTTGTGTGGAATTAATGGTCGTACTCTCTTCAAATGTATGTATGATTGAAAAGCAAATCTCAGCATTGACTGACAGAAATTGGTGGCGGCAGAGAGAGGTAAAGATGGTAGTGGCAGATAGATAGACGCCATATGGCATAAGCAGAGTGACACAGAGAGGGGCAGACATGATTTCCATGGACACAAGGACAAACTATCAGACCATGACAGAGTGCATCCTTTAGAGGGTGAAATGAGGGCACAGAAGGGAGGGGAAATGTGGGCAGAAAAACTGAATGGAGTCCAGATTCATACGCAGCAAAACAGACGTTAAGAAGATTTATACTGTTTGCTAAATGCGAATGAGGATGGTTATGTATGCACCTGGTCTTCAGTCGCCATGCTCTTCCTCTGCTGCGCCGACTTCTCCATGGCCTCACTTAAAGACTTGGCGTACTGCACCATGGCTTTGAGCTGGGAGTCGGTCAGCACCCACAGCAGGTCATCCAGGATCAGAATCAGCTTGGAAGCCACCACGTTGCAGTCCTTAATCTGTGTCAGACAGAGCCGTTAGGTATGAACATGTATTATGCAGGCGGAGGTAGCCTGAGAGCACCTGTTAATGGAACACGACACTGTTAGGGAAATTCTCTTATTTGTGTTTAGAGCAGCTGAGCTAACGGCTTTTTCTGACTTTAAAACGAATGATTGAAACACACGTCAAATCAAACAGTATCTCCACCTTTGGAGTATGAAATAAACTTGCACGGACAGCACTTTTTTAAGAGGATATGGAAATGTTTTCAGCAAAAATATACACTCATTTTTAATTTGATGCCAATAAAACATTTCAAAGAAGCTTGAATAGGGGTCTGGATGATTTTGGGCACTAATTCATCCCCATACCATCCTGGATGCTGGTTTTTGAACTGTAGGCTGATAACAAACAAAGTGGTCCTTCTTCTCTTTACAGGAGAGAAGGGAGAACGCCAAATTTTGGTCCTCTGACCACAGGAGAGTCTGTCACATTTAGGCTTGGGTCCAGATTTGTCTTTTGTGTTTCTGGGTCATGTTTACATATGGTTTCAACACTCATAGTTGTTTCTACCTGCTGCTATGGATGCAGCGACAAATTCTGCCCACAGTCTCCAATATTAGGATGTGATTTTCAGTCCATGTAGTGATTTCCATTTTAATGCAGTGCCACCCTGAGGGTCATGGCCATCCAGTGTTGGTTATTCGCTTCGCCCTTTTCAACCTTTCATTGCTGTTATGTCCCATTTTTTAGATTTACACAACATTTTTAGTGTTTTGTTGACTTTGATTCAACTTTTCATGTCATGTGTTGTAAGAATCAAACATATCTTTGAGTATAACTTTCATTGAACCCCCCAAAAAATTTCACTTTTAACATTTGATATATTTCTTTGTATGCAGTTTGAAGTTAAAAATGGTGTTTAACTGATTACAAACCATCGAAATCTGTTTTTATCAACATTTTTCACGGTCTCCTATCTTTTTTTGGAACAGGGTTATAAACAGTCTAAAACAGACGAGGGTACTGTCTTTCGCTTGAACACAGACGAGCCATTTGATGAGTTTCTTCTGCTGCCCCCGCGGCCTGTAAGGCAGCACAGAGGGTTTATTGTTCACCGCTGACAAGAGGATGTTTCTAAGACAATCCTTGGTTTTAAGTCTGCTTCATCAAATTCCATAGTGTGACTGATTTTATTCAATAGAACGTGTGTCTCCGCATGTGTGTGTGTGTTTGGTGCTGACCCGTCTCTTCAGGGTGACTCGGATCTTGGACTGGTTAGTGATGAGGCGGATTGGGGCACTCAGCATCTCATGCTCTGCACTCTGGATGGCGTCAGCCTCAATGCGGATCATCTGCCAGCTGATCTCCTTAAATGTCAGAATCTGGGCCGAACAGGCGTCGTGTTACAATGACATAACCTTTAAGTGACATCACGCTTACATGCCAATCTGATTTAAACACCGACCTCTCCTCTCTGGGGGTCCTGGATGCGGGTGAATCGCAGGTCGCTGATGCTCCAGCTGGTGTTGACGCTGTAGACCTGCAGCTGCGAGAGCTCAAAGGAGGCGTTGAAGGCCTTGGCGCTGATCCTGATGACGATGGAGTTGATGGACAGTGATATTCCCTCGACCACCTTCTCTGCAAAGCCGTACTCACTGCACCAGACAGACAGGTGGACACACGTATTAAAAAAAAGAAAGAAAAAATCGAGATAAGACGTGCTTAGCAACAGGGTGAGTGCAGTATGAGACCTCTCTGACATGTTTGGAGCCGAGGTTTTTTCAAGTTTTCAGGTTTTAAGTTAATAATGTGGTAATGTACTTTAAATTCAGTATGCAACAGTCTTCATTTTTTTTTTTTGTGATCAAATATTTTCTTTTTATTTCAAACAAGGGTAGAATACAATCAGTGTATAGAATACAATTCAATGACTTTTTTCACAAAAGAAAAAAGAAAAATAAGGGGAAAAAATAATAATAATAAAAAAATAATAATAATAATAAAAATTTAATAATAATAATAATAATAATAATAAAAACTTTGACTTTTACTTACAGTCTTCACTTGTTACTAAGAAATCTACTAATACGGTGGCATAAAAGAGCCACACTGTGATTGCTTTTGGGACAGGTGGTTTCTTATCTTTTAGAGAATTAAACTTTTCATTAAAATTAGACTTTGTTCATGTACTATCAAACATGTGTCAACCAATTTATTTCAATCTCAGTACTGAAAGGCTTATCAGCCAGATGCTGAAAATCAAACAGGACACATTCTGCTTCAGTTCTTACCTTTGTCCTGATGCTGTTGCTATGGGAGACGGGCCATTAGGGGGACGAGGCTCATCACAGGTACTCATCTCCATCACCACCTTATCCAGGGTCTGCAATCCAATCAAAGGCTTAATGTCAGGAATGACAACAAATATCATCAGAAATTGATCTTCCGAGCTTGTGCGGTTATTTTGTCGACATGTTTAAATGTGTCGGACTGTTTTTCTCATGAATGTTTTATAGGGTGGTGTCAGACTGCTTTTGATAATCAATCTAATTTCTATAAATTTATGTCATCTACTTTGCACTCAGGCTAGAGAGTTTGTGGTTAAAAGATAAAAGTGAGACTGTTTTCTTTTTCACCATGGAGTTGTGAAAACCACCAACAATATTTACATTCTCACTCGCAGTTTTTCAAGCAAGAAATAATAATAGTGTTATGTGTAAAACTCGCTGTTGTCTCACTCGTCGTAAGAGAATTTGAAGACTTGATAATGTTGATGCGATGTTGAGACGAGTGCTGCATTCAAATAAACTCCTTCTGTATTTCCATCTCTCTATAGTTGTGACAAATGTTTTATAGACGTCTTGTTTTTTGATGTATGATAGATTCATTGTGACAAATGTGCTGACACTCAAGGTGTTAGAGATCTATTTCTATGTTTATGGGGACTGTCAATCACACACCACATGCTGTGAAAATGGAGTGTGTGCGTTCATCTGGTCGTTTCAGGTGTCAGGTGGCTTCTGAACTGGGAATAAAAGCCACCTGGGGAGTGGGACCAGCCTGGCAGTCAGTTAACCTAACACCTGCGCCCTGCTCGGCAAAGCGGCAGGCAGGAGGGAGAAGCCTGCAGCCATGACACAGATATGAATGATGCCTTAGCAGTGCAAACCTAGTTTTCCTGGAGTAAAATAAAACAGCGGCTGCAGACAGAGCTTAACAGCTGTCCTACAAGAGCCAGGTGGAGGGATAAAAGGAGATGAACAAGGAGGAGAAGACGCTCACAAATGCCACATCAAGAAATCTTCTTCGACACTGACAGCAACATTTAGTCCTCCACAAGACTTAACCAAGAGGGGTGAAATGACTGAGATTGGTGTAGCACAGAAGGGGTATCCCAATACAATATTGATATCAGATATTGGTCCCATATCAGCAAAAAAACGAATGTCAGATTATATCAGCCTGCATCTAAAATCTCTGATATCAGCACACCGATACAAGCAGTCCATTCCAGACTCTGTTCCAGCACCTCTTTCTTGCAGCGCCATGATAACAATAACTGTATGTACTAAGGTACTCACAAACTAGCAAGGAGTAAGTGTGATGTCGGCCTTGTGGCAGTATTTTTTGTTTAAGTCCAAAAAAGACATTACAGCTGAGTGAAAAACTTGTCATGTACAATTTTGTGCCAATATCGGATCAATATTGGTATTGGTTAATATTGAAGGCTACAATATCAGTACTGTATCAGAAGTCAAAAAGTTGTATTGGGACACCCCTAATGCACAGTATTTCAAAATCTCAATTTTTTATACTTTTCACTCTAAATGCTGAAAGACGATATCAGAAATTCCTGATAATTGGTACTTTGTGTAAATTAAACAGTTCAGTGTGACTCTGATGTAAGTGACTTGTCTGACAGCGAGTCATCTTCTATACTTGAACTGGACCGGATGGTGGAGTCTCCTGTGTGTGTCTGCTGTGTGGGTCTACAAAGCTGGCTCTAATAGGGACCCCACTGACTAAAGTAACAGACTGATAAAAACTTGTGCACTAAAGTTGCTATAAAACTAGGGCTGGGCGATATGGCCCCAAATCAATATCACAATATATTGAGAAGTTCACCTCGATAACGATAAATTGACTGTAACTACTCCACACCAAATATACCATTATGGGCAAAATGACGTTGGTTATTGTCATAAATTTTGATATTGGTAAATTTTTGGTTTATCGCTCAGCCCTATATAAAACGGTATCATATAATAATGAATACTTCAACAAGCACCTCAGGGACTGACACTCCATGAGCACAAAACACAAGAGGCTAGCATGGTTTTTTTTAAGGACAAATGGCCATCTTATGCATAATGTGGGCAACAGGAGGGTAAAACTTACCAAAGAGATGGGGTGGGTCTTCAACTTGGTCCATGGTATCTATGAATGAAAAAAGAGCAGCAGCTTAGCTTTCCAACCTCACAACATTCTGAGCATTTTACCCCCTAGGTGACTTTTTACAATCAACTCAAATGTAAAACTTCCTAATTGAATAAAGGAAACCAAGCTGTACAGGATCTGATCGAGCAGAGAGGAAGCGGAGAGGAAGCAGAGATGTAAAGAGATCAATGAGTCTCTGCTGGGAGGCAGTTTGTCTCATTCAGCTTCATTAAATCTCAGAATACAGCTCCTGATTGAAGTCTCTGTCAAATTATATAGTAAAAGAGATTCAATGCTTCCTGTAGCTTGTAGTATTTTTCCCCCTTTCAAAGCGAGTCGCTCTTTGAGTGAGACATCGTATATCAAAGCGTGCTCGGGATTTGCTGCTGGAATTAAATTAACAACACTTTTTGTCCGCCTTGATATCAAAAAGGACTATTTATCAGCTAAGGCCTGTCACTTTGAGTCATCAAGGCAGAAAGATTTAGAGAAACTCAGATTGATTTACATTATGACTAATTTGTTACGTTTCATCCACTCAAATTTTTTGGTGACGGTGTTTAAAAGGTGGTGAAGCCTCTTTGTTCGAGGATGATGGGAATTTACCGAGAGAGGAAGTCAGACACACGTCTCTGTTCTCCTTTTTACCAGTTTGACATTAAATGCCACAAAAGGCTTGAAGCTGCAGCCAGCTTGCTCACTGACAAATCTCCAGCGACTGTACTGTACTCGACTGTAATGACGCAGGTGTTATGACTGTAGTTGCGACACTGCGTTAGTGTTACACACGCTGTCAATGACACAGCAAAGTAAATCAAACAGTCTACAAACCCGAAGATTGTGTAAGAGCGATACGGGAAAGGAAAGGTAGGGATTCGTGGAAAGAATAGATAAGCAGAGAAAGAGTTTTAAAAAAAGGGACGGAGGAAATAATAAAAGAGAGAAATCAGGAGGTGGTGGAGGAGGAGGAGGAGGAAGGGAAGAGTTGGAACGTGGACCTTGGATGGAATAAAAGTCCAGTCACGAAGCAAGTTACACAGCTCCATTCACTGTTGCCAGGGTGTGTCTGAGTCTGCTCTTACACTTGGCATTTCACTGACGATCATGAGCACATCAGGGCCATCAGACAGCACTACCAGTCTGTGTGCTCAGCATACAGAGCCATTGGTAGAGTATAAGATGCAGTATAAATATAAATAATGCAAGGATTTTACACGGTTTCTTCTATCAGCTTTCTTGTAAAAGTTAAGGGGGCAAAATCAGCTTTCATGTAGTAACAATTTGTAGTTTTTATGTTAATTTTTAGGGAGCAAAATAAACCTGCATTAGTTCTGTGCATAATTTCAAACATGATTAGGTAAAATCTAGTTTTAAGAAGAGCTAGTTTAGCTCCATCTGGAGGTGCTAAAATCCATCTACCAGCTTCAAAAAGCTGTAAAAGTCACTAAGTCAGCATGCTAAGTGTAGGAATTTTAACACAAACAGAAGTGGTGCAAAAACAAAGACTGGTCATTTTGCAAAGAGAACAAACTTTTGGCTCCAATCAGTTGCCAGGCAACAATTATAGAAAGTTGGCCACCATTAGTCAGGCACAATACTACGCTAAAATCACCTCATAGACTCTTACTTTTGCACACACTGAAAATTAAGCTGTTCACTGTTTATCTAAAAGCCTCGCTCTAGCCTCTATGTTAATTTTACCTTACAGGCTTACAAGCTGCTCCACAAAATAAGAGAAAGTGTAAATATCACGGTGCCTCTCACCCTGATGGCAGCCTTGTTGCAGCCCACGCGGTTGATGGCGAGCCAGGTGGGCAGGTCGAGCAGACTCTGGAGAACCTCCTCGTCCAGCTCCAGGTTGGTCAGCTGGCCTTCCCCCTTCAGCGTGCTCAGGTTGATCTTATCCGGTGACAGATTTTTAGCAAACCTACAAGGCACAAATGAAAACACAAAATGTTGAGCCTGGGGATATTTATAGAAACGGGATCTTGGCAAAGACACAAGCCGACAAAACAAACCCCGACTGTTGCTTTGTATTTGGGATGGGAGCAGTGAGAAGCCTTTCCAAACACAAACACACATCAGTTTCTCCATTTCATGATTTTAAGAATAGTGTGCCATGGATATCTGGCACCACTGTTCACCCTAAAAGACATTTTTAAACAAGCCAAAACCATTAATTTCAGGACTCATTATACTTTGGAACCAAACTTGAATCCTTTTTTATAGCATCCTCAAAAACTAGTCTGTAATTTCAGTATAGATTCCTGTCAAAGTCAAACTGAGGGACAAATTACCCAGCTACACAGATGGAAACATAATAAACTTAAAACTGAGGTAAGAAATATGTGTTTTTTTTCTCTACATTATGTAATTGTTTGATTTGTTCCCATAGTTAACTCTTAAAGCTTGTGTAAGGAGTTTTTAGCGAGGCTTGAAACAGACTCTGAGTACTGATGACTCAATTTGACCCACAATATCAACAAGATTGCGTAGTCATCTTTTCATGTTTGTTACCACTGCAGCAAGCTAGAAGCCACATAAAGCTGCTGAAACCACCTCTATTAACAGGTAATACAGTTAAGATTACTAAGTGTGTTAAATGTTTCATACTCAGGATATAAAGGCAGACAGAAGGACAGGAGGCAGGTTCAGCAGGGGATAAAGTCTGATATAAGACAAGCTTTTTTAACTTGAAAAACGTGAGAAATATGGGAATATGGGAAATATGTCTCAGATTAGGGGTTTGGGAAATTAAATGGATGGCACCGCTGATCTCTAAACAAAGTATTTCATCATGACTGAAGCCGGCTGCCTCTCACAACCACAGTGCCACGGGGATGGAAGACGGAGAGACACAGTGAGCGTCCCGAATAGAGCTGGACGATATGGTCTCAAATCGATATCACAATGCATTGAGCAGTTCACCTCAATAACAATAAATGGACGATAACTACTCCACAAGCTGCTCACCCACTACCAAATTAACTTTGTCTACTTCAGCCACCACTCCAGCCGCTACAACTTTTGAACCGTCCTCCTTCTCCTCACCTGTCTTTCCTTCTTTATTATAGACTGGATGGGGTGGAGTCACGTCTCTGACATAGGACAGCGTCTTATAGGGACATGAGATCATAGTCTACCTACACACATACAAAACCAACTTTTAATATTTATTTATTAATTTTTTTCACACCAAATATTTTGACATGGGCAAAATGACATCGGTTATTGTCGTAAATGTTGGTGTCGAAGTTAATGCCGAACAATTCAACGACTAGAGACAAGTTCTGATGCCAGTTTTGAGTTAACTGTTATCAATTTAGCAGAGTGGTTAGCCAACAGTCAAAGAGCTAAGAAATACACTGTCACAGAGTCAAATGTCTGAAGGTGTCTGTGTGTGAGGCTATGTTGATGAAAATGGAGTAAAGTCACCCCAATTGCCTGACAGACTGTAGCACATGCGTTTCAATGAAATGTGACAGTGTTATTCGAAAAGGTACTGAAAACATGAATGTATTTAAAAGGTTTATCCCTTTAGATACACACCGTTCCCCACTCTCTCTCTGTTTCCAACTACATCTACTGTCCCTGTCCTCTCTGGATTAAATCATGAAAACCAAAAATTAAACTAAAATGAACAAGACTTGGCCTTAAAGAAGGATTTTTCTAGATAAACATCATCATTTCGGTGTAATGAAGTTGACATAGTGGACAGCACTGAACAAATCAAAGTGTACACATATTTACACCTTCCTTAAATATTGATACTAAAACCTCAGCGACTCTGTATGTAGTAGTGATTCTGTGTGTTCAGTCGATTAGCGCCTAAGCTTCAGTAAATAGACCTGAACACACAAACTCAATGTCCATGACCTCAGTCTTTTCACGGTTTGTTCGCTGGTTAATAGTTAACAGAGTCGCCTCATACTACAAGTTTTATTGAGCCGTGCTTCTCGGCAGAGCAGAATTCCTCAAAAACAGGGGGAGCATTGATTTCAGATGGGTGTAAAAATACTTCTCACACACTCACTTTCTAACACAAGTATACCATCGAGTCCATGCAGACTAAATCATGTTACACAGATAATTCACCACACACTTCACAGAATGTATTATCTGTGAATAGAGCCTGATCAAAGCTAAGAGGACCAAAGCCAATACACACTTGACTCACTGACTGACTGACTGACTGACTGACTGACCTGCTTATGACAGATTTTTGGACTTACTGGAAAATAGTGCTGGGAATCTTTGAACACCTGATTACAGCCCTGATACCAGAACAATACATAACCTACTTAGAGTCTATCAATGACGCCACACACACACAGGTCAGCCGATGCAGGATCTTGAAAGCTGAGATGTGGAGCACACTACAACGATAACAGTGTTCCAGATCTCAGCTTTCCAAAAGTTTGGTTTTGGTTCTTTATCTGGAGGTTTCGTGCATATTTCTTTGTCTTTGTTTCGTCTCTTTTACAGATAATAGTCATTTTCATCACAGGACCTGGAATACATTCAGAAAGCTCAAATATGGGTCACATGACCCCACGTTTTGGTCATTTTCTCAGCAGTGTAAAGGTTTACGCAGGAGAAATCTATAACACACTGTTGTCTTTTCACTGAATTTATAATTTTGTGTTGATTGTCTTTTTTTCCTTTCTGTTTTTTCCTATCTTATATTTTTGCAATTATCAATGTCAACTGACCCCAGGCTTATCAACATTGTGGAAGACCCCAATCTATTCAGGCAGCACTATTATTATTAATGTTGTTGTACTGATGTCTCTTTTATAACCAACCAATTTCAACTTCAACCTTATGATCATAAAAAATATGATAATCGAGACTGAACAATTATCATGCCGCCTGCTGTGTTGCCCCCATTACACCCTCCTTTTCTCCCCCGACAGTGGTCTAACAGCTCTCACTTTCACTTCTTCACTGCAGCTCAGATCAACGTGAAACTCAGTTTGGGAGCATGAGGAAGTTGCAGATTAACGGAGGACGGCTGTAGCTTTAATACATTTTGTGGCAACGTACAAATTATCAAGCAGCCACAGGTGAAGAGAGGAGAGCAGGGAGAGGAGCTGGAAAATTAATTGTCGGGCAACTCATGACATGATGTGTTTAACAAATCTAAATCTGCAAATTGAATGAAGGTATCAAACAAACGGCAGGGCTCGACATATCGCATATGCTGCTAAAAATAGATGTGTGTGAATTGTAAAATGTATTTAGGGGCACATGTGCGCATAAAAAAAAAATCAGCCGAGGCAACAAATGTTTTCTCATGAAGTTAGTTTAGGTTTGTTATTCAAACAGACATTCACTGCGGATCTACTTGTGTCTTCTCACTCTCCATAACCAGGTATAGCAAGAGCAGCACGGTTAAATCTACTCGGCACCCTAGCTGTAAATGTCGGGTGTTGAATAAGGGACCATCAATAAATTACCTGTTGATGTTCTCAAAATAGGCTGTTTTCCTTCAATAACTTTCAAATAATGTGACCAATTGACCTAAAATTGATTTCAAATAAAAGTACTAAGGTCGGACAATAAGACACACCTCTTTATTTCCCTAAATTGTACTCCAAGAAGATTTTGTGTGAAATTTAAAGACAAATTTTGAACATTTTCTTCAATAGCTTCCATTACATGTGACCAACAGATCTAAGATTGATTTTAAATAATAGTCCTTATGTCAGACAATAAGGCCTAAAGGTCTTTGTGTGCTCCTTACTTTTTCAACTTAGGAGAACATGTGCTCCTTATGAAAAAACTTAGTGTCAAACCCCGTGTAGTGTAGTACTAGTAAAAGTACAATATTCTCCTCTGAGCTGAAAGAAGTCAAGGAATCAGGTGAGGCAGAAGTATCTTAAAATTGGACTTAATGGCTGTAATTTTGAGGGATAATTTTCATGTCAGCTACCGCAAAGTGTTGACGTACGATGACGGAGCCTCTCAGTAACTGGATATTCTTCACTGGACAAAAGGCCTTTGTTCTGATGGTCTGCGTTTTGATTCGACTCCCAGGATTCAGGAGAAAGAGAGGAGGTGCTGCTCGCAGAGTGTGGATCCGCAGCGCAAGAAGAGAAACTCTGTCCGATGAGCAACGCTTCAGCTGCCCACGCTTTAAATGATTCAGTCTGTCAAATTCTTACTTCTTTCCACTCAACACCTTCTCCTGGCAGATTCAAACGTGCCCCGTGAATTATTCATCAGCGGCGGACATCAAGAGCAGAAACTCAGAAATAAGACGTGGAGAAACACTTTTGAAAAAACACAAAACACATATAATACAATAATGAAAGGAGCTCTAATGGGCATAACACCCTGAGAGGCAGAAACACACTGTCACTGGAGTGTTTTTCTCACTGTGTGACCAGTGAAATATTCATCCCTGCTACTGATCAAGTATCAACAAGCTAGCCAGCTAGCTCCTCTCACTCCCTCACTCCTCATCCATCTCCCCAGGGCCACTTCTTGCTTCCTCCTTCCTTCCTCCAAAGTCATAAATAAACCAACATAGTAATCAAACTATATGCTGCTCATCAGCTATTCTAACCCTGATGCTGTATGAGCTCCATTACACACAGGGATTCCTGCTTCTAACACAGACCTGCAGCAAGAGGCAAGAGGGTACCGGGTTCATGCACCGTCATTTTTTTCCTTTCACCACGTCGGGTTTTATTCCAGTCAGCAGGGCCCAGATCACCGGACCAAATCCAGGCCTGTAAAGAGATTAGGACTAGCTGCAGGCGGGTGAGGGCTGTCAAACTGGAAATTAAGCTCTTAATGGCAGAGTCTGCTCTGTAAAAGTTAGCTTCAGTCAGTTATTTCATATTAAAATCATTAAAAAGTGATAATACTATAACTTTTTATGTTAAGGTCCTCTTTTATCCCCTCCAAAAAATAAAAATTGTGCATATTTATCCATGAAACTGACTCTAAGAGGTTTGCAAAAGGCTGATCTTCCGTCCTTTTCTCCAAGCATCCAATGAAAACCAAAGAAAAGACAAAAAATAAGAGACAGACTGTCAGCTTTTTCCTGCTCTGACGGCGCATTTGAGGCACAGCCTGATGACGTCACTCCCACAATGAAAGGAGCCTGAAGAAACAGAGTATGGGTGACTCAAACAGGACAACCGGCTTGTTTTGGTGGCAACGCACAGTAGGAAAGACCGAGACTGGAGGGAAAGAGAGGTTAAAGATGAAAGAAATTAAGAGGAGGGTTTGAGAATGTGGTTTTCCTACCGCTGCTCATTTGAGCGAGCAGCAGACTTGGCTCGACAACAAAAAAAAAAACAGAGAATGTGACTTTTAAATCAGCCTCTAAATCCTTCACGAGTCCATTCAGTGTCAGCGGGAGGTTGTAATGAGCCGGCTAAAGAACACAAAAAGGCCTGACAGCTATTCTCAGAGGTGTTAAATTGATATCAGGCAAACTGACCAAAGTACAAACCAGAAGAAACACTCGGGTCTACAAAGTGCTGTTAGAAGTTGAGACGTAGCAGAAAAAAAAAAGATTTTAACGGCTATCAAGTGTTACAAAAAGTGTAGCTCATTCATCTCAATATTTTAAATGAAGAAAATTCATCAAACGTTGCCAAATATTGACGGTTTTTGTGGACTTTCTCTCCTCAGCTGCTCTCCTCTTGGACGACAGCAGCACTGCAGTGTTTGGAGGCAGACTGCCTGCAGTGTGGGTGTGCTGCTAAATCAACTGGAAACTATAAAATACAACTTAAAAATAACAGACACGTCCATGTGTGACCCACACTGAATTACTGGCCGACACTGTCTGCCTTCTTTACTTGATACTTTGGCTCATATTTAAGTTAGATACCAAGAGAAACTTCAAGCACATCTGAGGAACTCTGATTTTGTGTCAGTTTTTGCACCCCTTGCTGGTCAGTCATACTTTTAACAAATCATGTTGTTTTGAACAGTCAAGTGTATCATGTCTTGAGGATCTTTGCCTTGGTAAAAAAAAACAACAACAACAGGATGTTTCACACTTTGCCAGATACCTACCCTAGCTCTGGATATTAAGAAATGGTTATAAAGAAGCTGCCAGTCTTGTCACTAATTGTCTAGTTGACTTTTAAGGACATAATAAGAGGCTCCAATATTAATTTAAAGATGTTTCATGCTCATGGGAGCTTTAAAAAAATTGGCAGATCTGTGGTGAGAACCAGATTTATTCAGCAGCCCTGACAAATATTTGAGCCTTTCTATTTACTTTGAAGATACAAGACTGCTCATCCATGTTTGTATCATATCTTGCCGAAACAACTGCAACTCCATGAAGATCAATTTTTAAATTCATACAAGCACGGACGTACTGGACGTACAGGATGCCTGCCAGACCAGTGTTTTGCAAGTTGCTCGTAAGAGGCAGTCCGTAAACATCGCTAATCGCCGATGTAAGTTTACGGGAGGGCGGTGTTCATTCTCCCTCCGTAACGTCACATCCATGTGAGGTATCATTTACATCCCTGTATCGGGTTTGTACTTCCATCCACCTGCTGGCCGTATTGCCTCCTCTGTTACTGTGTGTGTGAGATGTGCTGTTTGCTTAGCTAGATGTCTCAACAGTACTCAACAGTAATCAAGTCACATGTCCCCCCACCTATGAAATCAAAATTTCGTCCATCAATGTATGTCATCACAAAACCAAAGTTCTGCACCTGGACACACTGCTGGTACAGAGTTAGGGCTGTGACGGAGGGCGGAGCAGAGAGACACAACAGGCAAGAGGAAGTGCGACTTCTGCTGAGAGCAAAACCAGATCTGGTACTTTCCTCTACCTTTGTATGGAAATGTGGACATGCACATGAGTTCATTTTAGCGTAACAGCTGTGAAACAGTAAGTAATGGGATACCCTCTCATTTGTCAATTTCATCACTTCCTCTCTTCACTTTGTCTCAGTTTTAACTGACCCTCTTTGTTTTCTCCACTTGCAGCAGCTTCCGGTTGGAAATATGAGAGTGGATCTGTTTCTTTTTTATAAGCATCCTCATTTTCTGTTACTGTTGAAACAGGTAACAACAAAAAAATGTGTTGTTTCCAAGCATATTTATCTGCAATCATCACACTTTTTTGTCTTTGTATGCAGCTTTATTCTGCCTCCGTCTGTCAGCTCAAGCTGTTCTATATGTGCTGTGCAAATAGGTTTGACTTCACATGCTGTTGTTGTTCCTTCAAAATAACTATATAACTATCATCCAAAAACAGTGTTTATCTTCTACTCAAGTTTAAGTCATCAGGTGACCTTATCTTAAATATAACTGACGTGTACGTCATGTGGATTTTGGCAGCAGGGTAGAAAGAGGATGCTGCAGAAAGCTGATAAAGTGAGTCAAGAAACCGAAAATGAAACATCGAGAGAAAAGGTTTAAAGTCTCTCTCTTTAAGAGGTACTTCTAGACCCTTTTAACATATTACAAGGTATCTTCTTGAGCATGTTCCATAACTCTCATATGCTTTTAAGTTTAAAGAAATAAAAACAAAATCTATCCTGCTTACAAAACACGTATCTTTTGTGATGTACTTAAGTGAGAAGAAAAGACGTTAAGGGAACCAAAAATGTACAAAAAGAAATAATCTAACTGTCCTGATTAAGTTGTTTTACTTGTTCCAGTCTTGAAGCTCTTTGTAGTGGAAATATGTTGAACTAAAATGTATCTAATAATCATATAAAAGATTGTACACTCGAGATGTGTTATTAAAAGGGAAAACTTTAATTTTATCTGCTGCACAACAGAAAAAAAACACACATCTAAACTCCTCCAGAACACCTCCACACACGTCAATGGGAGCAACGATTCAATAACACCGAGGCAACCTGTCAAAATGAAGTGGGTTCACACCGGCAGCACAGAGTCCTGGAATATTCATGTCCCGCTCGAGACGGTGAGAAGGTTGAAGTGAAGGAGAAAACAATCTGAGACCTCTGTGACCCGGCAGCTGAGGACACCAGGGCCTGGGGGGACCCCGGAGCCAATGTGTCTCTCTCGCAAACACACAGAGAAAGTGCTTCACAGCTCCACATTGATGAGACACCCACAGCCAGGCACTCAGTCATGACTCACGCCGTAATAGCCTTCCCACCAGCAGTGAGCCGCAGTAACGCTGGGAAGAGTGAAGTTCATGGCTGTGGTGCATCATTACACAGCTTACTGCAGGGTGGAGAGGGTAAGCAGGATCATGATGACAAACACAAAAGCAGAAATGGACTCGTCTTCCCGCAGCACAATGAGAAATAAATCCACTCTGGTGGAGAAGTTATGCATGCACACAATGGATGGCGTGTTTGTCATGCTGCGTTAAGATCCCTAACGCTCAACCTCAGCTGCCTCATAATAGAAAACAACTCCCTGCCTCGTAATAGAAAACATCTCCTTTAACTTACATGTCGAGTTCAATTCAATTTACGGGGTGCAACTGTAAAGTCAACAACTGTAAGTCAAAACAAACAGACCCTGTATGAAAAAATAACGATCAAAAACTCTCAATCCAGTGTTTCGCAAGTGCTCTTCTTCATCTGACGCACCAATCCAGAGGGGGCTGCGAGCTGAGCTACCGAACCACTCTTCCTAGTGTTGGGGTTTTACTTGTATATGAGGATCTGGATGATTAGTAATGGTGGTGAATTCACTAAACAAAGCAGCTCAGTGTTGAAAATTTGTAACACTCTTAAGACATCGAGAGGCTGTGAATAGAGCAGCTTACTCTCCCCTGATAAGGCCTGTTTTTAGTTAGGAGTCTGTGAGTGTTGAAGATTTTACCAGTATCTCAGTTATCATCACTAGCTTTTCAAACAATGCCGAGCTGGTGATTAAAACCAACAAATACCAAAAATAAAGCAGAGTCCTGTAGAGTAAATTCATGTTTCTCTGGAGCTCCCATGGTCTGGGGGCTGGGAGCTGAGCTGCTGTCAACCCCAGCTCTCGTGGTAGCAAGAGGGACTGACACTCATCCAACAGCCCTACATCCAACACGTAAATCCCTGAAGTTGAGGTCTGAACTCAAAAAGAGGAACTGATAGTCAACTCGGAGCTCCCCGTTGAATGATCTAATCTGATTCATGTGACAAAGCTGAGCTGTTTACAGATATTAAACGATGTTTCTTTAATAAATCTATCCCCATGAATTCACTAAAACTGAGTCTCTTTCTTGTTATGAAAGCTGTGCCTCAGCCATCCAGTTGCCTAGCATACAGCCCTTTAGCTTAAAAACCACAAAATGGGCCCAGCATACCAACCAGACAATAAAACTAATCTCTGGAGTCATGAGCTCGTTCTAAGGGTTGGCTCTGGAAAAAGCAACGGCTTCTGTTTTCTAACAGCTCTGATTTCAGCAAAAGAAGCAAGAACCTTGAGCATCTACAGTCCACCCTGAGATAAGGATGTGAATTATGCTGTCTAGAGCCAAAAGTCTTTTACCATGGCGGCCTTGTGACATTGATTAGCATCGTAGAATAAAGGTTGGGGTCTTTTCCAAATGAAAAGGTATGTTTGGAGGACTAAGAGAGTACGAGTGAGCCCAGAGGAAAAACTCTTCCAATATTAGATTTAATGGATTTCAGGGAGAACTTGCGTCTTTTGATGGTTGTTGTCAGCCAGAAAATGCACCAGGAATGCACAGTGATCTTAAACCCTATCTACCTATACATTAAAAAAGGTAAATTATGTTTTATAATAATCAATTCATCGGCAGCTTTTGGAGTGTGAGCGTTGTGATTCCTCTAAGTCAGTGACTGTCAAGGTAAGACAATGTTTTTCTGGGATTAATTTAGGCCCATGCAGTGATTCCCACTACAGAGTCATGTCTGTTCTTAATACAGAGCTGCCAGGGCCTGAAGATCCCCATCATCCAATATTGGTTCCAGCTTTATCCCTCAGGAATTTCTTTTAATAAAATTACTACGGATGATGAAATCCCCGAATCCTTGCAATTTTAACCTGAGGATCATTATTCTGAAATTGCTGAACTATTTTCTCACAGAGTTTCTTCCATCTTTACTTCAGAGAGACTCAGTGTCTCAGGAATGCTCTTTTTAGACCCAGCTATGTCACTAATCTGTCGCAGATTGTTTTTATTAGTCAGATGTTCCTACAGCTGTTTTTATTTTCGCACACTTTTCTGTGTTGTGTACCTGCCTAAACTTAGCTGTAATGTGTTGCTGGTGTTAAATTTCAAATGCTGTATTTTTCTCATGTTACTTGTATTCGAGTGAATCTATCAGCTCTGTTTCTATACCCCACTGCTCAGCCTGACCTCACACCATCCTGTGAAATCTCTCTCTTTGGGAGGAAGAAGGATGCAGACTGTGACCTCACTGTGTCGAGCCACGTCTGTGTCTATCTGACACACTGTGTGTGAGTGTGTCAGTGTGTGTGTGTAATGAGATCTGGCTCTGTCTGGCTGTGGGCCACCGTCCTGTCGATAATCTAAACCAGGCAAACACACTCTATGTCATCAAATCACCCCAAGGGGCTACCTGAGTTCAATCAGCAGTTCTGTCACAGGTTTGGGGAATAAAACTGAGCAAAAGCAATCAGTTATGTCGACTTATATTAAAAAACCGACCCTTACTGTTGAAAGACGAACACAAAGCTTTGTCAAACAGCACACAGAGCACAATGAGGCCCTCCCTACTAGCTTAATATGTCTTGCATGCTTCGATGCACTTGTCTCAGCAAGAAGAGGAACATCTACTGTAGATTTCTGAGCCGGTGAACTGTAAAGTTGTTGGCCCTCTCACCAGACACACACTCATACACACGCTCATTGGACAGTAGTGTGTCCTCTGCTACAGTACAGTACAAAGGCTAGGTTGACATGTTGACACCCAAAACATCACCTGTAGCCGCACAAGCACACGTGCAGTAAGTGTGTGAGTCGTATGTCCAGCTTTATGCTCTCATACCTGCAAACATATAACTTAAGCATGACATCATCGCTCATGATAGCGCAGGATTGGCTGTCAGTGGCACAGGTCAGCTTCCGCCCAGTGCCAGCGCCAATCAGAGGATCAGATGGCGAGCCCGAAAGGCAGATGACATCACCATTCCTCAAGTCATTTCCTATCAATGTTGATGCTAATGCTGCTGAGGGCATGCACAGTCATCTGCAGAAACATCGCACACACATACACACACAGGGAGAGCAAAAGGACACACACACACACTAGCCGGGACGATGAAGGGCATGGCTATCAGAGGCAGCAGCAGACGATGCAAATTTTAGCTGTGGTGTTGTGTAAGAGAGTGAAGGACAAAGAAATCCTCGACACAATCAAAGGTATTTATGAGCGGGTGAGTAATTATTCATCACAAAGAGTTTTCTCGCCAAGCGGAATCATCTTTGTGCTTGGATTACACACAAACCAGTCCACCTACATGCTGACGAGCTTTTCAAAATCATCAGTAGCTTTCAAAATAAAACAGGACAGCTGTTGTTCATTCATTCATTCATTCATTCATTTACTGCCGCTCCTTTCTCCTTCTGTGTGTCAGAAATGCCAAAGGTGTGAATGTGCTTTGTTTTAGACGGGTCACTAGCAGGTTAGTGCGTAAGTGTAATACAGTTCCCTCTGGAACAAAACAAGGAAGTCGTCCATTGAAATTCTCTTGAGGGCCAGTGGAAAGAATAAATAATGCATGTAAAGCAAGCTGACTGCTGCCCATAACAGCAAGACATAAAAATAAATGGAGCCCTGCACAGCAAGAGGGAGCTCCATTAAACACATCACGGAGCCACATTAAAATCATCCGACCCTGCGTAAAATAAATTATGTTAAAAATACTCTTTTAGGTTGACATCAAAGGAAGGGTCTCTCTCTTGAACCTGAGTTGATCTTCTGTTGCACCAAAACAACGATGCTCTGTTTTCTTACACTATACAGAGCTACAAGCACTATCACCATTCCCAAATAACTGGTCTCTTCTTATTTCGACATTTTTTTGTTGCTCTGATGCTGTCTTTGTACAGGAGACCCAAGCAGAAATGCACCATGTCATTTATTTTGCTGTGTTTTCCTATAAAGAACAAAGTTTTTAATCATGGCAGGGCTTTATTATCATGAAAAACAAGATTTGCTTTGTTGAGATAATGAACTAAACAGCAATAAAAGTTATATGTCATTCCCTGTGCTTTTGTTTACATGTATTATGAGTTATTCAGAATGACAGTTAGATTTCACATAAAGCTATGTTACTGTTCGTGTTGTGCTGGGGGCCTTTTTTTTTGTTGGTCCACATTTTTCATGCTCATGAAGCAGCTACAGTTTAAAAACCACTTGAGATACTGTGTCGTTACAATTTAATGGAGGATCTATGCTTCTTTTCTATTTTAGCTTGTATGCATCCAATGAAGTAGCTCTATTTTAATGTATCTTTGTAGTTCTTGTTCATTAAGATTTCTATTCCTGTGAACTTATTCCCTCTTGGTTGTATGCAGCCTGTGAGGACTCTCACTTATAAGTTTTGTTACACAGTTTCTTTTACAGTAGATATGACATGAAAATTTGTTGGTCATAGACATAATACACTGTTTGTATCTCAAACACTAGAGTACACATGTTCGAGGTATAAATGCTGTTATCGAAGATGGAGACAAGTTGCCATTTAAGTGGATGTCAACAATCCACACCGATGAGGCTGCCTGCAGTGTCTGCAGACAATTTCCTTTGTTTTACCCATCAGCCTCATAAGCACAGGCCTTGGCCAGTTCCATAACACTGTCAATCAGCCCAACTAATTAATCAATCTTTCTCTTGTATTTTGAGCAGCTGTGATTGTGGATGTGATGAGGCTGGGTTTTGCTTGAATGAGTTAAATCCATCAGCTAAAGCAGAACCATGGTGCTTAAAATTTCCTGGAATGGGTCAAAGTGAGTCAAAGGGAAAGTCCAGCGTAAAATTAATTTAGGGTCAAACACTCCGTAACACCGAGTTAGACACCCCCATCTTCATGGAAATGCAATCAGACCGAGACTCCAAGGCAGAAGAACTACCACGTCTGCAGTGCAAAATGATTAATATGGCGATTATTACTTCAAGGAAATGATAAAGTAATGATCATAAATGTTCTTCCTTGAGCTGCGTCACCCCGCTGCAGTTGATGATGGACTGGTCGAGGTTTCACAACAATCAAGCATCTGCTGGAAGAGAGTCGGTGAGTTATGTTGGCCAGTCGTCTCTTTGCTACAGAAATCTGGCAAAGTAAAAAAACAAATGTTTGGTGGCTAGTGCTGTGGCTAGGACCCTATATGTACTGTTGATGAAGTTAGGTGCTGTTCTGAGCATTATTTGTGGCTATAGAGTGGCGTTTTGGTTGAGGTTTGTTTATGGCTCCTCAGACCGCTGTGTATTGCTATCATGCGGTTGTTACTAAAGTTGGTATTACTAGAAAAGCAGCGGTCAGCAACATTCATCTCTCAAGGGGGTGTCGAACTCAGTGTTGCGGTGTGTTTGACCCTTAATTCTACACTGGAATATCCCTTTTACCCTCTGAGCATCTTGTGACATTTTAGGTGGGTTTTTTTTTTGTTCGTCTCTCAGGGAAAAAGTCAGTTTAAAGGCTAGCTGCATGAAATTTTGGCACTCATTTTTTTTTCCATTTTTATTTTCTTAATTCCAAAAGCCTGTCTATTGGAAGTGTTTAGAGTGGGAGATTTGCATCACACCGACGCTTGTTAACCTCGTGACCAAATTTGCCCCATTGACTCCCATTATAACCACATGTTTGCCTTTATTATTAATCTGACTGCTCAGCTGCACCAAACAGTATTTGCACTGTTTTGATGTGCCGATGTTGTTTTCTCTTGTTTTAAAATAAAACTTTAACCAACTCCCCTTGTGTCAACTGTGGTACAAAACAGGGCAATTTTAGCCCGTTTAAGACTAATCGGTAATTGGCCAAAACTCGCCGATTTTTGCCGATATTTTCAGAAATAAAATGCGGAGAATAAGATTCAGTTTCAATTTGAAAATGTTTCGCCATTTGAAAAGTTCCCCGACTTATCCTGTAGATGGTAGTTGAAGACGCTTTTCTGGTCTGAGTTTGATCAGTCGGTCTTCCTGTCGGCGTGAAGAGCAGTAGCCTACAGTATATCTACAGTATATAGTATACAGTAGATATCTACAGTATATATGTATTTTATAACTTCATTAAAAAATTTAAAAAATCGGCCGATTAATCGGTAATCGGCATCGGTACAAAAAATCCGTATCAGTCAGGCCCCAGTCTAAAACATAAGAAGTTATTTAACATTTGTAAAAGGCGACAAAATCTCATTAGCCAATCTTAAACCGGTGTAAATAAACCTGAACCCCCAGGGTGCGTCTTTGTGCAAGCCTGCGCACAGCCTCACCATGATGAAGTATTTCTGTCAAATTTAAGTCCTATCACCTCCAAGTTCTGTTTCTTTATGCTGCAGTGTGTGTGTTTATTACCTAACAGAGACTGTAGAATGTTTTTACCTCGAGGGAAAAGGCTGAGATTATTGTTTTAAGCAATCTGACTCAACCACTCGACTGGTTCAACCTGCTAAAACAAGTACTGAGGGATTAGCCTTCACCAGCTAACCCCCTTGTTAGCTCGTTAGCCGACTAGCCACGTCTCAGGTCAGCGGGGTTACATCAACTGACAGCCCGCCAGACGGTGTCTACTAGGTGGGATAACATAGCTAACAATAAGACAGGTCATGAACACCCACGTTAGATGGTTATTTAACTTGTTTTTGGTCTCGTTTGTGTCTGTTGAAGTAACATTCTGGTGAAAGCTAGCTAACGTCTGTTTGACAGCTCCTCTGTCGTCGTCCTCCTGTCTGCTAACGACGCCAAACACTGACCTGGAGAGATGCTTCAGGATCTGCTTCTTGATGAGTCCAGCCATGGTCGTCCGATTGAGATATCCGAGCCGCCGCCGGGTGTCTCAGCTGTCTTAGGTAAACAGGCTAGCCTGCTGCCCGCTATGTCGAGGTATAAACACAAACACAGCTCAGATTCTGTCCCCTGCGCCGCCAGTCTTCATCTTAACCGCGTTCCCGCTTCATTCTCACGGAGATGAGGCAGCGGTGGGGCGGGGTGACGGCATTTCACACGTCCGAGGGACAGCCGGACACGGAGACAAAGCATATCACATTAGGCCATGTCATGCAGATTCACTGACGGGGCTTTAAAACAGTCCTGATCTCTGCGATATCTCACACTGAACACCTGGACACCGAGCAGTCTGAGGAGCGGCGTCTGCTGCTGCTGCTGTCACAGCGTCTGGGCGGGGCGTCATGGTGCGTTCAGGGTCTGCTGGGAAATCTGACTAACTCAAACATTACTACGTGTTACATTTGTAATAAGGATTGGAATCGACGGATTATTAATGATATGTACGGTGGCCGAGAACCGCCACTGTTGCGAAAAAGAGTAAGAGCAAAAGAATGCAAAAAAAAAGAAGTCACAACTTGGGTTACCGATGCAAAACAAAAAGGAACCGAAGCCTGCTGCAAATAAAAAAAGGAAACTGTGCGGATAAAAAAAAAGCCACAACGGAAGTTAACAACGCAAAAAAAAGTGGTGATCCAAAAAAGAAGAAAGTTACCGACTGCATAAAGGACACAAGGACGCAAATTTAAAAAGCCAACGGAAGTTATCGATGCAAATAAAAATAAAAATAAAACGAAGCCCGCTGCAAACAAAAAAAGACACGCTGCGGATGGAAAAAAAAACCACAGCGGTAGTTAACAATGCAAAACAAAGGGGGTATTGGGGGGAAAAAAAAGAAAAAAAAAGTTACTTACTGCAAAATTTTAAGGATGCAAAGGAAAAAAAAGTCACGGTGGAAGTGAGCTGCCAGGAACCAAAAATGATAATGCACCGGTGTTTTACGATCTACTCATAGAAGGCGACGGTGAGATGACGAGTAAAGAAGTTAGTGGAAAGGTTGTTGTTTAATTACACTTTGTGTGCTTTTCAATGTGTCATTTGGTTAGCGCCTGAGTCGAATTGAAGTTGAACTGAAGCTATACAGCGGCATCCTCCAGTTCAACTTCATATCGTCTCAGGCGCTACATAGCCTGACCAAAAAACACACTGAAAAGCACACAAAGCGAAATTAAACAATAACCTTTCCCCTTACTTCTTTGCTCGTCTTCTCGCCTTCGTCTTCTGTGCCTAGATCGTAAAACACAGATGCATCATCATTATTGGTCCCCGGCAGCTCACTTCAGTTGTGGCTTTTTTTGTATGCATCCTTTCATTTTTGCAGTAAGTAACTTTTTTTTTCTTTTTTGCATTCCCACTTTTTTTCACATTAACTTTTTTTATCTGCACCATTTTTTTGAAATTTTGGTTTCTCATCGGTAACTTCTGTTGTGGCTTCTTTTTTTTTTTCTTTTTTTATTTGCAGCAGTGGCGGTTCTCGGCCACCGTAGTTATGATCTTGATAAATGATAATTATAACGATACAGCAATTATATGATCCTGGTTGGGTACAGTGTTAAAATACTGTAATGCAACCCAAAGACTGATGGAGAGGGGAGTCAGATCAGAGGGGGATATTATTAAGTGTATGTTGTTGAAAATATTTTGCCATCATACAATGACTGTATTGTCTAACATGTATATGTATAACCATAACTGTCGAGATGGAGATGTATCATCTAATGAATGGTTTTCCTAAACTTTTTACATGACAAACCTTTTGAAAAAAAATATGTCTCCCATACAGAAATACTGAATAATTATTCTTATTTATTTTATTATTAGTAGTGGTAGAAGTAGTAGCAGTGGTAGTAGTCGTAGTAGTGGTAGTATAATTGTTGTTGCTGTTGTTCTTATATGACCTTTGATTATTTTCTTTGTTTGATTTAGCTCCTATTATAAAAATGTTTGATATTTAATTCTTTGATCATATTAAACTTTGCTTCACATTTCTGCTGGTTAAATGACATGTGTGTCATGGTTAACAAAGCTCTTTTTACTTAGATATGACTCTAAAATAGTTTAAAAGAATTAAATTGTCCTGAATGTATTTCTTTAATAATACAGTACTGACTCCATGATGTTGATAAACCCTCATGGTGTTGGTCCGTCCAGTTTGCTTGCACCATAAAACATTCCTTTAGTGACCTCTAGTGTTTAAAGCCAGAATGTAAACATACCAGACTCTTGAAGGACTCTGCTTTTGCTTCATTAAAAATTAAATGGAGTATCTACATGCCTGTGGATTTGTTCTTTCAACAACTGTTTGACACAGTGTCAGGATTTTACATGATTATGTGAACAGCCATAAGACTGGGGTGAAAATAAAAAATCGCCTGTATGACAACAGACCTGTAAATATGACTGGAATATTAAAGGCTCAGTGAGGCCATTATCAGTTCGCTTAAAGGTCCTGTGAGGAACTTTCAGTTTGTGGCATTTTGGTGCTCTCTGCGGGCAAAGCAGTCTTTGTTTAATTTATCGTTTGTGTGCTTGAGTGGGAATTTCTAACAAACTTCTGACAAACAAATTAATCTTCAGCTCCTTGGTTGACACTCCTGTGAACAAGATTCAGACATAAAAAAATCTTAGAATAACCAGAATTGTTACCTGAAGTCCTGATGGCTTATATACATCATAAAAAAGAACTTCAACCTATTTCATAGACATTAAGAATCTCCTTACAGTAGCTTCAATGTACAATTTCAGAATCTGAGAGACAAATGTTGGTAACTTAGTCCCAGTTTGGGACTTCAACTTCATTCACATTTTTAGATGGGAAAATGTGTGTAACTATTTAATATTGTACCTCCCTGGATATACAAGTTGTGGTTTGAGATGTCTTTCTTCACGTGGAGAACTCACACTGGTGTTTCACTGCAGTTTGCAGAGCTGAGACTTCTGCCACGTATGAAAGGAGGAGCAAGATGGAGAGGAAGAAGCAGCCCCTCCCTGCACTGATCTCTGATCTGCACCGGTATAAACCGCTTGCATGGAGTTTGCATCAGAACTGTCACATCGTTTGGCATTGTTGCAATAAAATAAAACTGCCTGTTTTAATAGTTAGATGGAAACTCAGAGGTTTTTGTTAATAACTCCGTAATGGTGCAACGTTTAACGGTGCAAAAGCGCGATTTAAAAGTCGTGCATGTTTTCCATTTTTCTTATTGTGACACTGCATTAAAGTATTTTGGAATCACATGTCTCTCTCCACTGTACTTAAATGATGTGTTTACCCTTGTTACTCATTTGTTTGACCTTGTGTTACTGATACTGATAAAGGCAATTTACGCAGCTGACGCACCAGAAACGCACAAAAGTCTGACTGCTTCAGTATCTTTGGCAAAAAAAAATACAGTGCGTTCATCAAAATCAAAGAGAAGTGATCCATTGATTATCTATCAGGCCATTTCCTGGTGTTTTGTGTCATTTAAAGTGGGCCATCTCTGAGCAAGAAGTGTTACATGGGACAGCCCCCATCCGCATACCTCAGCGTGAAAAGCCCCGGTGGAAAGACACGAAGCGCTCCCTGATACGCTGCCGGTCCGGTTAGGGGGCTAGGACTGCAAACCCTCTCCATCCACGACTGCAAGAAAACCCCAGCAACCCTCATTCACTCTGCCTCTCACATCATACACACACACATATCAACGAGCTCTCGTTCACCATGACTGCGAAAAACCGACACAAGAACAGCTCCGGCGAGAAGAGCGCCGCATCCAGCCCGGAGGATGCGTCGAAAAAGAGCCCAAAGAGTAGCACTAGTAACGGGGTGAGTGGCCCCGCACCCCAGGGGCCACGGTCGGGGAGCTGTCTGGGGCTCCTTTTTACCACTGTATTTTATTTGGGGTTGATAGGAGCTGCAGGCTTTGCTGCTTTTCACTTGCAACAAGTGGTGGAGGAAATTCGTGCCACAAGCGCAAAACATGAAGAGAGTGCACGACAAAACGCAGAGCTGGGCAGCAAAATGGAGAGTGTGGTTCAACAGGTAAGTGGAAAATGATGAGAATCAATGGAGGAGGGATGAAGTGATTGTTAACTAATCAGCAAAACTTTCACTAAGATCAAAATGTAAAATTGTTGATATCCAAGCAGTGTACATCTTTGTTTTTGTCGTATTATATAACCCTCCATAAAGGTGTTGTGTTGTCATATGTTGTTGTAGCCTCCTGTGGGGGGCTGGGCAGTCTTGGAAAACCCTGAATAAGGAATTCTAAGGCTGTTTGTGCTTTTTTTGTCGAGTAAACATCAATAACAGTCAAGTAGAGTTTATGAATGAATGACAAACTTCTGCACCATCTCCTGTTTTCTTTCATTTGAGGAAAACACACTTTCTGTGATTGTTCTGATGGTGCAGATAAGGATTAGTTCACAATGTCTTTACTTTGTTTCTCAACACATATAAACTACCTCAAAATGCCTGATTGTTATTTCTCTTTAAACAAAAAAAGATGCAGTGTAAATCATCATTTGCAAATTACTTTGTTTTGGGTTAATTAAATTAAATTAATAAACTTCTTCCAGTCTTCCCACTTCCTAGATTCACAGGATGAAACCTTATCAAGTTATCTGCATGACACTCAGAAGGTATAAGGGTGTATCTATGCAACCCCACCAAAGTTATATGATGACTCACCCCTACATATGCAAATTAAGCCTTCAGGTGCAACCTGGAGTGTTGATTCTCTTGTCAAGTCCTGTAAGGTCAAAGTAAAGCGTTTTCAAAGCAAATGCAACAAAGTAAATCTGCAAATATGTTTTATCGTCAAGAATAGACCACCTGTTTTAACACTGAAAAAAATACCAAAAAAATATTTTGCAAAAAATCTTCATCCACAAGGTCCTCCCCATTTTAAAAAAATATGTCACAGCTAGCCAAGTCAACTTTGTCAATTGCTGGGGCAATAATATTCATTAAAGCAAACCCCATGATGCCGCTGATAACAACTCAACTGTAATGTCCTTTACTATAATCCACCAATTTATTAATGCTTCTGTAAAGAGATTTTTTGAATTATGAGCGAGTTTAATTTGGAAAGTTTGATGCCTAAAAAACAGTGCAAGAGGGTAGGTGTCAACCATAGACTGTATATAGAATGGACAGCCTCCTAGCTGGGTGAAGCCACTTCAAGAACAGCACCCTCTGGTGACAGGCTGCAGTATAGGTCATAACTCCCGCCTCCTCCAGCAAAGCCTATGGAGCTGTGGACAAACTTTAGAAATTTATTACACAGAACATAATACCCTGTAGAGAGGAGCTTTAAGTATCTCCTTCAGAGCTATGAACACTCCGTTCTATGCAGACGTATTAAAGATTTTCTGTCGTGCCAAAATAATTCTTAAGACTGTAGGTGGACATCAACTGTTAGGGAAGAGACTGAACATCTCTTTTTAATATGTTACAAGTGAAATATCTGATATAGAAACACGTGTGCATGAGTAGGTAAAGCAGTATCCTGAATTCAGAAACTCACATTGATTTTTTTACCCCTGGCCTCAGGGTTTTGTGCAGTGAGTCGAATTTTGACTGAGTAATATCCTGCTTAGTGAAGCAGGTGGGCTTGGATGCATGTTTATGACCACAGTCAAGGTTTTTTCTTCACTTTATATTGATTTTGACAGGAAATCGTCACATATTTGAGAGCATTTTTGTCTTACTTCTTGAACTTGTTTGCTTAACCTTTGTGACTATCAGGAAGTGTGCAAAAACCAGATCATATTTTGAAGTCTAATGGTCTACCAAACAGTTTTTCCGTTGGACTGATGAGCTGGATGAGCGATCACGAGCTAAAGCTGTTATATGCTGTTGTTTTTGCACAGGTGGAGTCTCTAGGAAGTGTTGTGAATGGACTGGAGTCATCACTGGGCATCACACGGGTGGAGCTCGAAGGAGCCATCACCCGGATGAAGAGGGGCGAGGTAGAGATGAGAAAGGTGGAGGAGGCCCTTCAGAAGCTCCAAAACAACTTACTCAAGGACCTGTCAGACAGCATCAGTGAGGTGAAGGAGGCCAGAGAGCGAGATTTCTCATCTCTGGAGAAAACTGTAGAGGAGCGTCTGGCTGAGGTGAGTCAGTCCATCAAAGCCAGTGTTGCAGAGTTCACAGAAGCTCAGGGAGAGGCGCAGAGCCAGCTGGCTGACCTCAAGGCCCGTCTAGGTGACATGGAGGACCCCACGCTCATCAAACAGGAGCTCACCACCATTGTCAACACTGTAGCTGAAGTCAAAACCGCCTCAGATGCTTCCAGCGCAGCAGCAGATTCTCTCAGGCAGCAGATCGGTGCAGTTAGGGAAGAGCTGCAAATCCGTAACAAGGAAGTCGCCTCCTTGTCTGAGGAAGTAGAAACAGTGAGGTCTGTGACACAAGAGCATATTGCGAGTCTGAGGACGTCGCTGTCTGAGACAGAGACTGAAGTCCAGGCTCTGAAGGACAAGAGTGAGACCTTGGAAGCTGGTGTGCAGCAGGCGACCGATGCTGTCCAGAACGCAGAGAAGCTGGCGAATGAAGCAGCTGCTCAGGCAAAGAGATCAGGGGACGACTTGGAGGTCAGAGTCAAAGCAGCAGAGGAGAGCGGAGATTCACTGTCAGCCTCAGTAGCAGACATCAACACAAGAATGGAATCACTTTTCAGCAAATACGACAGCCATGAAAGTGCTCTGACCATGCAGGGACAGGCGCTGGAGAAGGCTCAAACCGGCCTCGAGCAGGAGATGGAGACACTGAAGAGCAGCTTGGAGGAGGTCAGGGCTTCTCTGGATGATGGCACCCAGAGCAAGCAAACTTCCCAGGACTCCAGTGTGAGCAACCTGGAGAAGAGGATCGTCGCTCTGGAGGGCAGCGGGAAAGTCAAACCAGAGCAGCTGGACAGCTTGGCAAACATGGTGGCAGGTTTGGAAGCTAAAGCAGCGAAGCTGGAAGGTCACGATAAGGCGATTTCTGTGTTACAGAAAGCCCTGAAGGACACCACAGAGACCCTGGCAGGTTTGTCCAAAACCCAGGGAAAGAAGAAAAAGTAAGGGTTTACAATTAAAGGTGAGATAACCAAAGCATGGACAATAAAGATTTCCAAAGAGTGCCAATTGATCATTCAAGCACAGCGGACATTGCTGTACCAGTTTTGTACAACTGTGTTTCAGGGTATTGGTTTCAAGTGATCCTGACAGTCTACGATCAACCTACAACTTTCAGATTGACCTGCAGCCTGAAAAGGCAAAAGCTCGAGAAAATTCAGGATCCACAACACTCACTGTTATTTATAGTCGCTGATGGGTATCATGTATTCAGTTTCATCTTCAAATATGGCCAAGTGTTGATGTCGACTTTTATTTTGCCTTCTCTTTTAACCTGGTCTCCTTTAAAGCAGTAAAATGTTGCCAGTCAAACTTCAGAGTGGACGAGTAACAGCCTTCAAGCTCTCCACCCTGAGCATTACGACAGAGCAAAACTGCTGCCATTATTTTGTGGTGTGTACCTCACTTTTTTTCTGTTTTTATGAAGAATCTTTTCCTCGAACTTGATGGTTGATATTGCACATTTTAGTAGCGAAAAAAAAAAGTTCAGACAGGAGAGCAAGTCAGAGCTGGACTGCTGATCTGTGAATTCAAACTCAAACTCATTCTGCACTGTAGTTTTTCTACTTCTGATGTCTCTGGGGTTTTTTAATGTTTCATGCAAATGTTGTTTTGTTGTTTTCTAAACACACCAAATACAGTAATGAGCTCTTTTGGAGCACTCCACTTTTTTACTGTTTTTTAAAACAAGAATAAAGCTCTTGTTGTTGACCCAAAGCTGTGTAGAATTTCTTCTTGCATGATGATATGATTTGCTGCTTCGATTGTTTTAGATGTTATAGGCGATAATTTCAGTCAGAGCAGAAATTTCAAACTTTGTGGGGGGTTGAAAACAGATGATCTTCCTCCTCATAAACCCTGAAGACTACACGCAGAGCCCTGTCATCAACAGTGATGGATAGCATGTCATTTTCCTCCAGGAGAAATGTACATTCTCTGTCAATACCTGAGGTTACAGTTGCGTGGCCACTTGAGTAGAAGACTTCAAAGTTAGCCGTCTCGCTGAGATGGCCGAGCAGGAATAAGAAGCTCCTCCGGTGATGTAACAAACGAGAATTTCAGGTCCAGGAGCTTCTGTCCAAGATGAAACAAACTGTTGACAGTGGAGTAACATGCAGTTAGAATTCAAAGGTTAAAGCTCCTGTGAGGTAATTTTGTTTTAGATCAACGAAATAGACTAAAAACCATACTGACGCCTTACATGGAATTAAAAAGTCAATCAATACCATTAGTGACAAGTATGAAGATTTTTATATCGTAAGTTCTTTAGCCTAAAACTGGTGCGAGGGGGTAGGTGTCAGCCAAGAAACTGAAGAAACAGTCCTGCTTTGAAAATTTCCACAAAAACTTTACATTCAACTGTTGATTGAAATATGTCGATGACAAGATCATTAAAGACTGTTTTGTCCAAAAGTGGCGCCATAATAGACACAAACGAAACGTTCCTCACAGGAGCTTTAAGTAAAGAAAATGCAGTTTGACTTGTTGCCACAAAATTGCGTTAAGTAGAGAGGACTTACATTATATATGATAAAATACAGGTCTATATGTGATTCAACACTCACCTGGGGCTTCAAAAGGTGGCATTTTACAAGTCTTTGGGGGTCGGCCCTTAAAAAAAACAGGTTAAACTTTGTGTCTTTTTATCAAAGAAGTAGCTTAGCATTTTCTTTTAGGTGCAGGAAGTGGAAGTATCTTTCTGAGGGTTTCTTTATGAGTGTTGCTGAAGGCGGCTTCTTAAAACAAATGGTGAGAAATATTGGAATACATGATTACGTCCTTTCTTGACAAGATTTAGCCATACTTACATGTATATGCCAAATTTAAAGCTGAAGCAAAGCATTGATATTAAGGTTTCAATAAGGGAAAGCGGCCAGTCTAACTTTAACCAAACCACTTAAATACACCCTGAAGCATAAAACTGTGTAAAACTGACAGTTCCTCATTTGACCTGGAGTTATTTGCAAAACAACCTCTTTGGGTGGGACATTCAATACATTTTTTAACCACAAATAGAAGTTTATTTTTCAACTGTGACTCAGTTTTTAAACTTTTATTAATACCAAAATGTTACATTGGTTTGTATTTTGTTCCTACAGCCTTAATCACACCAATTACACAAGTATTTTTGCATCAAAATATGGAAGCATAATCCATTAACAAAGGCTGATTTAATTGATCAATCACAACTCCGACAGCTAAACGTTGAAGAGTGGATTTTTGTGGGGCAAGAGCAAACTACATCATATTTTAAACTTTAGAATCACTTACAGTCCTGAGGCGAGACGGTTCACATTCATACTTACCAGCTTTGAGTTTATCTCTGTTCATAATGACACAGATTCATAAATTTGGATTTTCTAAAACAGAACTTTACAGCATTAAAATGTCAAACAGTAGTATGAAAGTTTCTGATGAGTGTGTCTCATGTCTGCATATCAGAGATTTCAGTCATTTCATTAACCTGCTTAGCCGTTAAATTTAAATCTCCCTCCACTGCAGTGAGGTTAGCTAATGTCTGTCTGAGCTCAGTGATCTCCTGCTCTCTCTGAGTCAGATCCTCTGCCAGTCTTCCAATCCGCAGAGTCAGGTCTGACAGCTGAGGCTCAAACGCCCCGAAGTCTCTTTTGATTGAAGCAACTTTTGGTTTCAGGTCGGCTGCGAAGGTCACTGTTCTGACCAGACGAGCTCGGCCACTTTCCAGCTCCCTGAGGCGCTCAGAGATCTGTGTGTCAGCCGCGATGAGTTCAGGGACCCGTCTGCGCAGCTGCTCTATGGCCTGAGAGTTGCGTTCAGAGGCGGAGCGGACATTTGAGATTCGGTCGATGCTGCTGGCCAGCACCTCGCCGATGCGTTTGACCATGCTGCGCTCTACCTGAGTCGCCTTTTCCTCCAGCTCCTCAACCTGAGTGAGGAGAGACTCCAGCTCTGACTTCAGGCCGTCCATCCTGCGCACATCAGTCCTCACTGATGCCACCTATAGGACGAATAAAGAAGAGCAGACACTAAGAAACACTGAAACTGCGCCAGCTCTAGAGTCTTCTTATACCAGAATCTGTATATAAGAGAACGTCCGACACACCTTGTTGATGAAGTCTTTTGTGATGGCTGAGGTGCGTTCCTCGATCAGCCCCACGGCTCCTCTCAGTGCTGTCAGCCTCGTCTGGAGTTGAGCCTGGTTCTCACTCAGCCCCGAGGCCCACTCTTTCAGCCGGCTCACATCCTGCTCCAAACTCTCCAGAGGAGGCTGCAAAGCTCCCCGCTGAGCCTCAAGACCCTCCAGCATCGGCTGGATGCCCTCGCACTGAAAGAGAGTTCACAGTAAACAAATAACTGACAAATCTACAGGTTTGTATATTAGTTATATTTGGTTATATTTACAGCTTTTGTTAGGAGGTCTTAGCTGATTATAAAACAGACTGTGATCAATTTTGATGTATACTTTATGTACTACAAAAGCAATCCGAAAATAACTACTTGGCAAATTTAGCAGAGATATGTGTTGTCCACAGGGGGGAGCCAAAGTCAACACAAACCCGAAGTTCCCTACAGGAGCTTTTAGAAGTCATAAAAGTTAAAAGACGGGGTTTTTGGTAAAGTAAAAGTTTATTAAATTGGTGATAAACAGCTGACATGTTTCAAAAAGGTCAAATAAATCACTGTTTCAAAAAACAAGATTTACTAAACATCTACTTCGGGGCATTCCTATAGAAAAGGAAATACTGACGGAGATACAATAAGGGGTTGAAACTAATAAGTAATTACTTTTTTTTTTATCTAACTCAAAATCTTACAGTTTTTTATTACATAAGCACAAGATAATGGTATAAAAAGATGATCAGACAGGTAATAATTACAAAAGAACTGGAATCTAAAGAATATAAGACGGTCAGTATTTATCTGTCGACCAACCAGCTGACTCCTTTTTTGAGTTCTTGCATCGTTATAACAGAAAACTCCAGAACACGTTACTGTACAGCTGCTTCAGTGCAAATGACTCGCCCCAGAGTAATAATGCATATTTTACAGAAATAAGAAAAGCTTCATCCAAATATTACAAAAATAAAATAAAAGTAAATCATCAGACTTGCTCATTTTTGTTGATTATCCAGCATTTCTTTGTTATTCTTTTCAAGGCTTTATTTTTGCTCGTGATAGTTTTTAAAGTCCTTAATATTTGTCTTTCTCTGTGTATGAAGGTGATTTTGTTGGTACACACATTTTATTTACCACCTTTTTAGCTGTAAAACACTCTGGTAAATATGTTGTTTGTAAATGTGCTTCATAAATAAATTAGAAATGGCTTGACTTTGATAAATGCTGTTGACCTTCCTCATTTTATACAGTTCATCTTAAAATCAGGGAACTTTAATCTGATATGTCACAGTTTACTTATATAAAAATGAGGTACACAGCACACACTGAAAAACATTTTAGCTGTAGAGTTTTTGAAACAAAATCCAGAGACACTCCTTTTCCCTAAATGACTAAGAAAAGTGAAATCATTCAGTGACATCGTCAGGAGGTGGCAGAGTTGTCTCATCATCTTTTTCCCACTCCTCCCACGGTTCTTCCTCCTCTTCCTCAACGTTTTTCCACCCGTCCTCCACCAGAGTGTCCTGCTCATTTTCAACCCTATTCTCCTTCAGCACCATGGTGAGTTCACGGACGGCCTCTCGAACCACAGAGAGCTCATTCTTCATCTTCATGATACTGTTCTGAGCGTGCAGCGTGTCCAGCTCCTGCCTGATCTCCAAGATTTCATTCAGAGCCTTCAACATGCTGTCCTCGGTCCCGAACACCTGTAACGTCACCTCCTCTAGACGTTTCTCTGCTCCGCTCAGATCACCGCCCAGCCTGAGGATGGAACGCACCGCCTCCTCTACCTGTGGCAGGTGTTTCTCACACTCCTGCGCCTTAGGGATGTGCTCTTCTAGCTGAGTGCTAAGCTCCGCCTCCCTCTTACTCAGGCTGCTAAACTGTGCCTCCAGGTTGTGGATCTGCTTGGTGTTCCAGTCCAGCTGATCCTGCGCTCGCTTGGCGTCGTCCTCCTCTGTGCGCTCCATAGCTCGAGCATTCCTTTTTGTGCTGTCCTCCAGTTCCTCCAACCTCTCCGCCAGTGACCGGGCTCTCCGCTCAGCCTCGTTCACCCGCTCCGTTGCTCCGGCATGGGCTTCCCTGGACTCAGCTTTGAGGGCAGCGAGGTCAGAGGAGATAACAGCCAGACGTTCCTGCCACGTCTCTGTCACGTTGAGAAAGTGAGTGTTGACCATCTGCAAGTCGCGGGAGGCGGAGTTCTCATCAGCCTGCATCGCCATGACGGCAGCGTGGAGGGTGGAGATGTCCTGCTGGAGTCGTGTCGCCACGGAGACAGCGGAGAGCGCTTCCTTGAGGTCGTCTTCAGAGGCGGCAAGCTGCAGCCGCAACACAAAACAGGAGTGCTGTTTCTGTGGGAGCTCTAAGGTCCTCAGCATTCATACATGATAAATACAGCAGGAATCAAATCGCATGCAAACGTATGATGGAAGTAATCTGAAAAGTCCTGATAGAGGATACTTAATAAATACTCCAAGAGGGGGCAGCATGCTCATTTTTTAAAGAGCCCTTCTGATAGCTTTGAAGTAGCTTTAAATGATTCCAAGCTCGATAAATTCGTATCTAAAACTGGTCATTTCAGCTACTGTCTCTTTAAAGTCACCCAGCACTCCAGAAACCTTCTCCACTGTTGCCATATAACAAAGTCATGTTTTCCTATTAAAAATGTCAAATTATGAAATAGGGTCAAATGTTTTAGACTCAAAACACCCATAAAGTTCGAAGAGGGGCAAAAAAAAAAAAGTAACAAAGAACAGAGCAGGCTGTTCCTGTTTGGTAAGTGTTAGATTAAAAGAAATATTAAAGAAATTAGGCAAAGCTAAAAAGATGTTTGGTAGCTAGTGCTATGGCTGGGACCCTATATGTACTGTTGAAGAAGTAAGGTGCTGTTCTGAGCAGTATTTGTGGTTACAGAGTTGCTTTTTGGTTGAGTGTGTGGCTCTCTGCATTGCTATCGTGCGGTTATTACTAAAGTTGGTATAACTAGAGAAGCAAGCGGTCTGCAACATTCATCTCTCAACAAGGTGTCTAACTTGGTGTTATGGTGTGTTTGACCCTAACTTAATTTTGTGCCGGAATATCCCTTTAAAGCTCCTGTGAGGATTATTTTTTTACATTTATAAAAATAAACTTAAGTTGATACATTTTTAGACCACTTGATTAAATGCTTCAAAATATGATACCTATTCATGTGAGCCCTACAACTATTTGGTACCACAAACACATGGTCGGCAACAACTTAAAGCTGTCTATCTGCTCTCACAGGCATTAAAAGGGTGGTTCGGTGTAAGTTTGTTGAACTGCCCTTTAATTTTCATGACCTAATGAACCATGAACGCACCTTTTTGGAAACTTTCAGCACTTCTTCTTCCATATCGAAGAGGCTTGCAGTCTTTCCCAGTAATAACTTGTACTTTTCTTCAATTTCGGAGAACCTCTCATTTTGTTGTAGCACCATCCTGAAACAGACAAAAGAGAGTATAAACTTTGCCAGAAGGACAATCAACAAAAGCACAAGTAGTAAAAATGACTTACCAACTCAGAGCTCCGCAGGCTACCAGCGACAATAAACACATGAAGCTTTTCATATCCAGGCACGAAGATGTTTTTTGTTGTGCTGCTTCTGTCTTCAGCTTTTTATCCTCATCTTTGCCGTTTGAAGCAGAAGTTTCAGAGCCTTCATCACTTTGCTTCGGGGTCTTCTTCCTCTGCTTCACTTCAGTAGGCATTTTGGCACACTGGCACAATCTCTGCAACTTTAGCTGTGATTAAATTCCGCAAGACTAACAGTAAAAACTGTTTAACTTCTACCCGAGACGTTTTAGAGTCACATAAAATAGCATTTTCACAGATAAGGTCATAGTGAAAACACAAAAGCAGCAAAAATGTATAAAAAGTGTGATGAACGGCTACTTCTGTCGTACTTTTGTGCTACCGCTATCCTCACCAAACTGTACTGTTCCTAGGGAAAAGCCGCATTCAAATACTCCATTTCAGGCTCGTAAGATTGAACACTCCTTACAGAATTACCGTCAAAACACCAAAATGCTTTTGTAACATTATCAAAGTTGAAGGGCTTGATTTCCTTTTCTCCTATCCTTCCGTCAGTCTTAAATTGGACATAATGTTCGTCAATTTATTGTTACCGCAGTTTTAATCCAGCCTGGAATAGTCACAATTCCGACAGCGGAGCAGTATCTTAAACGCCTCAGCCAGCCACGTAAGCGGCTGCCAGCGCTTTGCTAGGTTATGGAGAATTAGCACAAAAAACCATTCATGGACAAGTTACCAATGAGTTGAGTCGTGTATTAAGAACAAGTCATAAAGTTTAAGACTGAAAGAAAGAGGGATTTAAATAAAAAGTCAAAAGTCTGAAACGTTTTGTTTTAACTTTTAGCATCTTCCCGTGTGTTCTTATAGTGTTGGCACAAAATGAAGACACAACAATTTTTTAGCATAGTATAAGCCATTTATTTGGCATATTCCCAAAAGTCTGAGTTACATTTTCAGTGTCAAAATATGTCAAAACTTGATTTCTAAGCCCTATACAGCATTGTTTGTATAAGTTTTCAGCCGAATGCACAGATTTTATTGAACAATTCTGTTACCTTCAATATTAAATAGCTGTAGGTATGTGAGCTTTATTGATGTGTCAGATATAAACTACAGGGGCCAGTTTGCTGAGCTACTTTCTTCCTGTTACATTTAATAATATTAAACATCAAAAGACACGCAAATCATTTACAGAGATTGACAAAATACGAAAAAAAAGTATAACAAGGACGCTTCTCAACTTCAAGGCAAAAGGTTCAATTGGATTTAAGTACATTCAAGCAAAAGCTGCCACATGCAATTTCTTTCAGGTCATGTGCAAAAAGGTAACAAGATGACTCCACCATATAGCATAAAGAGGGAAAGTGAATTAAGTTTCTTTGGACTAAGGCATTGAGTGATGGAGTAAACAGATATTTGGTCACTGAAGGATCTACAACTCACACTTTTGCCCTCTTAGTGTTTTGGACATCTACGAAGCATTTTTAGAACCATGGCAAACTATCCTCAAGCTGCAGCACAAGCTATGGTAATTCCTTACCTCATAGCAACCTATTGCTTTAAACGTCAAAACCATGATCAACCCATAGCACCATTTCAAGTGCTACATTTGTCAAATTACGAGCTATCAAATCTGACATGATCAAAGACTTGACAGTACAGCAACAAAAACACATCGCAAAGGCTTTTTACGGTTTACATTCAGATTTAAAGGAGACCTGAATTCTACAAAGGGATCCAACCACAACAGAACTTTCTTATTTTAGGTCTAACAAGCATGCGATTTAATTAAAAACAAAGGTTATACTAAGGTCAATCGAAATAAAAACCCTCCCCCCGACATGTAAACATAAATTCCAACATAAAGTAGCTACAAATTGAAACCAAAACGCACCCCATGATGTCCAGCAGGTTACAACGTTGAACACATTTTTCATTACAACCTCCTAAAGTGTCCAATTCAAAACTCAGAGATCGAGAAAAGTAACAGATTATGACGCATAGTGCAACTAGCCTACATCTACAGACTTTCTTAGGCTACTGAAGTCATACCAGTTACATGTTAGCTTTTAAAGAACTTTCATACAACGTGAACACCAGGCTAATACCTTTTTTTTATGCCTTGGCAGGTCATCGTCTTAGCTTGAAATAAAACTGGAAATAGGCAGGAACAAGGTGAAAACCACTAGTGTGAGAAATGAAGCTAATGTGGACATGAAAAAAAAACTGCAGGTCTTAAAGTGTCCACTTGAAATTGGCGCTAACGTTTAGACTGGTACAACAGCTTGACTTAGGTGGATGTCACAGCTCCACCTCTATAAATTTAGTTTGCGTTTTCATTATGATGACCATCGTCGTTTGGCATTGAACCCCTCCAACACCAACAATGACATCCTTGTTTTATACGATCTATGGTGGCGACAACGAGACTCGCTCTGTCAAAGTGTAACGTTAACCTTTCCTACCAACTCCCTAAAATATCGATCACACTTTTTTCTATCAAACCATACGACAAGATTAGATGTTCATCAATGGAAGTCTCCATCAGGCAGTATTCGTACTATGCTTAGCTTAGCTTGTTTAATGCTACCTGGGGCTACAAATTTAACGAACAGACACTGTGTGATACGTCTTTTCATATTAAATTCATTGAGATAGCTATTTGGTAAACTTCTTCTTTACACATGCTCCCACTTCTAATTCATCCCACTGTGACCACAAATGTATAGCAACAAAGAAAAGGAGAAAAAGAAGAACGAGAAATAAGGCAAACAAAGCCGTTTGTTTAACAATGAAGCTTATGTGCAAACAGGGCGGCATCATTTACAAATCTTTATCTAGTCCCCATTAGCCCACTTTATCAACATTTGGTCCCATTAAAGTGAAAATATAAGTGCACTTTGGGGACGGAAAGGACACTTTCAAACTTTCAGGAATGTGCAAGACACACGATAAGAGCACAACATGACCCTACAGAGTGCGTGTAATGAGCAAGTATGACCAATTAAAAAGTACAGCTCATTTCTTTCCACTGCTTGGGGTTTTGAACTCATTACACAAAGAAAAGGAAAGGTAGCCTTTTCTTCAAAACACCTTCTGCTACATACAGCATTCTGACACGCATATGAACCCAAGACTGCTAAGCAAAGCAAGTGAATATTCTTCATATCTAAATTATACACATATATCTCCCTTCAAGGTGCCAGCAGGGGGCATAGAGCTCCACTGAAAATATTGTGCTTCGGCCATCTGGATTGTAGCAACTTTTCTATTTACATGGTCCCATATAAAACTAAATAGAGATGTACTCAGGGTTATTTAGGGGGGAAAGTATAGAACAGATTTGTCCACAGCACTGGATGATCTTCTTTTTTTTTTACCATACCCACATAAGTGACCACCACTCAGTAAAAAACTTCTCAGCTCTGAAGACGGTAAAGAGGGCGTTGAGCCAAAGACAAAACGCACCATGACTCAGGAATTGTAGTGATCCTGGAGAAAGGAAAAAAAAAAAGGTATTAAAACTTGAAACTTTGTTATTCGATCTAAAGCTTGATGTTTTTTTGTTTCTCTGCTGACCTGAATTGTGTTAACAACGCCACTGGCCATGACGGAGAGTTTCCCGGCAACTGAGCGCACTCCCAGTTTGAGCTGCGACATGTCAGGAGCGTTGGGTAGCACGTTGCTTAGACGGTACGATGAAGTGGCTGCAAACAAAAGGACAAACACAGAAAATGAAGCAGGTAGTGAGAACAACATGAAATGAACACACAAATACATCTAAAGCACCCCATTGAAACTGATATAAGATAATTACTTGTCCTTAAAATGTACCATAAAGTTGGATCTTGTATTCAGTGTCAGTAATTAAATGTCTACAAAATCAAGTATTCATGAATCTGGTGGAGTAGACTCTTACCAGTCTGTTTCTTCTGCTCATCGAACAGGTCAGCTGAGCTTATAGAAGCATTCCCAGCCAATCTTTCCAGTCGTGATTTGGCCTCATACTAAACAACAGAATACAAACATATTTTGTTATATCTCATACAGCAGTTGTCCCAGAAACAGTTTAAAACAGGGTCCAGAACAAAGACTTCTAACATCAACAGTTGCAGACGGCCTCAAGTATTGATCAAAGTTCACAAAAGATGAAGATGCTGTACCTCAGAGTGATCCTGGTTTCCAAAATACATGTCTGAAGAGATGGACTTCACATCAGCTCCAAACTTTTTCTGAGCTTCTCCAGAGTCCACGACTGGTTCTGGTTTTCTTCTGGATGTGGGCCTGATGACAAACAATGACGAGAAATGGTAGCTATTAAAACAAAACCCAAAACAACAGCTGTATACCCTAAAAGAAGGGGTCTTGAGGGGGTTTGACTTTTCTAATGTGGTAAGAGGGGAAATGATACTCATACTGGACACAGATTTGTTTTAGTGGTTGATGTGTGTGTTATTTGTGAACCCAAAGTTTTAACTACAGAAAAACAGGGAATCTGTGTCTTTTCACTCACAGATACTTAAAGTAATCCTCTGCAAGTTTTCAGAAGTAGAATGTCCCTCTGCATCAAGCAGCAACAAACTCCAGTAAACTAAAGTCATGGGTCACATTGACAGTCATACACATAATGTACCTTTCATCCAGAGATGAGATGGTGGAGGATAAGAAGAAGTCCGGCTCTGGTTTCTTGCTTTCCTTCATCCAGCCTCCTCCCTCACTCCTATCATCCCACCGTGAGGAGAACTTATCCGAGAATTCTGGCTGATCCTCAAAACGAGACGACACCCTGAGAAAAAGTTCAGAATAATGTCGGATTCAAAGACATTTCAGGGCAGAAAAACATAGCGCAGGTGATTTGCAAATTTTGATTGGTCAGACCACAGCAAAGTTTCTTACTTGACTTCAGTCCACAGGGCTTGACAATAACATTTTTCACTAAGAGCACATGTGCTCTTAAGTTGAATAAGTAAGGAGCACACAAAGAACTTAAGGGTCACAATGAAAGTTGATGAAATAATGTTTGTCTCATTGGTCGAAATAAGTACTATAATTTGAAATCTATTTTTGGTCTTTTGGTCACATGTAATTGAAGCTATTGAAGAAAATGTTCAAAATTTGCCTTTAATTTAACACAAAAAAATGTATGAGGACAAATTAGGGAAATAAAGAGTGTGTCTTATTTGTCGACTATTATTTGAAATCAATTTTAGGTCAATTGCTCACATGACATGGAAGCTATTGAAGAAAAACTGCCTTTCCTGAGAACATTAACTGGTAATTTATAGATGGTCCCTTATTCAACATCCAACATTGACAGTGAGGATACTGAGTATTTTTAACCGCGCTGCTGTTGCTATTACCAGTTATGGAGAGTGAGAAGACACCGGTAGAGCCACAGTGAATGTCCGTCAGACATCTAACCTAAAACTAACTTCGCCGCAGTATTTAAATGAAAAACATTTGTTGCCTTGGCTAATTCTTTTATGCGCACATGTGCCCTTAAATACATTTTAAAATTCGCACACATCTATTTTTTTGTCGCAAATGCGAGTAAAGTGGTCACACTGTCGAGCCCTGGTGCATCCTAAATGGACTTCAACTAAGAAAAGTTGCCAGTATTCCTAGATCATGTTAATATACATAATGTCCACTTTGCATGGTATTTGTGAACGCAGCACTGAAATGTGTTCACAGATAAATGATTTCCGAAAGGGATTTTAAGCACATGCTGTGATTTCCACTACAAAGTACTATCTGTTTTAATGCAGTGACATCTGATCATCAGATCATTTCCATCCAATATTGGATGAAAAAATCAGTTTCAACTTTTAATATGTCGTCTTTGCACTATTTGCATCTACAGAGGGTTTCAATAATTCACAAACCACCAAAATCTGTTTTTATCAACATTTAACAGAGCATATTGGAAACTTGGATTGTACAAGAAAAAAGTACTGCAGTAAACTTTTTGTTAATCTGACCTTGAGGAGAAGGAGCCTTCATCATCGTCATCATTGAACCTTCTTCCTTTGTTGCTTTTGGCTCCTACAGGAGTCTCCTGCTGGATGATGTGCATGTCTGATGTCACAGAGTGAGACACTCCACTGCAGAGTGGACAAGTAAACAGTGTGATGATGACCGCATAAAAAAAAAAACAAAGACAGGCAGAAACCAGTTTTTAAATCAGCTGCACACAATCTTCAGTGTTCATGTCTCCTCCTCATCATCTTACCCCCTGATGCCCAGTCCCATGCCGAGTCTCTCAGCTTGTTCTTTCTTATTCCCCTCTAATCCCTTCAATTTCTTCTCCTCCATTTTCCTCTGCTGCTCAAGATCCTTGTATGCCAGTCTCATGGATGGAGCACTAAAGGAAAGACAGACAAGGGTTTAAAAAATACAACCAGAGGGAGAGAATAGCAGCATAGACACACAAGTTAAATACAAAACTACCACAAAAGAGACTTAAGAGAGAAAAAAAGACCCACATGGATTCCTCAGGTTGAGAGTTCCTCTTGGCGGTAGCAGTGCTGTCCTCTTTCTCCCTGAGCTTGTCAGCCGCTTGAGCTTTCTTCTCCAGCTCAGAGAAACTCTTACTGCTGACCTTCTGAGCACCTAGACCACCTTTCTTTGAGGCCAACTGAAGTAGGGACAGTTTACTTATGACACAATGAACACAAAGGCTGTGGACACAGATATATTTGATAAAAAGCGACCTGAATCTTCAAGAGATTGAGTACGCACCGTTTTCTTGGTAGTAGTCGGCTTTTTCTTAATAAGAGAGAGAAGATCTGTAGAGATCAGAGGAGGGTAAAGTTACTTCTCTGTTAGTTTAGTAATAAATAAGACAGAACACAGATTTTCTTCTTCTAATAAGAATTTTTTTTCGCTGTTGTTTGTAAGGACTGGAATAGTGAGTTGTGTTGACTATTTCGACAAAGCGTCGTGACTTAAAAAACACTACAAGGATTCTATGTTTTTGTAACCTTACATACCCACCTGGATTTGCTTTTGGAGAAACACTCAGCATCTCAACACTGGGACCCTCCTCTAAATTCCCTGAAAACGAGTCATGTTAGCAATGAGCCTCACAAATGATATTATAATAAATACAAGAAGATTTGCAGTTAGTTATAAGAGAAGATCTAGTACCGTTTCTGTCTTCCTCCTTATCTGGGGTTGAAGGTCTTTCTGACACGGAGGAGCTGAGACTCATTTTGGCCATGTTCAAATTCTCAGGAACAGCCTGGAACATCATCACATAGATATGGAAAGTGAAATTAGTGATTGTACAGCATAGGAATAATAAAACATAACACCTAAGCTAAGACAGCTTACTGCTTCACCTCTGAATGCAGACTGAAGAAATCCACCTGCTTGTCACCAGGTGATGTTGGGGAGAGAGGAGCCTGACTGTCAAGCCAAAGCTGCACAGAAGAGAAGGAACAAATGTCATGATTTATGCAAAGTAGTATAAACAAATAGCCAATGTACATGAATCCAAACTAAGAAACGTATCTGTTACCTCGGTGCCGTGGCGTCTGGTAGCCTGTGTTCCCAAAGTCTTGATCTTCTCTCTGTACAGCTGAGCGGCTCGGCTGTTGTACTTGGTGTTCGCTGCGCTGGATGTGCAACCATGTTGACTGAAAAATGAAATCTGAGCAGAAACGGGGGAGGAAAAAAAAGGATGAATTTGAACACATTGAGTGTGTGTGAAGCAATACTGAGAGGAATAAACCTGTTGGTATCATAACTGTGATCTTTATATACTGACCGCAGTGGCATTGCCTCCCACTTGCATACATCTCAGCTGAAACCAGGACCAGTTGAAATCCAGTTCTGTGGACCTGAGGGACACAAAAATGTTGAGAATTTTAAAAATCTTTTTCATTACACAGCTTTGAAGAAAAAGAAACAAACACACACAAAAAGCCTATCAGCATATGAATGGGTAAATCTGCATATCACATGTATGAAAAAAGAGAACATTAACATGAACACATTTTCTACACAGGCATGAGTGTGTACACTTCTAGTACACAGGTACAGGTATTTGTCTGATATAATGGAGAGCGCTTGGAACTAAAAGTCAGGGCTGTGGACCTAAATAAAAACTCCATTTACTTCATCTTAAACTGGGGACTAGTGCTGTTCTAAAACAGGCCATGAATATAACATGTGGTTGTGGCTGGTTTGTTTTGTCCACATTTGTACCAACAGCTTGATGGGATATTGTAGTTGTATTACGCTGAAACGATAGGGACTTTAAGTTCCTTATCCCATGTCACTTTTTCCTTGTTTTCCTACATTCTTGGAGTTTAGTTCATTAACTATGTAACAAAGGAGCAGCTAACATATAAAATCTAAAGAGCCTTACTTAGAGAACTTTGAAGATTTACCTTTTTCTAAGAGGTTCTTAAAAGGAGCTGCCCCTTTAAAAGTAATAAACTTGCTAAATCTGACAATGTTTAACACTGTCAGGATTTGAGCTAACTCTGAATTTTTATGTCACTCAACAGGTTTGACAAGGATTCTGTCAAAGCTGGTTCTCCCTTTAAGATTTGGCTCATGTCTGTGTCCTTACATGTTTCTGAAGTCTGGGGAATTGATCCAGGGTTTAGTTTTCTGTCTGGATTTTGTTTCATTATAAATAAAATATAAACAAGATAGGGAAGAGAGGGGTAAGATGAGCTATTTTTCATATTCCGATTCACTACATCAAGACAATCCTAGTTTTGTCTCCAACTATTGTATCTGCATATATTTCAAGATGTTGTGCATCCCTGCAAACAGACAGAATGAGTGTAAACATAACTGTCTTGATAATATAGCATGACAAAAAAAAGTGGTCTCCTATGGTCAACTTACCCCGTGTGGTCTGAACACAATTCTAATAAAACTTATGACAGACTAAATTCACTTTCAAGAGTGAAAAATGCTTTTTTTTTTTGTAAATAAATGTCTAACCCCTTCACCCATGTGCTTCCAACCTTCACAGACTCCATGAATTGATGCCCATCTCCTAAATATTTGGTCATATGATCAATTTCTTTAACCATTTCCAAGCAACAGAGGGTGGCTCAACTTACCCCACGCTCCCTGACATTAATGACCAGGACGGCACAAAATGTTCCACCTCAGCACCGAGGTCACATAAGGACAATGTTGCGTTCTTTCCATTCATTACTACTACTATCAAGATAATTTAGTTTAAATGTGATGTGCATTTTGTTTCAATCAGATCATTTCATACTACTAATAATACTTTGATTATTCCATTAAACTTAATTTGTAACTTTTCTCAAAATAAGTTGATAATTGAGTATTCACTCACCTGATGAAGGACAGGTGAACCCCAAGAGACCTGTGAGTCCCTGAACAGTCTATACACAGGAACACACCATAAGTGATGCTGGCCCAGCTCGGGTTTTTAGCCGAGCAGTCAAAGCAAACCTGCAGCAGAAAAATAAAGCATTATTTAACAATTCAAATACATTTATTTGCATTAAAACAAAACAAATAAAACTATAGAGGAAATCCAGCACCCTCTTTACTATATCATTGCTCTGAAATACTTTAAAAAAGCAGTAGAAGTGACCACTGTAAGGATTTGAAGTCAGTGTTAAACAACATAAAGGTGAATTTCGCACATTTTTACATGTTTTACACTCCTCTCATCTGAACAGCTGTTAGCAGAATGAGTTCAGTTTAACAATGATGATGACTTTCTGATAAAACAGTGTCCAAACTCCCACTATCGCACGTTTTTCCAAGTGGACCAAAGGCGTCGAGGAAGTTTAAAGCAAACAGAAATGAAGCCCTTCACAAACACGGCTAATGTCAGCTGTCACAGTACAGCTAGCTAGCTGTGTTGTCAACCACTTGGGTCGTTTAAACAAAGTCAGCTCTCTGGAAAATATCACAATATGATGTTTTTAAACAAAACAACCTGTGCGTTAATGTATTTTAAAAGAAATGACATGTTACAGTTTCGTATCAAGTGAAGGCAGAGGGTTGACACCAGCCGTGGCGTTTGTCAGTGCGACGTGTCAAACATTTGAGTTCAGCTCACTTCCTCGTTCATAAAGAGAGAGCACGCGCTAAAACTCTCGTCTAAAACTCTCACCTTGTTAGTGGGAATGGACCGAAGTCGCTTAAAAATAGTTGAAATTTCCTGCTTGGTTGGCTCTGACATGGTTCAGTCCCTCGCTAATACCTGGCGGTGAAAGAAGAAGCAGGAAAAACACTCCTGTATTTTTCCTCAATAACCCAATGCGACACGTCAGTTGGAAAACGTGACAGTCAGGTTTTGATTGGATGAAAGCGACCCGTGGTTATGTTATTGTAGCAAGGTCTGCTGGGTAATGTAGTTTAGAACCCGTTTAGAAAGTTCAGGGGTAAAAACCAACCATAACCCAAGGTCTATGACATAGACCTTGCATAACAAACCACGTGTACTGTATGTAATAAGGTTAAATCACCATTAGGGGTCCTTAGATCACGTTTTATTCATAAGGAGGCGATCCAGGGGTATTCTTCACATTATTCCCATGTAAAAGGAATCCTTTGGAAGCCCATTTCCGCCAGTAAAAAAAAAGCCAAATAGTGAGTCATAATTATGAGATAAAAAGTCAAAATTGTGAGATAAAAACTCGAAATCATGAGATTTTCATGAGATCCCAGCAGTGTTTCAGTGTGAGTTGAGAGAGATGGTGGCCAAAAAAGTCACAACGAAAGTTACTGATGCGAAAAAAAAAAGAGAAAGAAACCGAAGCCTGCTGCAAATTAAAAAACAAAACAAAAAAAAAAAGATACAGATAAAAAAAAACAAAAAAATCCCAACAACAACAGAAATTAACGACGCAGAAAAAAAATGTGGCGATGGAAAAAAAAGAAAAGAAAAAGAAAACAAAATAAAAGGATGCAAATGGACGGGTTTCTTTTAAGCAGTAAAGCAGTAACTTTTTTTTGTATTGCCACTTTTTCTTGCGTCAACTTCCGTTGTAGCTCTTTTTTTATATCTGCACCTTTTCTTTATTTATTTGCAGCGGGCCTGGCTTTCTTTTTTTTGCATTAGTAACTTCTGTTGTGACTTTTTTTTTTTTTGCATTCTTTTTTATCTGCAGCAGTGGCGGTTCTCGGCCACCGTACCCTGTCACTATTGTGTAGAAAATCTAGTTTCCCTTTGGAGCATAGAAAACCTTGCTGGATAAAAAAAAAAGACGGAACCACAAGACAAACTGTTTTCCAATAAATTTATTGATCATGTTGTGTGACAACATTTACAAACTTAACTGTGCAAGTACTGCGTGTCAACGACAGCATGCCCTGAAAACATGGCAAGACATCTTTCTCTCTATAACTAAATGCAAAAAAAAAAACTCATCTTCCCATCCTGCTACAGTTAAAGGCATTGAATGTAATTTTTCATTTATTTGTATACTTATTCTGGGACTTTTTTTAATGAATTTGGTGCTTGCATAAATGAAAAACCAGCAGTTCATCTCTGCAAAACATGCAAGCTAATAAAGCCTTACATGATCAAAACAAATTAGGTATTAGGGTCATTACATCAGGTATGTTTATAGCTCCTAAGAAATCATTAAGAATTATCCACATGGTATTTGTTGATTAATTCGGTAAGTACGGCCCTCTATGAAGGGAAAAATAATCATATTTACAAGTGTAACAAAATAACAGATTTGAGGAATATTTGCCATAAAATATTCATTTACTATACAAACTGATTTTCAGTCACAGCATTCTAACAAGAGTAGAACAAAAGCACTTGTGGCATCATAAATTAACAAACATTGATTTCATACTACATATCATCTGATCTGAATGCTTAACTGGTTCCAATACGTCTTATTCAGGCTATTTACACGCATGTTTGTGACACCACACCTGGCCATGTTTTTTATTTTATTGCTATATTAGTAAAATACTTTCCCAGAATTTGACATTAAACAGGAAATGAGAGAATTAAAACAAGGCGATTCAAGTGAGATTAACTTTTGTGAGAAGTTTTCAGTGTTGCATGAGAAATAGCCCATCTAGTATCAGAAAAAAAGTAGAGATTTGTTGTTTGTCAGTGGCTGAAAAAGTAAAACAACACAAGCTCAAGTGAACAATCAATAAGTAAGGAAATACAATCAGTGATGATACATTCAATAGCAGTGACTGGAGAAGGCTACCCACTGTGAACTAAATGACTACACCAGGATTTGGCTCTTCTGATCGCTGCTATTCTTTAAGTAAAAAAACTAAAACAGTGAATGAACTGAGTTTGTGACAAGAACCTGAATAAAATGGCTGGAAAATGTATGCACCAATTTATAATAAATCAACTTAGACAATTATCTCAATTTTTGGGATTAAGAAAATCAAACATTTGTGGATTAGGTTCTAACAGGAACAGAACAGAGGGTCATCTCCCTTCATGAATCCATAGTGGCTTGCACATTAAGGCTACATGTAACATCGCTAGACGATTTGTCAGGCTGTCATCCCAGTGTTTTGTTTCAACAGTATACAAAATTCACACATAAATTTCTTTGAATCTTATCTAATATATACTTGAAAAGCTTTTCTTTTGTAACAGCATAAATGGGATTCTATGTAACATAACATTTTACACTGACAGCATTTTTGTCTCTGTGATCTTCCTCTCCTGAAATCTGGAAACTAAGTTTCTAAGAGGGCCAGTCTGTGGCAAGCAACAACATCTCAAGTGGTCCTTTTTGAATCTGAAACTCCCCCTTTGTCCTTCTCCCACTGCAGTCCAGTCTTTATCAACAGGGAGGGAAGTGTTAAAAAACGAGGCAGAGCCATCCAGTTTTCCTGCCGCACTGTCATTTCCCAAAACACCACGGTCGTCTTTCTTCATGTTTTCCATTTTCATGAAGATTCATTACTGGATGTCTTCAACATAGTTAGCAGGATAGAGGCCCGTCTGTCCATCCTTGAGCCGGCCTTTGCACCAACCCTGGTCATCTTCCTCTCCGATTTTGGTGAACTCATCTCCTGAAGAACGAAAGAATAAAAGAGAGTTAAAAAAAAACGCATCCCAGTCAGTGTAGTTCTTAAAGAAGTTATAACAGTTGAGAAATGTTAATTAGTTTTTACTTTAATTTCCTTTTGTGTTTTTGATTTGATGTCAGTTTAGTTTTGATAAGCTTTTAAGGCTGGATTTTTGGTTATATCTTTATGTTTTGAAAATATATTTTTTTGATAGAATCAGAATAACAGCGTCCTAAATGTGTATTTTTTTGAAGTCTGTAACAAGATATGCATGGGGTGATTTTTGAGGAGCAGCAGTAGATTTATGCCTAATTAGTTTATCCTTTGATACAGAAAAATATAGATAGATGATGTTTAGAGGTCTGACCTAAAATGTAACCCCTGGTTTTACAATATTACACAACATTTAGTAGATGCTGTTTTCCAAATCATTCATTTGTACATTTGAGGGGAGAGGTTTTCCTTTTTGTATATTTTTTAGCATACAATGCCGTTTTAGTTCATTATCATGTCAGTTTTTGTGATTTTATTAGTTTTCCTTATCAAATGAATGAAAACAACACATACCTGCTTTGAAGCTCAGCTCGTCCTGCTCCTGTCCTTCATAGTCATAGAGAGCTCTGACAGGCACAGATACGACCGGAGAAGCCGGCTCATCTTCGAATGGATTCCCATCGCCATTAGTAGAAAAAGGGTTACCACCTGTGTCTTCATCTGACCAATCAGGAGTCTTCTCTGCACTGCTTGCACTAAATGAACAGACAAAAGAGCCTCTTAGGAAAATGAATTGTTGTGTTTATGCCGACGCCTTTTAGACATGGGTGACAAAAGCAGGGACTGAAGAATAAAAGTTAAAAGGTGAGAAAAATATAAAACAGGATGAAGTAATCACACAAAAAAAGGCAAAAGTGCATCTCCAAATCCAGGGACAGCTTTGTGATTCGTCCTGAAAACATTCAAAGTGGAAAACATGCTTACTCATGGCATTGATGCTACAAAGCAAGCATTCAGTTTAGGCAGCATAACAGGTGATTGGAAAGCTGCTCTGAGCTTGAAGTGAGAGTGCACACAACGCTGAAACTCAGCAAAACAACAACACAACATATCAAGACACATGAAAAAAAAGAACGCGGCAACATGAGACCAAGCAAGACAAATCATTGTTATTAGGAATGCATGATTGGATTTAAGCCTGAATGGCCAGCAGAGGGCACCACCTAAACACAAGAGAGAACGTAGCTCTGATGAAATGATGAGGTAAGAACCAGCAAACACACACCTGGACATCAAAAAGGATTTACAGTCAGGACCCTTTTGGGACTCGTATGTTTGGCAATTTTTAAGTCCACAATTGCCAAACATATGAGCTCATTCATGCACTAAAAAGATAAATGTCTGATGAGATAATTTGGGATGTTGATTTTCTATGAATTTGTTATAGTGTTTATTCTTTGGTCCACCCAATAGGATTTTTTTGCAGGTGTTTAAACCCATTCAGATCCGACTGTAAGATATGAACAAATTTGATTATCCACTGACAGATACGTGTGCATGAAATTGAATGTTCTGCAAGACATGGCACTGTTAGAAACGACAGACAGACACACAGGCTATGTGTGCGAGGCTAATCCAGTGACCATGCAGAGCGGAAAATAAAAATCGGCCACCTGAGGGAGGAAGGAAAAGTTAGAAGAAAGAGGGAGTGAATAAGAAAAAGAACCGCAACACAAATAACGCCCCCCCCCTTAGAAACAAAGATGGAAACAACAACAAAAAAAAAAGGGCAGGTGGAGCGATCTCCTGTTCACCAACGTTTTTATTTCCTCTTTAATCACACTGTTGTGGTTGACTGTAGTCTGCTGCTCAACGGTCGTCTCCTCTTCCTCCTCCTCCTCCTCGTCGTCATCTTCAAAAGGGTTTGAACCCGCTGGTGCTGTTTTAGGCACAGTCAGGCTGACAACACGGGACACAGTAAGACATGGATTGTTGACATGCACACACAAAAAATCCAGAGATCCAAAACAACAAAAATAACTTATTTGGACTTGTTGGATTGTAAACAGTGTCACAAAGGAGAGCTCTACACACAGCAGCGGCTGAGGGAGGGGTGGAGGGCCAACTGACATCAATAATTGTGCGATAAGTGAACAAAACAACTGTGTCGAGACTAAACACAGACAGAAAAGACACAATAACTATTTATGCTCAAACTCAAAGAAAATCCACATCCTAATTTACACAAAAGTGGCCATTCTCTGAGTGACACATCAAACACTTCAATCGCTACTACTGGCATGTGAAGGTGCAAAATCTCTCTCTATAAAGCACAAAAGGGCGGTTTACTTCCTACCATTGTCACTCTCTGCATCAATGAACAAACCCCTCACACCAGCCCACCACCTGTATCAGAGGAAACACGGGGTTTCTACTCCCTGTTTACAGAAGAGTTGGACCATGAACAGCAGCAGCAGCAGCAGCAGCAGAAACCGCTTGGAATTGTGAACGCCTTTGTTTGTGTAGTCATGCCATGCTTCTCTTGAGTTAAGCCTGAGTTAAGGAGTGATTACAGCAAACACTGCTCTGCTGGGAGTCTGGAGAAATGTAACTTTGGGATGGTTTCAGTCAACAAACAAACCTGACCTCATAACTGTTCAATCAGGGAGGAGTGTTAGAGTCTTATCTTGGCGTTGAAACCTCCGCCATCGAAAGGGTGCAGACTTTCTGAAGCCAACAACAACTAAATCAGTAAAATGCTCACTATAAAGTCTCTTAAGTTGAGGTAAGTACCCTACTGAGACCCCACATGTACAGAGGATCCCCCTGTCACGCCCACAGCTGGAGGAAACAAGACAACAATGTGCTGTAAATGTTGTTTGAGGGGTGGGGGTCAAATACTTTCCATGCCAGACATTCCCTTAGTTGACTCCTCTTTACACTCCTTTTTTTTCAATTTCTGAGGACACAACACTTCCTGCTACAATTAATGGCAGGTGATTGCACGTTGAACTTCATTTCCCTGTCAAATCAGAGTGGTTTTATCAAAATGCACGTACACTACTCGAGACAATCACAGCTAACCTTGCTTAAAGACAAAGCCAGAGTAGAACACGGGCTCGGTAATGCAGAGACTTGACAGTTCTGGTTTTCTAGCCATGTGTGCCTCGAATAGCTACAGGTGAATCGGACTCTTTGGTGGATTTTCCCCATATGAACTGCATGAGAATTTTAACTCATGATCAGCTGTTTGCTGTCGTTTCCATGCTCCACTGTTATGTCCTTGGTGCAGTTACCATAACACAAACACATGACTCTGTGGAGAGGTTGTAGAGGTTGTATCTTATCTGGGATTAGAGAGGCAACATGATGTTATTAAAAGCTGCCAGTCAAACATTAAAAGCTCTTAACCTTTTCTCCTGTTTCCATTATGTGTACAGATGATTTAAGGGTTTAATTGATTTTAAAACACAGTCTTAGCTAACGCTGATCCACGTTTGTTCCTGGGAATCAATACCTAGTTAAGTCCATGCGCTCTCTCCTTCAACTTTCCACTCAGAATATTTCATGTTCTTAAGCGCTCTGTGTGTATGAGTAATATTTCCACACTACTTTTTGGCTCCCGCTCAACTATGTACCAGCCGACTCCAGACTCTCAGGGATGAATTCTTTCCCAGCAAACTGTGACAAAATGTTTATCGTTGCCCCTGGAAACGGCCCGACAACGATACGTCACACACCCGTAGCTCTCCTTATGTAACGTTTTACGAGCATGTGTGGATTACCTCTGAAGTGGGGAGTTTGGATGACAGAGAGTAAGTGAGTAAGACTGTGTGTGATGAGGTATTTACCTGCTGCTGGTCTTGGCAGGCTGGACAGCCTGGTCTGTCCCAGTTTGACTGATGCCTGTCAGAGTCACGCCCTCTGTGGGCTTCTTCTTTTCTCGCCTGCTCAGGGTTCTGTTCAGGTCTATGGACCAGTCCTGGTAAAGACACACACAAACAAACATGAAAGGCGAGTATTACACCCACAACTTAAGACAGTGTGGTTGGTTCAAAGCTGCCTTCACAAGTGGAAAGTCACAGGCATGAGCACAGCAGTACACACACACTTCAAAACAGTCTGTGAAACACTCCTCAGGCTCCGTCACAGATGCTGGATTTTGAAACTGTACATGCATGTGTATTTTTACAGCACAGGCTTGATAAGTGACACAGCTATGTACAGTGTCCATCACCTGTTGAAAGAAACGCAGCACCAGGAAGTCTCCCCTCCACCAGAGGTTAACCAGGGAGAGTGCAACGAAAGAGACTGTCTAAAACCAGACAGAAACGAGGCAGTGGAAGGGAAAAGCTGACTCTACACAGACAGTGTCACGAATCCTGCTGAAAATAGCTTTTGATAAAACTAATTAGACCTTCACTCATTATGATTAATTGATTTAAGTTTCCAGAATCCTCCTAGACCTACTACGGTGTTAGGCGTTAGTATTTCAGAGCAGTGGCCCCTGGGGTTAAAGCTCCTATGAGGAACTTTGTGTTTGTTTAAATTTTGGCGCCTCCTGTGGACAACATCATCTTTGTTTATCTTGTCCCATATATTGCTGGATCTCCAGTCTCATCCAGCTGACCTTTGATGGTCAAATGTATCAATTTTGCAACACCACTGACACCTGACCCTCCCATCAGTTTCAAGCATTACAAACAACTCACTAAAAAATGAGAAATCTTGTAGCTAATGGTCTTGTTTGATCTTGGGCATCATAAAAAGGCATATAAACTTAAGCCATTTTTTAAAAGAAGAGTATTAAAAAAACTCCTTCAAGTAGCTTTAAATTTCTCCTAAATTTGGTGGCCAAAAAGTGATGTTTCGTACAATTTTTTTGCTTAAAAGTAAATATCTGAAAAACTGTCATTTTACACAACTAGACACAGCCTGCCTTAACAGTGACAGAATGAAAAATATATTTTGTCATCATTTATTTTGACATACAACTTGAGTTCTTTTGTTGTATGATGATCCCTTAGTTTTAATAGCAGTATAGATAAACACCTTAGTGTCCCATATCTCACTATCAAGGACCACTCCATCAATAGGACGCTACTTGACAATTTTTCGATCAAGTGTTGATCTCATGACCAGTATGACTGTTGCCTCTGTACATGTGATGCAGGCTTAAAGCTGCTGTGAGGAACTTTAGGTTGGTGTTGATTTTGGCGCCCCCTGTGGGCAAAGATGTACATCCTATCACTTAGTTGGTACTATTCTCAGACAAATAATCTCATTCTGCTTTATTACAACAGTTTAATATCTGCTGTTGAAAAAGTAAAGAAGGGCTGTCCCTGCACTTTGCTGTCAATCATCTAGGTCATGACAGTCACTGGGATTTTCCCTTCTTACAAACTATGTGACACATCACTAAATGTGACCTCATAGCTTCCTTAAAAGCTCGTCTGACCCTTTAAATTTTCAGCCCTCCTAAACCTTTAAAGATCAATGGGTTGGCTGTAGGGTTGGTCATGGTTCATGACCTCTAAGACTCTGTGAAATCACAGCTGAGCTGTAGTGGCATCATATGACACACTGCAGGGTTCGCATGGACAGAATCATGAGTAAGGGTCACTGAGGAGTCAGAGTTCAAAGGTTAAGCAGAACAGAGAGACAGAAATGTGTTTATAAAGAAATTCAAGAAAATCTGGCATCCAGGAGAAGATGTAAACATCCTGTGGTTTCACTTGACAGGAACAGGAACTACGAGCAGCGGTGTCAGCATGTGCCACATGCGTCTCATTAATATTCTTTGAGATGTGGATAAAGACACGAAGGAAACCACTTCAAACACACAGACACACACACACACACACACACATAGAAGCAGCAAGGAGTGAGGGTGTTATTTTGAAAAAACAGGATCTCTCCCCATGGCTGTTGTGAAAAGAACAGCCTCCCATGCAGAACTCACTACAATGGACCTTCTTTTAAAGGAGCGAGGATGGGACCAGTCCAAATTCTGTCAGACATGGGGAAAGGGAAGCAGGTGTGGAACAGGGTTAATTCAGACGAAACATCCTAAACTGTTAGTGTGTTTTAGTACGGCAAGGCTCTAAATAAAGAGCCAGGACTCCATGAATAATTCCAACATAACAGTGGTGCTTAGTTTGTTCAAGTTTCATTTAGATATGGATCCTGCTTAGGCTGACAAAGTGCTCTTCTGTTTGTTTCAAGTTGCTCTTGTCACAGCAATGATTAATTAGTTTCTTAAAAAGTCTTCCAAAAACAAAGCCCTACTCAGACAGAAAAACAGCCGGGTAATGATGTAATGATGGAAGTGGAAGAAGCAGCTACTTTGGAGCAGCTACGCCTGCGAGAGCATGAAAAACAACACTATAAATTGTTCCACTGCGAGCGCATGCAGTTCTTTCGGTGCCCTCCTCTCCTCTTTTTCTTATTGAACCTCCTGCTGGGAAGATGAAATAAACTACAACCCTCTCACTGTCACTGTGACTGCTGGGGACAGATTTACTCCCACCCCTGCTGCCAAATAGCATACTCGAAGACAAAGAATGACACTGAGCTATAACTCCTTCTTTGGCCTTCTGTAATAGAATCATGGCAGAGCTGCCCTTGGTGCATGAATCATTACACAACTTCCTCATTCCTTTGAACTGGTGGTTCTCAGTTTGGTTTAGTCTGATATTTGAAAGTTTTCAAACCTTTTAAACTCTCTATTTTATCAAAAACAGTGCAAATACAACATATCAAACATCTTAACGGAAATATGTTACTGTCTTATAAAAAATATACGCTTACTGTAATAATAATGTCAGCAACAGCTTTAAAAAAGTTGTTTACCATGGTAGCGCATCACCTCTTCATTTGACAGAACTCAATAAACGTCCAGGAACCAAGGAGACCTGTCCTATTTTTGTCTGAAATCAGCTTTCAGCAGCTCATCAGTTCTGGGTCTCCTTTGTCCCATTTTTTATTTCATGATGTGGAAATTGTTTTCATTGGGTGACAAGTCAAGACTGCAGGCCAGTTTTGCCCCCAGACTCAATCAAGGTGCACCCAGGAGACCCCCTTCGAGTCATGCAACTTTCTTAGTGTTTTGTTGTCCCTTTCCCATGTACGTTCTTAGTTTGAACATTTAATATCTTGACTTTGATTATTAGCAGCTTGACAACTTTTTTGAAACTGGGTTTTGTCAGCAACAACCAGAATCTTTCCTCCAGAAGATTAACAAACTGAAAAAGAAAATTTTTGAAAGCCACTCTCGAGGCTGTCCCTCTTTCCAAATATTTACTCATTTTCATTTTTTTCCCCCCATGATTTATTCACTATGAATAAAAGGTGAAGTACCTCAAACTGAGGCCAGTTCATTGGCATGCCAGGGCCTTGATTGGAGCGGAACCACTTCAGGTCCTCTTCAGCGTCAGTAGCAGAGATTGTGTCCTCCAGCGTATGGTAGATTGTCTGGAATCTGCAAAGAAAGTATTTTACTTTTTATTCTAGGAGACACTCATCAGTTGTTTTCATGTGTCTAGACGACCCTGAAAAACATTTCAAAAGTACAAAACCTCAGGGCATGATAATCCCCTTAATCGAACCTGTGATTGGTGGAGAGGTCCAGGTGTTGTTTCACCTCCAGCAGCACCTCTTTGAAGAAGCGGATGCGTTTGTCCTCAAACTGTTGCCACTGCTCGAACACTTGCTCCATGTTCTCCATGTACTGTGGAGTCACTTTGTCGAGTTCTTCAAGGGACTTCTCATAGCGCTCTTTAGTCTGAGGGAAAGACAGTCAAAATAAAAACATCACACAATAAAAATTTTGGTGACGTGCTTGTGCCTCTAGATAACCAAACAAATCCTTCACCAGCTGGAAAGTCAATTCTAGCAGAGCAGCCTGGGCCAGAACTGTCTCTAGGAGAAGAGAAGCAACATCCTGTCCTGCAATCCAGACGACACTAACAGAGCAGGTGATTTCCTCTCTTAAAAAAAGGCCATGTAATAACTGAGAATAGTTTTAATGTTTAAAGACTCATCAAGGCAACTAAAACTTTTGAATTTGACACCAAACAGGCATCTCCAAATATTCAGAGAAGCAGAAGAGAAGCAGCTTTGAGCACTAGACAACTCAGATATGTACAGGCTGGTGAAATAATCCAATAGTAAGTTACAAAACCCTCCAGTTATGTGAGAATAAAGGGGTTTAACTCTATTAGTAGTGATGGATGATATTTAAATAGGCATTTTATAAGTTGGCGTATGCTTAACTTAAAGGCTTTTAAGATATGACCTCCAGTCAGCTTGCAGGATAATACCTCTCTTTAATCAGAGGATCATGGCGAGCTTTTCAGCCAACTATGTCATTTCCCAAGGGAAACCCTACCTTCTGCATCTCCTGCTGACACTTCTCCACCTTTTCCTGGAGCTTCTTTTGGGCTTCAGGGTTGTTGTTGCTTTCCAGTTTGCTGTTGGTCTCCCTGCTGGTTGCCAGCTTCTCCTCTTTGCACGCAGAGTGGTAAGACTTCTTCATCGTCTCCACCTTTCGGATTCAGACATTAAAGATGAAATACGGGCAACGGCAGCTGTCTCAGTAGATGACCTGGAATAACCTCTACAGTGCAGAAATAGTGAGCAAAGACAGACCGGTGCCAGATGCAGGATTTCCGCGTGAATTTTACCCCTTTCTTGTATTGAACTGAATGAACTCAATTTCACATGATAACAGGAATAAGAGATAATTGTTGAAAGCTATTCTGGGTGGATGTTATTCAAAAACATTTGAGTATTGCTCATCTTTGATGATGTTAAATCTATTTTCTCTGCCTTAGTAAAGGAAGGAACACAGGTTTGCTTTTCTTAGTAAAAGCCTGACTAATTTGGAGTCATATGTCAGTTTTAGAAGTATAACGACGTATTTCCTACAAAGGGAAACGCAGTCATCAGAGGTGCCAGACACATGAGTTTTGGAAGAAATGAATAACCTGGATGTCACTTCATTTAGAGTATCCTACAAAAACACTAACCCCTGATTAATTTTTCAATGTGATGCATTTATGACAACAGGAGGTGACCACTCCTCTATCACCTTGTTTATATTGAACAACTGATAAGAATTAAGGGAAGTCAACTCATGCATAGCTGCTCTATTTAAAGGACGTCTTGGGCAGGGCCGAGTGCTGCTTGGGCCAGCGCCAGAGCAGCCATGTCCCTACTGAACAACCATGATGTCATTAAGTAGACGGGCACTTAAAACTCAAAGACAACAGTCTGTACTTTATAATCTAATTCAACAGGCGGTCAAGTGTCCGTCCTCTTTGTGTGGGCAACACAAAATTTCCATCCCCTGTCACAGATAATAGCTCAGGACTGAGTCACACTGTATCTACTTCAGCATATGTGTGTATTATTGACACACAGTCCATGTCACACATGTCAGGAGCTCAATCTCTGGAACAGTTAATTAGCCTCATTTCCTCTCTGCCCTCCACGACTTGCTCTTGTCTGTCTGTCTGGTCAATCAATAAGTCACTGTGGCTGCAAAACTGCCCCTGCTGCCCGATGACAAGACCAGGATGTCACCACCCCCCTGGTAACAATACACACACGCAGGAAATGAGGGCAAGGAGCCTGAAGGTTGCACAAGGTTCAGAGGCTTCGAGTAAACAAACACTTGCATGTAGATGGTCTTAAATTCATGTTCAGTACAGTGGTGTTGCAGAAATATATAATGCTTATGATTACAGCGTGTGGAAAGAGTTTCATATGGTCTGGAGCACAGGCTTTTAATTTGAGGGCGGGTTTAGAAATGTGTGTTTCCTAAGTTTGTTGACAAATGTCAAGGATTTAAATGTTTTGACTACGGCTGTGTTATCATTACAAAGCAACAGCCTGTCAAGTGGCAGACTGTTGACAACAACGCTTCTCTTGTGGCAGACCTGGGAAAACTTGCTGAAATCGGGTCAATTTGCAGAAAGACATTTTCATGTCACTTTGTTTACGATGGCAAAGATACGCTAAGAGATGGAAGATGTTAAAGATGTAAAAATCTGTGGGCTATGACTGAGAAATTTGCTCAACTATATAGGATACATGAAGTAAACACTTCATGGAACTGGGTATAGTATATGTTGTGTTTAAGGACTGATAACTTTCGGACATCAGATATCATATAAGATTAATATATTGAAATAACACTTTATTTAGTTTTCTATCTGATGCTATTGAGCACAATCTACCACCTTGTTTCTATGAATATCTCATTTACATACAGAGAAATGAATGCATATGCTCTATCCAGCGTAAACAGACTGCTTAAACTGAAAGCAGCAGCAGCAGCAGGAAATAAATTGACCTGATTTTGAACTAAAAGAAGCCAGTCACACTGGAAACGCCCCCCTGATCCCCCAGTGTTTCCTTCCCCTCTGCTAGCAGTCCAAGAACTACAAGATACAAAGACAGGCTGCACACTGTCTGACAGTTCTCTTCATGCATGGTGCAGATGCTGCGATAGTGGTTCTGCTCTGTTGTTGTTTAGTCAGCAGGTAGTTATGGTAGGAAAACAAGAGTGAGTCAGTGATATGTAATCATGTGGACTGAAGGGTGAGATTGGATGTCAGCGCTTGAAGAATTTGTTATGTGTGGAAGCCGCTCAGCTGTTTCTTGAAAAGCGCTTCTTATCAAACTGTCATACCTCTTTGAGTTTCTTGGCCCAGGGTTTCTGAGCCTTGCGGAAGCCGTCCTCAGCTTCTTTAGTCTCTTTAAAGCCGCCGATCATTTGTTTGTGGTAGGCGTCTTTCTGCCAGTTCTTCAGCTTCTCGGAGTCTTCTCCCAGTGCTGCTTTCACCTCCATGTGGAGCTCGCTCACCTTCTCTGCCTCTGTGCACAGGGCTGACCACGCTCGCTCCAACGTACCATACTGAGGACCTGAGAGAAGAATCATTATTAGTTATTATATCATTCTATCATTGTATGTGTGCTGTATTTTGGCTTAGATACATTGTCACATTGAAGTTTGTTTTTTCCACATGTCTACCTTTTTCTATGAGCTGCCTCCATCGCTTCCCCCATTCTGTGAGCTGCTGTGCATACGCCTTCTCAATGCGTGCACGCTCATGGATGCATTTCATCAGATCATCACAGAGTCTGTTGCCATCGTCCACCCGTTTTACCGTTCGCTTGTAGTTACCAACCTGTAAACAGAAACGAAAACAGAACTAGTTATAGCAAGGGTTGCACTCGTCTCTTTCGAAACACATTCGAGTTGATTTATTTCCAAATGACAAAATAAGCTGTGCTGCAGCTGCTTTGTGGTTAAGTTGACAGGATTTATTACACTTATCCCCAGTTGCATATTAGCTGTGAACGCAATGTGAAAATCGTACCTCCCAGAAGCTATCGCTGGAGACATCAATCATGGAGTCATCGTAGGAGCCTGACATCTCTGCTGCTGCCCTGAGTTACACTCAATGTGTAGGGCCTAGAAAAATAGAGAAAACAAACGGTCAATTCAGAATTTTTTTTTTTGCAATGACAGGTTTTCCCAAGCAGCTCATTTCCTAGTTGTCAAAATTAAGCACATTTGCCACAGAAAAACACAGGATCACAACATAATAGAACAGCTGAGACGATCTCAGATTTGGATCATAGTATAGGGAGTCAGAAAAAATGGTAGGAGGTGTGGTGGGACACGCTCCTTCTTGAATTTTGCAGCTGGGCGATAAAGATAAATGCTCAATTCCAATATGCAAAAATGAAAGGGAACGCGCCTGTTGAAACTGAAAGCTCAATTTGAAGCATATAATGAGTCAGCAGTTAAGACAGTTTGTTATTTGAATACATGTAGAAAACAGGAGGAGAAATGCGTCTTTTAAGCAGTCCATCACACCCATCTTTTTTCTGTGTGCTATGAAACTAACAGCTGAAAACAACAACATGAAGCCAACTTTTTATCACTGTCACAACAACATTCCTCAGATATTACGGATTAGGGTGAGACGCTGTTATGAATATGAAACTGTGAGTGAGAGCAGAAGTGCTTCAAAAGAATGACACAGAGAAAAATGGACAGAGCGGTCTGATTTCACCATCTTATCAGCAGGTGGGTGTTTTCATCCATTTTTATAACCTCTCTCTACAGTCAAATTGGGCCCACAGTGGCTACTGGCGGCATAGAGTCCCAGATCAGCCATCGTATATCATGTTTGTGTGTGTGTGAGTGAGATTGTGACACAAAGAGAGAAAGAAAGTGTCAAGAAGCACACAGTGGGCAGCTTCCGTTTCCTTCAGACAGCGACGACAGTCGCTCCTCTGTTCCTCCCCTCTCCCCCTCTTCTCTCCTCACGTCCATCATTTCAGACTCAACAGCCTCATTATCCCTCCAACCTCTTCTTCACTCTATTCCCTCTCTCGCTCTTCTTCCTCCTTCTCCATCAACCTAGAGCGTCTCCTCCCCTCCCCTCCCCTCTGACTGGCCTTCTGTTCAGATCTAGTATCTCTTCAAGAAGCCATTAATATTCAGACTGAGGTTACGTCCAGCTGAGACAGACCGCAGACAGCAGAGCTCATTCCAAATGCATCTTAAGTGACCCGCCTGGGAAACTAAGAAACACATTTGAATTCAATCCAACAACAGATCGTAATCAATCATTTAGACGAAGATTAATCTGTCAATGGCTGTCATCAGTCATTACTCTTCACCATAAAATGTACATTAAAGATTCAACAGCTGATCATAGTAGTCAGATTTCAGAGGCGATAAACACATATAAAGACTAGGGCCCGACCGATATGGATTTTTGGGGGCCGATACTGATTATTAGGGGGAAAAAATCCGATAACCGACTGTAGATATACTGAAGGCTACTGCTCTTCACGCTGACAGAAGACCGACTGATCGTGCGTCCCTTAACTGTCTGCTTCGGATCCGTCACTCTGCTGTGCTGTGAGGTAGTTAGTGGATAAAGCTTGTCATAAGGTCGCTGCGCCATCTACATGATAAGTTGGGGAACTTTTCAAATGGCGGAACATTTCGAAGTGAAACCGGATCTTATTCTCCGAATTTTATTTCTGAAAATATCGGCAAAAATCTGCGAGATTTGGCCGATTTTGGCTCGCCGATAAATTGGTCAGGCCCAAATAAAGGCGTCAGATGATATTATAGTAGCTGTTGTTCCCTATGAGATTGAAGATAAAACGCATTATTGCCTTGACACCAAAACTGATAAGATACTGACACAATATAATCATTGTAGAAACAAGGGAGATTAGCGGGATCCATAAGTTTGATAATAAAGGAATAAAAAACAACATACAGATTTCAAGCGCGTATAGGAGGAGAAATTAGCTAATCGAAGGTAATGTCTTTTTCTAATCAATTGTAGAAAAAAATTAATATAACTCATAAGACCCTCAGTTAGACTTATAAGACTATGAAACACAACTAGAAGAATATTCTGGTATTTCAACATTACAACATTACTCTTAATGTTACATTACTGTAACATTAAAAATACAGTAAATGGTGTTTTTTTATTTAGGCATGAAATCCAATCCATGTCTTGGGCCTCTTGGTTTATCAATTTCAGCCCTCCCTACACCAGTGTTGTCCAACCCAGACACTAAACCATCGTCCTCTCTGACTGACTTTCACTTTTTGTTTCCCCTACACCGGTCTGATGGTGAGCTACACTCATTCAAACATTAATTATCTCTGTCTAAAAACCTATCACTAATTTGGAGCTGTTCACTGACGATCAGATCACATAAGATGTGTTTAAGTGCCAAATACAAGCAAACAGTGGCTCTTTCAGCTCAGCGAGAGGATGAGGGCTGGTGTTGAGTGTGTGTCAGAAAGTGTGAGTGTGTGTGTGTGTGTGTGTGTGTGTGTGTGTGTGTGTGTGTGTGTGTGTGTATGTGTATGTGTGTGTGTGTGTTGTGTATGTGTGTGTGTGTTGAACATTGGTCAGTGGCCCGTGCCCTCCGGGGCAGCACTTGGACAGAGGGTGGTATTGTAGTCACTGCTAGCTGGGGAACAATTCTCCCTTTAACTGCGTTTGTCGTTTACAGTCTGCTCAGTGAAACACACAAACAGATGTTGTTGGTCGCTTTGGTGAGGAAAACCACATGTTTGATGTTACTCTACTCCCTCATGAATGACAGACTTGATAATGGAAGCAACCGTAAGCAAGGGGCATGCTATGTAAATCCATGAGAGTCAAATACAATTACATTACAATGTTTATGGCCTAAATAGCTTCATATTGTTAAATTGTAGTAAATTATTAAATGGTTTAGAGTGACTTAAAGAGAAACCTCTGGCTGAAAATGTATAGATGTATAGATGAACTGTATACCTTGCCCTGTGAATGAAGGCATCAGGCTTGACATTAGCCTTGTTAAAAAAAAGGATCACAAATTAACACAGATATAAATTTACTTCATATTATTTATTAAAAAAAAACAAATTGCACATTTGCGTTACTTCCCATCACTTTGTTGTGCATACCCTATTCTAAAAATGAAGCACCTCTCACAAGTAATACACAGTCTGTATACTGCTGAGTCTCCTGTTGCCTTGAATATTACTTACCAATAAAATTGGTATGCTGAGAGGACTGCCTGATTCTCAAAGGCACAAGCGAGCACAGACAGTACTGATGAGTATCAAGAAGAAATGATGTGTGTGACAAGAAATGAATCCCATTTCTTTTAATGCGATTAAGTTAACTGTTGTCTTCTCGTCCCTTCTTTGATTTCCCTACCAGCTGTCCATATTCTTCATTCTACAAATCCCAGCTGCACCATAACAGAGGACACATGAGAGACACATGGGACGAGCCACAAATATCTTTTCTAAACATGGCACCAAGTCCTTAGACCTACAGAGCACAAGCCTGAACCGACGCAACCTTATAAAGTGCAGCAATGCAAATGTCAACAGAATTCATTTGGTAGCGGAGGTATGAGAAGCAATGCAAACATGATGAATATGAAATCCAAATTTCCCTATCTCATGAAATTATCACATATTTGAGTCCTGATCCAGCTCTTTTTCAAGGTGCTGTTAGGTAGCCCTTCGATCAAATATGGATTTCTGATTTCCATTTTAAAGGGATATTCCGGCGTAAAATTAATTTAGAGTCAAACACACTAACACCGAGTTAGACACCCCCTCAAGAGATGAATGTTGCCGACCACTTGCTTCTCTAGTTACATCAACTTCAGTAACAACCGCACGATAGCAATACACAGCGGTCTGAGGAGCCATAAACAAACCTCAACCAAATAATGCTCAGAACAGCACCTAACTTCTTCAACAGTACATATAGGGTCCCAGCCACAGTACTAGCCACCAAATATCTTTTTAACTTTGCCTGATTATTTAGCAAAGAGACTAAACACAACTCACCATCTCTCTTCCAGCAGCTGCTTGTTTGTAGCGAGACCTCGGGCGAGTCCATTACGGACTGCTGTGGGGTGCCGCAGCTCAAGGAAGACCATTTATGATAATTTCTTCATGGAAATGCAATCAGACCAAGATGCTAAGGCAGAATGATTAATGTGTCTGCAGTGCAAAATTATTAATATGGTGATTAATATGATAAAGTAATGATCAGACCGCTGTGTATTGCTATCGTGCGGTCGCTAGGAAAGTTATAACTAGAGAAGCAAGTGGTCGGCAACATTCATTTCTCGAGGGGTTGTCTAACTTGGCGTTACGGTGTGTTTGACCCTAAATTAATTTTACGACGGAATATCCCTTTAAGCACAAGGATGCAGATGTATGGAAGATGACCAAATAATCACCACAACAATATATGTGGAAATTCCTTCATCACTTTAACTCTTTCGAAGGCCTGATGTAATCAACAACAGCAAACAGGAACGACTGTCTGCACACCCTTGGCACTGGGACGTGGAGGGCTGTGCTGAACAATTGCACACGGCTTGACCCAGAACTGTAAACAATGCTGTTGACGAAGTTGAGGTCTGAAGTCCACTCAATCTATCACTGTGCAGAGGAACACTGGAAAATCCAACCCTGTGTGCTGCTGTGCAATGGCAAGGAAAATGCATGAGAACATGCAGAGAACTTAAGCTGAGGAGATGGTGTTTTTGTTTTGTTAATGTGAAGTGACAAAGAGACGCATGCAACAGTCTTTCCTGCCACGAAAAAGCATGATTTCATCTACACCGCAAAAACTTGGGGTTTTAAAAACTACAGGCTTAGTGGTTACGTAATCAAACACAATACTGGTATCCACCTAAGTCTGATAAGTAAATGTACTGAGCACTCTGGAATTTGGTTGCCGACAGCAGTTTCAAGATAGAAGAGAACAAATGCATTCCTAAGTGCTACAATGCCTCAAAGTGAGACTTGGCATGTCGAGTAAGATCCCACATTGTTGTAACTTATTCTATAAACTCACAAATTTCTATCTAAAATCACCCAAATGAAACTGAACATGTTGTTTACAAGAGAAGAAGAGTGAACAAAAATGATTAGTTTGTTAACTTATGAGCAGCTAAAGCTGAACCAGACTTTGGAGGCAGATTGAGACCAAGATAGTTAAAGCTCGAGATGACTGTGTGTGTTATTAAAAGCACATGGACTGTACTTAACTCCTGGAAATGAGAAGACCTGAGTCATGTCTTAGTAAGAGACACATGAGAGGCCAGTGACCTTTAAAAAGCAACACAGGAAGGCAGCATTAGAGCAGGACATGAATAAAAAAGCTCTGACATGAAAAAAATGCTGTAAGGATGAGAGAAAAAAATGAACAAGAAATTCTTTTCCTTCAGCCGGTGTTTACGTTTCTCTGGAGGACGCCACACAGAAAGAGAGCTATGAATGGAGCTCTGAAGCAAGAAACAATAGGACACACAGACCACAAAGATGAGCTAATCCATGACTGACAGGCACGTGCATACCTGGCCTGAAGCTGTGAGTCTGTATGTTACAGTCTAAAATAAAATAAGAGCAGTAGGAAACCACAAGTTGCCTTTTTTTGGCAAGCTGCTGTTATTCAAACCGTTGCAATTCTAATCAGTTCATCCCTTCAGTAAAACTTTACCCCTATCAGGTGCAGCACCAGCATCCTCAGAACAATGTCACACAATCTTAACACTTCAGCCTATCTTGGTCTGTCTCCCTGAACCGATCAGTAACTGCTGTGAGGCACAGTGTGCACAGAAAACATAAGAGTTTTTCAACTTGGTTTCTGTGCCATATCTTCTTTCCTGCTTTTGTCTGCATGGTTGTCGTTGCAGCTGAAGGTAGAGTACCCTTTGCTTAAGTTTCTTTAATAGTTCAAGAAAAACACTATTAGTCAGACACATTGATCGTGTATTAATACGGCTTGCATGCCTCCTCCAAAATACCACAGTACCACAGGCTAGAGGAGCCACAAGAGTTCAATGACTCATGTGTTAGTGTCCTTTATGTTTTCTCTCACTGTTCACTCTCTACTCTGCTGACCCAGTACAGAAGCTACAGAAGCCTTATTTGTAAAGAGACCAGTCGGTCAATCATCTATGTTAAATCAAACAAGTCAGAATCAAACCTCTGAAGAACACTTGCACAAACATTAGCATGACAACCACTTTCATATTTGATGTCTACAGACGTCTTGTTTTGTCGAAGGAAAACTCTTGCACATAGATGAATTAAACTGCCTATTTGCTTGATCTAAAATGACTAAGGCTGATAGTTGTAGGCAGCATTGCTAAACATAACATGAAATACAAACAAAACACTGTAACACTCGACTCACTTTAATGATTAGCAAACACTAATCATAGGGATTAAAGGAGGAGAGTGATTACATAAGGAAGCTTAAAAATACTCCAAGTTTGAGCTCTACTTTGTCAACATCTGAATGTCTTAATCACAGAAAAATTGCGTCTCAGACTAGGGGTGATTTTTTTTCCCCCCCATCAGTTTCCACTTCCTTCTTTTGTTGCATAAAATGCCGGCTAAACTTCACAGGCTGATCTATCCCTTCAATATTGCAGTTTCACAGCAGGTCAGCTTTAAATCCCGACTGAGCTGTAAGAGGAAAAAAAAATCATTCCTCTGCTTCTTTCTCTCTTCTTGCATTCCTGCAAACATTTTCAAGGTCAAAAGTTTCCATGGCAATTCGCAGGTCATGACTTTGATTTTCTTTCCCTGTCAGTCAATCACCTCTGCCCTCCTTCCTCATGTGAGCTCAACAGCTGCACAGGACTGCTGACCTCACAGGAATACGACCTCTCCAGTCAGTCAGTCAGTGTGGATTCCCTCCACTGCCACCTATCCGGCCCTTCTAGAGATCACTAACAGAGTTGAACACTGTGGTTATGAGGCTCCCGAAAACCAGACAATGAAAGTGAGAGGCCATCAACGCCTGCTCGACTTTAGCTTCTATATAACCAACCAGTCCACCTTGCACCTCTGACAGAAACAATAGCATTTTGTTCCACACTTTCAGGCATTTTCCAGTGGACAGGCCAGCAGCATGGACAGAGGCATAATGGAGGGAAATTCAGTGTAACATGACAGGGAAGGGGAGATCCTGACGTAATGGACAGCAGCTTTTTCCTGTGGAAGCCCCCCCCTCTCTTGCATGCATACTTCTGTCATGTGATGCATTCAAAGCTGCAGAATTTTCAGGACAGGGAAAGAATAAACTCACCTGCTGCATGTTAACAAAAAGATGCAATTTTTCAAGAAACAAAAATTTGAAGGACACATAATAACCCTGGGATTTGTGGCTTTTGTGGCCATGTCCTAAGCAGTAACCTCTGGTGTTAAAAATAGGAAACCAACGTGGAAGTGCTCCAAACTTCAGTTCTCAGAGTGTTCACTCCAACAGCAAAGAAGACCCCATGAACATCAATGTTAATAAGTTCCATTCACAGCAGAGAGAAACAGTCTGACAGAAAAAAGATTTTGGTCACAGCGGCACTACTTGTACAAACTACGTTTGGGGTTGTGTTTCATCACACACACTAGGGCTTGTGGTCTGTGTTGTTTCATTTAAGGAGGTGCTACATACATAAGCCTCTGCAAGGTACAAGGGTGCTGGGTCAGCATTGTTTGGTAGGGCAAGGCGCCCCATGTACACAAGTTCCAGGTTTTGTTGTATTAATCTAGGATTGACTCCCAATCCTGGTTTGATTTGGTATGTCTTCCCTCCTTTCTACCCTTGTTTATCCTTTCGTAAAAACAAAAACAAACATCTTATTTTAGCTTGGGTTGTCTTTTAATTATGTTTGAACCATAGACTGTATATACTATGGACAACTTGGTTCCACCTTCCGCCAGTATATGGATTGGAAGTGGAAATGCTCTCATTAAATGTCCTTACTAACGCCAAATCCCGAAATATTCAGAGGCGAATTTTGACGCGCCTGACATGACTTATACTGCAGCCCGTCACTAGAGGGTGCTGTTCTCGGAGTGGCTTCACCCAGCGAGGAGGCAGACGGCTTCCATTCTGTATACAGTCTATGGTTTGAACAGGAAAAGTCTCAGCATATGTAAACAAAGCACTATAAAACAAACAAATGTTATCCCAGAACTGAATATCTATGTGCAGTAACTCTCTTTTTAAACGTGTATATTTCTGTATGAGATGATTTTCAATTCTTGGCATATCATAAATAAAACAGGCAATCTAATCTATGGAAGCACATGATCAGCGTCTGAAGCATGAAGTCAGCTTGAGCTGTCTTCTTTTTGTCCTAGAGTCACACTAATGTGGATCCCTCACATCTCCCTAAATAGAGAGCAAAACCTTCAGCTCAAACTGGAATACCCAATCTAAGTTTAGCCCCTTTCTGTGACGATGAAATCAGTTCACATGCCCTCCCATATAAAAAGAGGAACCTACAAAGCTTTCAGTACTTCTTTTCCTTGACAACAGCTCTCTCCAAACAAAGCACATAGATACAGAAACTGTGATGCAACCCCTCAGCTGGCATGACTGATCACTTCCACTGATTCATAACATAATCATAGCTGTTTGTCATGCTCAGGAAGTTCCATGTTCCCTGATAAATCACCACGTGTTGACAATGATGCATCTGCAGATAATAGCCATATTTTATCTACAGATTTCCTACCTCTAAAAGGGGGAAGCTAACACCTCTTTCTGTGTCTGACGGGGGTTCAATTTTCAGTCACAGCAGTCAGGACTACACTTGGCAGCTGGCTGGCACTGCGCAAATCTGAACCCAGACTGGTGTGAGCAGGAAGCATGGGCAGCCCCGACAGACACAGAGCAGACAGCAAACAGGAACTCAGCCACCTCTCTGGTTGGGAAAAGACACTTATTATGTAATACTTTTAAAGCATAGTATGTACAGCTGGATGATACGATAAGGACCAGGAGTCATCTTTACTTGCGAAACCCGCCCCGCCCTTTATCTTCATGCAAAGAAACACTATAGTGACACTCCGCCTGCGAGGGTAAAAACCCCTGGAGAAAGTGTATAAACTAACTAAGTTTAACACAAACAAAGGTGCGACATTCACTTAGAGAACACTTCAATAACAAACATAACAACCCCACAACAGTGAACACGAAGTTTATGAACTCTTAAGATAGCACGCTTACTGCAGTCGTGTTGCTGCAGTCGACTGAATGAAGTAAACTCCAATTTCACATCTTAAATAGTAACTCTAACCCTGTCATTGTCGTTTATTTCACTTAAAAGTAATTATTTAAAGTGTCTAACGCTCACAAACCTCCACCTCCTTTCGGGAAGTAACTCAACTTTAACGTTAGTGCTAAGCCCTGGAGTTAACGAATTAGCCGTTGCCCCACAAGAAAGTTAAACACGTACAATAAAAATGCCTTATTTTGAGCTTACCTGACACCGTTTTACTCCTCTTGAAGGTTTATGTTCGAATAAAGAGTTATTTCCCTCGTTGGTGCTCAAGAAGAAATCTTTTCGCCTGTTTTACTGCTCAGCAGCGGCACCATCGATTGACTGACTGACACAACCGTCAGTTAGCGAAAGCAAAGTACAACATATCCGGTTAGGATTTTCAAAATAAGACGCACGATGCAGCCTTCATGTAAAATCAATCAAGTACTTTTTCTGCACTCGTCAAAATTTAAGACCGACTGTCTTTGACTTTTTTTTCGTTTTGGACTTTGTTAAAGGATAACTTTATTCACGTTTGTGCGATTTGAGTTGTTTTCTTACGCTGTGGAGGCAAACAAAAAAAAACCACATTATGGTGTAATCCATGAAATGAATAAAGGGAGAGGTACATATTCATTACCACGTCAATAAATCAATAGCTTAATGTAAACGTCACGAATGAGATATTTAGTTTGGGGCTGTTAGGGCAAATGAAACCCCACAGCTGCCCCACGACTTTAACCGTACAAGGATATTCCGTCGTAAAATTAATTTAGTGTCAAACACACTGTAACACCAAGTTAGACATCCCCTCTAAAGATGAATGTTGCCGAATGCATGCTTCTCGAGTTAAAGCAATTTTAGTAGCGACCCCACGATAGAAATACACAGTGGTCTGATCATTTCTTAATCATTTCCTTAAAGTAATAATCACCATATTAATCATTTCTTCATGGAAACGCAGTAGATCTTCTGCCTTAGCGTCTCAGTCTGCTTGCATTTCCATGAAGTAATAATCATAAATGTTCTTCCTTGAGCTGCGGCACCCCGCAGCAGTCCGTAATGGACCGGCCTGAGGTCTCACTAAAAACAAGTGGCTGCTGGAAGAGAGTGGGTGAGTTGTGTTTAGTCTCTTTGCTAAAGAAATTAGACAAAGTTAAAAAGATGTTTGGTGGCTAGTGTTATGGCTGGGACCCTAAATGTACTGTTGATGAAGTTAGGTGCTGTTCTGAGCATTATTTGTGGTTATAGAGCTTTTTGGTTGAGCGCATGGATCTCTGTATTGCTATCATGCGTTCGTTACTAAAAATAGTATAACTAGAGAAGCAAGCGGTTGGCAACATTCATCTCTGGAGGGGGACTCTAACTCGGTGTTACGGTGTGTTTGACCCTAAATTAATATTACGCTGCAATATCCCTTTAAAGTTCACTTTCACAATCGGTTTCGGCACGTGTGAACATTATTTTGAATTTCTCACATTTCCGGTCTCGAAATAGTTTAACTGTCAAACTTTACTCAAAGTACCGAGAGGCGCGGCAGTCTGACGTCACGTCCCCTGAAAGTTTCTGGGGCTGAGGTACCCGGAGGCGCTGGTTCCCAGTGTGAGGTCTGAGGCCCTGTGGGGGCCTGAGAAAGGCAAGTACGGGTCAGCAGAGAAATTTAATGTAGAATAAACTCTCTTCAGTTCCTAAATTGATGTTAAGAATTGCTTCATTATGCTACAACACCTAGAGCTTTACCTTCTGGCTGATACTGTGGTGACAGTGGTTCAAAAGTTCTTCTAATGGGCTGAAGAATACAACCAAGCAGCACACATTTTAAGGGTCCTGGGATAGTTGATGGTGATCAGATCTTAAAAATGTGTTTTTATGGTGACAAATATCTATGATTCAAAGGTTAAACATGTTGATATCTACGTAGTGACAGTAAATAAGGTACATGTTTCTATGCAAACTAAAAGCTTGCTTGCTCATGCAAAAAAACATCAAGCATGTGATAATGTGAGTATGAGAAAACAAATACTACATTTGAAACAAAAATACACACGGTAGCTATTGAGAAACAGGAAGTTAAAAATAGAGTCTTATATTGACTTGTATAACCACAAGTACACAGTCTTTGCTCATGTGAGAGCTATAAACTGATTCTTTGATCTGAATAGAGATCAACTACATCTATTCTAGAGATGTGTGTTTCACCTTTATACTATTTTGCTTTGCTCATTTTTGCTTCTGCTTAAATTTAACTTGAAAGGATTAACAAATTGCTAAATAAAATGAAAGTTATGAATTGTTTAGAAAGGTTGATAGGTAAATGTTTTTTTTTTTTTAAATACTTGAGGGTTCCTGGTGAAGATTCTGGAGGGATCAAGTTGGTGGTGGTGTAGCGTTGCATATTTTAAGGTGTAGAAACAGTACCCTGTAGTGACATGTTTTGTTGCCATGGTAACAACAGGAACATAAAACTCTTTTGCCTTTTGTAGGGTCCACTTCTGATTGATCTAAATCCAGACGGATTAGATTCATCAAAGGCTTCAGGACCCTTCACTACAGAGGGACTATAAAAACAATTGGTACCATTATTCAAATGCATTCAATCAAGCTTTATCAAGTAAAGGAGGCAAAAAGAAAAAAAAATGTTCAGTGTAACTGGTTATCTCCTCCTTTTTGTTGTTTCACATTCAGTCCCAGAACTTATTGGCAATCATTATCCATCACGACCATAAGAGGTGATGAGCGTCTGGGAACAGATGCCAACTTTTCAGTCATTCCAATGCAGCCAGCTGTTACAAAAACAACTTCCAGCCAAGATTTTCTTTACTGCTCTGCATAAGGTCTGAAACCTACATGCTGTCATTCCTCAGTCCATTACAACCTCTGTTTTAAGTACTGGCAGGTCTCAGCCCCCCAGCAGACACACACGTTTCATTCTGGCATACTTCAGAGGAGAAGAAACCTATTTTATTGTGATTTACAAAAAAAAAAATGTTCAGGTCTTAACCTGAAATGACAATATCATGATGCAGGTTTGTAAAAGTAAAGATGTTAACTTCCGATCCATTTTTTCTGATGCAGTAAAGAAAGTCTGGCCTTTGCAGCTTTGAGCAGATTTGTTGCTCAGGCGGTTATGTTGGACTTTTAGCTGCACTTGCATGTGGATATCTCTGTAAAGAGATGAATAAATAAAGAGTGGTACTTTCCACCTGCTTTTCTTCTCCATACATGTTTGATCAACACTACTCAGACTACAGACAGAAACCAGAGCACTCTCCATGCTGAAAGTCCAGATCTCTGAGGACAGATCCTACATTTTTGTGTAGAATCTGTCAGTACAATCTTTTCACAGCAACATTTTAAAACCATGTCATCTCATGAGGACTAAAACAGATAATATACCTTTCCTTTTTGGTGGCGCATTAATCAAGATTTGCCTTTATGGATGCTTGAGAAAGCTCAATGAATCTAAGTCAGGTAGAACATGAAATGAGCCCACTATTGTTTTCATTATCACCTCATCATAACCTCAGTGATTTAATTACATCCAAAGGGCTCTACAAGATTCACTTGGAAATCTCTTTTTATGTTTACTCACTCGGTTGCAGGAAACAAATAATAGAAGCTTAGAGTTCATACATCATCAACACATATCATTGAAGATTTTAATGTGCAGTAGATATGGTCCAACTCAAACATGTGATATCTATTGATATTCAAAGAAAAATGAAGAAATAAAGTGCAGTCAGCACCCAATACAATCATGTCAAAGAAACCCCCCTGCTTATACATCCAAATAATGCACTTGTAAAAAACATAGTTAAACTCTAAATACATTAAGAGCGTCAAATACGTCCTATCAGTAAACTATATCTTCATATACTTTGTCTTAGCTGGATCTTTAACTTCTTTTTTTCGCTTCAGTACCAGTCTATATCAAAGGTTGCCTTCCTTTTAGCACCTGTGTGGTGGGTCAAGGTAAAGTGTCAGGACTCAGAAATCATGCATAGTTCACGTTCATACAAGTCTCCTTTGCCACGTTGAATTAAAGATTGTTCATGTAGAGGTCTGACAGCTTCCTTGTCATTTGTGTAGTCGCTGTTCTCCCACAGATTCCTTTTCGTTTTCAATCAACAAGCTCCTTTGGGACTGAGCAGTGCTGTTGCTGTTACATTTCTACTCTTTTAGTTACTCATTCATCCACCCAAGAGTGTTGACTTTCCTCGCGTTCAGCTGTAGAGTCTTCACCCCCTTGTCCTCTCGATCAGTGAAAAGCAGAGACAGGGACCAGTCCTCTAAATAGTCAGTCTAAAAAAAGAGTCTGCATGGTTCTTTTTTTATCCACTGTGCCACACGGTTGCGTCCTGTAAAAATGTACAGGAAGTTTTTAGGGGTCAGCAGTATCACCTCACTTCCAGGTTGCGGCAGTGGGGCGAACGCCTGCGCTCCCCTTGGTGCCCTTTGACCCGAGGGATTGACCGGAGCGGCTCCGCAATTCACGCTCCGCATTCTCGCTCTGCGCCTGCTCCTCGTCGTAGCTAAGAGAGACAAGAAGAGAGACAGAGGAGTCAGTTAGAGAAGACAGACATGTTCCTGCAGCCCCCGCTCTCTGCCCTTAAATTAACAAAGAGGATGTAAACAAGGGGCTTTCCTCCAACAATAGCCCCCTGCTAGGCTTAACCCTCTCTATTGTACTGACGCTATTCAGAATGTGTTGTCACTGAGTGTTGCCTCATGCATACTCCCTTCGATAGCTCAGTTGGTAGAGCGGAGGACTGTAGTGGAAATGCCTGAAATCCTTAGGTCGCTGGTTCAAATCCGGCTCGAAGGAGAGACTTTTTAGCCATGCAGCTTTTTTATGGCATTACAACTTTGCTGTTGTACTCAGCCGAAAATCACAGCTGATTATCTGGAGGTAATGTTAAACAGACACAGGGATTGTAAATAATGCCCCTGGATGACCCCAATGAAGGCCACGAGCCGAAACACGTCTGTCAAATAACGCTGTTTTCCTGAACTACAAGTGTTGCTGGAGCTCTTTCGATCTCTTTCAGATACTTCTATCTCCAAGCACCTTGGAAGTTAGTGAAGTTGTACCACAATTTTTGTCTTACAATACTATCCTGAGCACATAAAACCATCTCCTTCGAGCCGGATTTGAACCAGCGACCTAAGGATTCCCATGACCAGATCATATCCTGGGTGTAACCACTACAGTCCTCCGCTCTACCAACTGAGCTATCGAAGGGATACACTATTGCTTCTTGGCACAACCAGGAAAATGAGAATTTGATGAACATTAAGCAAATAATCTCACCAGTACAGAAAAATTTATTAAAGAAAACACATACATTTAGTTTTCTCCCACTTTTGAACTCATACCTCAGTGTAGAATTAGGATGAGGAGATACAGACAGCTTCATGGTCAGTGAAGATTATATCATAAACAGCTCATGAATGCATGTAAATACCCCAGAAAATAAGACCTGCAAGATGCTGGCACAGTCATAATGACTATAATTTTCAAAAGTAGTGAGGCAGAGAGAGAGCCTTTAATTACCAGGCCTCTGTCCTAGCTCCAAGGGGAAAAAAACCTATCCTATTTTTGAGAGCGAAGGTTTTCTCTCTTTATCTCTGCAAGTTCAGGTAGATGGTTATCCTGCGAGAATGTTCTCCTACTTGATTTCTACCTGTTAAAAAAGAATTTTCAGAGAATCTGCAGCTCAGTACTTGCTTTATGTGGGTTCACTCCATTCCTTACAAGTAAATCAATAAAGAGAACAGGACAAATTTGTCCTGAATACTGACTCAAGCATATTTCAGAAATGTTAAAGGGATGTACCGGAGTAAAATTAATTTAGGGTCAAACACACCGTAACATCGAGTTAGACACCCCCTCGAGAGAAGAATGCTGCCGACCACTTTGCTAAAGAAATTAGGTGAAGCTAAAAAGATGTTTGGTGGATAGTGCTGTGACTAGGACCCTATATGTACTGTTGATGAAGTTAGGTGCTGTTCTGAGTATTATTTGTGGCTATAGAGTGGCGTTTTGTTTATGGCTCTTCAGACCGCTGTGTATTGCTATCCTGTGGTTGTTACTAAAGTTGGTATAACTAGAGAAGCAAGTGGTCGGCAACATTCATCTTTCGAGGGGGTGTCTAACTCGTTGTTACGGTGTGTTTGACCCTAAATTAATTTGACACCAGAATATCCCTTAAATTATGAAATCTACACACTGCTGAACCATCTCTAATCTGGACTAAAAAGAACCTGTCCTTCGAGCCGGATTTGAACCAGCGACCTAAGGATTACTACGGTCAGACCTTTCACAAGGTGTATCCACTACAGTCCTCCGCTCTACCAACTGAGCTATCGAAGGGTACAAACACATGCAGAACTAAAGCAAATCCTAACCTGTGACTGATACTCATGCGCTCTATGTGACCCAGTGTGCTTGTTTAATTTCAGCTAGTTTGTGGTAGATTTCTTTGGCACTCACAGAACTTGATAATTGCCAAGAGCCTCTCTGGGCGGGCTGCGATTCCAGCGGCAGTCTGGGATCTCCCCGTTGGGCATGACTATGTTGAGAGTGTCGTTGATGAGGTTGTACTTCAGGATGCGGTCGTTGGCTGTGCTGGAGGTCAGAGAGGGAGAGGCGTTGACCTGAAAGGGACACAGAGAAAGAGAGGGACAAATTGTGTTTGGCACCCATTTATTTGAATCTTGTGGCATGTGACCTGTTCAAGAGAGCTGACTGCTTGAATATAGTGTTGCAGGAATATTCGCAGAAACATGGAAAGAGTTCTTGACTGGTTTTGTGGCACAGGTTTTTACCCAGTTGCTCACTGAGGACCGTTTATGTCCTAAAACTTGTTCTGTGCCACCCAAAATAGATCAGATTGGTGTCTGTTAGCAGAAATAGTTCAGACCTAGCCTAGAAAATTCAGCATGTCATCGCACTGAAAGTAGATATGAAAAGTATTAATTAGAGAAACAGTGAAAATGTAAAAATCAATGAACTTCTGACTGAGCCATGCATTTCTGCATACACACTAGGAAATAGTCTGTACCCTGCTGCTTTACCCTATCCAAGCACCGTTGGAGCAACAATAGACACACCTTAAGTAGAGATTTCAACACAGAGCGGCAAACACAAAGATTAGCCTTCAGGGCATCTAAAGTTGCCAAACACAGGAGGCGTCATCGTGCAAGCATGTTAAGTGATTTTAGGCTTGGCTAATTGTACAACTTTCAGGATGAGGCAAAGATGACACCACACAGGTCTGTTTAAAGTCAATTAAACAACATAACGTGAGTGTGTGGGTGTGTTTGTGAGTACTGTCTCTTATTTATTACTCACCTCTATGAGCCATGGCTTCAGCTTGTCATCAATAATGATGTCATACCCGTAACACTCGAAACAGTGCTTATCGTTGTTCATCACAGGCTGGAAAAAGAGGAAAGACTGGATCAGAAAGAAGAATTAACCCACATTACAGGTGACATTATGACCAGGCTGTGTTATATACTTGATTCTGATTGGTCAAATCCACACAACAACAGTGAGCAATTTTTAATAACAAACACACACATCATATCAAATCAAAATGCAGAAAGAAACTTGGATACATTTCATCTCTGCCTGTTGACATTGTGGCAAAGATGCTGGTCAGGAAATCATAAACATTGTTGTAGAAGCCATTTTTTAATTAATGTCAAAATCTTATTTTTAAGCAAACAAATGAAAGTCTCAGTTTAGATGATTAATTCTAAGGACCAAACTCATGTAAATATCTGATTTAAAAGTAATTAAATGGGTTGTTTTTGTTAAATATTAGATTCAAATACACCTGTCTAGAGGATGTTTGGTTATGGGTGGAGTCACAATCTTTTTAGGTCAGCCAGCACATGTATGCAGGTCAGTCTTTTGTTTGATCCAGGTTGATATGAGCAGTATGAAAAAGTTTTTTGACTTGTAAGTGTAGTGGTAGATTCCTTCTCAAACAGTTTTAAGAGGGAGCTAGAAATACACCTGTGGAGGCGACTTTTGTAACAAGTGTGAAGCGGCCTGAGGGAGGAAGTGAGTCAGATCATTTTGGTGAAAAGGGAAGTGTGCAATGCCTTGCACCTTTCCCGTTGAGGTGTTTCTACAGCTGTGTGTTTGAAATAGTAAGCTAAATACCAACAGCACAACCCCAAAAGGAACAGAGTAAGAAAACACTTTCACTGGCTGCATCAACATTTCTGTTTTTGTGCACATTTTTAACTGTGTGGCTGCACCACAACAGACTTTCACATCCAGCACGCAGTGACACTATAAATCTCAACTTACATTTGTCTTTGTTTTGGGGTGTTTTCATTTCTATTCTGCTTTATTTTCCTGAAAGAAATATTGTGCTTTTAGTCACACTTCCCTCTTTTGATTAATATAAGGGAGTGTGCTGGTTTAATAGTTTTATATCTGATCTCTATTTACATTATTCCATAAACCAGTGGCTGCTGGAGATCCATTTAAAAAACAGTGTTCAATGTAGCTATCCTGCTGTCCACATTTAAATGTTTTAGAAAAGCAGAAAAAATGCTGTGAAATGAATAAACTATTCAGAAAAGTAAAAAAGCTGAAAACAGGACTGTTTACTTAAGATTATTTATTCAAATATAGCATGTTGACTTAACTGGTGCTAGTTAATGAGTTACTTCATGTTTCTGGTGCATGCAGTAGAAAGCATTACTGATTTTATCTGCTGCATATTGAACCTCATGCAGACTTTTAATAATACTTATATCCTGTATGTGACCAGGGAAACGAAAACACACTTTGCTCAAAAGTCACTCCTTCGAGCCGGATTTGAACCAGCGACCTAAGGATGTCTATTACCAGCCCACTGACTGAGTGTACCTTCTACAGTCCTCCGCTCTACCAACTGAGCTATCGAAGGGGACACTAGGGTGTGGTGGGGGTGTCAGTTTTGTTCACATGACCTATGAGCTACTCCTCAATGAGTATACAAAATAATAAAATACCACTAAGTAAAGTGACTTATATTTATGTTATTTATTACATGTTCTCTAGGGTCACAGGTTGGTCTGGCAGTCTTTTTTAAATCTAGATGAGTTTTAAAAGATCTCTCCTTCGAGCCGGATTTGAACCAGCGACCTAAGGATGTCTGACATTTCCACTACAGTCCTCCGCTCTACCAACTGAGCTATCGAAGGGGACACTGGAGTGCAATGGGGGTGTCAGTTTTGGTCACATGACCTATGAGCTATTCCTCACTGAGTATTCAAAATAATAAAATGCCACTAAGTTAAGTGACTCTATATTTATGCTATTGATTATATGTTCTTGAGGGTCACAGGTTGCTCCGGCAGTGTCTGGTTTGACTCTAGATGAGTTTTAAAAGTCACTCCTTCGAGCCGGATTTGAACCAGCGACCTAAGGATGTCTGATATTTCCACTACAGTCCTCCGCTCTACCAACTGAGCTATCGAAGGGTTGACATTTGGGAATGAAATTATGTCACTTAACGTTCTAAATATGGACAACACAGGTACAAATAAGTGACAAAACATATGACATCCACGTACAGGGAGCAGAGGAGACCTCTAGTGGAGTCCAAAAGACACTAACATCATTTTTGATATATCTAGATGTAAACTATTGTCCTATAGATCAAGTCTGTCTTTTAATAGTGTTTCATACTTTTTTTGATTTTAGTGTTTTTATTTCTGCATTATGATATCAACCTGTACTTTTATTACTGTATTTGTAGTGCTCTTAAAGCTACTGAGAGGAGTTTCAATCAGTTATTAAAGAGTAAAATGAATGCAGACACCTTGTGATGACCCACAAAAACAAACAAGAGCATCAACATAAAGATAATGTAGTTCTTTAGTTGTAACTTATAGTTTTGTATGCTATTGCTATCAGTGTATATTGTATTTACTTACAGCCACAGCCTTGAGCGACTGCACCACGATCCAGTGTATCTGGTCAAAGAGTCGACTGGTCACCTCCTTCCCTCTGGTGCTCTCCAGGTACAGACGGAGGTTACTGACTGTCCACTTGCCTCCATGGACGTGGTTATAGTCATCCTGTGTTAGGGGTACACATTTAAAAACCATGTTTAAATATGCTGTCTTGCTTGCGCTGTTGCAAAAGAACCTGGAGAGAGAATATTAACAAAAAGAGGAGCTTTTTTGGAGCTTGACTGATGCTACATGGCTAAAATTCATATAGAAAGGCAGTCATAAATTGGTGAAATAAACCTTTAATATTCAAGATAAATTAGCAAACTAACTAACAACATAACTTAGAAAAAGTTGAGTTCAAACACTTCTTTTGTACTTGCCCCATGTTTTTGGATGGCCACGTTGGTGAGGTGAACAAACATGTTGTCCAGCTCACTGGTGCTGGGTGTGTACTTCACTGTGCAGAACCTGCAGAAGCCGAGCTTATACCTGAGGATTAAATCAAAGAGAAAGAGAGACAGAGACAGAGACAGAGAGTTCAATTAGGAGCTGGAGCACAACATTTTCAATAGTACTGATTCAGCTAACGGCTGTTTTCTTAACTGATCCCATAACTGTTTTATCCATAATGTGAAGAGAGGAGAAGTAAACAGCTGTTATTATCTCCGAAGCTAGACTGTCACTTTTTAACCCAACAACAAAACAGTCTGCAGTTATTCTATTTAACCAACTAACCAACCAACTAATGACTAAGTTTTAATGCTGAAAAAAAAATTGTAATGTGAGCACCACAGCACAAAGCTACTGTAAGGAACTTTTTGTCTGTGCTACTTTTAGTGCCCCCTGTTGACAAAGTTTTACCACTTTACTGATTTTGTCCTGTACTTGTTGAATTTGTGTTTTATGATAAAAATATAACAGCCTGCCTTCTTTTAACTGTTGGATAAATCACCTGCAATGAATCAAAAAGAACAGAATATTTTTTTAAAAAGATGAAGAATAGAAGTGGAAAAAATGTCTGTCTCAGCAGAGTGCTGTTAATCATCTGAACTGACACCGCCCCCTTTATGGTAATTACAGGCTTTAAAAACTTTAAATACACAGTCATCAGTTTCATCTTGGTAATTTGATTGTGTTAGTATACGACACAAATCAAATTTAATCTTGGACTTACATGTAGCACTTCAGAGGCCGGTATGTGGTCACCAGGACATAGAGACGCAGGTCAAACTTCTTCCCTCCAATCAGCAGAGGGTTGTCGATATACAGAGAGATTACATAGGCTTCCTTACCGCTAGCTGCTGCAACAAAACTGAAAGCAAAACAGAAGAAGACAACCTATTAGTCATAAATTTTGAGGTGTGAACCTTAAGAACTTTTCTGCGCTAACTGAGTGGAGATCAGAACTCTAGCTGCTGCTTCATTTTTACCAAAGAAAAAGGAAGGGAGAGACATATTCATGCTATAACTACCCCTTGTGAAGGGATTTCTGGCTGTGTTTGGATGGTGTCATCCAGGACTCACGTGGACGTGCGGCTGTCTCTGGACCACTTTTTGATCTGGGACAGTTTGTTGATGAGAAAGATGCCTTTGCCCTGGGCCTTCCCACAGGGCTTCATGATCCAAGTGCTGGACGGGTTTTTACGAAACTCCTCTACAAAGAGATTATAATCTGCCGGGAGCATGAACGTCACAGGGACAAAATCTGAAAAGCAAACAGAGGAGAAAAACCTAAGTATTTAGAGCGAAAGGCCTCTCTGTGTCGTATGAAGTGCTGTTAAATACCTAAATAAATGTATTTCCCGTTCTCGTCCTTCTCTGCCAGTGGACTACTCTCTTTTTCCAGCTCCTTGCGGTAGCGTTTGATGTTCTTGATCATCAGGTCCTTCCTGGTCAGCTCATAGTGGTTGGGGAAGTGGTTCACCATCTGGTCATCTGACAGGCGGTAGCCGGTGTCCACACTGAACACGTTTCTGATGGTCTGGATGCTCATCCTGCGTGTGGGTAAAAATAAACCCATATTATGGTGATTCAGAGAGTCTAGTGCCTTGAATCAAGCTTTTTAATCATGTTATTCCTAATGAATCAGCATTCAAAGGATCTGCAGGCATCTATTTACAGCTTTAAAAAGTTAAAGAGTGGATTAGGAATTAGGACTTTACCAGCGTATCAATATTTTATGCTACTTTATACTTCTACTTCAATAAATATGTGAAAGATTCAGTTAACACACATGTTATATGATATTAATCCACAGAAAGGAGACCGACACATTTTGCCTCGGTCTGCCTCCACTGAGCTGGCCCATCAATAAAGGCAATAATACCCTAAAAGTAACTTACAAAATCAAAATGCTTCACATCTTCTCAGAATATGTCGTTGAAATCAATATGCAATACCCACAAACTGTTAGTTGCCCCACCCAGTGAAGCTGTGGTGCAGCCTCTGAATACATACAGTGATGGGACAAGCTGTTACCTGCTGCAATCAAGCAACATCGACATTTATTTCCTATCTTAGTTCTTTTATCTACTTTTAATTGCTTATTTTTATATTTCTATATTATTCAATGTATTTTTAAATGGAGGATTTTTTTACACTGACTTATTTTTATAACTTCTATTTTACTGTATAATTACATTTATTTTATTGCTACCAGGGTGCATTAGTCTTGACCAGCTTGATTGATTGATTAAGTAAGTGAGCATGCTGCTACTCTGACTTTGCACGAAAATAAAATGATGTCCCTGGTACAGGTGACTAAATAAATGATCCCACCTCCCATGCATTGGTCAGGGTCTTATGGTTGAGAATCACTGCTTTAGATGAGCTAGATTCTTATTATGGGGACTGCTGGGCAAAACTTAACATCTGCAAGAAGCATGCAAAAACAAACAGTATGGAACTACCACTACTACTACTACTACTACTATTACTACTACTACTACTACTACTACTACTACTAATAATAATAATAATAATAATAATAATAATAATAATAATAATAATTTTGATTTATAGCGCACTTTTACAGGCGCTCAAAGACGCTTTACAAAGAAAAAAAAACACTATTTAAAATACAGAAAATTTTGAGAAATAAAACCAACAATGTAAAAGGTTAAAAAAGACACAATATGAAAAGACAATAAAAGAACGGTTCACAGGTTAAAAGCCAATTTAAAAAGGTGTGTTTTTAGGAACGATTTGAAATTATGGGGACTGCACCTAATCTTAATGATTTTAAAAGCAAACTGAAAATGTACCTTTTTAGTCTTGCTTTTAACTAAATTTTATATCATTAACTTTAAGTGTTTTTGCATTTATCTCTTCTAGTTTTAATGACAGGATCGTATTTTATTGAGCTGTTTTGGTGCTCTTATTTTAGTATCTTTTACTGTTGTTTTCATTTCATTTTATTTATTATTTCTTAAATTTCATTCTTTGTTTCTCTGTTATTAGATTTTAACCTAAACCTTCAGTGTTTCCTCATCTTGAGTTTTAAAATGACGTTTCCTCAGTGTGCATACTCCTGTTTCCACGAAATCAAGCCACTTTTAAGTTTAGGCATTTTAATACTGTTTCTGATGCGTTTAGATAGTGGGGTGGGAATGGGGGGTTGGGCTGGGGTAGATTTTGGATTCTAGTGCTACATAAATAAAGACTGATTGATTGATTGATTGTACAGTCTCGGATGGGTTTGGGGAGTGAAATTCCAGAGGGTGGGGGCAGCAGCGGAGAAGGCTCTATCCCCAGTTTACTGTGGTAGAATGATGTTCATCATCAATTCTGTGTTATAATAATGTTATAAAATCTAACAAAATATTACTTTAGGGGGTTATCTGAAATTTACAAACAAAGTGAGGGGTTTTATTTTAGTATGATTATTTTCACACTTTTAGTTAGTTCTTAACCAATAGCAGGAGACACAAGTACTTCTTTCTGTCTTTATTTATAGGATCTTTGCATGAAATATGATCCAAAGATGCAGCTGCAAAGAAGGCAGACACCTACCAGTAAAAATTCCAGTCGTCGTTTTCTGTGACTTGTGTCCATTCCCTCTTCTCAAAGTTGTTGATGAGCACAGATTTCTCTATATCTGTCACCCACTTCACCTTACCGGCCATGGTGCCTCCCACTAGGGTGGAGCACAAAACAAAAGGTAAACAAGTGGAAAAGCAGATGAATAAGCAGACGAGACGCTAGATAGAACAATGCACAGGGAAGTGGGGGGAGAAAGACATGCAGCCACCATGCATCAAAGCAAGTCACCTACCTACAAATCAATGTCAGGAAACAGCCAGTCATCAGCAGCAGCTAGCCGGGCTGGCTCAGTTAGCAGGCTGCTGAATCCTCCCTGTACTACTGCTGCTGCTGCTGCTGCAGAGACTGGGCGGACATCACCCTGACAGTGATGCAGTTTGACCGAGGTATCTTCAGCTGGATAAATTCATGGTGGTGTACAGCAGGGCAGTCTTCCGGCAGCAACCGCAGCGACCATAGCTCCAGCTAACAACTATGAACTCCTCTCATGTTAGCAGTTTTATTGCTAACAGCTACATTTATTGATCCCAGCGTCGTGAAGCTGCACACTCTGGCAACGCCCACCGCTGTGAAAATACTCTTCACAATAAAAGTCTCCGTTTGTGAAAGGAAAAAGATACCTTTAAAAAAGAAATACTGCGTTATAACGTTAAAATTCCGGCAAATTTAAAACGAGAAATGTCTCACTGGCATGAAACGACGTTTTTCTGGGCTTGGTCCTTCCGGGAGGATTACCTAGCAACGGAGGACGCACTGATGTAATGAGAAAATGCAGTCACTGGGGTGAGCCAGCAGGGGGCAGTGCAGGACTTTAAGGAATACAACCAGACCTTTCAACATTACTACCCAAAATTATACTAAAACATACTAAATATTTGACGAAAAACATCTATTGACAGACATTTTGAAACTTGAATGTATTACAATATATGAAAATCTGCATGTTCATGAAAGCTTTAATCATAACTGAGAGCGGTTCATCCATAAACATAATATAGGGGAGAGTGGGGTAAGATGAGCCATTTTTCATATTTCAGATCACTTCATCAAGGCAATCATAGTTTTGTCTCCAACTAGTGAATCTGCAAATATTTGAGATGTTGTGCATCCCTGCAAACCAACAGAATCAGTATAAACAAAAGAGAAAAAAGTGGTCTCCTGTGGTCAACTTCCCCGCGTATGGGGTAAGTTGACCATAGGAGCGGGGTAAGTTGAGCCGTGTCCCTACTACTCCCCCACTCTCCGACCCAGCCCTCCCTCACCTTCTCTTTCCCTAAATAACAGTCACTTCTTCACAGCTGTATTTTTGAAGAGAAAACAGAAAGTAGAACATAATTGTGTAGTGAAACGAAAATGATACACGGTTTTCAAAATTTTAAACAAATAAAAATCTGAAAAGTGTGGTGTTCATTTGTATCCAGCCCCCTGTACTCTGATACCCCTCAATAAACTGCAGTGCAATCAATTGCCTTCAGAAGTCCCCTAATTAGTTAATAGAGTCCACCTGTGTGTAATTTAGTATCAGCATAAATACAACTGTTTGGTGAAGACTCAGTGCTTTGTTTGAGAACACTCGTCAACAAAGAGCATCATGAAGACCAAGGAACTCACCAGACACGTCAGGGGAAAAGTTGTGGAGAAGTTAAAAGCAGGGTTAGGTTATAAAAAATATCCAAAGCTTTGAACTCAATCTCAAGGAGCACTGTTTAATCCATCATCCAAAAATGGAAGAGGTATGCCACAACTGCTAACCTACCAAGACATGGCTCTACGAAGTATTGACACAGGGGGGCTGAATGCACAATTGCACACCACACTTTTCAGATTTTTATTTGTTTTACATTTTTGAAAACCGTGTATCATTTTCGTTCCACTTCACAATTATGTGCTACTTTGTGTTGGTCTATGACAAAAAATCTCAATAAAACTCTTTTAAGTTTGTGGTTGCAGAGTGACAAACTGTGAAAAATTTCAAGGGGTATGAATACTTTTTCAAGGCACTGTATACAGGGCCACTCCAAGGGATAAGCGCCTGCTTAGGGCCCCGCGGACAATAGGGGGCCCCCGAGGAAACAAAAACTTTTTTTATTTATTTTTTTATTTTTCTTTGCATGTATGAGTGACGCTTTCTGTATGATCAAATATATATTATTGTAAAAATAAAATAAAGTAAAAACATTTAAGAGCTGCTGTTGATGTAGGCCTATGATTCTTACTCCTGATACGTCAAAGGGGCAAAACAATGTCGCAAAAAAGGACAGATCCTTCAGGAGCAGAGAAAAGAAAGAGGAAGAAGAGAAAAACGCAAAGATAAAGGTATGTTTGCATGTCTGGGAATGTTAATCAAAGAGATTTTTGAAGGTGTGTGAATGATCAACAATCAATATTATTGGCAGAAATGTAATTGTAATTAACTTCCCGCAAATTTTTTTTCCCCAAAAGTCTAAAAACATTTTATATTTTAACAATTAGACAACAACTTCTGTTTATGGCTCTTAGTTTGCTGGAAACACTGATAGAGAATAAAGAAAATTGGACTCACTTGTGGTGGTGGTGGTGGGCTTCAGTCTCTTCTTGTGAGTAGGGCCCCATTTGGAAGCTCTAGTTTATTTATCTATTTATCCACAGAGGGATATTAACATAAAAACTCTTGTAGACTATAAGAGGTGTTGTTGAACACCCTTGAATTATAACACAAGGTTTAACGTTGGTTTTCCACATAGTTAGCAGCTGTTAAGTTACCACAACCGGATGAAAACGGCTATGATAGTTCAACACTTACACATGCTAATGAGCCAAGGTAGCTTCCGCCCCCTTGTGGTCACCCTTGACAACAGCAGGTAAAGGCGTGGCCAGTCATATCTGCGGCAGTTACCTGAGAGCACCAGGATTAAAGGACGCTGCTGTAAGTACAGGAAAACACAGTTTAATTAAGTCTTTCTTTTTATTTAACAAATATGAAAACATGCTGTATTTGTATATTTTTTACAGGGCGGCGTCCGATTTAATCAAAAAATAAGGTAAGTGAACTTCTTCATTTTACGTCTATGCACCTGTTCTACTAGTCCTGGCTGGTTAATGTACACACGTTTATATAATAAGAGGTATAACTCCTCCAAATTGATGCAATGATCTAGACAATCTGAAAATGTGCGTTGCTTAGATATATTTTTAAAAAAATATTTCATATCTGGGGTCTTAATGTGTAACACAATACGTGTGATCTTCCAAATGACCTTTGTTTGCTTTGGCTGAGAAGGATGACTTCATCTTTTGTTGTGACAATATGGCTGAAGGCTGAGAGCTATTATATGACTGATAATCAAAAACTCTCCGCAAGAGTATGAGTGGGTAGCTAAAGTTTATATTATGGAGGTTTATCTTGATAACTGTGTTTTGCATGAAAATCAATCAAAGTGGTATAAGATCTCTTAAGATTTATACATGTAAAAAAAGATATAGACACTTTTTTTTCATTGTAAAATAACTAAGAAGTTGTTCACAAACACATTTTTCCAAGTCTAAAAAAAGGGTCTATGAAGTCATTGGTGTTTACTTCATCTTTGTTAGGCCGTTTGGTTGATTTGAGTTATGGAAATAGATCATTTGCATGATAGCACATGAGCTCAGGTACAACAGGAACTAGACTGAAGACAGGTGCACGCATCAAACCTGTTTGTTAGGACAAAACTGAAAATAACAAGTCACTAATCCTGTCATGTGGCGAGATAATGAGAGAAGTGTCTTAAACAAACTGTTCTTAAACATAGTCATGTTTGAGGGAGGGGGTCAAACACACTCACTCCTGTAATATACAGTAGTGAGTCCAACAGGTGATGTCATCTCTGCAAACCTGGGAGAGCCTGTTTTATCTACCTGAATTTCTCCCCGTTAACACACCCGCCACCCATCCTGGTCACATGATCCAGTATTTACACAGCACATTTATGGACGTTAGAAGGCCAACAAAGATAACACATACAGACCTCAGGGCCATTGTTGAATATGTTATGCATGTTTGATACAAACTCGTAATGTTTTCTCTCATTGGATTCGGTCTGGGTGATTTGAATAATACCAATCCTCTTTTCAGAAATCAAGATGGTGGAACAAACAAGACAGCAAAGCCGTATGGTCTCCCTCCAGGCTGGACCTGGTGAAGTGGGGACCAGTACCCTGTTTGTTGGGAACTCTAGGTACGGTACAAAACCATTACACACTGGATTATTATGTTTCTGACGGCAACAACGGACAGCATGAACACGCTTAATAGACAGTGTGGAACATGTGGTTCCCAAAACAAACAAAATACACTTAAAGCTTTAAATTCAGAGAATAACATGGTAAATGGAACTGATTCTAAAGAGAGGCACGTTATCAACTTCCTTTTTACAAGTGACCATATTTGGACGACAGCATTGTTTGGTTGCTTTGCCCCAAATATTGATATGCTATGTCATCATTTTGACTTGTATCTTAGACCACAGTTGGCAAATAGAAATTGAAGCTGTGTTGAGGAGTTGAAGCTAGTTTTGAGAGTATAAACACACAAAAAATGTTATGCAATGAAATAATTAAACTAAGAAGTGGGGTCATTTAATCTTTGACCTCTTAAGAATTGATATTTTTATGGAGTTGCCACCGGCTGGTGACATGATAAAATGCAGATTACACCTACTTTTGTGTTGTCCTCACTTTTGAAATAAAAGTCTATATCCACATTTTTTCCAATAGCCTTTATGGTTATATGGAGACCCTATCTTTTTGACAAAAAAAAGTATATATATATATTTATATCTTCGTATCTAAATTTGAAAGATGGACACAAAAGTCAAACTAAGGAGTGATAAAAAATATTCTGTGAAAGGCTTACAATTAATTGACTTGAAATATTGTGATTATTATAATGATAATACATTTAATTGTTACCACTTCAGGATCAATCGCAGGGCTGTAAGGGCTGTTGGCCGCCAGTTGGCAATGATTGGAGACCAGCTGGACCAGGAATGGGCTAGCAGACACCCGGACTGGCCACTGGCTCCTCTCCATATACTGCGACCTGCTCAGGCACTCACCAGGACCATCTATCGGTATACAACTATCTGCAAACTTACCGATTAATACCTACCTTTTTTGTGTGAATAATTTTAAAGACAGTCCAAATGTATGTTGTTCTTTAACAGGGATATCCACAGCCAAATGTTGGGCTTCAAGGGTTTGTCTGCGGCTGTGAAGGCCTGGCTGGAGAGTACTGTGCCTGGGTTGGGGATCCTCAGAGCAGATGCATGGGTAATCCCTGTTTCTTGCGTGAATAACTGTCTCAATTTAGGTTTCTTGTTGAGGTGCGGAGAAGAAATGAGTATAGATCCCGTTGTGTTTTTATGTTACAGGTGTCAAGTTTGATGCCAGAAAGCTGCCCTGGCTGGACCAGAGGAGCACTGGTGACGGTGGCACTGGTGGCTGCCGTGACCATTTTGGGTGCACTACAGATGGAGTGGAGGGGGCCATGAGTTGGTCTTTTGGGATAATTTACATCAAAAAAAAGTTTGCAATTGAGTGGTGATTATTTCTTAATGATTTATTCCTGCTGTTTACTTTGACCTTTTTTTTTTTGCTATTGATATGAGCAGCGTTGATGATGACGGCATGTGACCGGAAACAGGAGTAAAATAACGATATTCCAAATTTGTTGTGGTGAAATGTTTGAAATTGGTTTTACAGTGTTGCCTGAGGAGCTGGCCAGCTTATTGTAGCAGTGACATGTTGGTTCACAGTTGTATTAATGTTTAAAAGTCTGTTTCTTATGACTGGACTGTTGCTGGTTTGCAGTCTTTTGTATGCAGATTAGTTTCTTACCGGTTTAAGAAGCAACATTTTTATACAAATGATATGTAACCTGGGTGAATATCAAGAAAGGGAGCTGGACTTTCTGTTTCAGATTTGAAAATGCTTTTTCATGTGATGCAAATAAACTTAACGATGAAGAAATGTTGTAGTATCATTTATAAAAATAAGTATTTATTTACACAACAAGGGCCATAAGATGCAACTGCAGGATCTTGCAGGTTCAGCAGGTTATGTCCAAACAAAAATGAACCCAGAGGCTCATTTTCAACCGTGTTTTAATTCAAGTCCACACCTCAGTTTCATCAGTCCTCATCACCTGTAACTTCTACATGTGCATAATTTGTAGAGGCCTTCCTGTTACACTTCTGCAGTGTGGAACGAAGCTGTTTCCCAGGGCCCACCTCGTAAGTGTGAGGGAAGTTTGTACCCTGCGTCCTCTCGAAGATCTCGTGAAGAGTTTGCTCCCACTTCACCGGTGACACCAGCTGCTTTACAAGCTGCCTGCGTATGTGACTCGCATTCATGTAGCGTTTGCCGTCAACATTGGAGTAGACGTTGATTTCAGGGCGATTGATCTGAATGTATTAGACAAGAAAGAGTCGATCTGTTAAGGTTTACAGCTTTTCTTTGAGTAGCAGTCGGAAAAGACTTGAAGTGAGGGTGTTTTAGTACTAAACAAACAAGTCTTATTTTTTTTAAATCAAAAATAATACAAAATGTTAATCTGTCCAAAGCCTAAAGGTGGTTGACTTTACACCAACAGCAAAAAGATAAATAAGTAATAGTAATACATAAGGTTTGACTGACCTCCACCTGTCGTAGCACCTCTCTGAGGGGTTCAGTAGCGCACTCCATCAGCTCAGTGTGAAACGCCCCGCTGACAGGAAGAGGTTTGATCCTTGCAAACTGGAGACGTCTCGAGTTTTGCTGGAGGAAATCCAAAGCCTGGAAGGACACCAGGACAAGAAGAAGATAGAAGCACAGATTTTTGTATTTTGTCTATGTTGTATCAGTATTTTTGCTGCCCAATAATGAGTCATACCTGTTGATGCCCTGCGATGACCCTGCCATCTGGGAACAGATAATTAGCCACAGAGCAGACCGGCTCCTCTATGCCCAGACTCCTGCAGTGCTCTTTGGCTTGCAGACAGGCATGTTTATACTGAGCCTGTGGTCTCCCAACGACCGACAGCATCCCACTTGGAACCAGTTCTGATGCTTTCTGCATGGCCTCTGCTCGCACCTTAACTGCAAAAAGAGCTGGAGGACACAGAGAAGCGTAAATGTCATGTTTTAACAGAACAAGGTCATGGTTGTCCACGTTAATAAGCAAAGATCTTGTTTACCTTCTGCAAAATTCATGGCACCAGAGAAAACCAGGGCGGCAAATTCTCCAACGCTGAAACCTGCAGCGGCAACACAGGTCTCGACAGCCTGTGAGAAGAGTGGAAACATGAAAATGGTATACATGTTGTTATACGACTTAAATTATGATAGAGAGAAGAACAAATGTGTCCTTTCAATGGTAAATTTTTGTCCCCCAAGTGTTGGTGTGCTGTGTAAAATATTTAAAAAAATCTGAATTTGATGGTTTGAAGGTAATTCAAAGCCTATTTCTTTAGTACAAATTAGTTCAAGACAGCATATTTTGCATTCATGCTAATATTTGTGATTTTTATATTAAAGATACATACAACCAGTGTAAGTAATATGAGATGGCTGTGACCTTTGGGGCCCTCAGACAGCACTGCATTTAAACAGATATGGCTTTAAAATCACTTCTAAAAACCATCCACAAATGAAGATGAATATTGTACCAACCAAAGAGAAAAACATGAACATATATCGATAAATCTTATCTGAACCCTGTGTCTTTTTTAGAAAAGTGTGCCAGCTTTTTTGACTCATATTTATACAACGTCCAATATTTGCGCTACTTTATTTGGTGCTGAACAAGGTTAAAAAAGTGGGTTACTTCTTATCATTTATTTGCATTATTCATTATGACTAGCAGGGGTTAATTCGGCAATAATAAGTGCGACAAGTCTCGCTTATAACTGCTGAATTATTACTGTGATTAGTACATGCTGACAGTCGTTTATTGGAGGATAAGTTGACAGTAGGGCTGGGCGATAAAACGATAATGGTATGTATCGAAAGATTAATTTCCCTCGATATCGATATAAAACATGGTCAATATGCTTTTTGATAGCCGGGATTCTGCCATGTTTTGGTAGACTATACGAAAAGCCAATGAAAAGGGGAGTTGCTCCGGGTCTGCTTTGCGCTGAACCAATCATGTGCTGAATTAGTAGCAAACAACTGCGTAGTGGCAGGTTGCAGCTACAAGCAACTACAGCACTTGAACACGTGAAGCCGAGCTTGTTATCAAGCTCTGTAATGGCTTAATAACGAGCCAATCATTTGAATCAGGTGTGTAGGAGCAGGGAAACATCTATAACATGTATGACAGTGGGCCAAGAGGACTGGACTTGAGAACCACTGCGCAACGCTTTATGACAAAATGTCGAAGAGACACAAAGGCCTTATTGTATTGTACTGTGAAAGACATACCAGTAGGCACTGTTAAATTTCATTTTTTTATATCGTGATATATATCACATCGACTGATATCATGATAATCTTTTCCCCATATCGCCCAGCCTTAATTGACAGGTACCTTTGGGTTTTCCTGGTTGAGCCTCTCCACTGCAGCCAGGGAGGTGACGAACACCGCCGGCTGACAGTGAACCGTCTTCATCAACTCCTTCTCGGGCCCCTCCAGGCACAGAGACAGTAGGTCGTACCCGAGGATTTTCTGAGCCACCGTGAACATCTCTCTAACATTGGGGTACTTCAGAAGTCCTTTACCCATGCCCACAAACTGACTGCCTTGGCCGGGAAAGAGGAAGACGGAGCAGTTGCTCGGGTCCTTTCTGGGTCTCTGTTGTGGCTGCTTGAGGGGAAGCTCTGGCTCGCTCTCCGGGAGAGGATGGTGGGTACCGTCCGTGGAGCCAGGCTGGCTGGTTGACAGTCTCCTGCTCAGAGAGACCAGGGACCTGACCTTCCCTCTGGAGGCTGCTGTTGTCAACATGGCGGACTCCTCTCCTACTTATGTCTGAATAATTGAACAAGCATCTATCATCCGCTTTGACTGTTGTTATCCACGAAGAGAAAAGTGTACTTTATCTCTGTTTAAAAACGGCTCTTCAGTCTGCATGGGACAGAGAGGGAAGCCGCCATCTTGAATATGTTGTCTTTCCGGGTCGCGATATGGTAGGGGAAAGTCCCGCCTCCTTCGCTTCTGATTGGCTAGAAGTACTGGGCTGGCAACTCCACCGTTGACTAGCGTCCCCTTCGATAGCTCAGTTGGTAGAGCGGAGGACTGTAGTGAGTACGCTCAGTGAATGGGCTGATAATAGAAATCCTTAGGTCGCTGGTTCAAATCCGGCTCGAAGGAGGAATTTTGAAACTCATCTACAGTCAAAACAGACTCTGACAGAGTAACATGTGACACTAGAAAAAATGTGACTTTATGGTAATTAACTATTTTGAATACTCATTCAGGATTGGCTCATAGGTCATGTGACCAAAATTGACACCTCCACCGCCCACTAGCATCCCCTTCGATAGCTCAGTTGTTAGAGCGGAGGACTGTAGTGAGCATGCTCAGAGAATGGGCTGATAATAGAAATCCTTAGGTCGCTGGTTCAAATCCGGCTCGAAGGAGGAATTTTAAAACTCATCTACAGTCAAAACAGAGTCTAGCATAGTAACCTGTGACACTTGAAAAATTGCGACTTTATGGTAATTTAGTAGTTTGAATACTCATTGAGGATTGGCTCATAGGTCATGTGAGCAACAGTGACACCTCCCCCTCGACTAGCGTCCCCTTCGATAGCTCAGTTGGTAAAGCGCATAGACATAATAAAAGGGTAGACCCCGCTGGGGGTGCTGCGCAGCGAGAAATGCGGCCGCCATCTTGGTCAGGTCAAGCTTCCCATACGCTCCGGTCAATCATATTCATTCATTCATTCATTCAGCGATGCCGGAGCACTGTGCGGCGTATTCCTGTGCCAACAGGCGGACAGCAGAGAACAGGGCTCAAGAAATAACTTTTCACAGTTATGATTAAACGTTTTTTCAACATTACGCTTGACTGTAGAGTCATTTGTAGGCCAAAGAGGAAGACTATCGGTCAACTCCAAAAAGGAAACAGCATTTGCGAACAGCTAGCTTATTCACAATAATAGCAACTTTGCTCTATTATCAACAGATTTGCATTAGATTGAAAAACTTTTGTTTGAGAGAGGTTCTAAGAAACGTTAAGAAATAAAATAGAAAGAAGAAGGAAGAAAGTGAGCTCTGTTTTATTATCTGTTCTATTAAAGATTTCTTTGTGGTGATCTCCTGTTTCATTTTGAAGATTTCCTAAGGACAAAAACTTGAGGAAGAAGTGGGAGATTGCTGTTAGAGGGAGAAGTTCGCAGCAAGTGATTCCTCTGTGCTGTGTAGCCAACAAGCAAATTGATATGTAGTTTAGATGCTGTCCTGTCATGCTGTTCTTGTGTTTAAATTTTTTTGATATGTAGGCTATATATTTGTGTGTATTTCTTTGTGTGTATTTTCCAGTTATTAAAATAGTGCTTCTATATGACATTATTTGTGTGTGTCTACAAATGGATAAATAAAATTAAACTAAATAAAATATAATCAAATCAATATATAATGAATTGGCCTATTAAAACCGCCAGTTATTAATAATTATTGAGACATAGCAGGAACCTAGCTCTAAACCTAGATATATACTTGATTAATTGTTATACTATAATACAGCCACTGCTCTCATGTTCTAAAATATCATTTTATTCATTCTGAGTATTTGAAAACGCCAAAAAAATATGGCCTCTATCATGCCTCTTTGAATGGCGTTTGCAGAGAAGAAAATTACGTAGTATTGAGCGAACTATGATTACTTTAATGCGCTCAGACTTCATTCCGCCGGTTAAACAGCGGTGCAGCGTGAGGCGGATGACCGGACCAAGATGGCGGCCGCATTTCTCGACAGCGCCCATTCATGGTAGCGGCCGATGCGGGGTCTATCTTTTATTATGTCTATGGGTAAAGCGGAGGACTGTACTGAGCATGCTCAGTGAATGGGCGTTCGTAGAAATCCTTAGGTCGCTGGTACAAATCCGGCTCGAAGGAGCAATTTTAAAACTCATCTACAGTCAAAACAGACTCTGTTTTTATGCTAATTTTGCTAACTTTATTACGCTAACTTTATGCTAATTAACTATTTTGAATACTAATTGAGGATTGGCTCATAGATCATGTGACCAAAAGTGACACCTCCCCTTCCACTAGCGTCCCCTTCGATAGCTCAGTTGGTAGAGCGGAGGACTGTAGTGGGCATGCTCAGCGAATGAGCGATCATAGAAATCCTTAGGTCGCTGGTTCAAATCCGGCTCGAAGGAGGAATTTTGAAACTCATCTACAGTCAAAACAGACTCTGACAGAGTAACATGTGACACTAGAAAAAATGTGACTTTATGGTAATTTACTATTTTGAATACTCATTGAGGATTGGCTCATAGGTCATGTGAGCAACAGTGACACCTCCCCCTCCACTAGCGTCCCCTTCGATAGCTCAGTTGGTAGAGCGGAGGACTGTAGTGGGCATGCTCAGCGAATGAGCGATCATAGAAATCCTTAGGTCGCTGGTTCAAATCCGGCTCGAAGGAGGAATTTTAAAACTCACCTACAGTCAAAACAGACCATAACAGAGTAACCTGTGACACTACAGAGCATGCAACTTTATGCTAATTTACTATTTTGAATACTCATTCAGGATTGGCTCATAGGTCATGTGACCAAAAGTGACACCGCCACCGCCCACTAGCGTCCCCTTCGATAGCTCAGTTGGTAGAGCGGAGGACTGTAATTAGCATGCTCAGTGAATGGGCGATCGTAGAAATCCTTAGGCAGAAAGTGGGTGAGTTGTGTTCAGTCTCTTTACTAAAGAAATCAGGCAAGGCTAAACAGATTTTTGGTGGCTAGTGCTGTGGCCGGGACCCTATACATATATATATATACTGTTGATGAAGTTAGGTGCTGTTCTGAGCATTATTTGTGGCTATAGAGTGGAGTTTTGGTTGAGTGCGTGGCTCTATGTATTGCTATCTGCGGTCGTTACTAAAGTTGGTAGAATTAGAGAAGCAAGCAGTACACGACATTCATCTCTCGACAGGGTATCTAACTCGATGTTATGGTGTGTTTGACCCCAACTTAATTCATTGTGTCATTCTTGCAGTAAAAGTACTGCACTAAAATGTCTTTGAGTGATGGTATATAATTAGGATGCTGATATCTTACGCCCCCCCCCCTTTTTTTAACTATACTTAATTTACATGCTTGTTAAATTATGATTAACATCCTTGCATATTTTGTCTTCAAAACAATTATTAAAGTCCCCATCCTCTCCCTCTGAAAATTCAAGTATAACTTGGCATTTTCATGAATGGTAAGAAGAAAGACAACATTGCAAATCCATGTCTTCATCAATTCATCAATAAAACTTTTATTGTACAAAATTGTAAATCTTACTCTTCAAATTCTGCATCACGCTGTGCTCATGTTCACGCACAATCTTCGTTTGCATTTCACCACATAAATACAAATAACCTTTGTTTAAGCATACTATCTCCAACTTCGCCTCTGCCTTTAACCAATAAAAACATTCCTTTGTAATGTCTGGACTCAGATTTGGAAACTTCTGGCACCTTGGAAATCACATTTGTCCGTTGGCTTTTTCCTGCATATCATCCAATCCGTCGGACAGCTTGGCGGCCTCCAGCTGCTCCTCCAGTCTCTCGTCGTTGTCTTCCGGTATCTGCATGCTCTGATTGGATCTTGTCTTCAACTTAGTGATGAACTCATTACTTGCCAGAGCTCCTTCCTTTTTGGGACACGTGCGTTTAGAAGATAAGCGATGTTCCAAACGTTCTAGAAAAACAACACAATATCAGTAAGTATGAGTGTTGTCTTTAAAGTATGATAACTATTTCAAGTAAAATTTAGTGTAAAGCTTCACAATGATCCAAGAAAAAAATTAATAACGGTTGCTCAACCCAGCAACTTTTTATTTATATTCCAGTTTCCTACCTTAATTCATTAAAGGAAACTTTAAGCATGTGAATACTCTGAGTGTATTTTGATGCAGCTCTACATCAAAATAAATATCAGAGAACATTTTTATAACTCATGTAACAATTGCTGGTTATTCACTCTGTATGTCTATAAGTCTGACTATGGAAAGTAAATAGAAACGCACACTCTCACACTTTCACATCCTTTTTAAAGAATTGCAGAATTGAGTAAAGTTTTTTCTCATTTTTGTGTCAATATTTAGTAATCGCACTTGGTTGTATGTGTCCAATATATGTTAAAAAATGTTTAAAAGATTAAAAAGCATTTCAAAAGAGAAAACAAACATCTCTACGGCACAATAAATTGTGTTACTGCCCAGCTTTCTTGATAGATAATTACCTTTCCGAGCTGAATACTTGATTTTGAATAATCAAAACCTGAAAACTATATTTAATAATTCTCAATAGCAAAAGCTCTGCCGGGATGAACCTAATAATGCAGTCTGCAGAGAGTAATCTAGCTTATGTCACCTATACCTGTTGACACTATGTCAAAATGCTAGTTCCCATTTCTCCTTTTTGTTTTTTGTTAACCTTGCTTCTACGAAAAAAAAGTCCTAATTTGATCTTTTTGTTATTGTTGGTGTTAAGTGGGTTTTTTTCAGATATAAATGTGTTTTATGTTTGCAAAAAATATAAACATTGCAGCAACTCAGGCTAGTCTTGAGAGTCAGGAAATAATTGGGGTTCATAAACAACACAAACAGGGTATAGTTAGATATGACAGCATTCTGGGAAACGACTGGACCATAGCCATATCTGGTAGAAAAAAGAAAAGCAAGATCCTGTCCTGCAATCAAGGCAACAGCTGCAGAGGTGATAAGTGTATCTCTAAATCACTCGTAACTTTTGTATTTTGAACTTGTCAAAGTTAACTTTCATTTACCTCAAAAACTCTGGTTTATAAGGTGCTACGGATGAAATGTTGTCATTATTTGGTAGAACCGTATTTAGAGTATACTGCACCTCCAGGACTGAGGGGTGTCATCAGGCGGTTCAGCTGGACGTTCCAGTGCCGCACATGTTGACTGGCGTTCCTCAGCCTCTCTTGTACTTCCTAAACAAAAAGAATTACAGTGAATAAATCATGAGAAGATTTAAGGTGCTGCAAACTGAGCTAATCTAAACACACCGTCTCCTTCTTACCTCCAGGCGTTGGTGGCTCCTTTGGCGAGATGCCCGCAGGTCCTGGAGCTCCATGGAGGCTGAGTGAAGAGCTGAGGGAGCGTCCTCGTCCATGCTGCCGTCTGGGGCCTCCTGTATGGTGCTGAGGCCCTTCAGGGATCTCTGCTGCTCCTGCAGGAGCTTGAACTGCTTCTTCTTCTCCTCCTCTACCAGCAGCAACCTGGTGAAGAGTAGAAAGAGGTGATCAAAAATAGCATGTGCATGTTGCTAAACTCCACACCTTTTCAACATATTTTTAAAACCTAAACACAATTTTAAGCAGTAACTGAACATGACAGACACACTTTTCAACTTTTTTTTTTAACTACAACATTACTATAGATTTAAAGAAGTTTTTTTTAACTGTGGATTTTTAACAAATTGTAAAACTATCAGTTCAAAGCTCCTGTGAGGGACTTTTAGTTTTTGTCAATTTTGGTGCCCCCTTGTGGAAAAATCAGTATTTTTATTGTTCTGTACATGTTTAGGTCGTGTTTTGTGATTTTAAAAAATCTCTTTTGATGACTTTTATGGTCAAATGTATCGTTTTTTTTAAGGAGAGTGTGTGTAAAATAAAAAAAAGAAGCTGTTTCTTCAGTAGCTCCACTGACACCTACACTCTGTGCACCAAATTCAGGCATACTAAATGCTTTAATGGCCTAAAAATTTGCTGTGTTAGTTTCTTATATTTAATACTTTTTAATACATAGCAGACACCCTGCATCATATGTAACAGACACTCAATTTGTAGTTGGTCTTGGTTGTACTCTGGGTTTGACATGGCCGACCCCTTTGCAAAGGTTTCATATAAAATACTTAAGGAAATTTTTTAGTTTTGACTGTATTTTAGATTTTTACAGCAGTGTAAAAAAAATATCTTTCTAAACCAGGTTGTAAATCTGTCGAAAAGACCTAATGGAAGCTTTTGTTTGGACACACTAAAAATTTAGGAACATAATTGGGGAAAATAACACTTTAATTCAGACCAACTTCTTGCTGAAATCGTAAATTCATCTACAAAATAAAAAAAATTATTGATTTATTGTGATTTATTGAGAAAGACGACATTAACAACAACAACAAAAAAAACCCTCTTGTAAACCAGTAAATAAAAGACTGCTATGATATAAATTGTAAAACCTTAAAAATAGAATGGACAGCTGTTTGAAAAACCAAAAAAAAAAAAGAAATTATGGGAAAACCGGATATTTTATACCTCTCAAAACACCTGCATACATTAAAACATATGGTTTAACCTCTTTGACTGTTCCTTCTCTGGGTCTGCTTTACAATAAAAGCTGAAAAGTTATTGAAGAAATAGTGACTGTAGAATCAACTATGACTTTATGTGACTCCAAATAAAAGCCATAAAAGGAGGGTGATCTCACTGTTGGACTTTGCAAACATCTGGTTTGTGGTACAGAGTAAAAGCAGGTGTGTGTCTGTTGTTACCTCTCCAGCTCCTGTCTGGCCCTCTCCTCCTCCAGCCGGGCCTGGATCTCCATATGGAGAGCAGCTTCCAGTTTCCGCTGCGTCAGCTCCAGATCGTGGATCCTCTTCTTCTGCTGCTCAGCCTCTCTGTTCTTCTCCTGCATCTCGGCCTGCATGCTGTCTCTCAGCTGGATAAACACATGCACACGCATTCTAGTTGGTGTGGAAAGAACTGACCTATTCCTGAATCACCTTTTCCAGGAATGCTATAACCATTTCACCACCATAAAAATCTCTAAAGGTTGAGTCTGGGTTTTATAATGGCACTGTTCTTGTGCTGTTTGCAGAGATTAAATTCTATGGCGTGGACTCTAAATGCACTCCCAGGAATTCATAAAACTTTCTCTTACTGTCTCTGCCTCTTTCAGCTGTCTCTCCAACTCCATCTGCACTTCTTTCTGTTTCCGCCTCTCCTTCTCCTCCGCCTCTCTCCTCCTGGTTTCCAGTTCACGTGCATGCTGCGAAACACAAAAGCAACATGAAAACTTAAGTGTTATTTAAGTTGAATTTATCATACTCTCACTGAGCCTCTCTTACCTGTATGATGCTTTCTATCTCCAAATCCTGTCTGTCTTTGTCTTTCTCCAACTTCTCCAGCTCTTGAAAACTGGAGTCGTCTGATTGGCTGCTGCGGCTGCTGCAGCTACTCCGGGAGCTCCTGCTGCGCTCCCGTTGCCTGTGTTCCCGATGGACCCTCCTCTTCAGTTTAAGTTCTTGGTGGAGGGAGGTTTTGCCCTCGCTCTGGAGACGGAGTGCGGTCTGAATGGCTAAGGAGGTAAAAAAAACGCACACATTGTAGCGACTGCTTTCCTTCAACAACAAAGACCGCTGGGGTTTAGGTTCGGTTGCATCTGTGACTTGTTCAATTATCAGTCCGGTTTGAGTGTTAAAAAAGTAATTCATAGTTCAAAAAAGGTAAGAAAACACGCTGATCTGGGTCCCAAACCTTCGCCTTCAAATGAAAAAGTGATATGATGAAATGAGGTTAAAACAGGATGAGTGAAACGGTGAAAAATTATCAGAGCTTACCACACCATTATCTGACTACACCGGTGAGATTTAAACAACCCGCCAAACATCCCAAAACCACACCCCTCAGTGACCATTCCCGGATGTGACGTAGCTATTAGAAATCAAACTCAGACCAAAATAACCAAAACTCCAAGGACCACCTGATCATACACATCATTTCAAATCAATCCAATCCAGGGAAAGAAGTCCATCACCTCTGCCTGTTGACAAAAAATGTCCTGCAATCCAGACAACAACAGCAAAGCAGGAGAATGCATCTTTTGAGTTGCAGATCAATATAAAGTAACTTAAACGGTGTTAAAAGTTGAGTGAATTTTGCCTCATTTAATTTCAAGGGCTTGCCACCTGACACATGACAACATTTACTTCTGCAGCAGACCCATCCACCTCCAGTGGACTCTGCTCACCATGTCAGAATCTAATTTGCATAACCAGCTCATTTTACATTACTCCTTACAAATCTGTGGACTTTGGACTATTAGTTGGACTAAAAACTACTTTTTTGGATGTGTACTTGCTCTAAAAATGACATTTTTTGACCCAAAGATAATAAAAAAAACCCACAGATCACTCTTTTTTTTTGAAAAATATACCTCTCAAACAACCACTGCAAGAATTTGTAACAGCTGATAAGTGAGGGGAGGATGCTTGTCTAAGTCCTTTCAGTGAATTGGATACACTATTACAAATCTATGGTTCTGTTTGGCATGGATCACAGATCTCAAATCTCTGTTAGCAACATTTTTCCAAAGGATAAAAAAGCTCTGCTCGCAGTGAGTAATTGCTGTCCTCGCCGTGGCAGCAGTGCAAAACCTAAATCCTACTTTCGACAGACATTAAAAAAGATTTAATCCCAAAATGTCTGAAAATTTCATTTAAAAAGTCTCAGATTAAAAGCCAGCAGCATGATCAATAGCAGCAGTTGAGAATAGAAGTGAGTCTGTACGCTAATACTTACACACCTTGAGTCCACTCCACCTTCTGTCTCTGGTCTGAGGAACTCATCTCAAAGGTTTTATTGTGCGTTTTGACACAGAGCATACAGCGTTTCCCCTCCCTGTCAGGAATAGGCTGCAAAAGTAAGAGGTGATGCCTTTTGAAAATGTCAGATTTTACACATTTAACTTTCTGATAAAACTCTGGTCTTTAACACAATTGTATTTAACATTCATTGTCATCATTACATCTCCTCACCAACCTCTACCACACAGTTCTTATCCAGCAGGATCTCTCCTCGCTTGTCTTTTAGGTCTTCGCTGACGTAGTAATCCATAGATGAGGGCTTCAGCACAAACCAGCGCTCAGTCCAGTTCCTTCTTACATGCCCTTTTTTCCACATATAACCCTGAAAACAAGGAAAGAAATGAAGGAAGAAGAAAGACAAGCAAGGTGAGAAAGAGGACACAAAAAAAACAGAAACTCACCCTCTTCAGGACGTTGTGATACATCTCCAGAAAAACCTCATCCAGAGCTATACTGAAGGCCTCAGCGCTAGTGATTCTCAGCAGGCGGCCCACGCTAACGTGCTCTAAGAAGCTCCACACAGACATGCCTTCATCCCGTGCTACGGCATCCTGGGATAAAACATCCTCCAGGGGCTTCTCATCCCACTCCTGGCCCATTGCTGTTGAGATTTTTTTGAGGAGATACTCCAGCTGAAAGGATTCAAACCACATCAAAGTGTCAGTGTCTGCAGACAGATCTCAGAAACGACACATTTGATTCATAAAAAGAGGTGCAACGTTGATGCTGATACTAGTTTTGATGACACTCTGAATCAGTCTATATGTGCAGCATATATGTTTACAAAGGAATTTACCACACTGATGGTACAAAGCAGTTTATTTTTGTCTCTTTAGACAGGAAACGGAAAGAATTAACGAGGAAGTGCAGGAAGGAAGAGACTCATTAACTCACTTACTTGCACTTGCATGTTCTTCTGCAGTTAAAATGCTAAATATGTGGATTTAGAGGGACATATGTGGGATTATATGGACTGTGGTATTTTTGTGCCTCATGTTTTTGCCCAGAAAGCCTTTCTGCCTTGTATTTCTGTTGCTGTATTTGTATTTATTTGGTCTGAAATTATTAGGGGAAGACATTTTTTTACTCTTATTTCAGATTTTGTATCAAAATTCGACTATTTTTTTCCATCCAAAGTTAAAATGACTGTATTTTGTATTTACATATGTAAATATCCCATGATAATATGAGCATAAACCACATCAAATTAAGTTGCCTTATTTTTTTTTCTGCTCCACACGTCAACTTTCCATCCTTTACCTCCTCTGGTATCATCACCAGCGGGTAGCGGTCCTCAGACAGGAGGTTGAATAAGCAGAAAAGCTTAAAACAGTCTCTTTCACATAGCAGGGCCCCCTCTGGTACACCCTTAAAGTTCTTCTTCCTGGTCATCATCCAGCACAGGTCGTCAAACTTCTCCTTGTCAAACATCCCCTCTTTGACCTGAGAGACACAAAAACATTTATAATAATTTTAATGAAAACGAATCACAATGACTGAAACAGACATGATGCTGATTTGGAAACACAAACTCTGGCCTCCTCGCCTACCTGCTGATATGAAACTCAAATGACTTAAAAACCAAGTCATATAAATACTTTTAAGTGTTTTGACCACTCTAAAAGACAAACAAAAGCTGAGCATTACCAACTATTTTCAGCAGTGGATGAATTCCATTTGGTAAAACAGCAGGAAGGTGCATATGAGCTTAAGTTTTAACACAGGAAAAGTGCAAAACTAAGCAGGTTGTTTTTGTTTTATCTCCAGTAATAAAAAGCTTTAAGTTAAACTTAATATATGCAGCATACACCTGACAAGTCAAGACAAACGCCTAATTTCAAGATGCTACAAGCCCACCTGAAATACTTGTGAGGAGTAAAAACTATACAAATGAGACAAGAGACTTGTCTTTTTAAGTTTCTTAAATTACAACATTATGTCTTTTTCTAGAAACCTAATGAAACCCTTGATTTTTTTCCTTGTCCTGTTGGGACATTTCTTGGATCACTGCAAACATTTCAGGTCTTCTTTTGGCTTGTAAAGTATTGGGCACAGCATTGGGGCAGAAAGCGGGACATTTCTTATCTGTTTACTAGCGGAGTCAACAGAGAAAGAAAATGACAAGGAGCTGTTGTGCTGTAAACTGCACGAATCGGCAAAACAAACAATCGGCAAACATTAGGACCCTGCTCCTGATATTAGAAATATCTAAAGCAACGTCACAACCTGGTAAACTGAGTGAAATTCATGGATATTTCAGCAAGGGTTTTTCTGATTTTGATGCAATGAAATGACATTTTATAGCAATTGTGTCAGGGAGAACTTGCAAACAGTACAGCATCTTCATTGATATCAATTCACTCCAAAGCAGGCTTTTGCCCCGTGGTAGCACACGCACCTAGTATTGTTGGTACGCAAGAAACCCGTCTATATTAAGTCTGTTAAAAGATATTTTTAAATAAAACAAAAAAGCTTTGTTTTACATTTTTAACAGTTATTAAACAGGTAAAGACAAAATGCCAGTTTTCATAGTTTTATGGCAAGATAGGAACAATGAGGTCGAAATACTGTCACAGCCACCTTGTTAACACCTTTAAGAGGGGGCGTGGCTACTAAAAAGCAACAATTAAGCCCTCCAGGTAACCACCCCACATACATTATCAACAAAAGAAATCACTGAGCTTATTAAAGCATCATGAACTTTCACCTTAAATCTATCTATGTAACATTTTACTTTAAAAAGCCATTTTATCATTTCTTTGCTGTATATACAGTACAGGCCAAAAGTTTGGACACACCTTCTCATTCAATGCATTTTCTGTGTTTTCATTACTATTTAAATTGTAGATTCTCAAAACTATGAATGAACACGTGGAATAATGTGCTTAAGAAAAAAGTGTGAAATAACTGAAAACATGTTTTATATTTTAGATTTCTCAAAGTAGCCACTCTTCGCTTTTTTGATAGCGCTGCAAACTTTTGCTGTTCTCTCAATGAGCTTCATGAGGAAGTCACCTGAAATGGTTTTTACTTCACAGGAGTGCCTGAAGGAACCCTGACAAGGTACTTCTGTCATCAAGAGCAAAGAGTGGCTATTTTAAAGAAACTAGAATATAAAACATGTTTTCGGTTATTTCACACTTTTTTTATAGGTACAAAATTCTACATGTGTTCATTCATAGTTTTAATGCCTTCAGTAATAATCTACAATGTAAATAGTCATATAAAAAAAAAAGAAAAGACATTGAATGAGAAGGTGTGTCCAAACTTTTGGCCTGTACTGTACATTTCGACAGATGGTTAACATCAGTTATCTGTCTGTCTAATACTGACCAGAGACTGAATATAAAGAGGGATTTAGTTGCTCGTCTTCGCAGCAAAGTTAAAAGCTGTGTGCAGGAAGCCTCCACACTTGCTTTCTTTTCAAGTATGGGTTTTAATGCACCTGTATTTGGGTATCTAGAACTGTCCACACCTTGAGTACAGGAGACATCAGATACGTGGCAACTGCTTGCTGCACACCTGGAAAGCCTTCTGAGTCACCCTCCTTTGATTATTATCTTTTTTAGGGTTTTGTGTCTTCACAAGCATTTGGTTGCTGTGTAAATTACAACACAGTATAAAAGCGTCATCACAAAAAACAACAACAGGTTTATAATGCACTACTCTGCCAATGTGAGCAGATCTGTGCAGTTTAAGTAACACTGTTTTTGTTCCTGATAATCAGAGGCTGGTGTTTATAGATTTACTTGCCGGTCACTGTACCTTATCCAGTATGTATTTGTTGAGGTAGGGCATGTAGCCATGATTCGACACCGGGCCATCATCATCATCTTGGAAGTGCTCCTCCAAGGCAACAGGGTCATGTGGGATATTCAGGACAGTGTAGAGGTTGTGGGAAAGCACCTGGAGAACAAAAAAGAGACATATACTGAATATTTTTACATGTACATATGGGAACTTTCTGGTAGTCTGTTATGCACTCCACACCTCTCCATAAATCCATAAACACACACAAACACCAGCAGTGGCAGACAGCTCTGAGTGACTGAGCATGTCAGGACAGATTTCTGCTATTTCCCTGGATTCTTCTTTCCTGTGGGATTTCAGTCGAACATGTAGTAACTAGACCAGTGACAACATGACAGAGAAAGAACTCCCTGAGAGGAAAGAAAGCAAGATAAATCTATTTTTGTTGCCCCCTCTTATTTTGAATGTATTATGATTCTATGTGTGATTCTGAGGCACAAACACAAGTTTTGGACTTTGAGCTTAAACATGAGACAGGGATCACTTTTCACCTCCAAGCTGAGCTGAATACGTGTCTCAGAAGCAGTCTTATGTTTGGATTTGTGTTATGATTTTGCTCCGATTGAAGTGTCGATTCACATGGTATACAACCTGGTATTTCACAGCATTTTTAAAGAAACGTAGAGGAATTGCAAAACAAGCTGTAAGGAAAAGTAGTGTCGTTAGAAGCGGTTTCTGCCCCCCCCGATCTGAGTTTCCTGATCTCATTCTTCCCTTAAAGGCCACCTTCCCTGCTTACCTTTAACTGCGACTTGGACACTTTCCCACACTTCTCGACGTCCAGAGATGTAAAAGCGTACCAGATGGACTTGAGAAGTTCGGATCGCAAATCCATTTTGGAGAACTCGTCGTGCGTAAAAAAGCTACATTTCCAAACGCAACGCGTCGACTTTTACGCAGCAGTGTTGCGGACCGCCAAATAAAATATGGGGCAGAGTACAAGCTGCTGTGCAGACTGCAAAGGACCAAAAGGAGACAGATGTAGGGCAGACCTAAAGAGGCGGAGAGTAGAGGTAAAGACCTGTATTTTCCTCCGGAACACGTTTCCTTAAACAAAAAGCAATCTTAAAAAATTTGGTTTACATTTCTGCCAACGTCCACAGGAAAAAAAATCTCTGTCAGATAAAACCAAGAGGTCAAAACTAGCACCAAGTGAAACTGAGATTTCAAGGTCTGGCACATTTATCCAGTTAGAAGTCTGATTTCCTCAAAATACTGCAAGTTAAAACCCAAATAAGAGGAAGCAGTGGTATCAGATTCAAGAGGCATACCGAGGCTTTAAAGACACACCCATTTGAGTAAAGACCCTCAAGGTACGTTTACATTAGCAGCTTCAATAGCCGAATTAATGGGGCATTACATTAACACTTAAAGCATATTTATACATTTATTTATTCAACTATGAGAGGTCAAGTTCTATTTTGAAAGATAGATACATTGGTATTTGAACTTATTTCATTTTGCATAGTATTTTTTATTTTTATTTTAAGTATTGTCATTCAATTTTGTGTAAATTTTGTTTACATTTTGGGTGATTTGTATTCATACCCTTATTGTTTTAGTCTATATTATCAAATTCAACACTACCAGTATCCACACTGAAACATACATGTGTTCTTTCATTGTAAAGAGCACTAAGTCTCTTCATATTGACAACGATTTTCATATCTGTTGATACCAATGATTGACTTTTTGGGCTAGAATTTGTGATATAGATATAGTGATAATACTATCCTGACAGAGTAATACATTTTTAGTTCTCCTTTCTGTTCTGAATATTTCATTAGTGTTTTGGGGACTGTGTAGATCTGATATTTTCAATCATTCACACAGCTCTCTGCAGCCACACCGCAGGCATTTAGCTTCCCTTTCAAAGAGTAACTGAGCACACAGTGTACCGACAGCCAAAAAAAAAATCTTTACTGGTGTTTTATCTAAAATGTTTCTGCTGGTTTTGCAGCCTCAAGGTGTAAGATAAATATCTTCTATAGCTTCATATATTCAGTGACAAAACAGCTGTTGGGGATGCAGCAACCTCAGGCAAAATGGGTTAAACAAGGACAGTGTAATCAGACAGAGAGCATCCGCAAGCCTCATTGGAGCACAATGTAGGCTAATCAATACCATAATAAGGTCATGGAAGTAGTAGTTGTTGTTTACAGGCCAGAGCGCATAAGCCTATTTGTCTCTATCACTGATACATGAAGGTCTAATAATAATTTGTATTTTTATTTCATACCACTCAATATGAGCCGAGGATGATTTTATACCCTATAAAGTGATCAGTACAGGTCAGGCTGTTGTGTTTTTCAAGCTGAGCTAAGTGATATCTGTGTCTGCCGTCTCCCATTCAAGGGCAGATCTAATCATGGTTGTCTCAGGTGCTGGAAATAAGATGTCATTCTGTTAGCTATAACTCTCGACTGCCTTGCCAGAGGTTCCAGTGAGGGACGACCACTCCCACAGCTAAAAATTTACCGCTCTGGCAGACATCCAGCACAGCGCTTATCATAAAACTAAGACTCAGAGCTGCCAGAGGTCTTTGAAATGCAGAGCATGGCTTGAACATGCCATCTGCGCGGTTAAGGGTATATTCAGCCTTCACTCTTCAATCTAAATCCAGGGTTTCAATTCATCACAAGAAGCTTTTTCCATTAGTACTTAATTTATTCATGGACAGCCAACCTTGACATTCTCTTACCCAGCGTCTAATCAATACTCTATCTAGTAATAAGGCAAAGATTTTATGTCATACTGACATCGTACAGTTTCAATCGTGCTTGTGTTCAGTGTTGGTGATTATCAGAATAAATAGTAAGGTATTTACAGCACGGAAGAGTTACAAGCGCAACAGACAGGCCTTTCCTAAGAGGAAGAAGAGATGTGTGATATTTGGCTGTCCAGGTGTTGAATTTCATCCGTTTAACCCAACAGTAGTTTAAAACACAGTAAGATGAGCTCACACTGTAAATATTTATTTGATTTAGATTGACAGTTTTACTCAAATATCATGTCTGAATGCGGATTTTGGACTAGCTATCACCCCTTAGTTAAACACCAAGACTTGGTTATGGGCTAAATAAAGAAGGTTTGCTAGCTTGAATCAACCATCTGGTAAGGTTTATTTATTTTAAAGTTAATCAAGTTAAAAATTAATAATGTTAATCTCTGTGAGTCTCCCTACAACAACAGAAAACTGAAAATAGAAGTCTGAAAATGCCATTTAAGGCTCCTGTGAATATTTGAGTCGAAAATAGTAAAAGCGCAACACTTGGACCTTCCCCCCACATGGGTTTCAAACACATAAAAAGGATATTAAAATCTTCAGTTTTGTTGAGTTTAGGTTTGTTTGCTTTGTATATCATTAGAAGGCATCACCATTAATGTCAGTCAATTTCATAAACGCCAAAAAGCCCCTCATAGCTTGAGAAAACCTGAATATTGATGGTTTAAACAACTTCAATTCAATAGTTCGCAGTAACTTATGGAGAACATGTAATTTAACTTGACTCAGTGATCTAAAGTAAACATATCTCTTGTGGCTTAAGACAAGATTGAGTTACCCCAATCAGAGGTTTGAAATGTAGTCACTCTAGGTATTAGTAATCTTCGCTTCTTCCTCAACAAAGCAAATAAGCAAAACATTTAATTCCCAAAGCTTTTTATTGAAGTCAGTGCCAATTTCGTGTTAAAGTGTAATTCACATCTTATCCAGGCTCCTTGTTTCATGCCAGTAGTCTGTCAAAAGGCTTGTGTTAGCATCTTGCTCTAAAGTGTTATTCACATTTATCGATTTTAAACAACTTGTGCTTCAGATTATACAAACTATAGCAACACAAAGACATCTGGAAAAACATTTCAAGCAGTCATTATCGTACAGCAAACTCATTACAGCCTTTCAGATGTATGTAGCACAAAATACAGACAGCGTTAGATCAGCTCTTTCATGAAAGGGACATCATGGCATAGTAACGTCTTTGTTTAGGGAAGACTCAGTAGGTGAACATCTGTTGAACACAGGCAGACTAAACCATGTAAAGGTGGAAAATTGCTGGTGAACATTCCTGTGCATTCAAACTTTGAGATGTACCAGAGAACATACCCAAAAGGGTCTCAATGATCATTTCCAATGTGTGAATGTGTTTTCAAAGACTCTACATATAGCAGCATATTAATACATGCATTATATTTACATGATTATTCAACAAAATTTATCCTAAGTTAGGAAAAGTCTAATCGTACTAGCATCTACATTTTGATATTTACAAGTCTGTTCCCTATCTGCTCCAACCTAAATTTATGATACTACATTAACCCTTACATGGCATGCAAAAAAATTAACTTAAAGCTCCTGTGAGGGGTTTTTCAGTGGTTTTGAAACTGCATCAAAAATGACCACTGTTACGTCTGTGTGCTACTAAAGCAAACGAGACCATAATCACTGGGGAGTATTATTTTAATTTTGTCAGTTTAATCCCTGAAATTGATGCCACATTGTAGGGGTCCAGTCAAGTGATTTGACCAAAAGTCTTTGTTTGAATTCCTCTGCCAAAAATCTGCAATGGGTCATATGTTTGCCTTTTCAAAAGAGGTTTAGTTTGTCCACAGGGGGCGCCAAACTCGACACGAAATGAAAAGGTCCTCACAGGAGCTTTTAACCAATCACCCCACTGACTCCTTCAAACAAAACTGATTAAATGGATCATTTTTGGACGGAAAAAAGGCAAAATAAGAGCACTAGAGTAACAAATTCTGATTATCTTACTACATCTACAATAACCACCATACAACTTATTAATAGTTACAGTAAGTTAAGCTTAATTCTTAGATAACATTTGGATTAGTCACTAAATTCTGCCAAATAGATCAACAAACAGAAAAAAATTCTCCCTAGCTGAAATTTGTCTCCAAGCTTCTGCTCAAGCTGGGTCACAGACTTCAAAGTAGGGCTATGTGATAAATTGACTTCATCAATTAATTTGCATTTGTGGTTTTGTAAGATTTATTGCAAATTAAGTTCTTTGTAAAAAATAAAATAAAATAAAAAGGGGATTTTTCTTGCACACATCGCCCAGCCCTACGTATAAGCTTCTTAATTTAAGTTGATGATAAACTGCTCAATAAGAGCAGGACATGTTCTATTCAGAGCTCTCGTGTCATAATCTCATACTGGGCTAAGGTAGCTCTTCAGTACCAATCAAACTGAGATGATTAATGAGGGAATTTCCATGCCCATCCAAGCCTCCAAATTTTCCGATTTTCTCCAAACTTACATTTTCTCAGTGAATACTTAACTGGACTTGGATACAAAAATAAAGCACCAAATTTTGCACCTCAGTAAACCGTTAATGCGCCACCACACGTCGACGCTGTCTTGGTGCCATTTTGTTTGCCAGCACACAAGCAAGTGCAATGCCTCCAATTTGGGTAAACGCCAACCCCAACACGGTGGCAGCGATGTGGAAGACGTTATCGTTGACCATGCTGAAGACTTTACGGAAGCAGCCGTGTGGATGAATTCCTGCGGCTTCAACTTCTTCAACATAATCTGGCAGGAGAGGACGGTTCTTGCAGCCCTTGCGCTTCACACAGCAGCTATCTGGTAAGGACACAGAGCTGCCGTTCTCGGTGGGTAAGAAGCTCATGTGCTGGATAGCCCAGTCTGAGGTGAGCCAGTCACGCCAACCCTCAGCTCCACAACACTCAAGGGCCCTCTGCAGGCTGTCTAATGCATCGGCACGGCCTTCGTCTTCAGTGTAGCCGGCCACCGCTCGCTGTAGGCCACTGCGAAATCCACCAGCAATGTCTTCACGATAGAAGAGACCTGAGAGTCCAGCAGCCAAACCCGCCACAAGTGCAGCGAGTTGAAAGAACCCGTAAGCCCTGAGAACGCAGGGGAGATTTGCGGCCACCCCAAGGCAGCCCAGGAACCCCCAGGTGGTGACAGCAGCCCCGGTAGACAAAAGGATGAGTGGGGCGTTGGGGTAACGATTGGAAGACAGCAGCATGAAGTCAGCCAGGGAAATCTGCGCCCAGACCCCAAGGGTGAAGATGGCCAAGCCAGCTGCCCAAAAGAGGCAGCTGAAGGCTAGGAGACCCAGGCGCAGGAGATGCATGACCCCAACTGGGCGGCAGCAAGGTGGGACAGCGCCCACAGGTGGAGGTGCCGGTGGAGCCAGGGAGGCCTCTGAGCCGATGGACAAGGAAAGCCGCTGCTGCTGTTGGTGGAGCTGCTGGTGGAGCTGCTCTTCCTGCTCCTGGTAGGGGGGCAGGAGATAGCCCGGGATCGCTGAGGGTCGGCGAGGAGGAGGAGGTGGAGTTAGCAAATCAAGACCCCGTGGCGAGGAAAGCCTTCGCACGGCCAGCCGTTCGTGTTCCCAGTCCAAAGACCGTCTGCTGGGGCTGGGTCGAGCTGACAGCGAACCGTAGGGCAATGCGAAGCTCATGATCCTGGCTCTATCTTTATGTACTCTCCTCTCTCTCTTCCACACACTCCCCCTCTCCTTTCCTTCCTCTATCAATGCTTTCACTCTCGCCCTCCTGCAACGCACACCCCCCCCACCTTCTTTATGACTGGTTATTAATCCGTCGCCGAGACCACCAATGCCGACCAGACTGTAAATCACACTGATGGTTGTTGCGTCGCGCCGTTATCTGCATCCACAGTCCCCCCTTGTTGCAACCGGTTTATTTGTTTATTACGGGCTTCTTTTCCACTTGCATGGTCAATAGCTCATCAAATTCCTCCTTCGATAGTCACATCCATACATCTGCTCACTTGCTGCTGCCCCTCTCTCTCTGGCCAAGACGAGAGGTGATTGCAGTGAAAAGAGCCTCGCATTTGTCCGTGAACACCCTCTCTCGGTGTGGAGGAGCATTTCTCAGAGTTTTACAATCATCTTTGAAGCATAAAAAGTCCTAGGGTAACTCTTTTGAGTTTTCCTCGTTTGTTAAAGTGTCAAACAACAATTACACATTAGGGCATCACTTGAACCAATACTAAATAAGTTATACTAAATCCTTTCATGAGTGTCGTATTTAAGCCTGTAACAAAACGCTTAATTCTTACAAGCGTGGACATTTATTTGTAATGACATGCAAAATAGAATTAGGTAAAGCATTTAAGATTCTGCAGTCGGAAAATACCGGACAAAACAACTCTGAAATCTCTTGACAAAAATAGGTGAAATTAAGCACACCATATGAGAAAACAATACTGATTGAATATGGGTGATACAGCCTTGGCCCACCATAAGTTTCCAAGCAGCAGTAATGAGGTAGATAAACTTCATGTGAGGTTATATGCAGGTATTAGATCAGAGAGGCAGAGGGAGAAGCTGAGAGGTCTGCAAGTTCATGCAGTATGGAAGACGACCGAGGAGTGAATCATGCCTGAGGTTCTGCCATGAAGTTTAGTTTGTATTTGTGTTGATCTTATCTTACTGGTTATTGTAATGGTTATTTGTTTCTTATTGTGTATTTATTTGTTTCGTAACAATAGTCCCATATGTCATTATTGACGACCCAGTGGGTGACTGAAAACACATCATTACACACACAGGAGCGCTACTTTTCACACTACAGAAAAGTCATTGAAGAATTTAGATAAGTTCTTATTTTTTTATCTAAATAAAACTGGTAAGTGAGGAATGAATGCATCTTACCACCTCTCTTTAACTGCATCATGATAAGTGATTTCTGCTCTCTACTGACTTCCTCACTAAGTCAATCCTCTTCTCAATCAGAGCTAATTAAAGCCTCTCAGTTAATTAAACACAAAGAGATTGATCTTTTCATAGGACCTAATAGTGGCATGATGACAGATGGGGTATAGCCCGATAGATTGGCAGGGCAAGAGGAGTATTTAATGTGGTTTGTTCAGACCATTACATTCCATATTTTACGCTTATCGAAGAGAATTAAAGATGATTTCTCTGAATAAAAACTGCACTGTCTTATGTATGATTTCTGAACACTTAACCAAGACTCAAAGCTTCTTATTCTCCAGTGAGCTGGATAAAAGCAGAGAGGATTTTACCACAGACAGCTTGAGGTCTGCGGAGAAAATGAGGTTATGTTTATGGTGCTTGTAATTAATCTTTGCTCTATAACCACCAATTGACTGGGTTTTATGTGCAACTCTGGACAGAAATGAAGGACATACATCACCTGACGGTTGCAGGCTGTGATATCAAAGAAACCTCTAACACAGCCCATTAAAACACAGCTGAGGGAGAACCAGTCCTCTATTTCTGTGACTGCAGAATCACCCTTTTAAATGGGGAAACGGTTGGGAAACTCCCTAAAACTTCTCAAACTATTCGGCTTTCAAAACAAGAAGTTCTTTTTTTAATTTAGTATCGTATTAAAGGGGATTTACAGGCCTGAATTGGTCAAAAGATCATTTTAGAAAAGGCTAAATAAGATCACAATACCGCACTACTAACTTTCACTGAGCTAGTTCTGAGCACCATGTTGGTTTAGCATATTCATATGGGCATTTGCATCAAACCCCAAAACAATTGTCTTGACTGAATTTGTCCCACGTTTTCGAGGTATTTGAAATAAATTTGAAATTTACCTGATGATGAAGTTATCTTGAGGGGCTTCATATCTGTAGGCTTGCACATTTCATGAGAGCAAGTCCAATCCTCATGGTGGTGCTGTAGTAAATAAAACAAAAAAGTTCAGCATTAATGTTTTCTGTGAATCTATAACAGTCTTTTTAAGTAATCACATTCAGATGTATTTTACCACTCTTTTAAGGAAGTCAAGGGATGTTTGAAATAGAATACATCACAACATCCTGACTAGTAATAATACTTCTATCAACTCACACAAGATATCTGCTTCCCTTGTCTTCAAGTAGCAGAAGTAGTACAAGTTAGCTGTATTTAGCCGGACAGACTCTGTAGAAATTGAACATAATAGTTCTATGTGTGTTTAAATTTCTGTTTAGTTACCTGAATATAAAAATCCATTTGCTTTCGTAAACTTAGATTTTGACATCCTCATAGAGGCTTTCATCTAGCACCACCATGTTCCTGTTGTAGCCCAGAGAAGACAGACTAGTGATACCCACATTTGCCTGCACAGAGCACCTGTTGCAGGCAAAATAATCTGCATTACTGTTTCTGGTGGTGGAAACTCAACAAATGGAGGATCATACTTATCATGATTCACAGGAGCTTCTTGTCCTTGAAGGCCACTGCTGCTTTGCCATTGGCAGGGGTGGGCAAGGGAGTGCTCTTCTGATGGTTAGATATCTCCAAATATTTCTATTTCTTCACAATGCACCTGTAACTTATCAACATGTGACTCATCACACAACACAATAATAAACCAAAGGGAGAGGAAAAGAGCCTGTGCTGTGAAAGAAAGCTTTAATGGAATGATTTTGGTCTGACAGTGATCATTTTAAATAAATGTTTTTTAGAGTAAGGTAAACATTATTGTCGTTTTCTTAAACTTGGAAGAAAATTACAAAAAAGTGTTCAAGCTTAAAGTGTGAGAATGGGTTGAAAAACAAAAAAAACTAAGAGAGACATAGTTTAGAAAATGCAGCAGTATCAACAGTCACCATCATTACTTCACAGTTAAAGAAAGACAAGGAGCAGCAAACTAAACTTTTCACTATCTTTCCTCATGATTATTTTGGATTTATTTGCCTGATTCCTTTATTGTGTCCACAGATTGTTCAGCTCCCTCCTCCTGTGTGTGTGTCTCCATGTGTTTCTTCAGCTTGGCTTTGGATGCAAATGTTTTCATGCACTGTTCACAGTACGGCTTCTGAAGCCTCAGCCCAGAGTGGCTGCGCTTGTGTCTTGCCAGCTCCGATGAGCTCTTGAACTTGAGCTCGCAGATGCTGCAGGGATATGGCCTCTCCCCTGTGTGAATCCGCTGATGCAGCTGCGCTTCACTGAGCGTGAGAAAAGACTTCTCGCAGTGACTGCAGGGGAACGGTCTCTCTCCGGTGTGGATCAAGTTGTGCCTGGTGAGCGCGTATGGTTTGGTGAAGCCCTTCCCACAGTAGGTGCAGGGGTATGGGCGAGCGCCTGAGTGGGAAAGGATGTGCTCCTGTTGGGTTTTCTTGCTCTTGAAGCGTTTGTCACATTGATCGCAGGAGTAAGGCCGATCGTCTACGTGTGACCTGTGATGTTTCGAAAGCTCCCCCTGTGACAAAAAGCCCTTCCCACACTGAGAGCAGAGGAACGGTTTCTCCCCTGTGTGCATCCTCTCGTGTCTAGCTCTCACTGAAGCCAGCGTGAACCTCTTGGAGCAGTGTGAGCACTGAAAAGGCCGCTCTCCTGTGTGAACTCTGAGATGTTTAATGAGCATAAAACGCAGTGAGAAGCGTTTGCTGCACTGGTCGCACTGATATGGTCGCTCTCCTGTGTGTGTGGATAAGTGCCTTTTCACATCAGATCTCCGTGTGTATGTCTTCTCACAATGAGGACACTTAAACTGACGCTTTACTAAATGCACCTGCCGGTGCTGGGAGCGAGCGAGCAGGGTGTCAAAGCCCGCACCACACTGGTGACAGATGTAGCGTTTATTTGAGACGTGGGATTTTCTGTGCTCGAGCAGCTCGGAGGGTGAGGGGAAGCTCTGGCTACAGATGGAGCAGATCTGAGGTAGCTGGCTCTCCTGTGAGTGAGACTTCTTGTGGTGGACTGTAAGTGCACGGAGGTTAGCGAAGGAGCTCCTGCACAGCTGGCAGGAGAAAGAAATATCCACACCGTGATTTTTGCTCTCATGTTTGGCCAGATCCCACGAGTGCTGGAAGGTACGGTCACACTGCGAGCAGTGAAAGGGTCTCTCTCCAGTGTGGGTGAGCTGATGCCTTCTGACATCAGAAGTCCTGGTAAACGTCTTCCCACATGTTTCACAAGTCAGGGCCTTCTGCTTGCCTTGGGGCTGAGACAGGTTGACTTTACTTTGTTTGTCTGTCTGTTCTTCTGTCCCATGATCCGAGTTTCCTTTGGGGAAAAGTTTAATGGATGTAAAAATTTCATCAGAGCTGGAAGGAGACGGTGTAAATTTGGCTCCTGAGAGAGTCCTGTACTCTTCAGTGGGAACACTCTGCATGTGGAAGTGAGGAGGGTTGTTTTCCCCTGAGCTGTGAAAAGGACACTGTGAGCAGGTGAAGATGATGGACACCATGTTATCCGCATCACCTGCAATTAAACACACAAATATGAATGAAAAAAGTGGACTCCATCATATAAAGTCTAATAGCTTCTTCTACTTTATGTGTTCAAAATACCTTCAGCTCCTTTTACAGCTACAACACAGGGTGCGGCTGACACATCAGCTCTGCTCCTGACAAAAAGAACACGTTTTTTTTTTGAGTCAGTAAAATGGACATAAGTTTTTAACATCTTTTGAAATAATTGTTTTGTAAAACCTTTTAACAAACACTTTAAAATATGGAATAAGGAATATGTCAAACTGGTATATGAGAGACGTGTCTGGTTTAGAGGGGGCTCAAAAGTTTAAAATGTCTTCCTCTAAAGATTTATGATCTTTATGTTCAGCAATATGAACTTTATATGCAACTGTGCAGTTTTTCTTTTAGTTTTAAATTAACAGTTTACTGCACTTTTCTTCGAGTGTATGATTACGACTTAATAAGGGAGTAAAAATGTTAAAAAGTTGTGCCACAGGACTGGTCCACCTGCATTTTATACTATATATTGGTGGCACCAGCTTACAGAATGCAGCTCATTTTTAAGATAACAAAGAAAGTATGAAAGAGCATCTGAGATTAACCGCTCTTGGAAATAAATTCCCTGCGAGTTACTTCTTTATTTGTAACTTCTGCAAGGAAGTTAGTGGTGGACATTTATTTAAAGTCTTATCATGAGGAAATTCACAGATTTCTCAACATTTTCCAAAATATGCAAGTTCCCCAGTCTGGATAGATTTGCTTGGTTAATGGTTATTTTTTATATCGGTCTTGAATCAATAGTTATTAAGTTCAAGCTCAGGTCAGCATACAAACTGGGAGCAGAGGTAAACAGCGAGCCTGTCACCATGCAGAGATAACAAAGTCCACCTAGCAGCAATTTAAGTTCAGCTCCTTTAAAGGCTTTATCTAAAAGGGAGAAAACAGTGTTTAAGTGTAAATGTTTTTCATACATTTTTGGTTCTTCGCTTGCATCTTTGGATGATTTCTTGTCTCTGTGTGTACTGTGCCAGCTGGTTGAGGTCTTCATATGTAAGCGAGTTGATCTGCGCACACTAGCTGAACTAGGAGACTGCTGTACTTCTGAGGTTGGATCTTCCTCTGTCATGTCTTGGTTCGTAGGGGAGGTTTCCAGGTTGTCCCTTAAGACTTCACAAGAGCTAATGTTGCTCTCTGTACCTCCATATTGTACATCCTCCTTTACCTCTTCAACAGTGTTTCCTTTTTCTTCCTCTAGTGTATTTACTGACTCAAGTTCATCATTAAAGTTTGAGACGTTACTCTTTTCTGTTTGTCCATCCTGACTGAGAGTCTCCTTCCTCAGCGCAAATGTTTTTGCCAGAGTCTCCAGAGCTTTGGCGACACCCGCAGTTTCAGTCGTTTCCTCCGTCCTCAGGCTGTCAGCCTCCTCAGTACCAGCGTTCTCTGTGCTCATGGCTACGATCTCTTCTTCATAGAAATCTGTCTGAACTTGAACTTCTGTAGACTCAACCATTTCTTCATGGAGTTCAGACTCTCCAACTTCCACTTCAGTATAGACAGCTACAACGCTGTACTGATCGGTTCCGACAAAAGCCACAGGGTTTACCACATTCGCATAGTTGTGGATTGAGTCCAGTCCAACAGAGATGTTAGTCTTCTGTGAGGGAGGAATGGATAAAGCAGATATGATGCAGCTGCCGATGGTGGATGAAGGTCCGTCTGTAAAAATAAAAAAGGATTTAATAGCTGGATAACTTCACTTTTTAGATAGTTCCTCTTGGATATTTTTTTAGACTTACAGGTGGTGCAGGAATTAAAAACTACTGATATTCTTTTCAATACCCTCTTATTAGTGATTATTTAGTTATTTAAGGCATCATATCCTAATGATAAATCACAGAGGAAGAAAACAAAAAGGAGCAATCTTGCTCATTTTACCAGATTATTGACACATTTAAATGAAACAGTCTTAAAAAACTCATATGGACCATGACCTGGAAACAGACTCATCATTTCTGCTCTACTCACACGGCATTTTAAGCAATCCTAAACTCTTGTAGTGCTTGAAGATTGAGCTCAGCTCCTCGGCTGATGATAGAATGCAATCCTCCAAAACAGAAGGAGCCGAGCCAAGCCAGGCTGCAGTCTATAATCACAAAGCACATAAGATAAGATAAGATAAGATGTTTCTTTATTGTCCCACAGGAGGAAATTCCAAAATTATAGCAGCACAGTACAAAAAGAGAAAAAAAAAAGATAAAGAAACTTTGAGTTAAAACAAGATATGTGCATGCGTCATATTTACATCTTTACAGAATTTGCATAATAACAGGGTTTATTGCACATTGAGGTTCCTGTTGTGGAGTCTGACAGCTGCAGGAAGGAATGACCTGTGATACCTCTCCGTCACACACTTTGGGTGGAGCATCCTGTCCCTCAAGGAGCTGAAGAGTGTTTGAATTTCTACATGTGTTTGAATCTACAGTGAATGACACGTTTTTAGATGCAGAACAACCTGAGATATCTCAGTGAGCTGGATGATTACCTGTTTCAAGTCTGGAACTGGCAGCAGCTTTTCGAGCTTTGACAGCAGCTCCCATAATAACACATGTAGAGCAGCATCATACTGTGGCCCATATTCTACAGGGAACACCTCCTGTGAAAGATCATACAGTATTAGCTTGGAAAAAAGGCTTTTGTCAGGATGTTCCTACACAAAGAATAAATGAAAATCTGTCTGACCTGGAAAAAATATGCTCTCTCGACTGGATCTTTCAGCAGGCTCTGAACAAGTGCGATAAAAGTGGACTCTGTTGTCTTCATCTCTGCATCCCTGTACTGCCACAGATAGGATTCATGTCATTGGTTGATCATTATTTTTCAATTTGATAAGTCACTGGTGCACTGTACTTACATCTGCCTGAGTAGATGTCATTGGGAGTTTTTCCAAGTAGCTCTGGATTGCTTGAGTGTCAACTGCGCCCCGGATTGAGCCTTTGCAAAGCTCCAGAATCAACTGAAATAGCAACAACATGTCACTGCAAAGTTATCTCAGCTGTCCTGTTAATACCATACCTTTGAGAAAACCTTCTCCTCACCCTCGCTCTTAAACCCAGGATTAACTGGGCTCTCTGTCTGTGGTTGATCAGTCCAGGGACCGCCTCAGTCACCATGAATACAAACTCCTGGAGCTTCTCATAATTCATCACATCTTTCTGCTTAACCAGCTGCCACATAGCTGCAGAGAGGAGCTGCAGAGGGGGCACCAGGAGGCGAAGCGATGGCAGAGGCAGGCTTTGGTCTGAAAGGTAGCAGTGAGTGTAATATTAGAGATGGTCTGTGGAGGGCATCAGTGGGCTTTGAACTGAAGATTACAGCAACTAGTGATGGGCACGGTAGTTCTTTTAGATGTACTGAATCACTAGAATCAGTTCATTAAAAAGATTTGTTCAAAAGATTTGTTCACCAAATCACTGAATCATTTAGCGGGAGAAGCCTACGACTCCGACCTCCTGAACTGATACACAGCTGAGCGATTCAGGATTCAGTTCAATTCATAGCTTCTGGGACCGGGAGATGAGAATGTTTTGCTGTGTTGCTTTGGCAGACATGTTTGTAAAAATTAACTTGTTTATAAGTCATGATGTTTTAAGAGTACTGTCCTATGGTATGCTATTTATCAGGTCTTCTCAGTAAATTAGGGTCAGTGAGTGATTCCTTCACTGAACGTTTTAAAGAATTCACACTGAACATGCACTGTTCCCTCGCAAACCGCTGCAATGATAGGATGCTGCAGGTTAATGCACTACTTGTTGCATGCTGTGTCCTATTGCATGCAAGTTGTTGTGGTGGCAATTTAGCAGTGGAAAAAAAAGATAGTTTTGTCCAACAAGAATGATTCCAGAGAGTGTAGTTCAATGCGTGATAGGAAGTGATTCACTTCAGTGCGTTCACTTAAAAGATTCGGTTCTTTTGAACGAATCGCTCGCAAACGACACAACACTAAAAGCTACAGACACTCTTGCTGACAGTAGTAAAACTCCATGCATCCATAACGCAAGTTATTAAACGATAAGGGAGTACATAGAAATTCTACAGCAGAGGTATTACTTGGCTTGATGAAAAAATTCAGACAATCCATCCAATTTTAGTATGTTATTTTGAAACATAGCCACGGTACAGTATAATTGCTGGACAAATCTTTTCATTCATAGTGAAGTCGCAAAACGTAAATGTTTCTGAGGCTGCCTTTAACATTACAGACCAAACAAACATCAAACGTGACATTTATTTGTATGATATGAATATAAATAAACATGCATTTTATGTAGCGGCATCAACCTGTCAGTCTACAACAGCTATTTCTCCACTAAATAGACGGATCCTGCTCACCATCTGAGTAACATAAATGTAGTCTGCTTCGGACTACAAAAGGAGAAAATTATGAGTATCAGTACCATGTAATTTCTCTGTTGATCCCAAAACCTCCATTTGTGCAATGTGATTCCAAAAGCTGATAAGAGATAAATGTAGAAAAATGTTCGCCTTTTAAGGCTAACATGCGCTGATAGCACGCAAGCGCCCGTTTCCTCAACTCGTCTACTCTACTGCGTTTCCTTTTTCAAAATAAAAGTCTTTGTTTAAATATTGCAGGAACAAGTGTGTTGTTTGGACAAAAAGGTAATTTTAAAGTTTTGCTCCAACACTGTCAGATTCTATGAGATTATTGCTGTACTTATTTATTTGGCTGTTAAAGGCTTGTTTTGTGATTTGCATATGTGTTTTTAGTTTTTTGGGTGCTTTGGGATTAGCTGTTGTGTCATTATTCTGTAATGTTCACGATTCATTCAAAAGAACCGAATCTTTTAAGTGAACGTCCTGAACCGAATCACTCCTTCATGTGATTCATTCGTTTCTCACTTCAGTTGAGCTGAAGTGAGAAAAAGCATTGCCAGGCCAGCAGCCGGCGAACGAGGAACCATGTTCAATGACGCCTGAATCACTTAGTGAACGAATCACGCATTGAACTGCACTCTCTGGAATCATTTTTGTCAGACAAAACTACCTTTTTTTACTGCTAAATTGCCGCCACAACAACTTGCATACAATAGGACACAGCATGTAACAAATAGTGCATTAAACCCGCAGCACCCTATCATTGCAGCGGTTTGCAAGGGAATGGTGCATGTTCAGTGTGAACTCTTCTACTGTCAGGTCTACTGAGCAGACCTGACAAATGACATACAATAGCACAGTTCACTTTAAACATCATGACTTTTGCCAAAGGAACACAGCCAAACACTCTCGTCTCCCAGTCCCAGAAACTATGAATTGAACTAAATCCTAAAACGTTCAGCTGTGTATCAGTTCAGGAGGTCAAGGTCGCAAGCCTCACCCGCCAAGTGTTAAGTGATTCGATGATTTGGTGAACGAATCTTTTGAATGAATCTTTTTAGTGAACTGATTCTAGTGATTCAGTACATCTAAAAACAATGAGGTTTATGTTTATATTTTACAAAAATGGAAGGGAACCTATCATTATCACTTGTACATAATTATCACCAATGACATAATGCAGAGTCTGCGGTAATAATCCGCCTGTCACAATACATTTAACCGTCCGAGTGACAATGAAAATGTTAAAACAGCAGACTTTCTATTAACCCATCTTAAAAACAATTTAATTTTTTCTAAATTTTTCTCAGGAGAAAAGCCTCGGGAAAAAATTCCCCTTTGAGTGATTTAAATTGTCATTTTCATGCGCGAGGTAGAAAGTTAACAAAATAAAAGCCCGGAAATATCCTTCTGACGCATGTGACGTCATGACGCAATCACTCAGTCCAGAGTCACATGAAACATTTCACAGCACATATCCTAATGTGTCAATTTCTGGCTTTTTGGAAGGAAAACATCACCTGTTTTCAGTGACAGCGACTTTTAATCTGCAGGAAGTGTAAAAATTCATCATGGATGAGGACGGGCTTCCGATTGTTGGCTCTGGAGTTGATCTTACAAAGGTTAGTATTTGGCAGCGGGTTCACATAAACCGTAAGCTAGCTGGCAGACGGTCAGCTGGGTGTTGTTTAAAGGGAGCTTTCAAAGGTTTAAAGTCAGTTTTATTTTGTTTCTTAAAAGAGATACAGAGCTCTCATGGTTTATTCAGCCCTTGGTTCCTACATTAGCTTTCCTTGTGTTTCCCTCAGGTCCCTGCCATTCAGCAGAGGAGAATTGTTGCCTATCTCAACCAGTTCGTGGCGCACACAGTCCGCTTTCTCAATCGCTTTTCTACAGTTTGTGAAGAGGTTTGTATATCTAAATGCGCCACTTTCTTTAAACACACACTCTTTTAAAGATTACCTGAGCTGTCAAACTTCTCCTCCACAGAAACTGTCAAACATCTCACTCCGCATTCAACAAATTGAAACAACCCTGTGCATTTTGGAGGCCAAGGTGAGTCTCTTTGTCGTTTCTGTAGCTGCATGCATGTTAAATTCATGCATTTAACAAATATTAACCATTGTGATGCTCTGGGCAGCTGTCCTCCATTCCTGGGCTGGAGGATGTGACAATAGATGGACCCAGTCAGCAGCAACCCGCTCAGGCAAATGGACCCACCACCTCTATTCAGAGTCAGACAGATGTTCCACCAGCAGCACCGCTGCCTCCCCCAGAGGTAAATGCACAGACATGCATATCTAGCAGGGAGATTCTTTAGGATTTATAGCAAATTACATTGACAAGATTCTCTGAATGTATTTTGCACTTTCATGTGGAATCCATATGCAGATGGGATCTAGCTGGATTGATGTCACTCTGTGTCTGGGGATTAAATTTAGATTTAACTCATTAAACACCCTTTTAATTTGAAGATGCCTCAGGTTGTTACAGTCCACAGCAGAAAGGAGTCAAGTTGATTTGAGGAAGATATTCACAGTTCTAAAAAGCTAAATGACTCTTTTCTCTTGCGGTTACTCCCCAATCCTGCAAATCCTGGAGAAAACACTGTAGGGTCTTCAATTTTTAACAATACCAATATTTTTCAATGTAAGATTAACAATTAAAGCTGTATTCTCCTTAACAATAAACACTAGCATGTTAATCTGTACAGTAAGAAATAACTTATGAAAGAGAGCATCTTTGATGAACGATTATTGGATATGCATTTTGATTTTAAAGTTTGACCCATGTCCCATTTGTTAACATGGAGGGGGTGGGATTTACAACCCACATTGCAGCTCGTCACTGTGGGGGATTGGACATAACTTTTAAGGAGGCTGTTACTTGAGTCTAGGTTTGGGTTCTGTCTACGGTTCCTTCTAGTCTGTCTTTCATGCTAAGCTAAGCTAAGCTAACCAGCTCCTGACCTCAGACTGTAGCTGTATTTGTATTTTGCAAAGACAAAACTACGACTAAAGCAAGTGTCATTCCAGCACGTTTTGTTTTCTTTATCTCTGTATTTGGTGGTACAGCCTGCCCAGACTACACCAGAGTCCACAATAACGGAAACAATAGAGGAGAGTGCAGCTGCGCAGAATGTGATGACCGTGGCGAAGGACCCGCGATACGCCCGCTACCTGAAAATGGTTCAAGTGGTAAGACCTGCTCCGGACCATGTGGTATTTAAGAATTCTAAAATCACTGTCATGTATATTTTAACAAATATATCTATTTCTCTGTCACAGGGAGTTCCAGTCATGGCTATAAGGAATAAAATGGTTTTGGAGGGACTGGATCCTAACTTGCTTGAGTGAGTATTACATGATTTTTGGTCTTCTATGCATGTGGACTAATTGAATCGAGTTTAATGACAATGATCAACTCTTTGATGACAGCACACCTGATGCCCCTGTGCCTGACGGAGCAGCGGGGGTCTCAGAAGATCAAGATGTCGCTGCCACAAGCTCGGACAGTGAATCATCTTTTAGCGACTGATATCTCACATCTCAAAAAGCTCCCTGTAAAGATTCTCTGCACACCTGAACTCAGAAAGTTTGTAGCTGTGCCTGTAAGGACTTAAAAAAGGCACAAACGTAAGTGCCTGAAGCAGAAGAATCCAACCAGTGTGATTGTCAGAGATTAAATAGTCTGCCATTGACCTCCATTTTGATACATTTCGCATTTTTAATGAACAATTATTGTAAAAAAAAAAATCCTCATTAGTTATAATAGCAGTAGCCCTTGGGACATGGCAGTAGCAAGTATTTTTTGTACTGGAAGAAATTAAAGTGATTCATAACCTACAGAAGATACTGGCGTGATCACAGGACAGCATTTAGAATAAATGTACAAATATGTTTGTTGAATACTTTGAATGTTTAAGTCATGAATTGTAAATTCTTGTTAAAGCTGGAGTCACAATCATGTTGGATCATGTCTTTCACCGTGTGACTTTTCCTCCCAAAAATCAGCTGTTGGTCTAGAGACTGTTGGAAAAGTTATGACAAGAATATTTTGGCCTCTTGTCCTTAAACTGGATGCTAAATATCACCTCTTCTCATACGTCAGAGCAGCCAAAACTGTGATTTCTCTGGAGTTTACTTTCACTAAAGTTACAAGTTTATGTCCTATTACAGATAATAAACTAATTGAACAGCAGCATACTTTTCCAATGTGTCACATTGTTTTTTACTATGTGGAAAGTGGACTTCTTTAGTGAAAAGGAAAATAGTTCTCATTGTCAAGTTAGAGGGAGGAAAACAAGAGTAAATACACTGTTGTGGCTTTGTTCGTTAAGATAGATTACATTTTTTCTGAAAGCATCAAAACCACAAAGACTTTTCCGCTGAATCATAAAGTGAGCTGCGAGTGCAATTGCTTTACCAGTAGAGACAGTGAAATCTGTTGTAAGTTGTTATTTTACCCAGGAGGTGGTGCTATAATCAAGCTAAAACTCAGACTCAGACAAAAGCCATAATTTTTGGAGTATTTTCACACTTGATGTTATTATGAGCTAATCAGATAAAGTTATAAAGTCCAAATTCAGAGACAGCACTCACAGCAAAATATAACAGTTCAATGTTTTATATAGAAAAGTAAAGCAGACACTGTGTACTAGATTTTAATTGTAATTTAAAAGCGTCATGTTTGCAGTAAGAGTCAGTGAAATCTCATCAGACTTCAAAGTGTTCGGTTTTGGATGGGTTGTATTCTCAGGAGAGCTAATATGGAGGTTCAGGTTCACCTACTCATTGACATGTTCTGCAACTTGTGTACTTTCCATGACAAAGACGCCTTTCATTGTTTATGGTCTTTTTTAATCAGTTTGCTATAAAAGGTGTACCATCTTTACAGCTCAGCAAGTGCACAACAATCTGTACATTACCTTGTGTCAAATGCAAAGAAGCACCAATAGACAATTATTGAATAAAAAAGGTAAATCCCTTAAAAAAATACAGTATTTGTAGTATGCAAAGTTGATTATGTGTGTTCATATGGCTTCCACTGCAGCATGTCCACTAAAACTTTACAGTACAGTCCCTTATGTCAGTCACATCTCTTAAATCCCTTCAAGTGAAATACACACAGCCAGGTCCTCTTTCATTTGGGCTACAAAAACAGACAAAACATGACACAGACATACAAGTCTTTGTAGGAAAAGCTTCTGTTAATGTCATGATACTTGTATCTTTGTAGAAATAATGGCTTTGACAATGTAAGCTGCTCCCAACTTAGGTATTTCACTTCACATGTGTGTGTCAATACAAGAAACATTTGCCTTCCATTTAAAATCCCACCTGTAGCTGCACTGCTGAACTTTTTAGAAACATGAAAACAAAACAGTTTATGACTGTCAGAAGTTACAGTAGGTGTAAGAAACTTTAAAAATTCTCCCTTTTTGGTTTCAACCATGAAAACAAACACAACTTTTAAACTCTGTAACAAGTTTGTCAAATAAAGTGGCAGAATTTGAATTATTTTCTTACTTCAAATCAATTTCCAGCACAATAAGCATCTAATAACAGTGTCTGTGACAGGTTATTCATTGTGTTTTTACCATCTTTGTCTCTACAACACACAAAAAACAGAGTGTCTTTATGGAGAAACTTGCAGAAGTTGAAGTTGAATTTCTATTTAAACACATGTAAAGTAATCATGTGATTACTGCATGATGAACTTCTCTTATTAGTGGTCATGGGCCTGACACAACATAACAGTGTAGCAATCAAGGCCAAAGTACAATATGACATCTGACTGAGCACAGGAAGCAATAGAGCCACTTATAAAATGACTCAAGCTTGTATAAAAAGTATGAAAATAAGACTATGGTCAGCACTTCCCTCTTTAACACTCGTCAAATATAAATACAAAGTTCCTGAGAGTTTTTAAAAACAAATTCAGTCATGTGATACAAGACATGAGGTCATGAGTATAAAAAGATTCAACGGGTGAATATAAAAGTGTGTTTAAATGAAATGTTGTTGGACTGTAAAAACACTGACATTTGCATGAAGTTTCTCTGGCAGCCTCAGAATGATCAAGAGAACCCCATATACTCTGTTTGCACCTGTAAGGTAAACAGCTGTAGGAAACAGGAGAGGAGATAAGAACCCCAAATAATAATCATGCACAGAAAAGTTAAAGATCGACATGGCTGTTGTGATACTCACTTTGAAATCGTCAATGTATGTGAGGAAGAAGCATATGAAGCTGAAAGCGACAGTCCACTCACACACAGCGCTGGCTAACTGATAGGGATAGTCCTGAAAGAGGGATGCGAGTGCAGCCATCAGTACATATTCAACGTGTGGGTGTAGGTGTAGGTGGCGTTGTTGCAGTGGGTCACAGTCTTTGTTTGACAGCCCTTACACGCAAGTAAAAATTTCAACTGGGTAAGTTTTGGGCTGCCTGCTGAGAATTTAAAAACATGAAAGTTTTCCCTTGTTTGCCACTAGTTGACAGATTCAACTGCTTTCACTTAACCCAACAATATCAAAACATGTTATCTGCTAACAATTTCAATCAACCAACAATTACAACAGACATTACGGACTGCTGCGGGGTGACGCAGCTCAAGGAAGAACATTTATGATCGTTTCTTTATCATTTCCTTGAAGTAAAAATCACCATATTAATCATTTTGCACTGCAGACACAGTAGTTCTTCTGCCTTAGCGTCTTGGTCTGATTGCATTTCCATGAAGAAATGATCATAATGTTCTTCCTTGGACTGCGCCCCCCCCCCCGCCTCAGTTGATGATGGACTAGCCCGAGGTCTCACTACAAACAAGCAGCTGCTGGAAGAGAGTAGGTGAGTTGTGTTTACTCTCTTTGCTAAAGAAATCAGGCAAAGTTAAAAAAATGTTTGGTGGCTAGTGCTATGGCTCAGACCCTATATGTACTGTTGATGAAGTTAGGTGCTGTTCTGAGCATTATTTGTGGTTATAGAGTGGTATTTTGGTTGAGGTTTGTTTATGGCTCCTCAGACCGCTGTGTATTGCTATTGTGCAGTCGTTACTAAAGTTGGTATAACTAGAGAAGCAAGTGGTCGGCAACATTCATCTCTCGACGAGGTGTCTAACTCTGTGTTACGAAATAATTTCATTAAATTATTCTTTGAAAGTATTTCACATCTCCTACAATGTCTACTGGTTATACTCAAAGCAAAAAAGTTTAACTGCTCGTACTTTGAATCATTTAAGAATATTCATACTTTGGTTTACTGCTTCAATAGCTGAGGTTTTTGCTAACTGTTTGAAGAGCCTTCTTTTAGCTAACTTTACCACCATTGTTGTATTTGCTGTGTGGTCTAACACCACACCTCCATTTCTTTTAATAGGCTTTGTACTTTTTGTCAACTGCATTTCACAGTGTCTCAATTTTAACATGTCGAAGTATTATAAATGACTCATGTCAATAAGAGATGAGTGCTGTGAAGTCAGTTTATAATAGCAGGTGGTTGACCGTGTCACTACATACACTAAAGAACAAAAGTAAAACCTGTTTTTTCTCCTAAATGTCATGTACTAAATGAATTTCCGTGAACCCTTATGTAACTTTTGGGTGAAAAAACATATTGTTGTAAAGGATCCTACCTTGTCGTCAGGGTCTCTGTGCAGTTCAGTTTGTTTAACAAAAAATGCACAGATGACAGCTGATTTTTCTTTAAGGAAAATATAGTTTACCGTAGGATTATACTTGTAACCACAGCGTAACATCACACTCACATACTGACAGGAATGATAATCACATTGAGGTGGCTAACACTCTAGAAAATGGAGGAAATTAGCTTTTTTTCTGTGATTATTCTGTGCTTCTGTGAAAGGATACTAGGAAAAAATGCCAAAGTAGCAATGGTGGAGATGAACAAACGAACTCGAATCACAGTCATGGAGGATCCAAATGGATAAACCTGATATGAAATCACGGTTTGAAGGATTATGTAGGAGACTCCAGACAGGAAGAAGAGCAGCGCTCCTATATCATGAGCTACCGTCACTGTGGTTTCCTGTAAACAAACGGAGAGTAATTTATCAGAAGATATAGCATTTTTTTCATTCTGTGTAAATGTGCATCATGAGGAGACATACCTGGAAGGTTGCAACAACACACATGCCCAGACAAGAGGTCAGCCCAGCACACAGAGCACTTTTATTCAGACATACGTTCACAACTCGAGTTTCCTCACTCAACTTCTCCACATACTTGTACCTGGAGTAAATGGTGGCTATTCCTGCAGAAAAGGTCAAATTGAGGATTAAAAATATATATTTTTTGTGAACTTCATCTTTTGAGGCAAGACTCTTCCTGTAAATTTAGCTTTCATTTAATGTGAAAAGGGGAAATGTGAGTAACTTCTTCTGGAAAGTTTGGTTCCTCCTTAGGGAAAAGCCAAAGTTGCATAAGAGGCTCAGTTTGCAGAGGTGAGATTGCAGATGTTTATGTGTTGTGGGGTGAAAAATACCAGCGCAGGCAGAGACGAAAGTCATCAGGCCAAAAATACAGCTCTCTGGTGGTTGGGCACCTGTGTCACTGAGAGGAAGAAGAAAGATGAATATTATTGTCAAAGCATGATTATATTATCACTTCACACCCATCCTCAGGTCTTTACACCGGCCCCCCATTCAATTCAGAATCCAATCTAAATTACTTGTACTTGTGTTCAGAGCTTTACATGGACAAACTGAAGCCTTATAGCTCCAGCAGGACTCTAAGATCCTCTGACCAGGGTTTTCTGGTTGTCCCCCGGACCAGACTACAAACCAAAGGAGACTGTGCATTTGAGTTTTGGAACTCTCTCCCTCGAGAACTGAGGACTGTGGACACTGTGGACACTTTCAAAAGGAGGTTAAAAAACCCATTTGTTTGCACTAGCCTTTGTATAACCAGGACTTTGGCTGCTAGTGCACTTTTTGTAGATTTTTATGTCTTGTTGTCTCACCCATTTTTAATTTGATGACTATGAAGCACTTTGTGACAACTGTTCTAGAAAGGTGCTATACAAATAAAGAGAGAGGTAAAAGCTGAAGTTCGACAGCAGATTTGAGGGCCTGGGCGCAGCTGCAGCAGTTTGGGTACCAGCCAAGTCAGCGATGAGGAAAACGAAACTAAACTTTGTTACCACATTTGAGTAAAATCACTGAGACTCTAACCAACACATGCGTTTTAAAAACAGAGATTTGGCTCGTAGAGAACTAAAAGAAAAACCTCAAAACTATATCGCTCTCCTGAACACATGTACAATTTAAATAAACTTACCTTATGTATGGAAAGACAATGTCGACATCACGTCTGAGGAGCGCAATGAGGTAGGAAACGATAAAAGTGCTCGAAGCCCAGATGACCAAAAATACTGGCAGTAAACAAAGTCCCTGCTTGAACCAGAACATGTTGGAGAGGTTTTATGCATGAACTACTGAAGGAAGAAAACGCAGTCGCTCGACGTAGCTGAGGCCATACAGTAGGACAGACAGGTTTGAAGTGTACAGGAAAAAGACAGAGTCTGCTGCGGTTGTTGTCAAGGCAAAAGAGTGTATTACCGACAGTCACATGGTGGTGTGAATGAGAATGAGGTTAGATTGTAAACTGTAACCTCTTCCTCTTAACTGACCCCACTGGAGTGTCTGACTGATGGCAGGAACCTCCCGTTATGATCATCGAGCACTTCCCTCTTCCTGTATCTTTTAGTTGTCTGTTTTCTCCCTATATTTCATCACTGAGTGTAATGTAAGGTCCTGAGATCTATGTGAAATCATCCTAACCCTTCATCACTGACACCACAATATTTCATCACTTGTAACAGAATAGTTTTGCTGTTTGATCTACCATTAGTTACAACAAAAATGCAGTAACTACTCTTCCTGGGGTCCTTATTTTCTTTTCCCCTCTGCGCAATGTGACGTCGAATTGACGTCTATATAACGTAATTTTTCGACGTCAAAATCACGTCTTCTAAAGGTGCAGAATAAAAAGTTTTTTTGACGTCTTTTTCGGACGTCATTTCGACGTCCAATTCTAACGTCTTGTGGACGTCCAAATCGGACGTTGACATGACGTGCAATTTCGGTCGAAATTAGCCGTCGAAATCAGGTCCTCTGGAGGTGCAGAATGAGTTGTTTTTTTCGATCTGGTCTGGTCTAGTTGTCTGATCGACTTCTTGATACCGTCGAAATGTGGTGCAGAATGAAAAAATATATATATTCTGCACCTCATTTTGACAGCGTCAAGACGTAGATCGGACATCTAGACCACATCAGAAATAGACGTAAAAAAACTCCCATTCTGCACCTCAGTTCGACGAAGTCAAGACTTCGATCAGACGGACGGACCACACGCACACGTCCAAATGTGGATGTCAATTTAACGTCTAAAAGAGGTCTAATATTGACGTCTAAATATTGGATATATTTTGCACGTTAACCTGATGTCTAGATTTGGTCCTTCGGCGGACCACACACACATTTCCAAATGAGGTACAAAAGTAGACGTCAATTTAACATCTAAAAGAGGTCCAATACTGCTGTCTAAAGAGGTCTAAAAAGGTCCAGTTTAGACGTCGAAATTTCTCACCTGTTTTGCACTGACGTCTAGATGTGGTCTTCGACGGACCGAGCCAATACTGACTTGATCTGTACGTCTTTTCGACGTGATGTTTGGTGGGCCATTTTCATTTTGAACTTGGACATGTACTTACAGACATTACACTTACATAACACTCATTCTACACTTCATTCATACAGTAGCTCTTATTCTCTCTTGCTTGTTGAAAAATAAACCGCTACACAAATAAGATGAAGAGAGAAAAGTGAAAAGATAAAGAAAAACAGAACTTATCTTCGCGACAACAAGAAAACTTAATCCATCAGAGAGAAGAGCTGAACTCATTTTCATTCATGGTACTCCATATGTAAACAAATACACCTTTAATTGTTTGTTAAAGCAACTTCTGTTAATGTCTGAAACTAAAAAAGACATTGAAAGAGCAATCCAGCAACCTCTGAGGTGACTGTGGCAACAACTACGCCAACATACTTGGCTCTGTCTTCCAGCTCATGTTTCATTTTGGTAGGTCAAAATCCATGTCTCACGATCCAGTGGGAGGAAAGTCGCGACACACAAGCCCCACATTTGGGGGTCAAGTCTGGATCTGAACCCAGAACATATTTGCTTAAGGCATCAGTACCAACCACCACACTAATTCCAAACTGAAATTTAATAAATGACGTGTGTCCATATATCAGAAATGATGTTACATATGCATTGCTATCACATACATTCCCATGATATATGAAGATGTAGATGTAGAGCATATGTAAAATACTCTTATAAATTTTTAATATTAGCCTTAAACCTCATAACTACATGCCATATGAGCCAATTATGACCCATTTCCTTTAATTTACTCTGATTGTTTGTAAAAGTTGTCACAAAACGGACACTCCAACTAAACTTCAGACACTGAAGTCTTCATAAGTGCCTTTGCAAAGAAAAATTAGTGTGGCCTTTGTGGTTGCAACAGGCAAAGAGCAGCACGACCTGGGGACTCAAACAACAAAGACCCAATCAGCTTTGTTCACAAAAGAGGATCTGAAACAACCAGCTGAAAGGCATCCACAGATCTCAAAGAACAAAGACAAACCGAGAAACCGGTGGATCTTTGATGTAATATGGATCAGCTTGAGAGTGATGAATTAGATTTTAAGAGAATACTTTGATAAAAAAATGCCCTGAAACTTTTATTCTAACAAATCTTGTTGTTTTTGTACCATCAAACTAACATGACACCAAAGCAGAGGGTTACAGGTGAGATCATCAGGAAAAGTTAGTGCAAAGAAAATAACATTCCACCACTAGATGTCAGCAAATGACGACTAAAATCCCCAAACCAGCGCGCCGCTACTGTATGACATTTTATGTCGTACACACTATTAAAAAAGGATTATGTTGGGCAATAAAGACGAGTCAAATTCTTAAAGTAACTGGTGTAAATAATAATGATAATTATGGCTGCAAATGCCTTAGGTAAATGTACCTTGAATGTTAGTGGGTCCATCTGTAATGATATAAAAGTTTTCATCTCAAATTGTCATTTGCTTTCATTTACTGTTTTGTGTTTGACCAAATTAACATAAGCACGAGACCAAACTGGCTGGTTTCTATGCAAATAGAAGAGCTGCCATGCATAGAATGTACTGTTCTTTGTACCTGATGTTTAATGTGAGTGACGTGGTACATACACACGGGGTGGAGGGTTATAGTTGTCAAGGATCATATTCCAAATGTGGAAACTGGAGGTGCACATAATCTCTTCGTTATTTCTGCTATCCTTATTTTGATGCTGCTGTCCTTGTATTAGTGACGTCATGAAGAGAAAAATAACTGAGTCTTGGAGGTTTAACATAGAGAAGTTCACCACTCTTTGAGTGACTAGGTGAGGTAACAGTTATGCAAATACAGAATAATTGCAACACTGCAAAGACTTGGATGATAACTGAATGGTTAGTTTTCTTAAGGTGCCCAGCTGGCACTGCAATGAAAAACAGACATGACTATACTGTTTAGGCTAAAATCACCTTTAAATAACCATAGTCTGTATACAAGCTGAAAAACCAAATCGAAATATAACATTTTTTCTTTTTGGAAATCTAAGATGCTGCTTCCTTTACTCTATAGAGACCAACTGATGGTATCTGGATGCGTAAGGGCCCATGACATGAGTAGCTTACATAGCCAAGGAGTTTTGGAGCAACATTTTCTGCCATCCAAACAATACCTTTTTCAGAAAGGCCTTGTGTATTATAGGAAGACAATGCCAAACCACATACATGTCCACACGCTACAACAGCATGGCTTTGTAGCAGAAGAGTCCAGGTGCCACCTATTGAGACATTTGGTGGATCATGACATGAATATATAACCAAGAAGACCATATCGGACAAGGATGGGGCATCATTTCACTTTCAAAACTACAAGAACTGGTCTCCTCAGTTTTTTATAAGAAGGGTTAATGGTAAACACGCCCTGTCCCACATGTTTATATATATGTATTGTTGGCATCAAATTTAAGATAAGCATATATTTTTCAGTTTCAACATTGTCGTCTTTGCATTGTTGTCAATTAGGTTTAGGCTGTAAATAGTTTGAAAAACATCACATTTTGTTTCTTATGAACATTCTACACAGAGTCCCAGCTCCTATAAGGTTGTATATCATATAATATAATCAGCATTTTGTCATTAACACACGCTGAAAATCTCACTTTAATTGAAAACGGTTCCCCTTGCGTTCAGTCTCATGACTCTGATTTGTGTCAGGAAGTCAATGACTACCCACACTCTGCACATGACCATCATTATGATAAATGCAATTGAATGAGAGGAGGAACCCAGCCTGACCTGAGCTGAAGCACATATGAAACTGAAAGTGTAATCCTCTTTTATCTTTTTATATGTTAAACTCTTTGGGTAGCATGATTGTACGCTGGCTTAGAATTGTCTCTACATGCACATTCAGATTGTATTTTTGGCACTTAAAGGAAGTCATACTTTGTTGTTGTTGTTGTGTGGGTGTGGAGTTTCCGTTAACGTGTTCAAGATGACTGCTTGTTGTAAGTGGGAAACTTCTTAGAGCCCCTGAGAATAGGCTAAGAGGATTTTCCATCTTAACCTCTCACCAACTGTCAAAAACAGTCAGTCACCTGGAGGTGATTCCTCTGAGGAGGGGGACCGCCCTCATGTGTGAGTGTGTGGAGGAGGAATCCTTTTCATGGACTAAACTGTACTCAATTGAAGAAAACTGTACTGTATTCTTCAATAGATGTCAAAAATAAACCATTTTACATTTGAAATGAGTGGTGTTCAGCATCGTCAAAGTACAGCTACATGTTGGGCTTGATTGCAGGTCTAACCTCAGACTCTGCCTCATTTTGAAGGCGGGGTGGTTACACCAGAGCCTATTTTTGAATGAAGCCGTTATGAGTAGCCCTTCTTTCACTCACTTTAGGGTCAGAAACAAATTTAATGATATGGCCTGCGTAAAGGAAAAAAAATGATTGTACCAAACCTATGGGTTCTGGTCTGAAAACCTAAATTTATCATTCAGGTCTGACAATGCAAAACAAAACATCTCCTGTGCAACATGTTTCCAGAAATGCTGTATTTCCTGAGTGTAATTTGGTTTACGCAGAGTGATGATCCTCTGCGGTGAAATTGTGCTTTTCTTTTTGCACAGCCTGTTCGTTCTAATACTGAAATCCTCTTTGTAAAAGGGCTGCTGATAGAAAGCTGGATTAACTCATGCATAGAGTGCAGGCAAGACATAAAGAGAGCTTCATAGAGTGCCACTCACTCCATTCAACTTGTGGGAATTGCTTTGGGCAATGTCTGCTTTATCTTACATGTGAGGATAGTACAGGGCCGTGCTAATCTCGTTCATCCATTACCTTCTGTAAACATCTCCCTCAACATTTCAAAGGCATCAGGCACAACAGCCTCTCCACGACAACACTCCTGCTCCTGCTCTTGCGCTGGCATCATTTCCACGGCGACACCCTCTCACTGGGAGAATCTCCTAGGTGACGCCCTCCACTGCTGACACGCCTAGAGGTGGCTGGTGCCTTTTTGTAGGCAGGTGCACCCTGTGAGGGGGCAGACGGAGTCGCCTGATGCTGGTGTCTTTTATTTCTCCTCCTGTTTTTCCTTGCTGTGGGAACACCTGTCTGGGAGGCAGACACTGGAGTGAAGATAAGGATACTGAGAAACAAGTTTGTTTTGAGGAACGTAGCTTTTACCAAACCCTAAAAGAAAAAAATGTTTTGAGATGTGTGTAGGTACTTTCACTGACTTTGCAAATTCAGTTTAAAGAGGTGCAAAGCGAGGCTACGGGCCCACTGGACTCAAAGACTGACTTTGTGCAGACAATGGAGGGGTTTGGCTCTGAACACTTTGCTGCAGATGGAAACCAGCAGGTGGATTATCGCAGAATTGTGGGAGAAACTCAGCCATCACGTCCTCATGTTTTATCCAGGGAAGGTGAGCTTTACGCCCGGCAAACTTCCCATGGTCATGGACACGAAACTGCAGCCCAGAGGTACAGCGCCACGCGTATCCAGGCTGGTCTAGGCCCAGAGAGGTGAGTTTCTAGGGACACATGAAGAGAAATAGCCACTAAACGCTGCAGTTAGGTAGAAATAGATCAATACATGATGATTTATTGGACAGCGACATCTTTTTGTAACTACTTTCAATTGCAAATCACTCCTTCTCCTGGTTTATTTGATCAAAAGTTAGAGCTTTGCAGGAAATTTTGCATCAAGTCAACTTTTTTAGAATAATCATGGGTGCAAAAACATCACGTGGTAGAAGAACAAAACAATTGCAACCCTCTGCCAATATCTAGTTTAAAAATCTGTGTACTCTTACATGCAATGCTATCAGAAGGCAGCACATGTAAACTAGCATCATGCCGTGGGGTCAGTTTACACATCCACGCTTCTGCATTTAGATCAGCTTGCAAATACCCTTCAGTGTCAACCTCTCGCTTTGGCTGACACACTTCATTTTGTTTGAAGGCTTTCTAGATAATGCTCTGGGCTTGTGTTTAGATGCCAAATCAACAAAAAGCGACTTATCTGAAGTTGTCAGGTGCTATTTTTAACACAGTCCCCTCTGCTCCCCTCCCTTTGTGCGCTTCGACAGTTTTGCGACTCAACATGAAGGCAGGAGCGAACAGCACGCTGTAGGGAGGATAAACAAGGCTGAATCAAACGCTCAGAATAGCTACAGTGCAAAAAGGAACCACTGACCCATATCTGCAATGACCCACATTTAATTGGACACAAACATAGAAGGGGAAACGGATCCCCCTGAGTCACCTTGGCAGACATATCTAGAAAGCGATAACTAATTTAGAACAAGTGAGGACTTAAAGTTTATTGGGTTAGAGGGTGGTTTTTAATCTAATGTTGCATCTGAAATGCTTTTAGAGCTTGTCTGCATGAAATAAACATTATGTAACACTTACTGCTCTGGGACCAGAAATAAACTTAAATAAACAGACTCTTATCTCTAGCATGCAAGGAGGCAATGTCAAAGTTAAAGGTGTCAACAACATAAATAATATCTGTAATCGCATGTCTGAATCCTAATCCTGCACTTATTGTTCATTTTCTATGACACTCTCGTAAATAGCTCCATCACAAAACAGGTGTGAGTGATTCATTTTTATAGTTTATGAATGTCTTTGTTAAACTGCAATTAGGTAAGTCTGAAAGCACAAGATGCAGGACTTTTAATCCAAGTAAAATAGATGTTTAGGTAGTCAAAGTCGCGTATAATCTGTTTTTTCAGTACCAAGAGTAAAATCTTAATCCATTCTGCAACATTTTATTCTTATCTCCTGCTTTGTGAGTCAGTGAAAGAGGCGATAAAAGACAATGGCAGTCACAGTTTCAGTGGTCAGAAAGCAGCACTGATTTACTGTCCGCAACGCACGCCAACTCTCATCCCCGTCGGCATCTTTCGATGATGAAAGCAGCACAGAGACACTGTGTCAACTAACATGACTGTGCATGAGTGTGCACAACTTCCCAGGAAAAGACGGTGTGCCTCTGTACTTGTGGTTTTATGTTGCTTATCTGGGGCCAGAAAAGTAAAATGTTTGTGTGAAACTTATCTCCTGTAAGCACAAGAGGGAGTGCCTGGGGCTTTTTTGTTATTTTTTAGAGTCATTTTAAGAGACTGCAGCTAAATAAGAACAACATTATTTCACAATTAGTTATGAAAAGGGCCAAAAAATACATGCTCTAATTGCAGCCTTTGTGATTCCATTCTGTGACCCAATGTTTTCTTAGTAAAGCCAATGATAGAACCGCTTCATTCCTCAGGTAACAGTCACTAGTAGTATTGTGAAAATCATGCTACTGATGCACTATTTGTGAGGCTGTTTATTGCTGTACTCACTATTCCATTACCTCATATAGTCACAAAATAAGAGGGCAAGTTTAGGTCATACAGAGGCATTAGAATAAATATTAGAGATATAAGATTACATAGAAGAAGTTGCCTCTTCCACAGCCTGTGACATGCTGCCTCTCTGCACACTTCTCTGAACAGATCATGTGAACAGAACATGGTTGCCCTTTCCTCTTCATTACACTTAATCCAGTTTAGATGAGTGGCATGTGACCAAAATTCAAAGAGTGCTGCTTAAATTTAACAGGATGTTTCTCCACGTAAAGACAACTATAAGGCATAAAAGATCTGATTTAGATGACACTCAGTTTACCCATCAGCTGCTTTCAATAATACCTGCAGGAGAGCGGCAAATACTAGATGGTTATATGTATTAATACGCTGCCAAATACAGTGGTAAAGGAAGAACTTAGCTTGAATAGGGGGAAATTTCCACATTTGTAGTGTTATTTTTACTCGTGTGAAGTTGTTTCTAGAGTGAAGGTATCAAAGTGTATGACTCCTATACGTTTTATGGAAGTCAATTATGTGTACTGGTGCAAACAGTACAGTGTTTCCCCTTGCAAATATAGAGGAAGGATATAGACACACTGTGTTCAGTATCTCAAAACTTCAAAACTGTATCTAAGCACAGTTCACTGTAAGTAAATGTATGTCTTTCCCTGCTGCCCAAGCTAAAAATATTCAAATGAGAGTATGGAAAAACTATAACAGCAAACCCATATGATGCCAAATATAGCACCTAGGCATTAACTGGCAGCTATTATAAACCGGTCTGCCTGCATTTCAGAGATGATACTTTCACGGACGAGTAGAAACAATACTTAAGTATTCTAACCCAGTAAAAGAATTATTACTTAAATAACATTTTAATTGAAGCTACTGTGAGGACTTCCTGTTTGTGTTGGACAAAGTGGTAACACTTTCATTGTTACTGATTTGGTCTCATCTCTGTGAAAATTAGATTACATTAGATGAGACAGAACTTTATTGTTCCTTTTGGGAAGGTTCCCTCAAGGAAATTAAAATTACGACATATTACTTGAGTGATTTATAGACTGGTACTCTATTTTAAGCCACTTACTTTTGAAGTTGGAGGTAGGGAAAGCAAGACAACCCTGGAAGTTGTAAAAAAAAAAAAAGTGTTTTTACATAATAAACTGAACAGCTTTCATGCATCCTTGGCGTCATTTTACTTCATAGATGGTCCCTGCACATTCACACCATTGCCAGGCTGTGCATGGGGATTTGTCAGCTAGCATCTACACTAAAATCATCTATTCAATCTGTTTGCAACAGACTGCATTATAATCTGCAACACTTTTTTGTCCTTAAAATGCATACCTTGGAAAACATCTTCTTTTTGAGTTTTAAGGTAAATAAAAAGTATCCTAAAAGCTCAACTCAATTACAAAAACATGAGTAAATGTAGACTAATTAGTTACCTTCCACCCCTGCTCACACATGAATGACTCTTGTTGCAGACTAACACAGTGTTCTTCCAGGGATCCTAAATTTACCCGCAGCAAATAGAGAGGGTTAAACCCGCCTCCAAGAGGAGAGGGGATGTGACGCTGCTGGTACATAACACCAATGCACACTGTCCGCTGCGACAGGCAATCACTTCTGAATCACTTTGGTGCTGATCTGTACTTTTACATCTTGGAGCCACCCGTGTTTTCATCCACTTTCTTCTTCAAGGTAAATGTACCACCATGTAGTTCACCACCTCTCCTTTTTACCCCGATGTGTGTGGACGCACAGCTGGAAAGTTGCTTCCCTTTGGCCAACGTGGGCATCAGTTCCATACGGTAGTTCGCTAACGTTACTCGGTACAAGGAAAAGGTTGGATTTTAAAGACTCTCAAAAGCTACGTACTAGACTTGTTACATATTGAAAGAGGGGAATAATCGCTTTTAAGTCTCTTGAAGGTTTCTCAGCGGCTAAACTAAAACAGTCGAGACGCTAATGCTAATTGCTAACATGCTCCCACATGGAAGTGCAACGTTTACGTACAGTGGACGCAGCGCGTGACATTTCTTCAAAAAGTTCAGTTAATTCAAAATTTAAATGTTAACGGAAACACAATTGTTTTAATTGCAGCGTTTAAAACTCTGTGTTTGTGTTCAACAGCTTACATTTGACGATTTGATGAAAGAAACATGATAAATTAAGTTGTCAATAAATATATACTTTCAAATGCCATGTAATTAACGTTTTAAAGTAAACCTGTAGACGTACCTAACAAGGTATAAATATGGTTGAATATAGACCGATACATGCTCACGGAAACTCCAGCCATGTGTCAAACATTGACACGTTTGCAGGAGCTCGTTGTTATTTCGCGTGTTAATAAATCATCCGAGGTCACATGACTTCAGCAGGTTGTCCAAATATTTTTTTTTCAAACCCAACGTTTTTCCATCTTAAGTTGTGGGAAAACGACTACCTTACATTAATTTACGGGCTTTTACGCATAATTTTTAAAATAAATAATCGCTAAATTAAGCACTTAATGTTGTTTTGTGGAGCTAAGTTATAAATGTTTAAGTTAAACGTTCAACTTACGAAACAAGTCGACGTCTTTTTAAGGAATAACGTCACCTTAGTTAGCCCGTCGTTGTCCTTAAAACGTTTGATATACTATCAAACTGCATGCACTCACATGCTGTTGGCATGGCGCCCGACCTGCGCATTAAACCTGAACCAAACCACATTCATTGTTTAGATTAATTAGTCTTGATGTTGCTCTCAGTGGGGACATACTGCAGAAAAGGAGATTATCACACATTGTTGTCCAATAAAATTAACAAATCTACAATTCGGCGTATATTTAAACCTCAAAATTTGACCCGTTGCGATAACTTAAAACTGTTGAATCATCTGTTATTGCAATCCAGTACTGTAGATAGCATTAGTGCGTCTGTTGACTTTGACTCGAAAATAGCCGACTCTAATTGAGCGGTTTCTGCCTGAACACTGCATACTAGCTAAAGTCTCTGTCTCCCAGTCACTGTCCTGTTAAACCAGGAGGTCTTGTGAGGAGAGAGATGTGTGACGTTAACATGGATACCAGCTCGGATAATGTTACTCGGATTTGCAGCAGGAAGGATGCCGCGTTGCAGCATGAGCGCTTGAACAACACGGACAGGTCTGACATGAAAATAACATTTTGTGAACTATGAACGTGCAGAGCAGGCGGCTAATGTTTGTTAGCCGCTGATAATAAAATGTAGGTCATGAGGCCAGGTGCGACCTAGACTGTGCTTCTGTAGCCGAGCGAGTGGAACATTGTGAGGAGGACACCCTGCTCTTCATTTGCTGTCGTTTTTATTAATATCTTTTTAACAGTACGGGTGTTCCCTTGTCACAAATAACTAAAATAGTGTCGCATTAGCTCATCAGCAGTGGTTCAGTTATATGTTAGTGGGTCACCCGGACATATTTTGTATCACAGGCGGTCATGTAAGGATTTGTGCTTTTGTACGTTTGCCTCTATGCACTAAATCAACGTTTCGACAATATTAATATCATTTCTTAGATGAAAGTAGACTATCTTCATCCCATGCGAAAAACTAGAGAATTATTTTTACGGTGACGTATTTCTGTTTTTAAGTCTTCCAGTGGATAATGGTCGTTTCATCCAGCCTTACTTTGCTGAATTTGACATATAAATAAAGACTAATAGTAGAAGTGTACAGCCTTGTCCCAAATTCGTTATTTTTTATGATAATGCCTGGTTATCACATCAAAAGGAAGCGGTTGCGTTTTGCACCTGCCACGCATGCGCACTGACTGGAGTCTGGCCCGAAAATGTTGATGTTGCTATGGTAATGTCTTCCTGTGAGAAGGTCACAAGCTCTGCCTGCAGAGTGGATGTCTGGTGTTATTGCAGAGCATCCTTTCCCTGTCATCAATTAATTAAACATCTATATGAGTTTCAGCGTGTTCTGTTATTTATATTTGCTTTTTATTGTCATTTGGCAGCATGGCGGATTACTTAATCAGTGGCGGCACAGGCTACGTGCCTGAGGATGGACTCTCAGCTCAGCAGCTTTTCTCAATTGGAGACGGCCTTACCTACAAGTAAGTTTCTGTTGCATACTAACCCTGTTTTTTTTTTTTTTTGGATGAAAATGTGACTAAAAAGTTATACCATTTGTTGAGAGTAAGGCTCCTGAATTCAAAGCCTCAACTTTGCGCTTAAGTGGGTTAAAATGTACGCAGTAGTTCATTGTAATGGCCCAAACGTTTTGAACCAGCAGATCTGACCAACAGTGCGTTGTCTCCGATGGTCATACGGCTGAAGAGCTATGCTCTAAAGGAGATGGGTTGACTTACAAGTGAGTAAAACAGTCATCTTTAAACCATTTTGACACTCTCCTGTTCAGAATCCTTTGTCTCTCCGAATAGGAAATTCACAAGGAGGAAGCAAATGACTGTCCTTCTAAAGAAACTTCATGCTAATTGAACAAATCCATGCCTTAATCTCAGTCTGATAGTGCATGGATGCAGATGTTAATGGTACGCTTGTTTGAATGCTTAATCTGATCTTGGTCATGGGGATCAAATTTGCTTCCTGTGCTACATAACTTCATTATTATCTTCATCTAACCTTCTAAGTGCACAAATTGTACTGTAAGTGCAGCACACATGACAGAACAGCTTGTGCTCTTACTCATCACACTTTAATGAATTACTAATCCAGCACTAATTTTTCTTTTCTCACTCAACCTTAATTTGCACTGCTTTGACTCTGCTGATAATTACGCAACTTTAGCGCTTGAACTCACCATGCATTTTGACTGAATGATCTTTTACACTAATCCATGTATCACTGTTTTTTTTTCCTTCTTTTTAATCACCACAAAAGTCTAAGCAATTGTAGTGGGTGTTGTAAGCATAAAACCACAATACTTTCTCTTGTTAAACTCTCCTCCTAATCCAACTCTTATACAGTTTATTTGTCACAAATCCTAACAACCACTACAATAAATGCTTATGATGCCACAATGTTGCAAAACCAAGCTCAGTTTGGAGTCCTAATCAACATTAAATGCAAAAATGTCTCGCTCTAACCCCCTCTACTCCACTGAAGATAATTGAATTGAAGACGTAATGGTGCTCGAGTGTGTACATATGCGGTTGGACAACCTTTCCACGGTGTAATGAAGTGCATCACGGTCAAAGGACAGTTTGCACACATGACGGCCTGAATTGACATCATGTGGATATCAGGTGGAATTGGGGTGAATGAGGTTGTCAGGGCATGACAGTGTCTGCAATATCGATCATTTAACGCCATCTATTGTGTCTCTACCCCTTCCAAACCAAATTCAATCACTACAGAATGTAGTTCGTAGGTTTTGCTGCCGGTTTCTGAGGACACTGTGTAAAGTATTTGAAATGGCTTAGAAAGGGAAGCTGCTATTAAACTACTATTTATTGTTTTGATGTATGTAGACCTGGGCCACCCTAAGATGATTGTGAAAGTTGAGACGCTTTGAAGCACCTCCTTAAATGATCCGTGTAATTTAAAGAAACAGTTTCACAAGTTTCACAAGCCTTAAGGGCAACTTTCCCGGAAAACATGAAATGACACCTTTTTGATTTATAACCAAAGTTAAATACATATGAAGACCTTGGGCTGCTTTAAGAGCATATATTTCTGATACTTGCCTTGTTATTCTAGGAGTAACATGTACACAACACAAAGTACCACACCCTCAAAGATTTGAAGCTGGTACACGTGGAAGGACAGATATCTGTTTGAGCTCACGAGCACCAGCTGTGAACCTGAAGCACTCCCACTCGGCGTATTGCATTTGTCTACATTTTACAGTCAAATCTTAAACCATAATAATACACCAACAAGCAAGTGTTTTCGTTACAAGTCAAAGCACGAGTCAGTAGATCCAGTCTGTGTGCTGCAGTTGAGGTTTGTGGCTGCTGCTAATTGCCAGCAGATGTCTGCTTGGTTTTCTGATTATGTTTTTATGTTGATGTTTATGGGTATTTGGGCTCTAAAGCCAAAAGGGAAACCAAAGTGACTCCTCCCTTTGTGGCGTCCCGTGTAGTGTAACCGTTTCAGTCCTTTACCTCACCCACACTGATGCAACAAAGTTTGTTAGCAAACCGGCCCTTCTAGCTTACCGTACCCTCCTTTTTAAACAACCTGTTCCATATTCCCTCAATCTCCTGAGATTTCTTCCAACATCCACCCAGCACACAAAGCCTCCCTTATTCTCCCATCTTTCCCTTACTCATCCCAAAGCCTGTACTCTACACCCGTCTGCAAAAACCACAACATACTTGCGGACTCTGGTTGAAAAATGAGCGCACCATTCCTGTGTCCTCTCGTTCCTCAACTCATTTTGTGCAGCTTCTTCTAAGGGGAGCCTTAAGAGGTGAACTGTCGTTATTTATTTTTGAAACGTAAAGGACACTCCCAGTTTCACTCACTGTCTGCATGCAGCCACTTAAAAATACTCTGAAAACCACGAGGAGACAGAAACGTGTAACAGGCCAAAGCTTGAGGCTTAACTTCAGCATTGTTGAAGTTAAAAAAAGCAGAACAGAAGTTCAAAAGGAGATCTGGAAGCAATCAGGAAGCTTCAACCAAGTTCAAAAAGTTGGGGCGCTGTGTTAAATGTCAGTAAAAGCAGAATTTGGTGGTTTGAAAATCATCTTAACTTCACATTTAATTGAAAATCATACATCATCCTTAATTTTAAAGGTTTGGGAAGAACGTAGACCAGCTTCTAAAATTGAACACGTGAAATGTTCCATGAGTGACACGTCAGGACTGTGGGCAAGCCAGTTTTGCTGCCTTTGGCTGATGAGTGCGGGTTGACGTTTCCTTGCTAAAACATGCAAGTTCTTTCCTTAAAAGAGGCATTGTTTAGATGAACCTCGATTGTAGTGCCTGTAAATGGGTATGGACAGATGTATAAGCTACCTACGGTGTGGGCACATATCCATCTCTGGACCACCACAGACACTGGCTTTCGAACTGGGCTGAAAAAAGTGGTCTCTCTTTTCTCACAAGTGTAGGGTTCCAGTTTCTTGGAATCAGCCATGATTTCCAAAAAGAGCGTCACATTTTGAGTTGTCCATCAACCGGACAGCTTTCCACTTCATGTGCCTGAATGGTTTTCTCTTTGCATGTTACAATTTAAACCTGCATTTGTAAATGCAGCGACAGACCACGTTCACTGACAGTGGATTTTGAAAGTGATTTCCACTACAGAGTAATGCCTGTTGTTGATATACTGCTCCCTGAACACTCAAAGATCATGACCATCCTGTATTTGTTTTCAGCTTTATCCCATTTTTACGTAGAACCCTCTTCTTCTTTGACTCTTGAAATGATAGTATGAATCATAGTTGACAAAATCCTCAAATTATCTGTAAGTTTGAAACTGCTGAAAAATTTGCTCATGAGGTCTCTCATTAGACTCAGCCTTTGGGAGGCTCTATTTAAACCTAGTTGTAACACTAACATGTTTCATACTAACCTAATAAGTTGGGAGATGTTGCAGGTGAATTTTTATGATTCACTTTCCCAACTTTTGTTCAAATATGTTGCTGGTATCAAATTTGAAACGAGCTTATTCATTATTTTTCCTAATACAGTGATTCTTTTTTTTTTCAGTTTCAACATTTGAAATGTCTTGGCGCCATTTTCTATTAAGTGTAGAGTTTAAATGATTAGCAAACCATCAGAATCTCTCGACATTGTAAAATCAGAATCACAACCGAGAAATCTGCTTTTCTTGGAGCGTAATTAAAACTAAAGATCGTCAATCGTACATAGTGTTAATTAATGGTCTTCTGTTTCTTTGCATTGGCCTCTGACTGTGCATCTTGTTTATGTCTTTCAGTGACTTCCTGATCCTCCCCGGCTTCATCGACTTCACCTCAGACGAAGTGGTGAGTACAGACGAGTGTTGAAATATTTAAAAACTCTATTCAAAGCACAAAAAGTGCAGTGAGGTCTAAAGATAGTCGCACTTCACTGTTATGTCTCTACAAGAAAACCATGTCTTCAGCTCCCAACCTCCTACAAAGATATATCTGTATATGAAATAATGCAGCTGCGTCCTCATTCTTTCCACTTAACAACCGTCTACTGAAGTCTACCAGCCAAGGCGTCGTTTGCATCGCTTACAAAAACAGCCTTGTTTTGACTGGTTTAAACTTACTCCAACACTTTTTTTTTTTTTTTACTCCCTGCTGCTTTGCTATTTTTGCCCGGCGTGGTCACCCTCCGTCTGCTCCCTCGCCCCTCGTGTTTACACTTGTGTCTGCTCGGTTGCTCGTCCACCTCTCTTAGCAGATGACAGAGGAGTTAATCCCTCAGCTTTGGATAAAATCCCTCTCCTCTGCTCCGTCCATTTGAGGGAGGTTTTAAATGAATTGATATGTGTAATCTCTCGCTGTTGCCTTTAGTGTTGGTTGGAGAGCTGTCGTTTCAGCGTGAGATGCTTGTCTGAGCGGCTGTGTTGTCATGGGTTGGTTGTCTCCACCGAGTCTAGTTTTGCCCTACTTTTTCACAGGATAGTGAGCCCATTCAAGCTTAAATAACACAAATGCTTCCACATTTGGCCTCGGCTGCAACTCTGGATGAAGTCACTTGCATTCACACTGTGATTCTGTAGACTTTAAAGGAATACGTTATATACTTTAAAGCAGTTGCACTCCATGTACAGCGAAGAGGTACAACGGGTACATGAAGCAGTAGTGGGAAATTCTTCCTACTTGTGATGTTCTAGTTCTTTCCTAACCCTCAGTTGAATTTAGCAGGTGAGTGCAGATGTGCTCGCTGAATAGAGAAGTGATATAAGCTGCTGTGTGGTAATTTGACCATGAACCCTCCTGAGAAAAACGTCCATAGTTTATGTCTGTCGCAGATAACGGAGGTGAAGCTCGGACACTCCAGGGCTCATTTCGTGGTTTCCCATGTGTTGAGGAATGTCATTATTTTCACACTGTGGCACCTGAAGATGGGAAAAATCCGGCACTAGCTGACTGTTGTGGGAAATCAGGGAGGTGTGAAAGTAAATTGAGGCTGTCTGAGGAACAGTGGTGTGGGCTTATTTCCTTATGTGGAGTGTTTCTGAAGAACGTTTTGATGAACTGGTCTGTTAAGTTTGTATAAAGATATCTAATGTTACAACAAGGTGTTTGCTGATGTTCTTAAGCTTTAATTATACATATTTAATTACATTTAAACAAGGACAGACTCATTTGTATGTTGAAGGTGCTTAAGTAAAGCCTTATTATAGAAATGTGAAAGTGGGACACACAAATCTGATGGATAAAGATTATTTATTTCAAATTTTCCAGTTTTTCAGAGCAAAAGATAAAAAATTGCTATCAGAATTGGCAAAATTAATAAAGGTACTCAATGTCCTGAAGAGCTTTGTGTGTTGTCTTTGACCTGACTGTTGGTTTTTGCTCTTGCAGCGCTCCTGCATGAAAATAGTCTGCTGCAAATGTTGCTCCCTGTCATTTAAGGTTATCCACATCAGTCTTAGTGGAACAGATTGAGGACATGACTTAACAAGATCATGCAAGTTTACTCTGCCCCCTGGTGGCGCTTAAGCAAAATAACAAACAAACTTCTTTTTTTTTTCTGTTTAAATTCTTAGGACCTGACATCGGCGCTAACCAGAAAGATCACTCTGAAGACCCCTCTTATCTCCTCCCCCATGGACACTGTCACAGAGTCAGCCATGGCTATCGCTATGGCGGTAAGAGACACTTCATTACCTCCACAGTTGAAATCTCAAATGCAAACACTTGTTGATTTACACCACTGAAATCTTCTTTTTACTCTGCAGCTAATGGGAGGAATCGGCATCATTCACCACAACTGCACACCAGAATTCCAGGCCAATGAGGTCCGCAAGGTTAAGGTAGGTTCTCACTCTGTTTCGCGTGGAGAAAACGTTTCTAAAATCCTCTGCATGTTTGGCAGAAGTCGTAGTAGTATTAGTAGTGGTAGTAACGTTATAATTATCTTATTGTTGTTCTTCTTAAAACACTAAACAGATTAAAGTATTAACCTCAAACAACCTCCCTAAGCTCGCCTTTGACCTCTCATCTCATCCTGTCCCTCTTTTTAGGTTATGGTAATTGTCTTCCACCTGTGTGTGTTTTCTATTGTGTGTGTGTGTGTGTTTTTTTTTTGATAACTAACTTTAGTTTTGTGTGCGCACTAATATGCCTCTATCAAGTCCAGTGTGTGGTTTTGCGCTGCTTCTGCTGCTTTTACTAAGATGTAAAGAGAGAGAAATCACCTTCTTTTTTTTCTGTTTGTTTTCAGAGGTTTGAGCAAGGCTTTATTACAGACCCAGTCGTGATGAGTCCGCGCCACACAGTTGGAGATGTGTTCGAGGCCAAAGTCAGACACGGCTTCTCTGGTATCCCTGTAACCGAAACGGGCAAAATGGGCAGCAAGCTGGTGGGCATCGTCACCTCCAGAGATATTGACTTCCTCTCTGAAAAAGACCATGACAGACCCCTAGAGGAGGTGGGTGGTGCGTATTTTTAGATAACTGAGTGCTCAAAATGAATAAAAGTTTCACTCATTCAGGTTTTTTATTCTTTCTAATTTTAAGGCCATGACAAAGAGAGACGAGCTCGTCGTTGCTCCAGCCGGTGTCACACTCAAAGAGGCCAATGATATCCTGCAGCGCAGTAAAAAAGGTGAGCAAAAGCTCGCATGACACAGCAGCACTCCGTCTCTTTCTCATGTAGATTTCAAACCTCATTTTCGCTTTGATCATAACCAGGCAAGCTTCCTATTGTCAACAACAACGACGAGCTGGTGGCCATCATCGCAAGAACAGATCTGAAGAAGAACAGGGACTACCCGCTGGCCTCCAAAGACTCACGCAAACAGCTGCTGTGTGGAGCGGCTATCGGCACCAGGGAAGACGATAAATACAGACTGGACCTGCTGGTGCAGGCTGGAGTGGACGTCGTCGTACTGGTGGGCACAGTTTTGATTTTGAGAGAGATGGACAGTGCATTCGCAACTGATCTAGAAACTTATAGAAATAGTGAAAATTTCATGTGGAGCTTTTTTCTATGTAATCATGTTAAGATCATAGAACGTTTTTTTATGCTTGATGCACTTTTACTTAAATCCTGACTTTTCTGTGCCTCTCCAGGACTCTTCACAGGGAAACTCAGTGTATCAAATCAACATGATTCATTACATTAAACAGAAGTATCCAGAGTTGCAAGTGGCGGGAGGAAATGGTGAGTATATTGTCATGGAAAACATGTATATAAATGATAAGTGTGTACATACTCTCTTTTTTTTGACCAGGTTTCACAGTTTTTACTCATTTGTTAATATTTTATCCCCCTCCCCCCCGTCCACAGTGGTCACAGCAGCCCAGGCCAAGAATCTGATCGATGCTGGTGTCGATGCTCTGAGGGTTGGGATGGGCTGCGGCTCCATCTGTATCACACAGGAAGGTACTCACTCCTTTTTCTCATTTGCACAGTTAAGTTGAATACAGGAAGTAACTCAGATAAGGAAACGCACATCAACACTAGCTCTACCTGTTCTATATTTGGCTCCGAGCTACAGTGAGATGAGGGGAAAAAAAAGGTATCAGTTGCTAATGGTAACAGATACCCTGAGACCACTCCTAGTTGTCATGGTGATCTGCCAAGGCCCCCTATTCTGTGTTGCCATGGTGACTGGCCTCTCTTGCTCCGACTGGGCCACGTACACCAAAAGGAACATGCGAGAGAGGACATGAGGCTAATAATATCTCTGTGAAAAAGCTCATTTATCTCAGCCAATTTGCAGTTTTTTTGTGTGTCCCTCGCTTTGATAATTGTTCAAAATGTCAGAGACACCTGATTCGTCATCACATTAGTCATGTCAGATATGTTTTCCACTCTCTAGTCATGGCGTGTGGGCGGCCCCAAGGGACCTCGGTGTACAAGGTAGCAGAGTATGCCAGGCGTTTCGGTGTCCCTGTGATCGCTGATGGTGGCATCCAGACTGTGGGTCATGTGGTGAAGGCTCTGTCCCTCGGAGCGTCGACTGGTGAGATTTCAGAGATTGTTGAAAGACTATGAAAAAGCCAAAATTTCTCATTTCTAATTTTACAACAGACACAAAAAATATAATGTGCATGAAAATCTAAAATCACTCATGTAGGTGTGATATAAACCTGTAATTAGCTTGTAATGAAACCACATAGGACACAGTATAAATGAACTAGCATGAAAGTCAACACATGAGAGCCTCGAATAGCTTCTCTGTTGTTACCGTGGACAACAAAGCTCACAACAGTTAGGAGGTGAGTTAAGGTTGTGCAAAAAAGGATGAATTTTCCTTTCCTTCCTCCCTTCAGTTATGATGGGCTCGTTGCTAGCAGCAACCACCGAGGCACCAGGGGAGTACTTCTTCTCAGACGGCGTGCGGCTGAAGAAGTACCGCGGTATGGGCTCCCTGGACGCCATGGAAAAGAGTACTAGCAGCCAGAAACGCTATTTCAGGTATGTGGAGTAATTTAAGGTCATGATTCAATAATGACTCATTTTAATGCTGTAAGTCTATTGGAGGAGAACTGATTGTTGTGTCTGCACAGTGAGGGTGACAAAGTGAAGGTAGCCCAGGGGGTGTCAGGCTCAGTCCAGGACAAGGGCTCCATCCACAAGTTTGTACCTTACCTGATTGCTGGGATCCAGCACGGCTGCCAGGACATCGGGGCAAAGAGCCTGTCCGTCCTCCGGTGAGTCATGTGTGAAATAATGATAGTTGTACAGATATTTACTCTTATAGATGTTATACTCTATGCTAAAATGTTTCTATCTCCACCAGCTCCATGATGTACTCGGGAGAGCTTAAGTTCGAAAAGCGCACCATGTCAGCACAGGTGGAGGGAGGAGTCCATGGTCTCCATTCGTAAGTACAAAAACACACCAGAGCATCTTTGCTGCTCTCTCTGTCTGATTTAATCAAAGGTGTTAACTCTGGTAACAGTTTAAAAGTTAACAAAGATATTAACTCAAATGACAGTTCATTAATTTAACTTAATTCAAATCTACAAGGTTGTATGATCTTGCTTAAGTTGTCTGTGATCCGTCTTACCATCTAAGAGAAATGATTTCAATGCTTCTTCTTCCTCATGCAGACAACCTCACCTGTGTGCTCTTAGATAGGAATTCAGCTTCAGACTCTTCTGGCTCCCAAAAAGCTCTTTATAGCTTTGTGAATAATCAAGAAGCAGCTGTTAAAGCTGAATTTTTTGTGACTGACAATACAAATCAAGTAAAAATTATGTCAAAGAAAACAGAATTTAACTAAAGTTTGGGGATTTAATAATAGTCTTTTAAATCTAAGTCCACTTTAGAAGCAAAATTACAAAAACTAACCCTAATAATAAAGAACTAACAGATAAACTGGTGTGTGCCCAGCGTAATGCATGCCAAAGAGTCAGATATTCTTCATTCTGGGAGAATAAAGTCTTCTGAGGTTAATCATAAAAAATTGTAATATGATATTAATTTGTTTTGTGACAGAAATTGCGATTTATATGTCTTCCCAGTCTCATGAACAACGCATGTCCAATTTTTACTGAAGAGCAGAGCCAGAAACAACTAAACTGTTTTTTCAGTGTTGATGGGTTTTTAACATTTACTTGTGAAAATGAAAAAAAAAAAAAAAAAAGACAAAGCACTTATTTCTTTCCGATTCTGTTCTGTCACCAGTTACGAGAAGCGGCTTTACTGAACAAGGAGGGGACGAAGTGCACACCAGCGGTGCATGTGACACACCCAATCTAACAGTGACCAAATATGAAATCGCCACTAAAAAAAACCTGCAACTCCCACTACACCATCTCTGCCCTCCCCTGCATCATACCCACTGTTACTCTCTCTCTGATCCAAGCCAGCTGCCTTGGAGAGAAAAGAGACCTCGTAGTGAAGTGAGAGAATCTCCAAACTGACACCCGGCTTTCTGAACACCTGGGATTTTGCACTCGAGAAGCGGCGAATCAGGGTTTTCAGAACAACACACACCTGTATCATGAGTGGGCAGCCGATCCCGTCTTGTTGCGCGCGTCGAGAGAATGAAGTGTGTGTGTGTGTTTGGAGAATGGAGGGTAGTGTGTTTGTGTGTCCGACTATGATGTAGTTAAAAATGTGTTTAAGGACAAAGTGAAGGTGCACCACGTTTATTTGTCCTGCTACTAGTAGTGAATCTAAAACACCCATGGTGCAAAGCCTATCAGCATATTCTTTGGCTTCTTCGCGGATTCAAGCCAACCAGCTCTTCCCTACCGGAAGCCTTTTCCATCCCAGATCTTAACTACACAAGTACATGTGCATAATACAAAACACTTGTGTCTATGTGCAGTATGTTGGTGTATCACTGCATTCTTACCTTTTTTTTTTTTTTTTTTTTTTTTAAACATTAAAACTCACGACAGGTATAAGCTACTCAAGAAAAAGTAGCTTTTTTTTAATTTAGCGTAATGTTGCATATTGTTTACTTCATGTATTGTGCATCGTGCATTTTGCCATGATGATTGTCCAGATGACTTTGCATCCTCCAGTGTCTGCCTACAATGAGCAGAAAGCCCCACAGTGTTATCCACTGTGGACACCCAGAGCCAAATGATTAGAGCCCCATCTCACTGCATTGTGTTCATAAGTCGAGCATGGAGGGGACCAAAAGATGAAGATCAGGTATGTTTGATAGATAAAGTCCTACAATCAATCAAGAATGAGAGCCTGTGATTTGAATACTTTTAGAAGGCAAACTTTATATTAAATCTGTATAGTCTGAGGGGCCTCAAATTGAGCATGAAGTGTTTTTGATATGCATGTTTGTTTTTTCACTGTATTTATATTCTGCTTTGGTGTAACTGCATACATACTGCCAAGTGTATTTACACTTCCTCTGACACTCTTCTTTTGTAATTTCTAAACCAAATTGAGTCGCTTGTTACCTTGTCACATGTTCATTCCTGCGTTATCAGCGTGGCATAGGTTCTCTTTAATAGGTTCGTTTTATTTCTATTTTTACCAGAGATATGCCTTCAAACAGGGATGGAAAAAGGCTGCACTTGACAGCTCAGTGAATACGCAAAATGCTACACACCCTGTCGCCTCCTTTTCTTACTTTCAACAGCACGTCGTATTTGTTATTGTCGAGCTTTACATAGGAGTACGCTTTTCTAACATTTTCATACTGGATGTCTCATTTTTGCAAGTTGTAATTTTTGTTTTTTAATCGTCCCAGATTGTCAAGAATTAAGTTGCTAATGCCAGTCGTCGTGCCCTGCACATGGTTCACTTGACTAACAAAATTCTTGCAGTTGGACAGAATAGCTAGGAAATGTATATGGAGAAATATATGCCTATATTCAGTTGAAAATGTCAGCTGCTTGTTTTCAGTTTCCTGTCTAAAGAGCAAATCCAGGGTGGTATGTCTTATTTGTAAGGTACTGAGTCCTGTCAGTCCATCTGAAAAGCACAAATATAGTGTTAAATGGGAGATTAGTTTACAGTTTTTTTTGTTTGTTTTTTTTAGAGTTGCACTTTTAATGATTTCTTCTTCAATATATTGCAAAGCAGCCACAGTTGCAAGAGCGCAGTTTTGTATTTAACTACCAAAACCTTAAGGGGAGAAAAGGCTTCTTAGATGGATGGAGAAGACTCGGTACTCAATGAACCCATGTTTAAGTTTTAAGTACCATCACTTCTAAACATGTTTACAATACAACACTCAACAGAGGAAATATTGCTTTTGCTGTTCAGTATAGTAAACAATAAATGAATCAAACTGTGTCTGGATTTCCGTTTCATTCACTGTGAAAAGTTGTTTCACTGGGTTTGAAGAAAAAGACACCAAATATAATAAAGCAAGCTTTATTAAACAATATTCTGAGCAAAAGTATGGATGAACATAAATAAATTATTAAGCCAGTCAGTGTGAGTAGAAGCAGAACCATTTATGGTTTATGAAGGAGGATACGGCAACATAGTGTGCTTTTCACCAGTAGAGGGCACTGCTGCTCCATAACTGCAGATAACACGAGTGGCATGTTGACATGGAGAGTTAATAGCTTTACAAACTCAGTTATACTCCCATCATCAAACACGAGATGTAATGAGAATGCTTTTGGCAGAGATCGAAAGGGTATGATTTCAGTAGTATTTAATAAGTGCTTGATTCAGTCACAGTACTATCTATTGGAATGTTTGAATGCAATAAAAACATTTGTACAAATAAATTCTTCTTTTCTCCACTCAGGAAAGTGTTACAATTCTTTTGACAGTATTAAACTTCACCAGCCATTATCAAACATGTAAAAGTTACAAATTACCTTTTGGCTTTTGACATTCTTGGCACTTTGATCCTCATAGACATTCACTAATGACCACTTCAGAAAGCTCATCAAACCTCCAAAAACCCTAATTTGGCAGCTATACGTCTTCCACCGTGTATTCAAAAATACCCAAACACCTGACAGTCAACTTGCACACTCCTTTAATCTGTCCTCGTAACTCGTCTTTGACCACACTGTCCTTTTATAAATCAATAGTCTCGCTGCAGATACTCAAAGCATCGATTTGTCTGCAAACACTGATGAACTCCTCCTGTACGGATCGGTCTGCCTCTGACGACATATCCAGGTCAAGGCTCTCCTGAGAGGCTGCGCCCAGTGTTTGATAGTTCCTCTGTGGGTCAGTGTGACCGGGTGGCACTTGGCCTGTGCCCCCTTGCTGCTGGAGTTGAAGTGCATGTCTCTCTGGGCTTGGGCAGAGGACCAGTGAGGAGCCCCCCAGAGAGGCTCGGTAGAGGGAGCAGGAGGAAGAGCTGCCCCTCCAACGTTCAGGAGAGGAACAGCTCGAGGATGACGACAGGGAAGGAGACGGTGGTGCACCTACGACAGTGTCTCCTTGAGATCCGGCACAAGGGGGTTTGGGTATGGAGGTCATCTCTACGCAGGATGAGGTCCGATACAGGCCAGAGTCAGACGAAAGGGGATCGCAGAGGCCGTTGCTTGGAAGTGCACTGTGGTTGTTCATAGATAGATCACTGCACCGAAGAGGCCTGGTGGGGCTAAAGAGGCTCATGGGGAAAAGGGAATCACTGAAGAGGGCCTCATCTATGCTGCGACGCAGGTTGATCGGTGAAGGCGGTCGCAGGTCTGTGGTGGAGTCACTGGTAAATGAGGATGCACCTGATGGATCCCTGCCGCCACTGTCCTCAGGTTTTACTGAACCCTGTAGGTCCATATCTAAGTCTAAGTCTCGGTATGCCAAGGCCCTGTTGCTGTGGTAAAGAAGATCGAGGCCATTCAGGCTGCAACCAAGTCTCTCATCCACCAGAGTGTAAAGAGGTAGGCTTTCGGTCTCCCCGAGCCCAACGGTGTCAACGATGGCGAGCTTCTCATGCTGGCTCAGGTTCCACTGGTAGGTCCCAGGCAGGATCGGCGATTTTGTTGCCAACAGTTCTGTCCAACAGCTCCCTGCGGCCGGGAGGTGGTCAGAACAATAGACTGGTTGTGCCACCACCAAGGCCAAGGTGAGACAGACTGCCAGTTCACACAGTCTGCAGCTGAACTGAAAAGCCCACCAAGGCCAAGGATGGAAGACCTCCTCACCACCTGCGATTCCCAGAGCATTAAGAATCGCATACAACTGCAGTCCAGCACAGGCCAGAGAAAACAATGCTGAAATACACACTGTTACAGCAGCACGGTCCCAGTCTCGACTCTCAGCAAAGGGGCAGCGGTTGTAGCGCTCAGCAGGGGTCGGAGACGTGTTATTCAGGTGGTAGATGTGCTTCGAGTCTGCCCTCACGTAGATGTAAAACACAAAATAGGCAGTGGACAAAAATGTGGCCAGTGCAACAAAGGCTCCGCGGGAGAGGAGTGAAAGAAAGAGGCAAAGGGGAGGCTTCTCCTGGTAGAGCTTCAGCAATGTCACTGGTCCGAATGCAGCAGCAAAGTGCAGGACAACAAGGCAGGCCAGGAAACACGGTCTCTGGAAGGCTGAGTAAGAAAGCTGCATTCTGGAGCGCATGGAGAGGAGTAGGAAAACCAGGCCGAACGCCGCAGTCAAGCAGGGAAATGGTGCTTCGTAGAGCATCAGTGAGGCTTCTGTGGAAGGTAAGCGGTCCTGGTGGCCGTAGGCATCATACAGGAGCGAGAAAGATCTGGTACAACCAGCAGCCAGTAAAAAAAGGCTCACTAGGGCAAAGTAGCCACATCCAGATGGACACCGCAGTGGCAAGCACAAGAGATTGAGTGCTGAAGCTAGTGTCACCATGGCAAAGGCACATCCAGTGCCGTAAACATGTGCCTCCCATGCAAGGCCCCAAGCAGCCATGGCACTGTTCCAGTCAGTGTAAAGCGGCACCAACATGGGTGGCGCTGGGATCAGGAAAGGGTTGACTGATTGGTTTGTGGCAGTGGTGTTTTGTGTTGGCTTGATATCTAAGGGGGGCGTGGAGTCCCAGGTGTCAGACAGGTTGCAAATCCCAGAGTGCTCTTTGTTGCAGTCTGGAAGAAAGGTGATATCGCTGTCCGTCAGGCTTGTCATCCAGTCTTCAGTGTATGCAGGTATATTGGCAGTTTCTCTGGGTTTGCCTGAAACGAGAGCAGAAATTCATTTTGATCAGATTTGGTTGGAAACGCCAGAAAAAACAAGATTAATTTTGAATGATTTATGAACATATCAAAGAACAAGAAAATCCCACAACTTAGAAATGGCTGTAAATGTCTACTTTTATGTCACTTAAAAGCAAACTAATCATGCATTCATGAGAAATCACAGAAGCATTTAATCAGAGTTCAAACTCAGCCAGAAAACATTTTGGCTCAGGCCCAGCATGGCAAAAGCGTGCTTTCCTCCTAATGTGCTAATCCTGTTTAAAAGCTTGTAAGACGCCAACTTCAAACTGAGCAGGGCCTAAAAGAAGAGGCAAGTGTGTGTGTGTGTGTGTGTGTGTGTGTGTGTGTGTGTGTGTGTGTGTGTGTGTGTGTGTGTGTGTGTGTGTGTGTGTGTGTTACAAATCAGCCCACTCAGAACCACAGAGTAAGTTTCTCTTGCATTACGTAAGCCATCTGGAGTTTCCATGCGAGAACAGTCGATTATGATTGCGTTGGACTTGTTTTAACACTGCAAAGGAAATGGGTTGGCTGTGGAAATTAAGGAGTAAGCATGGGTTTGCATGACCATTACAGAGCTGTCTGCGAAGCTCATTTGTGCCGTATATATTTATATACTTTGATTACAAAAGGGCAATTTAAATGGGGAGTAAAAACAAGCCACTTCCCATGATATATTGCCTCACAGATGGGCAAAGATAACCGTTTTTCATCCTCTGATCACTGAATTATCATGCTTCTTAATATGGACCTTGTTTTCTCATATATCCTAATGGCATGCAATCCTTTAAATAAGAAAAGACTGTTAGTGTGTAATACTTTTTTAAAAAAAAACCTTGCATGCAGCCTCTAATTGCATCCCAGTCATTAGCAAACACACACAAGCTCATCAGTCATTTAGCTGCAGGCTTATCAGAGACAATCACTTCTCCATAAAGAGCCAGGTGCTATAATGGACCTCAGAGACAGGAACAAATGAACAGGATAAACTGACATCTCACTAAATCACACAGCAGGCAGCTTTAGTGGCGTGTGAGCTTACAAATTTATTACCTCTGCCATGGAGGTCATGTTTGCTGTCCTTTTTGGTTATTTGTCAGCACAATAATGGAAAAACTAAAGGTGTTGGTGGATGGTTGCAGGATGAGTTAAGGGGAGACCTGCTCAATTTGAGGGAGGTTTGAATGACCAACAAGCAAATATTTCAACAAAATGAATCCTGCAGAATCAAAGACTGTTTTATCGACGGGGGTTACTAAATTGACAAAAACCAAAAAAATTCTCACAGGAGCTTTAATGTGTCCTAGTTAGGCGGATATAATAACATCAGCACAACATGAGACACACTCCTTGACTCTGCCCAGCAGAGGATGCTATTTTACACACAAAATGTATCCAGTGTAAAGCTTATACAAATACATTATAAACAGTATTTAAACAACAAAGAAAGAAAATTACTAACAATGGTGGCAGCTGATGGAGAGAGGACTCATCGCAACTTATGTGTGAATATTAGTATGTGTGAGTAGAGCAGCCATAGATTTTGCCTAATGTATTTTAAGAAGGGGTTTAAACATGCCTGGGGAATGCACAACATATGGTGTCCTTATTATGTGTCACTTTGAAAACTTAAAAAGTCCCCAGAGTGGTAGACCTTGAAAACTTAAATATGCAGACATCAGTACCACAAAACCCACAAAATGTCTGTATATACATTAAAGATGTCCGACGTGTTCCCTACGTAAAACTTTAAGTGGAATCTGTGTGGTTGAACATTTCTGTTTTATGTTTTTCTCATCTGTCTTTTAATGTACGTTTACGGGTTATGTTTTTGATTTTCCCATCCCACCCTGTCCCGCTCCCCTAATTCTCCCTTTTGTTTATGATTTCCCTTCGACACCCTCCTTCAAAAGGGGAAACTCCCATAGGTGGGTTTGTTATTTTTAAACTGGGACAGTTCTCTCTGACTGGCCTGATTTTTTTTTTTTTTTTTTTTTTTTACAAGTCTCTTCCCAGGCTTTATGTTTTCTGCTTCTGCTGCTCTTTGCCTTTCTCCTAGAATCGCATAGATCAAATGCGTGGCAGCTGCTGCTTCCATTATGTCCTATGTATGTGAGTGTCTGCTTGAACAGTACAGCCTGCAGCTCTCTCATTCGCATCTTCTTGTACAGTTTGTGTTAATGCGTGCTCATGTTGACGTGTTTATTAGTGCACTCACATTTGCACTTACATTTGTTTTCATACTTGACACAACACTGTACCCTTTGTGAGCAAAGCTGTGCTCTTTTCCTGCCTCAGATCCTCGAGAGTGATGGAGGATTTTCCCCTGTGCTTTCTTATACGCTTCAGCAATACCCTGCTGTCCTGCCTGCTGTTGACAAAGCTCTTATCATTTTACCTTTTTCATCTCCTGACCCCAGAGCTCAATCACTGTCACGGGCTGAGATGAAAATGTCAAGCTCACTGAAATATGACTCTGCTGGCAGGTGCTGGTGCTCCATTTACTGTAGCTTCACGCAGCAGTTTTACTTAACAGATCCTGACGTGTCTTTTGTATCTTAATCACATCCTCAACAGCAGGAAAAAACAAAGAATGATGAGTTATTGCACTGATGGGCTATTTTTTAATTAAAGCCTAATGAATATTTATCACATAAAAGTAAAATGGTGTTAGGATGTCTCCCTTATGAATAATTCTCATAATAATGCTCCAGTGCTGCACTGTTAAAAACAGCGAAGAGAATGAGGCAGATGTGAGATTTTCAGTTTGACACGGTGCTCGATGTTCTGCCAGGAAAGTAAAAGCAGCGAAACCATGAGGTCAGTTTGGAAGCTGGACCAAACATCCTGTTTTTTACACTGCCATGTAATGTGTCTGAGGGGACTGAGTGCATTTTAAAGTTTCCCCTAAAACGTCTCAAACAGTTAAAACACTTACAGACAACCTTTGATTTTTTTTTTTGTATGAAAAATACAAACACTACACTGCTTGTTTGACAGGAGAATCAGTTGAAGACTCTACCAATTTTCAGTCTGTTTCAATTTTGGAACAAACTGTGAAAAAAGCAGTCTTGCTTATTTTATCCTCTACCTGCATTAAAGGGATATTCTGGCATAAAATTGATTTAGGGTCAAACACACGTAACAGAGTTAGACATCCCGTCAAGAGATTAATGTTGCTGACCACTTGCTTTGCTAGTTATACCAACTTTAGTAACAACCGCAGATAGCAATACAGAGAGCCACGCGCTCAACCAGAACACCACTCTATAGCCACAAATAATGCTCAGAACAGCACCTAACTTCATCAACAGTATATATAGGGTCACAGCCATAGTATTAGCCACCAAACATCTTTTAGCTTTGCCTGATTGAGACTAAACACATCTCACCCTCTCTCTTCTAGCAGCCGCTTGTTTGTACAGAGACCTCCGGGCGAGTTCATCTACTGCAGTGGAGTTTCGCAGCTCAAGGAAGAACATTTATGATAATTTCCTCATGGAAATGCAATCAGACCGAGACGCTAAGGCAGAAGAACTACTGTGTCTGCAGTGCAAAATGATTTGTACGGAGGTCTCCTTACAAACGAGCGGCTGCTGGAAGTGAGCAGGTGAGTTGTATTTAGTCTCTTTGCTAAAGAAATTGGGCAAAGTTAAAAAGATGTTTGGTGGCTAGTGCTGTGGCTGGCACCCTACATGTACTGTTGATGAAGTTAGGTGCTGTTCTGAGCATTATTTTTGGCTACAGAATGGCTTGTTGGTTGAGCGCATGGCTCTCTGAGTTGCTATCTGCGGTCATTACTGAAGTTGGTATTAGATTTGGTCAGGAACATGAATCCCCAAAAAAGAAAAACTGGCTGATTATTGCTCCTGATGAAAGAAACAAGTTATTGAGAGAGAAGTTAATGTCTTTGAAACGCTATCACAAGCAATGGCACCAGTTTGACTAACCCTGTTTACTTTGTCTTCTAATTTTTCAATCAGTTTGTAGCTGTTCTTTGTAAAAAAGGCAAAAAAGTCCCCCCTAAAAGAATTTAACTACAGTTGAGACATTATTAGAGACCATGAATGTCAGCAACATGGTGATGCTAGCATAAAAGAAGTCAGATAATCACCTAAATCTGTTGGAATAGTCTCCTGAGAGCTATTAATGCAATATACAAATTCTGACTATAACATGAATCTCTACTTTTAATCAGGGCACAGCTCATAAAAAACAATCTCATTTAGACTAAGTGGTCACGTAAAGGAAATAAACAGGAGCTATTTTTAACCTTGTTGAAACTTTCAACAAGGGCGTCAAATATGTCCTTGTAGTTGCTCTATATATGCCTGAACTGACAATGTCATCCTAACAAAACACACACTAGCCGTGTCGGAAATGTGAATGCAGTGTTAAACAAACACACAGCTGCAGGCCTTTTGAACGTGGGGGCTGCTGATAAAGTAGGTGCTGGTTCATTACGGTGTTATGCGCCCGTGACTGGTGCGTCCATTTGTTTACTTTCCAGGGCGAAGTTGATGCCCCTGAGTCAGGCGGAGTGGAAAACGTGACGGGTATTGAACTAGTGCAGAGTTTTTTTTTTCCCCTCTCATGTCAATAAATGTCACATCTCAGCTGTCGCACCGGCCAAGCGGCCTGGACGGGGTTTGGTATGTGGTGGCTACAGTACAAGGATGGATCAGAGCGATACGTTCCACTGAACACTGCCCGGTCATCTGACACATTCCTGTGAGAACAAGCCTCTCATGCCAGGGACAGTAGACACAGTCACAAACAGAAACTAAAGTGCTTGTGGGTCTGTGAAAGCTCAAAACCTCAAACACTCGATTGAAGACATGAAAAATGTGTTTCCATCTTTTTATCTGCTCAGACACAGGGAATAAAACGTGTTAGATCAATTGCATTTAGAGTAGAGGAACGGGTGGACCTTAGAATCAGCCGTGTGAATGAAAAATCAGCAAGCCCATTAACAAAACATGCCACACAGTTCATTTCTTGTGAGGAGCAGCTTCATTGCACCCTATTAGAGTGCAGGAGCTTCATTTACATCTTAGTAATGTCTTTTGGTTCTGCTTATAAAAATCTTTAATGGCCTCACCTAAAGCTCTTTCACCTGTAGACAAGCTGAGGGAAAAGAAAAAGTCTGCGCTCATGTTTATTTAGCTTCATGTTTACTCCTCATTATGTGACTGAGAGCTCTGTGTAGTTTTCCTCTGATTGCCTTCAATTTCAATTTGGCTCACCTCAGAAAAAGCAATTAAGTTGAAGCTCATGGAGAAGTTCAATCATGCATACTAAAAAGGAGCAGATAGTGTGTAAGGGAAATGTATGGCTGAACTCGATGCACAATCACCTGCTGAGGGTCAATTCAAACAAATATTTTCAGTTTGTATGATTACTGCAAATTTAAATGCAAATATATATTTTTTGCACTTGGGAGGACTCATCAAAACCACAGACTGACAGACCTGTAACGTTGTTGTTGTTTTTCACTCACTTGTGACACATCGAGCTACAGGGCCCTCTAAGTGTCTTGTCATCAGCGTTGGCACATTTGACGAGACTATTTTTGTACATCAGTTGGCAACAGCTGCTATTCTGAGCGAGGTAATGTGGGTTACATCTGCGCCTGTGAACTGGGCTGGGAGTATGTCTCTTAATGAACATTTTTTCACAAGTCAAGATCATTATGAAGGACTAACGAACGCATTTGTCATTTGTAAATGTAGTCAGTCAGTTTGTAATTCTGGGTCAACAGACTTGTTATTTTTCATACTTTTTAAGGATTAAATGGAAGCACCAAAAAAATGTCTGTTCATAGCGAAAGAAAAGATTTAGATATCCAATTTTTGTCCAGATGCTATAACAAATATGTCAGTAAAACCACAGTGGGTGACCTGTTTATTTATGTTCCTTATGTAGTTACTTTGTCTGGCTTGAACACTCACCATATTTAAACTCACGAAGAAAATCCAATCAAATACACTTTGTAGCAGATGCACATTTGAACTAGCCTGGTGTTGCTAGACCTATCAGTATAATCACTGCTGGAGACGCTTTTGATTCGGCTGCTGTTAACTCTTATGCTTCATTCGAGTTACCTTGGAAGTCAGATGTCGGAGCTGGAAATGACGTCACACCCGAGTTACGGTGTCTCAGTTACCAAGTTGGAAAATAGCGAACTCAGATAGCGGAAACAAGATGGCTACATCTATGAAAGTTATTTTAGCGCTTGCCTTGTCCGAGTATAAGCAAGGACTATAAATTACTTCTATAGAAGTAGCCATCTTGTTTCTGCATCTGATTTAGCTTTTTTCGGACTTGGTAACTGAAGTGCTGGTAACTCAGTGTGATGTCATTCCCAGCTCCAACATCTGACTTCCGAGGTAACTTGAACGCAGCATAAACATAAAGGAATAAAGTGAGTGGCTAAAGGCCCGTACACCAAGGAGGAACTGCTTTGGCAATCTCAGGCTACATTTGAATCACAATCAGGCCCCTTACTGTCCCTCTACTTGAACCACCTTCTGACTTTTGTGAATATGTTTTGTTATAATTGAGTGAATAAAATTATTATTCAGTTGCACTAGCTCGTAAAAAACCCGAAGTGTCTCAAAACTAGACCACCAAGGCACTCAACACATCTTTTGCTTGTCTACAAACAAGCTAAGGTGCGTTTTAACTGGAATACAGCTTTATTTTTCAAAGTGATCTGGTTGCAGAAGCTTTACATAATCCTTGTAGGACGGGTCTTTTTTAATCCAGTACTGTGTATGCCTCAATAAAGTTTATGTGTTCAAAATAATCTCCCTTAAGGCTAAAACATACAGGAGTGCAGCTTCACACAAAGGACGCGTTGCAGCTTCGTCTCAGAAGTGTGTCAAGGGTGGCTCTGATAAAGATACGTGCTGAGTCTATTTCCCTGCTCTACGCTTCAAATCTGTATCATATTTGTACCAACAAAAAAACAAAAACAAAAACAAAAAGACAAAATTGAGGCTTTTGGATCTTTACCATTAAACTGCCTTTGGATATTTTTTGCTGGAATAACACACCCTAACAACTTAGTAAAATAAACATGTTTAAAATGTTCAATTTCTTATGGGTTAAGGTTTTGAAACATATGAAACATATACAATAGTAAGTCAAGATAAATCAAGATGATGAAAGACATTTTATGGTTAGGGTGTCTTATTGTTTCTTGCTTGGGACCCCCGCCCCAAAAATGTCATTGCATGCCCCTATTTTAAATTTCTTTTTAAGCGACAGTTCCCAGCACTTAAAAGGAATCACTGTCCTGTTTTATATGAGTCATGATTGATATCGAGAGTCGGTTTCTGTTGTGTTTTGTTGCTGTTTGTCACTGTTATTTATTCACAGATTTATTGAAACTGACTCATGCAGAACTCTTCATTTTGAAGTACTCCAGAGTCGTTGGCCAGGACTTAATCCATTCTTGTGTGTGTGCGTGTGTGTGTGTGTGTGTGTGTGTGTGTGTGTGTGGATGGGTTTGGGTTTGAAAAGCGGCTGTTGTCATAGGATCAATGGGTCTTTATCTGACAGACAGTACAGAGTGGATGTGTTTATGTGCCGGGCATTGTTCCCTGTCTCATCTGTTCTCAGGAGTTCTCCAGCAGTCTGAAAGAGCAGTTTTCTCCTCCCGTTGGAAGCAATTAGAGGCTCCAGGCAAAGCATGCAGGGTAATTGTTTTCCCCCAGTCCTCTGACAGATTTACTGATATTGAAACAGCTACAGGACTGTTTATGAAACAAACAACAGGCAGCTTTTTCGGCTATCCTCTCCAGTAATACTGAGTACAAATACATGTTGGAGACAGATGTGATTCACGCCTGTGTTTGCTTCAATTTTACCAGATATGTTTGCTCACCTGTGCTCAGCGGCGTGGAGGGTGTTAGCAGCTTAACAGACGGTAAGGAAGCGTCTGCCAACTTGGTGTCACTGTCCCCGTCTCCTGAAGGAACCCCACCTTCCTCGGCCTCGTCATCCTCTTTATCCTCTTTGCCTGGCAGATCTGAGGAGACACAGGCGGTGTAACCTCTGAGTGATCTCAAGGGAACACAATGTAAAGAAGACAACACTGCAGCGCTAAGACGCCGTAGAAAAACAGATTAGTAAATCCGGAGCTTGCCAAAAGAAAGTTTTAACCTCTCTGTTCTGTGGTCGAAGCAAATCTGAGAGTTCACACGGCAGAAGAACCAGGGACTATATTTCTTAACCCAGTTCTGTCAAATGGATCAGCCTATCTTCCACTTAGTTGAGGCCAGTCATCCATAGCAGAGTCGTCTGGCCCTCTGTAGTCTAATTACATTGACATCCTGATCTGTGAGAGTGCATCCGGGTCCATCACAAAGTCAAACCCTAGCTCAATCATCTGTCTTGGTGCGACAAAGCGACAGAAAACACAGATGAGCATTTCATACAAAGAGAAAACAGACAGATACAACATGAAATGACTTAATTACAGAGCCACATCTTTCTCTTTTCCCTTTGGTACGCAGGCAAAATATGTTTTCACAGTCTCCTCTCTCTCCTCGCAGGATTTCTGCAGCGGTTATAAATGAATGATGCTGCAGATGAGATTTGGGACAACATTCAGAGTGAAGAAAAACTGATTAGCTGACTCTGTGATGAAGCCAGGGATACCAGGTACTCAGTTGGTTTTAAAGATTCAGAATTAATATTAATAAAAGAAACCGAGGCATTAGACTTGAGGGAGGAATAATGAGCTGGAAAAAAATCAAAACAGCTACAAGGTAATTCTAGCTGGTGTAATCTAGGTCATGCTCATAGCGCCTGAGTTAATTGTAAATTTTAAAAGTCTCCAAAGTAAAATCGGAGCATAACTTTATTGCACTGTTGGCTTTCACACAGCTGGAGATTGGTTTCAGTTAAATAGGAAGAGAGAAAAGTGACAAAACAAATACACTAATTATTCATATCTGTAAAAACAACTGGAGAATTCATTCAGGTCGTGGATTTAGCCTTTAAATCCACTACATTCTCTGCTTGTTGAAACCATGGCGACCGAACCCGAGCATATTGAGTCAAAGTTAGAGCTGAGAAATGTGGAACTGCAGTTGGTCATACTGGATTGACTGAGAGCAGAAGTCAGGGAGATGGGATGTATTGGTGCTTATTCACTGTATGCTTTAAATACAGGAAGTCACAATGCTACTTAACGGACCAATCACAGGACTTGTGATCTGTGCTGCAGGCATGCAATAAATTTTTTGGAGAAAATGGATGTTAGGCTGTGTAGGCCACTGAGTAGGCACACGGCTATGTGGCTCTATGTGGATGACATAGGTTATGGCTTGGATTTGACCCAGAATTATAAACCAGGCTTAACCCACCTGTGTTAAATACTTGATCCTGTATAGAATACTTCATAGACAGCACAGGACACCTCATGTTATGAACAAAATTGAGCCTAATAGATCACCATTGTGCCTTAAATGTAAGTTAACAAATGGAACATATATACACTGTGTCTGGAGCTGTCCAAGAATATCAAAGTTCTGGTCATGTGTATCTAAGGAAGTGACAGCAATAATCAAAAACAAGATCTGTAAAGATTCAGGCCAGTTTCTATTGTTGCTGCCACATATGGATTGAAAAGATCAAAATCACTTCATAAACTCTTATTTTTGGCCAGAAAATCTATACTTTTTATTTGGACTAGCGAAAAACCTCCTACTGTAACTCAGTGGTACAAAGAAATGTTTAGAGTTTTATTCTGATGGAAAGGCTAAGTGCCAAATTAAAAGGGAATGATAATATCTTTATGTACATATGGCGGCCCCTTATGGATGACTTGCCTAAAGGTATAAGTGAAACTATCCAAAGGGGAAATACTAGTTTAGGAGGTCCCAGACTGAGCTGACTGATGATAAACAATACTTTTTGACAAGTACAAGGACACATATTTCTTTAATTGATGACACATTGTTGTGTTGTTGTTAAGGGTTTTCTTTGTTAACCCTTGTTTTTGTTTTGTTTTCCTTTTTTCCCCCTCATGTTTTATCCTTTTCTTGTCATTCTCTACCTCATTTGAATTCTCTTTATTAATTATTGTTACCTAGATTAAAACCACTGCTTAATGATGTTCTAAGTAAACTCTGAAAATAAAATCTGATTATTGAAAAAAAATACGTGATCCTGATTGGTCAAAACCCCAGTTGCAAAAACGTCAGTATCAGTAAACAACCAACATCCAGAAAAATAACCAATGAAATAAAAATACAAACAAAACTTGTCTCAGCTTGAACCCTGCATAATGAGTAGTAAAACTAAATTCAAACCAGTTTCTTTCTGTCTTTGCTTTTACAGTAATCAGCTGTTTTTTTTTCGAGCACGCCAGATGCAATGGAAAGAGACGCTCAGCAGGTTAGATCTGCTGCACAGCCACTCTAAACTAAACTCAATTACAGCAGCTAACAAGATCTGCTACAAATGAGATATAAGGACAGCGAGCATGTGCACCCGGGCTCTTCGTTATAATTGAGGAACTCATCATTTCAACACATCACAGCCATAATACTGATGACCAGCCACTCTGCTGACCTTGTACATTCAAAGCAGAAAGGGATGCACTTATTGAATAGCTCATCACAACACATATGCTGAGGTGTAATTTTACTAATTATTGCTTCACTTTAAAGTATGATGTTCTCATGTTAATTCTCAGTTAAAGGAAGAATACTTGATGCATTGACAGGATATGGATCTCAGCCTATAAAGCCTAAACTGAATCTAAAGTAGCACCCTCATCAGGGGAACTCTCTGAGGCAATGATGTCCATTTCAGCGCGGTAGTTATTTTTAGGAGCTCCTCATTATCTCCTGCCTCCAGAAATAATAAACAAACGATGATGTTGCACTCCATTACACTCTGTTTTATCTGCGTAAGCCCCGAGAGAGTTTGCCGGAGAGTACATGTGCTGGTTTGTTTCGAGCACAGTGAGCTCAGAGCGATAAGACGGCGAGGAAGGGGGTTGAACAGCAGAGCAGAATAGTCCAATGCTCATAAAAAGAACAAAAACGGGATATCCTTGATAAGATACCAAAGCTTAATGTTTCTTTTAATGCCTTCCTGCAAATAAAGACCATGATCCTTCAGCTGCTGTATCCCTGTAAGGTCATGTACAGAGTGGGAAGCTGACTGTTGGTATCCTGGCTGTAAATCATAGACACACCAACTAAATTGTTAGTGTTACGACTTGTCAGCTAATAAAAAGAATACATTTGCTTGTGCAGCGTTAAAATAACCCATCATTCTTATCTGAAGTGTGCCTACAGTGATGATAACACCTCCTTTAAAACAACAGTTAAACGTAAAGGGAGAGCCACACAGCTAACATCCGGATTTAAGCTCAAAATACATTCATATATTTGATCCTGTGATGAATTTGAATGAGTTAAGGATCAGTTTTAACATCTAAAAGTAATACGTGTTTGCTCTGTCACATATTTAAATCTCATGTGAGGACGTTAGCTAAAAAGTTCTTGAATACTAGCATCAGCTGTCTATTGATGGTGGTCATCAGGAATGTTTTTGACTCAAAACTCAAATATGGCTTGATGTCTTTTCAGATCTTTACTATCCATTGTCTTTGTTGACTTTTATGAATGGATATGAAAGTAAAAGAAATAACAGTTATCATCACAAATGTTTTTTAACTTGAATGTTACCCTCTGTCTCTTCAGATTGTGACTACATATCATCTTGGTTAGTGTGACCATACATCCTTTTTTACCCGGACATGTCCTCTTTTTTGGGAGTTGTCCGGCTTTGTCCGGATTTGTCAAGGGAAGTTTATAAAATCCTTCAAATGTCCGTGGTTTTGTACAAGAGTTTTGATTTTGTGTCACGTGGGCTTACTGAGTTAGAAACATGTAAAAGACACTCGTTCCATCCCGAAAAACTCTCAAAATTAACTTTGTGCAACTCCGTGACTCCACCCCCGCGTAGTCGTGTCCTCTTTTTGCGAAGTCAGAATATGGTCACTCTAATCTTGTTTGTGTCTCATAAATTTGAAAGTGATCAAATTAAATCAGTTTTTCAGATTCTTGTTGTTTTATGATTTAATTCGTTTGAATCTGGGCTTCCCACCCTGAAGAGAGAGGAATATGATGCATCATTTTGCTAATTTTGCCCATGTTTAAGATGGTGTGGCGTTTTTAATGAATCTTGTTTTTAAAACCACTTAAATCAGAACATGATTGTTTTAAAAATGCATATTTAGCTTCAGCTGAGGTAATTCTGCCAAAAGCCCCGGGTCAAATCCTAAAAACAAACATGTCCTTAATCCCTCTATTTTCTTAACACACATGAGCTCTGTCAAAGAAGTCATTATGAGAAGATCAGCATAACATTAAAGTCACCATGGTGTTCTCCATTTGCCTTAAAGCCCCTTAAAATCCATAGCAGAGCAGCAGATATTCATGTCACATGCTCTACTTGTACATCCATTTCTATAATCAATTAATTTGCCAATGGATGTGCATTAGCTTTTTTTGGTTTAGTGCTCAGATCACAGAGACAGTATATCCTTAATGGAGGGTGTTGAGGGGCTAGTCTGCTGCAGCTGCTGTTAATACAGCTGACAGATATGAAAATGGGAGGAGGGAGAAGAGAAAAATGTACATTAGTAATAGCTTCTGCTTTAAAAAATCTACATTAGCATACTACGTATCTCATCAGTTCTGTCTTTTTTCATTTTCTGCTCTCCTCTCATAATTGCCCCCGCTATCAGACATTATTTGAGCGTCCCTCAGTAGAGGACTTGACACGTGCGGGGCATTTTTGTTTTTTTCATACCTGACAGCCTCCTCAAGGGCAATGCCACAGAGCAAACGCTCCCTCGATCAATGAAAATCAAACAATATGTGCGGTTAAGATGTTTTACACCTCCAGTATGATTCACCCCGTGCTGCTTTGAAATAAATTCCTGCACCTAGATGGATTATTCACACTGGGATAATGTATGATAATGCAGGGGTGCAGTGCTTTCATTTTCTTATTAGTCTCCTTCTGTGTGTCCTTTGGCAAGGTGTAATCATTTAACAGAACAACACTGCACCAAATATACTACTAGGGTGCACAAAATTCATCCTTTATTGGTTGTCATATTTCCATGAATGGCAAGGAGCTTTTCGTAACCCCAGTGAGATATTTTCAGTCTACAAAGCAGCCAAAGCTGACATGTCTGTCCACAGACAGAAGTGACAGGGATTTGTGTTTGTACAGGGGCAAAAAAAGATTGCAAAAGGTGGGGGCAGGGTGGGAGGTAGGGGGGGAGTCTAAATGGCAAGAAGCATGTTCAGCATCCGTGAACAGCGACCGGCGAGCGCACGGTCCCACAGGAGAGGTGGTGGATTCGCTGAGTGTGCGTTTGGAATACTGATACACAGCAACAGTGGCCCTTCCCACACCCAGGCCAAGCCCCCTCCCTGCTATCGCTTTCGTACGCCAAAAAACAAGAGCAGACAAAACACTGGCACTGTAGACTAAACACAACATTGCAGCTTTCATTGCGAGCAGTGTGAGAGACCTGAGATCTGAAGTTGTTGAATTCACACAACACAAGAAGGAATCCATCCTTGACTTTTTCAGATTATGCAGAATAAATTGTTTTAAAATTAAGATTATCCCACTGAAAGAGAAAGCCCTGAACACCTACAATTCTGTGACATGACTTAAACTTAAGCTTAAAATTGTACGAATCAAAGTGAAAGACATTGTAATTTTGAAAATGTGAATGTCCCTTTTAGCACACCCTAGGTAAGCCTCTGCAGTGTCGTCTTGCTGCTACTTTAACTAAAATTAACACCATCAATTAAACTATCAAGTACTTGAGTATGAGCTACCACCTTTGAGCTAAGCAGACAGTTGCAGTGAGTGTAGGTAGGCAACTGCGCCACAGAAGCACTATTTTAAAGACCTAAATTGACAAAAATACGCATTTGTTTTATTCCAAAATGAAAACACTGGTAAGAATGGCTTCCCATTGTTGACATAGGTTTAAAGGAGCAGTGTGTGATGTTTGGAGGCAACGGGTTTCGTTGAAATGGGACAAAATATTTTGAAGTTTGTTTGAATTAGAATATAATCACCTAAATATGTAAGATTTCTCTTATTTATTAACAGAGAAAAGGCCTTTGACTTCTACATTGGGAGCAGGTCCCCTTTTTTGGAGGCAGCCATCTTTATTGTGATGTTCCTGATGTGGCACAAAAAAAAAAAACTAATAATGGTCTTTTGAATATCAAATGCAGCTGTTTGAAGACAAAAACAAGAGTGGAATTTTTTTGCAAAATAATACTATGGATAGATGGTTAAATATTCAACAATTGGAGGATCATACCTTTCATTTCTCACAAGAGCTTTGTGTCCTCAGAGGCCACCATCACTTCACAGATAGGAGGGGTTGACAAGGATGTATTTCATCTATTTATCACCAAATATTTTCTTTTCTACAAACTGTACCTTTAAAAGCAGTTTTAAAATGCAAGGTAATTGAATTTTAAAAATGCAATTAATCATGATAAATTATTGAAATTTTGTGATTTATCTAAATTAAGTGCTAAGTGCCCTTTATTTTGTTGAGATTACTATTCATTTTTGTTTTACTCAATGGTTTATGTTATTTTTCACAATAAAACAAACAAGCTTAAAGCCAAGAAAATATACTTGGTAGGATAGCAACATTGAGAGATGGATGCGGGTCAATATTTCCAAGTAGAATATCATTATGTCCTACACATGCTCAGCAGACACCTCTGTATGCATACATCCATCCAATAATCATGGTTTTATCAGATGGACAGTGAGCCTCCTTGGCTGAGAATAATCGACTCATCATTTTCTGGCCAGACCTTTGACCCCACATGATGAATGTGTCTGTACCTGCTGGAGGATGGTCCTCTGAAGGCTCATTAACCATACAGACACCAGACAGCCACTACAGGTGGGGGATGGGCTTTGAAGATGGAGGCATTAGCTCAATGTCGAGTCAAAGTCTCCGGATACCTGCTAGCAACCAGAAGCTGTTTTGGCTCACCGTCTCTACCTTCGTGTCCTCTGTGGAGAACAAACAGACCATTGGATCCGGATTCATTTTCCTCGCATTTACTGAGGAAATGGAAATATTTTCATTTAAATTGGACGGTGCGCATTACTCACTGTTGACGGTTGGGAAATGCAATAACAACTCAGCGTGCTGATTGTAACAGTCAACAACAACACGTCACTTGAAAAGAAGCCTTTCAAACATTGCAGATTGCACAAAAGCTTTTGATGCTGCATTCTCCACTCTTACTGTCATGAAACTATTACATGGAATAGATCAAAGCGGGAAGCAAGCATTGGGAATACAATAAAGATGTTCTATCCTTTTGTCAATGGTTTGGATTATTGTGCTGTGGAACAATTCCCATTTCTGAAAAGTCTCACGCTGCTGAAACATAGTTGTTCACAGGATCAGTAGCCCAGCCAAAACCAACACTGATTAATACCACATTATCTGAGAGGGACTAAACAGTACACCGAAGGAACTCTCTCTGGACAAAGGGATTCAAACAAGTAACACATGAATACAATCATGCTGATGTGCATTCCTACAACAAGGTATTAGGGCCACCGTATAGAGTTGTTGTTTTTGAGATTTTGTGATTATGTTATAAATTTGAGAATAAAGCTGTCAGACCATAAAGCCATAGTATTATGGATCTCAAATCTTAATATTACAAGAGTAAAGTCAGTATCAAGAGTAGACTGTAATATTATTGGAATAAAGTTGGCTCCAGTCCTCCGTTGTGGGTTCCAGACATGTACTCGTCTAGCATTGACTGGGTTCCTAAAGATCTGGATTTATGCTAATGTCTAACCTTTTACTACTTACCGTGTCACAAACATCATTGATCACACCAAACTGTCTGCTGCCTTCTGACAGCCACCCATTGAACACTTAAGACCTGCCTGAACATGATTGATCATGTCTATTGAGCCAATCCAGCCGCTATTGATTTGTTGAAGTTTGCTTACCTCCTGCTATTGAGAAGTTAACCCCTTGACTCGGAGTCGTGCTTGTGATGGATTCCGTCGCTGCTTCTCGATTGATCCCCATAGCGGTGGTGATCACCCCCTGCTGTTCCTCCACAGGCCCTGACCTGGCCTCAGAGAAGCCCAGATCAGTCTCACTCTGAGTCGGGTGAAATTCTGTCAGAGTGGCCTCTTCAGCATGAAGGGTTATTGTAACAGTGGTGTCTTGAAACGTGGTTTTCGAGGAAGTAGGGGTTGTGGTGACAGGCCACTGAGTGTGTCTAGGCAGTGTAGTTTCAACAAGTCCTGGGATTGTTGTTGTAGTTTTGGCTTCTGCCCATGTCAAGGCAGTGGGAACTGTGGTTTCTGGTGCTATCGTTGAAGAGGTCTTTTCTGCAAAATCTTCAGCCTCTTCTTTATCAGCGTGTTTCTCTGGAGGGTGTTGTGTAGTGGCACCCATGCTGGGTTGTGTGCTGCTTTGAGGTGGGTGGGTATGTGTTGTGTTCTGTTCGGGACCGCTCGTGCCGGTGGGGCTGTTGGTGAACAGAGTGTTTCTGATAGAGCTGCTTGTGGGAGAGTAGGAATCTGAAACAAGAGTATCATTGTTGCTCTGCACTGTGGTGCTGTGTGGAGAATCTGATGTCCCTGTAGGAAGTGTTTGTGTTCTTATCTCTGTCACACTGCTTAGGAGCTCCTGAGTTGTAGTTGGTTCAGAGGATTCAGAAATGTCGCCATCCCCTGAACCCAAATGCTCTTTCATGCGATCAGTTGGTCCTGGTAGACCTGTGGCGATTGTGGTCAACAAAGCGACCTGGTCTTTACTATTCGAACCTCCATACTGGAAGAAATTTAATGAAAAGGGTATGGAAGGGCGCTTTGGAATCCACTGGCTGTACCAGCTTCCTGAGTCCTCAGGTGGCTTTTCCCTCGCCGGCGTTGGTCCCCACAGGGCCTCCTCATCAGCCACAGCCTGTCTGTGAAGCAGCAAGGAACACCAGAAGCAGAAAGCCAAGGTCCGGAGGAGGCGAAGCATGCTGTCGACAGTAGCGAACGAATGGGTCACATGGCTATCTCCATTCTCCGGCTCCCTTAGGCGGGTTTGGCTGTCTTCCCCGGCAGAATGGCCTAAAAGACAAGAACACACAGGACACTCATTGACACACTTTCCATACACTCCAAGACTGCTAAACTTGAGCTGACGAAAACTTGATGAAATGAGCATCTGTTCAAATGTCTTTTCATTGAACCTTTTTGGAAGTCTAAGCTTGGTTTCTCAGAGTGTGACCTGCTTTTTCGCTGTTTTTTCCAGACTGTAAATAAATGAAGTATGCCACCCGTTACAAGACTGCTGAAGTTTGCAGGCTAAAAAAGCATGTCGTCCACCACAAATCACAACAAGAGCTTAAGTATTACGGACACCCCGCAATTAGTGGTGTCCTGTTAGATGTGGTGGTCAGTATTTATGTCATGCTGATGCTGACATGCATGCTGTGTCGCAGCAGCGCGCAGACCAATTAGAGATCTTGAACGTCCATCCATATGTGCTCTATTCAGCGAGAAGTAGTCAAGATATAATGTGTGTGTGTGAGACAGGTTGGGGGAGGTGGGTGGAGAATTAAGAATAGAGGGACCTCTTTTTCTTTTGTTGAGGGCAGAATGGTTCAAAGTCACTAGCCTGTTGCCTCAGTGAAAAGACTGGAGCACCAAAGGAATTTCCCCTGTGAGAACAACAACCTGTATGTTTTAGTTGTACTTAACTCCCCACTACAGTCCCCCCAACCCACTTATCCTTCCCCCCCAAGCTTTGGCCTTGGACGCTTTCAATCTCAGATTTGTTTGTTCTTCAAGACCGAGGCAGAGAAATCTGCTTGTGTGGGAGTGGAAAAAACATCAATATTCACAGGAAGAAGCTATCACAGTGAAGTTCTCACTCTCTTTATGAACATTATTTCACACTTTCCTTACTTGTCAGCCTCTTTTCTTTTCTCTGACATGTTTGTCTATGACTTATTTCTTCCCCTAATCCCTGCCAGTTCCTACGTACAAAAACAAAAGCTCAATCTGCTGCTACCGTCAGGCCATGTCCACTCTTAAACAGATAATTTTCTATAATATCATGTCTTGGCATCTTCCAAAAAATATCTTATATGAATATTTATCTTTCACCACAACAACATAGAAATTAGTGAAAGCGCCAGTATAAGCTTGCCAGGCCAGTATGTGGCAATAATGTCACGCCAAACCACCATTGATGGGCGTTGTGTACATACAGTATGTTGGGTGTCTTCTTGAGCGAGCAGAAACTATAATGTTCTTTAAACAGTGTATAAATTGGCGAGTTAAAAACTGTTCAGTGTGTTTTATTTATTCAACTGCCATCTTGGCATGTGTGTCATACATAACAATAACGATTGCCATGTGCAAGTTTAGGTGATGTTTCCCAAAAACACTTGCTAAAACTCATTTTCTTGAATACAAACAAAACAGATGTCTTCACTTTAGAGGGCGTTTTTGAAGAACCCCCATTCTGCTGACCTGAAAGTCTGTGTACGTGTGGCTAAAACACAGAAAAAAAAACTATGTTTCCAAAAATATCCCCATACATGTGGACAAGGCCTTGGACTCTAAGGCTGCTTCTCCCTGATCAGCTCTTGACCTGCAATCTCCCGCTCTGTTTCTGCCTGCAGGGATGACACCAACCTATATACAGAGACAGAAGCTGACATATAAAGACTTACTCACTAGCAGGGGAGGGTCGAATATGGAGCTTCCCACACACTCCCTACTATGAGCATTTTGACTGAACAGCATGAAAACCAGTTTTCAGTGTGAGGTGAGGCTGTTTTTAGACGCCTTGTCCGCTCAAGCTTGCACCAACCAACCCACACACACAGTCACATTTGATGCGTGCAGAGATATTATCATGGATGCTTTCGAATCTGATTCTGCACGTTAGTGCAAACGTGTCTTTTTCGCCCACATGTACTGTTGTTGAAGGTACATACACCCACATGCACACTTCTTGGAAGCACTTTGGAAGCCTTTCTTAAGATTCACAGAGGGGTCAATAAACTGCTTAATGCTACTTTTAAGAATAATGGAGGAGGGCTTACTGAAACTTTATGATGGACATTGTAATTAATTGTAAAAAAAGCTTGAAGCAAATTATCTTTATGTTTATATTGTGCATAACATATTAATTATTCAGACAGTTGGGAATATGAATAATTCATTTTGGCATTGGCAACATTCTCACATTTCATGACAGTATCATTTTCCCTCGGTACCCCTAATGCAATTATAAGATACTCATGTTGAACACCAGCTCCACTCAACTTCAACAAGCATGCTTTACAAATAAAACCATCATCATCGTATGAATACTTGGTGGGGGGAGGAGTGTGACATAAAAATACTTGTCAATGTCAGGTTTCGTAGAGGCATTAGAGCCATTTGTTCCCATATTAGGAAAATCCCATATCACCAAAATTAAGGCAGACATGCAAAATTCTGCAGTTCCTGAAGTGACCACTTGAGGCTGGCTCAAAAGCTAAGGAAATCCCATTGGGTCCCATGTTAATCTTAAAGCAAAAGTTATATATATATATAGTTATATATTTAAAGCCAAAAATGTTTTTAAAGAGGCTCATTAACTTTTTTATGAGGGGGACATTTATAAGGCATTTGTGTCAATACATATATTGCATGCATTTGTATTATTGGGGTATGGCTGATTTGTCAGGTGCACTGTAGCTGATTCCCAGTTCTGTAAAGTTAGCATTTTCAGTCATGCTCTGGTGTTTGTTGATGTTCGAAAACTCTCTCCAGGAACAAAATGTTGAACATTTAAACATCCGTATCTAGTATTACGAAGCACTTTTTTGGGCCATGTTTATGTTGATTTGATGAGTGTAATCCCAGTTTTACTCCTTCTTTTGCTTTGTTTTACCCACAGTCAACACCCAAAGGAAATAAAATACCTCTTTCTTGCCTTATTGCTCTCTCACAGGCTGTTTAATTAGGATTTTTGTGCTTTCAAAGCCTCAAACCACATGATGTTTGGTTTTTCTAGCCCTCATTTCCCACAGCATCAGCTGCTTTTTGTCACTTCCCTTTTAGCATTTGCTGTTGAATTCAGTTCAACTTTTTGGAAACAGTCGTGTTCGCCAGTGTCACCATTTGATAATCTACCATTTAGAATCAAGAAAAAACAAAACTTTTGACATCTTCTCTGTCAACAAAAACGCCATAGGTCCTAACTGAGTAGAAACTAACCACACTGCTTCTATGAGGTACAGTTTCCGGGCCTAGAGCTGCTACTAATGGTGTGACACCATTTCTATTGATTGGTTTTAGATTTTCTTTGTCAAATTATGAAGCAGAACCTCTAAAAACAGACTGAATGATCACTTCTATGGACCAGGAAGTGCTGTGAGACAACTTTTGAGACCTTGCAACAGCAAAAACTGTTTTAGGACACATTCCCTTACTATCCTTGAGCTACTCCCTAACTTTCTCTGTGTGCAGCTTAGTGCAAGGGAGCATACAGATGTTTAGCATTACTATAATAAAAGATGCCAAGTGCAGTTGCAATATGCATACAATATAAGTTAACAAGCACATGAAAGTTACTGGAAACAAATAAAACAAAAACAATGGGCTGAGAGACACCAAAATGGCCCATGAAGCTGATGGTAACAACAGAGAAAAGAAAATTTCATATTAAGGTCCTGGTAATAAACTTTAATGAATAGTTCATAAACCGTTTACAAGACCTTACGAGGTGCTTATAAACATTTATAAATGTTAATAGATGTTATTAAAACATCTATTACTGCTTATAATCCACTTATAGGCTCTAATTAGAAACACTAAACAATAATTCTCATGTTTTGTGTGGAAAAAGTCGTGTGACCCATTAACAACATACTTATTGTTACAGCTATAACATGGAAATAGCGCATATTTACGACTTTAAAATCACAAGAACTTTATTAATTGTTTTCCTTATTGATAAAATAAATAAATCACCGTATTACTTTGAAGAATATTAGGCTTTTAACTGTCCTGTCACTTCTCGTGCCCACATCAGATGCATGCCTGTTAGTGTAAGCATTGTCTGCTTTGACAGGCAACAGAGGAACTATAAAAAGTGTCTGTGGGGAATTTACAAGTCCCCCTCCATTATTTTGCTGGCGTTTTGTCTCGCTGCTCCTGACAAAGACGGGCCCTGCCACTGTAGTGTGCTCAATGGAGCGGAGACCGGGGAAAGAGGAGAGGCAGAAAGGAAGGGCAGAGAGCAAAAGACAAGGGCAGTAGAAAAGAAAGAGAGTTGGAGACAAAGACGGCAAATTGACATTCAGTGGAGGTTTTCTTACTTGAGGAGAGTCAACTCTGCAGCAGCTTGCCTAATGCTCAATTTAGTCTGTCGCAGAGCCTCTTTCATTAACTCTGTAAACAGACTCCTGTCTTTCAATTTAGTCTCTTTCGCCCAGGAGAAGACCCTCCTCACGCTCTTCTCTCCGGACCATCAGCCATCTTGATCTCAATTATCCTTCAACATGCCATCCTTGCTTTCTTCATAGAAATTCCTTTATCCTGCATATTTCTGACAGCAGTATTTTGGGTATAACAAGCCCCTCTGTGATCATTAAGAGGCCAGTGTGGTAGAGCCAACAATGAAAGACAGATAACAAGGGAGGAAAGTAAGAGAGAAGGAGGGAAATCAGGAAAAGATAAAGTCAGAGGTAAAAAAACAAACAAACAAATGATAGACAGAATTAGAGGTGTGTGTCACTCCTGAGTGATTGAATTGCAGAGGGGAGTCACAAATGGAGATGAATCGACTGTGGCCAACATCATTACGATTTCACAAAGCAACTATAAGCAATGAAAGGCCTGAGGATCAATGACACAGTCCAACATAATGGAGTAATTTACCTCCCTGCAAATGGCTACCATTGTGGGTGAAGGTTTTTTTCTCCGATGTGTGGGTGTGCACATCTACCAGCGGTATTATTTCAGGGTCATATTTTGCGCTGGTATTTACCTCCCACGTGATTTGTAGCCCTGCGTTTTTAATGCATCTCTGCAAAAAAACAGGGGCTAAATCCTCTGTCCAAGGAGTCAACTTATGGCTTTTTCCTGTTGTCCTCTCCTGACTTTGTCACCGTGTAGGGATGTCAATACTGCACAGATTCAATCTGACTGCCTGCTTTAAGCCAGCAGGGATTTATTCTGCAAAAGGCAGCACATTTGAGGGGCTTTGTAAAGTGCTAGGGAGCTTAGAGTCGCAAACAAGTGTCTGATTATCCTTCCATCAATCTATGTATGCTGTTGTCATTTTAGTAATGGCGAAATCTTGTAACTGCTTTGAGTTAAGAAGATGCATAATAGAGCAAAAACGAAAGAGATTTATGTCTTTGTTCCAGATGCAAGCGCCATGACCCTATAAGACCTTATCTTTTTCCTTCCAAGCTCCAGGACACATTTTACTGCTGGACCATTTTATTGGTATGAACAACACAACTGTATAAATTGGAATTGATATACAACATGCAATATCAATAGTCAGAGTGCGGCTGGATGTGTATGAATGGATCATTGCGTCCTCCAAGAAAAGCTTGTCAACTAAGGACTAAATTAAGTTGTCAGCCATATTCAGCCATATTCAGGAACAGTACAACATTTCTGGGTAGCAAACTCTATATGTTTCAAATGATTATAAGATTGCAGAATGCTGTTAGCAGCAAATCAAAGCACAACGGGTGAATCTCTCCACTTTACCCTCATATATCTGGACATAGCTGTACACATGTGCAGATCTGTAACAAGCATCACGTTTGAACAGACAGACTTCGTTGTAACTGATGACATTTTGATGTTTGTTTTTTGTCAGCTCATGGAGTAAAAACACTTGAACTTTCCATCCTTAAATAATCATGTATACATTTACCAAATGGTTTAAATAATGCCGATCTTTGTTCACATCTGATATCTGTAGACACATATGTGGCTCAGACTCTGCATTTGTGGCTCTTTCTACAAGTCTGTGTGGTATATGAGTTTTGCATTTGTTGATCTACATACACATTTAAGGACCTAAGCACAGCTGTATAAATCTAAGTAAACATTTGTAGATTGAAGTCTTTTTACACATCTAGGGGTCTGATACACACAGTGAATCTGAGTATGATTTTGTAAATCTAGGTTTACACTTGTGGACCTGTTAACATGTTTGTAGATCTGGGTACATATTTGTAGATTAGAGTGAACATGTATGGCTCCAAGTACACGTCTGTAGGTCTGAGTGCACATTTGTAGATATGAGAACACGTTTGTTGAACTGAGTACGCATTTATGAGTATGTGTGCACATTGGTGGATCTGAGTATACATTTGCTAGTTATTTTGCAATAATGTAAGCCCCATGAGGAGTTATGACCTCCTTTGGAGTTTTGAATTTGTTGTTCTGGAAAAATCTGAAGAGTTTTCTCTTGTTAAACCAGAAACTTTTACACTTTTACACTAATGTAATAGACTTTTATCATTAATAAGAGGATATGAGAGTAGTATTGATTTTTTAATGTAACCTACTTCAATGCCAGAATGAATACCATGAAGTCGGGCTTGTCTTCTTTTTGTTTTACCAGCCCCTGTCATCACTATATTGTTCTCCCACATCAATTCTCATAATCTCTTCATTTACTCCTTGATGTCCAGTTGCAAAGTTTTAAGTCCTGATGGACTGATCCAATGACAGAAGTAGTTCCTCCAGCATGAGAGCTATACTCTTACATCCTGGAAAAGCCAAACATCTGCTCATGAATCCAAATAAACAGCATCAGAAGAAAGAGTCCGACAGGTTACGTATGTCCTGCAGGATTTACTACCAAACACTGTCCTGAGTCATGCTATTTACAAACAAGATTAATGCCTGGCTAATCTGGTCTACGGGCTTTTGTCTGGTGATTCTTCGAAAAGCCGTCGTACAAATCCAATTCCCAGTTGAGAAAGTGAAGAGACTGGAATTGCTCCCTTTACTGACCGCCACCTCCCATGGTCTCTATCGTTCCCTGAAAACTTGTTGATTCACTCAGATGTAATTTTTCTACACAGTCTTCCCTGCCTCCTAAACCTGACTTTTTTAAAAACCTCACACTGACCACTTCATAAATAAACTCCTGATGCTTCACAGTGACATTAATTGTGCTGGCTAATGCTTATGTTCGCCCTGCAGCTGATGAATGCATTGAACCTGCTGACTATAAAGGACACTCTCATACACACAAGCGTTCCACCGCCTGCCTTTGCCATGGTGACAGCTGAAGCCAAAGACGTTGTGCTAATCCGGCGGATTTGAGCACCTTTTGGTCTCCGCTGTTCCGCATGTGAGAGCGTGCTGCACTCACATGCAAATGGGCAGTCTCACACACACATATGCAACACACATGCTTGCAGGAGCATTTGCTGGTTTGCTCACACCAAAACACACACATGCATTCATTTATCCTGTTATGCTTAAAAGGAGTTTCTAACATTGATATTGCAACATAGTCCAAGCTTGATAATCATGACAAATACAGATGTTAAGATCCCTTTTTATGAGGTTGGCACTCTTATAAATACAGCTGCAAACATGCACATGTCTTGTTTTTCCATTGATGAACCAATACATGACTCCATCGTTTCCTTCACCCCAAAACAAGTCCTTTTACATATGTTTGAGAAATACTGTATGTTTTTCAGAGTGTTTATAGCTGCAGCTAGGCTGTCTTAATGTGAACCAGCATGCGTACTAGAGTCAGACCAACACATCCCTGTTCCCGGCTGCAAAACAGCTGATTAACACACACACACACACATTCAAAGAGAGAGAGATACAGCTACAGCCATGAGGACGAGCAGAGGAGAAAACATGTCAGCTGCTTACCTTCAGATTTATGGAATAAGATGGAGAATCCACATCCAGCTGTGTGGGTCTGTGTGCTGCAGGAGAGACCGTCTTTCTGAGCCTCTGTAGATTTGTCTGTGAGGAATTGAGTTCCAGTCTCCCTCCCTCCCACTCTCTCTCTCTCTCTCTCTCTCTCTCTCTCTCTTCTCTCTCTCTTTCTCTCTCTCTCCAGTGGACTCTACCTCTCTCGCTCACTGCATCAGTGTAGTCCACTGCTGGGTGGCTCCCGTCACAATGCCTGTGGTCACACCTCAGTGAGCAAATTGTTCATCAGAGGAGATCAGCCAGTGCTGCGGACATTGAAAACAAAGTCAGGCATCAGGATACAATTACTTATGCAAACAGGCTTGCAAAATTTTTCTATGTGCAGCTTCTATACACCTGGGTTTGCCAACATAAACAAAATAAAAAGGCTGTAAATTTTAAATGCAGCATTACATCTAGACCTGATAGAAGTCTATGCTGATGTTTACTTTAAGGAATTGCAATCAAACCCACAACTTGCCACTTTATTCAAAAGACTCAAGATTTTAGCTGACCTTATTTGACAAGTTTTTGTTTTCTTGTAACTGAAAACTACACTGGACTCGCCACAGCAAAGTCAACAAATGACAAACACATAATTCATCATTTCACTTTGGAACAAAACAACACTACAAATCATTGTGCGATGCTGCCATTAGCCTTACATTATCCTTCAGACCAAAGCCATTGTTGCGACTGTAACTGGGAGCATTCGTCCTTTGAAGAAAGTTTCATGGCCTCAACCAGACATCTTTTAAAAGAACTGATAATGGATTTTATGTTGAAGGGCAAAAATATGACATGAACTGAAGAGAAAAAAAACAAGTTTTAAGCAATTTAATGTATCAGACAGCAAGAAATTTAACTTGAGGGAGCAATAAAAGTGCGACTGTAGAGGGAAAAACCCGAAGGTAAACCAACACATTAGTCTATCAATGGGTGAGGGTCCAATGCTGCTTCTCTACCAATTAAATAACCTTGGGGGATGAGGGGGGTGAGTCAGTTTTCTTTTATCCATAGACTGGTTGAAATACTAGTGATTCACCAACCAATTAAGAGAAAAATTCAATATCTAGGACTCAATGACAAGCTAGATTATTGGAGATGAAGTGAAATGGTTTCTTTTGGTACCCAAGTATTATCATCATTATTCATGCAATGGCCTTGGGCTGAGGAAAACAGTCAAGCAAAAGAGGCAAAACACATTGGTTGGTAAAATACTGAAACAAAATCCAGTCACAGTGTTATTTATCAACTAAGGTTTAATCTTTGTGAATTTTTTGTCAATATGGCCAGTTGAAGACAGGGTCAGGGTTTTTAATATATTCCATTGAATTCAACACCTGACTGATCAGATTTTTAATCTCAATATCAATTCAATCCTTGTGTCTCAATGCAAATGACTGCAAACAATGGCAAATTCACAAAGATGGAAGTCTTGCCATGGACATTCTTGATTGCTGAATTAACTTTCTATTGGATGCACCAAAACCCTAACATTGTCCAGTTGGCTAAATTGTCTCAAATATGCAGCCATAGTCCTGAGATTGGCATTAGGCACACAGTGGTCAGGGAAAATGCAACTTACATTGCAGGTCTTTTGTTGCATTGTAACCAGTAGTTGAATTGTGAAAATAAATCCAAAAAAATCAAGGGGGAATGGTGGATTTTATTGTCTGGGACAGATATTTTGTTCTGATGACAGTACACATGGTGGGAAACCCACTGTGTACCCATTTTATTGTTGCTAAAGCACAAAGATAATTATCATATTATATTATCTCTCAGATCAAGCTGTGCATGACGCTTGGCCGTGATACTGAAATCAGTGTCACCAGCACTGCTTACTGACACAATTTCTTTTAAAAAAGGGAAAAAAAGTGTCATTTTCACACGTGCCTCCTCACCCAGAGGTATTTTGCTAAATATGCACAAAGCCCCCTGTAGCGGGGTTCTCGCTCAAACAATCAAAACATAGTGGAATAACACAGGCGTAGTTGGAGAAATACAGTGACAGTGATATATTTACAGCTGGCCCTCCAAGGTGCAGTGCAAAAAATATTTACAAAAGTGAAATAAAATGGTCAAATACAATTTGCAAAATGTACAAGGCAGAAAAGAAAATACCAGCAAGACAGTGTTCCACTATAACTACATTCTCACTTAAGAAAAATAAAATCAGAAACACAGCAGCACCACAAAAGTCAGTTTGGTAATTACCTTCAATGCAACAAACTCCAGACTCAAAGACAGGCTAAGGCAGCCTTCTCTTAAACCCCCCTAGCCCCTCCCAGTGGGTGTTTTTAATTTCATAATTTTGGGAAAAAAGTTATTGATTCACATTTAAACCATTTTTACCATTTTTAACCTTCAGACCTTTTTCTGTAAGTTTTTACCACTTTGACTAAGTTTTTACAAAAATCAACGGAGCATTTATTTTGAAGGATTTGTGGCAAACAACAAGGGAATACATTTTTTTTGAATCATGTGACCACTTTGAACCTCCGTACCCACCTATTTTATGTGCGGAAGTCATGCGCTCCGTTTCCGTATTTGGACACCTGATCCGGCATGATGGCGCGAATGGACGCCCAGCGAGTAAATAGAGCGATGAATGTCTTTGTGAGTGTTTGTTTAAGTTCGCCGGTAGGGCTCCAATTGTGCACCATTGGTATGCCTGTGCAACAGAGAAGGAAGAGAGGGAAAAGTATCGCTGTTTAGTGGGTGATTAGCGACGCTGGCGGGGACGGAAATGGAAATGTTTGGCGCGTATGTCGGTGTATGTGTGTGTGGTTCCATGCGCGGCCCGCAGTCGGTGAGGACGCCGCTCCTTCACACCCCCTAAACGTTGAAATGGTGGTAGTGGGCTAGTTCCATTGCTGAATTACTAGTAATATTTCCACATAAAAATGGCTCAAATCATAGAAAGCTGGGATGACCGTTTTAGAGGGGGGTTATTTTTTACCATTTTCATTTCATGGGGATGCTGTACCCCCACAACTCCAGTACTGACTGTAAGGTTTGTGGCCTGCAAGTAGCTGTACCCTGATCTCTTCCTTACCTGGCACTTCCCACCATGCTAAAGGCAACACTAATTCTGAAATGCTGTATTTGTCATTGATTTTGTGTGACACTATTGTTCAGTATGGATGTGACCCTTTGGGATACTTGACAGACAAAACAGCTAAAAAAACAACAAAAAACAAGATCCATAAATACACCCATTGAACATCTGCTTTATTAGTTTCAATCCCACCCAACCAAAACACAAAACAACCCACGTCATAGCACAGAGCGTACATGAGGTAAATAAAACTCACTTTTGACACAGTTTAAGACATAATTCTATCAGTAGCTTATCTCTAATTAAATCTTACTGTCGTACATCAACTTCCTCTGTTCCCTTTCTTCTATGATCCCCAGGAATTTCCCAAATATAGAAACAATCAGCACGAGGAAACGTAATTTCCTGCCCACTGTCTGAGGAGTCCTGCTTGTGTGATGTACATCCCTCCCCAGTTCGGTTCAGTCCCATCGGCTCAGAAAAGATCGCCTCAATAACATGTGTGACCTTGGCTCTACTTGCCTGTCTTACCACCTTTACTTTTACCCTGGTGAGATAAAAGACTAGTTTTCTTTCTGCACAGCGGCCCTTCTGCTTTCAATTCAACGTATTGTTACATTTTTATGAAGAATAATTGGATTTAGATTGGAACCACTGTCTGCAGATGCACATCCTTCGCACCTGGAATACATCCTCTGTTACTCTGACCTTGAAGAATAGTTGAGACAGTTCAATGTTAAAAGACTTCATAAAAAGAGTCTGAATATGAAAAAGTCCTCCATTGTAAGTTGAGAATGAACAGATCCAGACCCTTGAGTTTTGATATGTTATTTTGGAGAATTTACACTAAAAAGCAAATTTAGAGAGAATATCGCTGTGTAATGTTTATCTGTAGTAGTGTGTAGCAGCCTGAGGCATCAATAAAAACATATTATTAAAAAAAATTAAAGGGATATTCTGGCGTAAAATTAATTTAGGGTCAAACACACCGCAACACCGAGTTAGACACTGCCTCGAGAGATAAATGTTGCCGACTGCTTGCTTCTCTGGTTATACCAACTTTTAGTGACGACCGCAGGATAGCAATACACAGCGGTCTGAGGAGCCATAAACAATCCTTAACCAAAACGGCACTAACTTCATCAACAGTACATATAGGATCCCAGCCATAGTACTAGCCACCAAACATCTTTTTAGCTTTGCCTGATTTCTTTAACAAAGAGACTAAACACAACTCACCTACTCTCTTCCAGCAGCCGCTTGTTTGTAGCGAGACCGGGGTGACGCAGCTCAAGGAAGAACATTTATGATCATTTCTTCATGGAAATGCAATCAGACCGAGACGCTAAGGTAGAAGAACTACCGCGTCTGCAGATTAATATGATGATTATTACTTCAAGGAAATGATAATAAATGTTCTTCCTTGAGCTGCGTCACCCATAATTCATAAACACTTATTCACACTTATTTACTCAAATAAATTGACAGATTGAGCACATATAGTATATATGAATATTTGAGTGCTGCTGAATCAGCATTCATATGGTAACGCTGAAACTGTTGCTTCCCAAGAACACAATACATAAACCAATCCATAGCTTTACACAGCCAAACAGTACGTTTATGATGAGAAGATCAGCACCAGGTACCTCACTCCTGAGAAACAAAACTTTAAGACTTTTTGAACATTAGCATTGCTATGAATATGTCTGTGTAGATTTAAACTGCAGTGTGCTTAACTTCAAAAACTTAATGTTAACATTTTAATAAGAGTAAAGCTGCTGTTCGGTTTAAAATCCTAAGTGGAAACATATGATGACAACTACAAACTCACAAAACTGACGCTTGACCTTTATCTCCTTTAGTGTGCCAGGCTGCAATGATGCAATGTGAATCATGCTGTTGTTTTATGGTAACGTGAATGTGATTGGCAGCTGAACATTTTGATAGCAGAAAAATGGTCATCTAAGCCCATCTCGTGATTGGAAACAATAGACTATATGATAAGTGGATGTAATGTCGTTGGTGACGTCAAC